CAGAGTTCTCTGACGCCCATTTGCTCTTGTCTACCTCGAAGGTAGAGGGTGATGATGATGATGACGACGACACGGAACTGAACCCATACTTCAGCTCGTCCTCACACGGCCTACCACCACCGATTTCATCTATTAACCAGAAGAGTCCGCGCTCGTCGCGGTCGGCAGGGTGGTTCGTCATCCAAGCTCCTGGGCGTGAAGCAGAAGGGGCAGGTGGTGCATCTTGCGAATGTGTACAGAATGCGCTACACCTATTCTGGTCTGGGAGAACAAGAAGTGCATCTCATCGCAGAGGATGGTTCGGGTCGTCTATAAGAGACGTTAGGGACATCGCCGTCTTCCCGCTAGGCCTTTTCGTGGTGATAACATGGTGGGTTTCTACGCGGTAGGCATATTGTGGTTAAGTACGCTCGACCTTCAAGTTATTGATATATTTTTGGGACTCTAAAACGCTCAGCACGGGCGTCGCTAATTAATTGCTTTGGGACCGTCTGGCCTGTAATGTGTACTTTTTTCTAACCAGTATTACTATGGCATGTTTAATGCCATGATGAGCTATCGACATCTCACAAGTCCGGGTCGAGAACTTCAACGGATGCTTGAACAGCAAGGTCGAGGTGACGTCGGCGTGCAAGAGGTTGACCTGGGCCATTGCAGGGTTTATCTTGGCTGCTTTGATCACTGTCATCATTTGTTCACCTCCTCTCAACCACCACCAACTCTATAGACCCCAGCTCCATCCATATATCGTCCCTTCATTCCTCGTCGCGTCTTGGCCGAGATGCCTGTGCGCTTGACACCCACATCTCGACAGTCGCCTCACCCAGTTCCCTTTCTCGGCACGAAATCATACTCCAGATGCCCCTCATGGCTCAGCTGACCTGGGGCAGATAAGGCTGTCGTGAAATTAACATCGACATGTCATATACTTATCAAGGTGAGCAGGATATATTTCTCTGAGCTGGGAAAAGCGGCTTATGATAATCGCTTCTCAGCTGTGAGGTGCTTTGCGTCGTCAGACGAATGGCGCACATAGGCCTTCTCGACCGATACCCTGCTAAGCGGGTGCACCATCATCCTGCGCTCTGAGCTCTCTATTATCGCGAGTAATCACCTGGAATCACGATATAACCGTCTGGATTTTAAGCTTTTCTGGGCCGGGACATAATTCTCTCAGCTCACTCAAGGACAGGCACCGCCGCCCCTCCAAGACTCCAAGCGTCAAGACCTCAGCGCCCAGCTCGCCTCTTATATATCAACGTTGAGCGCCACCTCTAGGACCGATCTTGTCTCTGTTACTCGACTCTGTTGCTGGCCGAAGCACAGTAACTGTTCGCATTGGGCGACTCGCACGACCTACTTATACTTAACGAACACTCGACGTTTTCACTTCAAGCTGCGCACCAGTCCTCTATATACCCACCAAACTCGCACCCAACGACGACCCTCGGCCGATAGACCCATGACCGCTATGGCATCCACGACTCCAGCACTGGCACCTCCATCATACGACACCCTCCCTCCTCGCCCCTCATCTTCTCCTCCCTTTATACCCCAGGAACCTCCGAGTTACTCCAACCAGCCCAGCCCAGACGAAGAGACCGTCGCATACACGCCGCGCGGTCCGGCTGGTGCACCACATCCTCAAGGCACTTTCGTGAGGAAGTGGCCACAGGCAACGCTCATCCTTACCGATCAAGAGGAGGGTACAAGACTACCTACGTACGGCCGTGGAGGAAAAATTATGGGCGAGCTTGGTTTGGCGAGCGCGGAGAGGGTTGTCAGGGTTTCCGTCAAGGTGGGTAGCCTTTGTTTTGAGAGGGCTGGGTTGCGGACTTTTCGTTCTGAGGTTATAGTCGGAGGACTGGCGTGCCGTGCTACTAGAGCGCGTAGGACCGATTTCTCGTCCTTGCTCTCCATTCCCATTCATTTGTTCCCGGGACGAACGTTGACGCTGATCCTTACCTCTCTTTGACATCGTCGTCCATCGGAAACTGGTTCGCGTCTTTCAACCATTCACGCATCTTCCACACCTCAATATTCACTCTACTTGGTGAAAGTTCTTCGGTCAAATGACGCTCTCCGTAGCAGATAGCGGCTCCTCAACCGTGACTCTCGTCTCCGACACCCGCGTCTTATGGAAAGACAACCCAGGGGATCCGACCTCCTCCAGCACCTCTCGCTGCCCCTCCCTCTTTCCCATCGACTTCGAGTTCCCCCATACCTATACGCTCGGCGACAATCACTGGCGCATGCCGCCCTCATTCGAGGTGTCGTTCCTCGGCATACCCGCCTTCTTCGTTAGGTGCCTCTTTACGCTTAGCGTGACGATTACGAGGGCGAGGAAGTTGAAGGGCGTCGCGTGGACGACGAGCAAAACGTGGGTGTGTTTCTCAGCCGTGATTTTGGTTTAAACCTCTCGCGATGCTACCTTTTTTCTGACTGGACGCGTCGTATAACAGGTACATCACCCTCGTGAACCACCGCCCGCGCATACGCCCGCACCGCCCGATCGTGATGCTCGACAGCGTGTTCGCGTCGATCAAGCCCGTACCAGAGGAGTGGATGCAGGTCGTCGGGAAGATGGGCGTGCGGCCCAAATCTGGGATGAGGCCTATTGAGTGCCATGTATGTGTTCCTGTTGCTTGTCTCTCCTTAGTAAATTGTGTTCTAACCTTGTTGTCCTTTTCTTTTCCCTTTTTGTGTTTTTGCTTTTTTCCTCCTTCCTTGCTGGAATTCTACCATCGATCCTCGCCTTTCGCTTGGCTTCTGCTTCTGCTTCTGCTTCTGCTTCTGCTTCGCTGCCCTGCATTGCCCTGTTGGTGTGGTGCCAATCTTCCCGATCCTGGACGCCTGGCTGGCTGGACCTGATTCATTTCGGCATTTAATCTAATCTCAACTCCAACATCGACATGGCCGCGGACGCGTTCTTCATTCAATCATGACGACACCGATAACGCGACGCGATGCACGATGCACGATACGCGATACACTCTATTGCCAACACCGCGACTTCGTGCCGCAACACCGCGCCGCACCACAACCCGCCACTATCTAACCACTCCCCACCCACTATCCACTGCGTGTCGATGTCGATGGCGATGGATGACATTGCAACGCGTTCTAAACCCTGTCCTATCGTGCAATCAACACCTTTCCTATCGTATCGTGTCCTACCGTCCTACCGTACCGAATCGGCCGACCCACACCCATCCAATACTATCGCTACGCTGCCTCGACGCAAATGCTCCACCTTCTACGCGCCTTCTGGCGTGCTCTTCCTGATCGGCGAACTCGTACACCAACACCTAACGTCTAACATCCACCCCGAACGTCCTACTCCAATCCATCCGAACATCGAATCCGATTTCCGAACGCTGGAATAACGGTATAGCTCTTCGTGCCCTCTGTCCAGACGTACGCGCTGTCCGACACGATCCCGTTCCACCTGCAGATTATCTCGTCGCGGAGGTACGTAACCTGCTCTGATAGAGTACACTCTGGATATCCATACCTTTGGTTCTGATGATGCTGATTATGCCTTCGCGCCCGCAGATCTCTCCGCGAGCTCCTCCCGCCCTCGTCTGCCCTCCTCCGCACGCACTTTCGGCGTCCCTCTTCCTCTTGTTCCTCCTCCTCGCCCTCGCACCACGCACCTTCCCGCCCCTCTTCCGAGTCGGACAGGGATGCATACTGGGAGCACGACCATGAGTCAAACACGTACGTCGGCACGGGATCGTTCGCTATCCGAGTGACGATCGCACGGCAGGTGGTGGTGGAGATAAATGAGCGGAGGCGGTTCCGGACGTTCACACTGGGGCTGGGGCGGATGTGGAGCGTGCCGCCTGGGTGGGGTGTGTGCTCTTCTGCGGGCTGGGCGGAGGAGAAGTGTGGGAAGGGTGGGTGGGGGAGCTTGAAGGAGTGGGCGCGTGTCAAAGATGCGGGTGGAAAGGAGGGAAAGGAGGCAGAGGAGGAGGCAGAGGACGCGGATGTGTGTTTGGACTGGCAGGGCGAGGTGAAGTGCTGGCCTGAGGTGACGGCGGGTGGGTTTACCGCGAGCAATCTGTTCGTTAAGGTGCGTTTCTTCCGCGTTCCGACGCGTTTTGCTGGTGGCTTACTGGTTGGTTTTTCTTTCCGTTGCGTTGACGTGCTCTCTGCTGTTGACACACACTTCTCTGCTGACTTTTCCCCTCGTTATCGCCCTCGACTCGACTTTCGTCCCGATTCGCGCGCACTCTCTCTGGAAATCTCGACCTTCTCGACATTCGCCGTTGATGACTCTACCATTCACTCTGTTCATTCCGTCTCTTCCTTGTTCTTGTCCGCGTCAACGGTCGGTGTTGGGTGTGTCCGATCTTTTCAACATCTGTCGAAACGTCCAATGTCCAACAGGACTTTCTCGTTCTCGCGCTGACACCGCCCAATGCGCGTTCGTCGTTTCTGATGCCAATGCAGGTCTCACATCCTATCAGGCTGGTGACGGATTCGTGGGTTGATGGAGATGCGCTGCATCCGCACGATGTGTGAGCCAGGAGCCCTTGGTGAGAGAGGTGGGACGTGTTCCGGGCGGGTGTGGGAGGATGACAAGATGGGAGAAGGGCGAAGGAGCGGCTCCGATGGTGTCGAAGCTTTTGTCAATGGCTAGGGGTGGGTTTTCTTCTGGTAAAGCATGGGTATTTCTGTGTACATCATCAGCACGCTGTTGTATTTTACACTCTTGTCAGGAGAGCGGGGATGTCTTCTTGCTGATCCAGCAATATTTTCTCAACGTACTTTGAACGAAATGAAGACGCTGGTTTTATATTTGACAGTGCCGGGACGTGATAGTTCCTCGAGATCCTCGACAAGCGGGCAGGGGTTATAACGTTAGGCGTTTGCGTTGTGCAGCCCCCGAGCACCCTCGGCCTCCCTTGGTGCTGCTGGCAGAAGGAGGCTACGGCGCTTAGGAAAATCAGGGAAATTTTATGATCCCAGAAGAAATAGGCGAGGCAGGGGCGTTGTTCTAGCGAGGGGGAAGCGGGCGGCTAGCGGGAAGCGGCGGAACGTGAGGCGCAAAGAGGCGTTTCGGGGGCCCTGTTGCGCGTCTTTTTATACGTGTGTGTCAGGGGCGCATGTGGTGATTGTGATAAGAACCCAATTTGCGCAATGGAGGGGGATAGTTGAGTATAAAGCCGATTGGGGCAGGCAGGGGGTCTGGCCTGGCTGCCGGCTATTATTTCGAATAATTCGTTTATGCATGCACGTTTGTTCGACGACGACCGCCAAATTTCGATCATTATAAAGAGCAGACAGAACCGCAAATCCTGGATCGTCTGCGAACCCATCACAGAGGAGCCGGACAGCGTCGACCACCAGCACCAACCCCATCGTCATCACAGACTGCGAGCACCGCTCCCGCGTACACATTCAGCTCCCCAGCTCATCTCCACAACCACAGTCGCACCAATCCATATAAACAGGTCACAACTCTCTTCTTTTTTCTCCAACCACCCTCACATCGATCCAGCAGCTCGCCCACAATGCCCTCCTCGTCCCTCATGCCCCGCAGCGACTCCTTCAACGCCCGTGTTCGCGGCACGTCCCACATCGACTTCAAGACAGCCACAACCGGCGTCGCTGCAAAGTCGATGCGCAACGAGATCTCCCGCCTCGTCTCCACCGTCGAGGACCTCGCCACCAAGAAGGTCTGTACCCGCCGCTGGTCCCCCGATACGCTGCTCATCGCGCCCATCAGGCCTTCGACACAGAGATGCAATCTTTCTTCTACCTCTTCACCCGGTACCTCGCCGAGCGTGCAAAGAGCGTCGATCTGTACGTATCGCGTCATATCCAAGAAATTCCGAAGCTAACCCCCATCCAGCGACTGGGACCGCATCAAGTCCCCCGCCGAGGATCAGATCGTCCCCTACACCAACCTCCCAAAGCCCAAGGACTCGACCAACCTCAACAAGCTCGCTGTCCTCAAGGTCAATGGTGGTCTCGGTACCTCCATGGGTACGCCATTCCTCTCATCTTCCTATCCACGGCCATAACGTCCCGCAGGCATGACCGGTGCCAAGTCCGCACTTGAGGTCAAGGACGACATGACCTTCCTCGACCTCACCGTGCGCCAGATCGAGCACCTCAACACCACCCACCGCGTCGACGTCCCCCTCATCCTCATGACCTCCTTCAACACCCACGAGGACACCCTCCGCATCATCAAGAAGTACGCCAACCAGCAGCTCCGCATCACCACCTTCAACCAGTCCCGCTACCCCCGTATCTTCAAGGAGACCCTCCTCCCCGCCCCCAAGCGCGCCGATGACGACAAGAAGCACTGGTACCCGCCCGGCCACGGTGACCTGTACAACGCGCTCCTCCACAGCGGTGTCCTTGACCAGCTCCTTGCGGAGGGCAAGGAGTACCTGTTCGTCTCCAACTCGGACAACCTGGGTGCCGTGTGTGTACTATTTTTACACGACGCGTCGAGCAGAGCACCGCTTACTGACGTATTTCGTTTCTCTCGCGCAGTGTCGACGAGAGCATCCTCCAGCACATGATCGACACTCAGGCCGAGTTCCTCATGGAGGTCACCGACAAGACCAAGGCTGACGTCAAGGGTGGTACCCTCGTCGGTGCGTACTGCTCCTTTCCTTTACGAATTGCTTGATGGGGTTAATTAATTAATTCATGCTACAGACTACGATGGTGCCATCCGCCTGCTCGAAATCGCCCAGGTGCCCTCGGAGCACGTCGAAGACTTCAAGTCGGTGCGCAAGTTCAAGATCTTCAACACCAACAATCTGTGGATCAACCTCAAGGGTACGTCATAAACCCCTCCTCTCCCATTACCTCATCGCTTACCCCTCGCTCAGCCCTCAAGCGCATCATGGAGCACGAAGGCCTCGAGCTCGAGATCATCATTAACCCCAAGACGACCGACGACGGGCACGCCGTCATCCAGCTCGAGACCGCCGCCGGTGCCGCGATCAAGCACTTCAAGAACGCCCACGGCATCAACGTGCCCCGCAAGCGCTTCCTCCCCGTCAAGTCCTGCTCGGACTTGCTGTTAATCAAGAGCGATATTTATTCGCTCCAGCATGGACAGCTGATCTTGAACGAGCAGCGAATGTTCGAGACGACGCCGGTTATTAAGCTGGGGGATCATTTCAAGAAGGTGGGTGTTTGAGTGTTTTCGTGGGTTTGTGGGCTTGTGGTGGAAAACGGGCAGTTGAACCCTTGTTTTCCGTTGGAAGGGTTCATATATGCGTGTGCGGCGTGCACTGTGAAGAGCGGTTGTGCTGACGAGGTTTTACTGGTGTGCAGATCCAACAATTCCAGAAGCGGTTCAAGAAGATCCCCAAGATCCTCGAGCTCGACCACTTAACGGTCACCGGCGACGTCTACTTTGGGCGGAACGTCACCCTGCGCGGGACGGTCATTGGTACGTACTCTCTAGCGTCCTTGATTTCTTGAACGAGGTTTCCTGACGGCGGATGCTCGTGCGCAGTCGTCGCCAACGAAGGCCAAAGGATCGACATCCCTGATGGGTGTATCTTGGAGAACAGGTTGCTGTCGGGTAACTTGAACATGATCGTATGCACTTTACTTCATATATATGCGCTCTTACTGATCTGATTTGCGAAATAGGAACTGTAAACCAAAACGAACCCTCCACATACAAGATTAGACGAACGAACGGGAATTTTCATATGGACATTATCTCTTCCTTATTTTTCTCTTCTTTTTCTTTCTTTCTTTATCTTCAGCACACTCCAAATCGAGAACGAGGCGTATGTGTATGCGGACTCTAAACCAACAACCATTCACGTACCACACATTAACCCTACCTTTACCTACGCTCAATTTACCTTCTTTCATACCTACATACAACACATTTTAGTCCCATCCGCCACGCCGCTACACCCTTCATCGGTCGATCCTCTTTCACCACGTCCACCGTCATCAGCGTCGCGCACCATACACCTACTTCACTCGCCCGCTCATCGATATCACCACATACTGTATTACACTCGTTTAGTTACCTTCCTCTCTTTTTCTTGATTTGGACCCGTAATATACCTAGAGCTTGGAGATCTCTGATTGGTTTACTGGAGTTTGGACCTCTTTTGCATTGGGTTGTGGATTGGGTTGTGGTCCGTCGATTGCAGTGCAGATCGCTGAACAACTGAAAATTTAAGCTTTCAGCCTTTTCCGCTCGTTTTCCGTGCGCAAGGCGTGGCTGCTTGCTGCCTCGGTGCGACCCTGCGTGTTGGCATTGCAGGGCTGCAGGCTTCGAATTGCTGCTTCGAGGAGGAACATGGAGGACGGTACCGATTCCGGTAGGTTGAAGCAACAGCACTCAGTAGACTCTGGCGAGACCTCGAGGAGGAACTGGAAGGTCGGTGCCGATAGGACGCTGTACTCAGGGCTTTGGAGAAACTCTGAAGCTGAAGCTCACAAGACGGTGACCTCCGAGTCCGACAAAATGTAAGTTTATATGACGCCATCGATAGCAAAAAAAAAGGTAGGAGTTGCCTTAACGGGCTATCGTACGCCGATCTCAAAGGTGCCTTGGCGCCGTGCGGGGTAAAAAGGCCCCGGGCTGGCGGTTTGTTAAGGCGTGCGGTTTATCGATGAAGGAGGTCTGCCGGATGTGGAAGGCCTTCTACGGAATTTGTTTTCGGTGGTGGGAGGCGGTGAGGTCTCTCGAGACCCTGAGTATTATGGGACTGCAGGACTGGGCCCGTTGGTCCGCACGCCGCACGTCGAAAATTGAAGGAGGGAAAACTGTTTACTGTCGCCGAGTGCGGGAAGTTCTTTGCCACGCCCCGTGAAATATGAACCGTAAATTTCAAACGGTAAGCCCGTTGGGTCCTGAGCGGTCCTCAGTCAAGGTGATTTATCAACTTCGTCGTGGAGGCGTGCGTTGCGCGGGGCCGTTGGCGTGCCATGATTTCAAATCGATGGCTCGGGGATTCATTTGGCTTTCTGCGTTTACTATGCGCTAATGGGTTGATTCGTTAATGGCGATCGTGCTAGTGGGACGGTGCGACAGCAGGCAGGTACTTCGTGAGGTTCCTCGGGACCTGTACTAATGGGACTCGGGACTCTGGGACGCGATCTGGCTTCACCCTTTCTACAAGCAATTATACATGTGGGATGATGTGGAAAGGGTTGGAAACTGAATGAATTAAGGAGGCTATTGCCTAAAGAACAGGCTATAAACGAATGTAACTTGAAATTACTCGCGGACTCGGTGAATGATAGTCTTCTCAGCTCCGCCAAAGAGTATCTGTCATGCCCAACCTCCCCCACAGCCCGGCCACCGACAAACCTATCGGCACCAGCCAATCGGTGAACGCTCGTTCCTCCTTGCTGCCTAGTTTTATACTCGTGTTTGGGATGCTGACGCCCTTCTATCAGCTTCCGTTCATCAACTTCCCACCTTCCTCCGTCAAATCGCACAATTCCAGCACTTCTCATTTGTCCCGTTCCCGAGCCAGCAGTGTTCCGTGCTATGGTCAAGGATAGCCCGAAGAAGTCCCGTCCTCTCGTTCTCTGGGAAGGAAGTTATCGTTGTAGGTGCACGTTTGCAGCTATCCGTCATTGAGCCAGTGAAAAACTTTCAACTACCATACATACATCGATCAATGGAATGATTGGCAGGGAACATATGGATGCCCTACAGGATGTTTGGGCCCTAGGATCTACATCAGAACATGATACATTATATCTTTGACAATAGTAGAACATACCGCAAGTGAGATCTTCAAACAATAGACATTGCCGCGGTGGTCATTCCTCCTACAATTCTCACTCCATCCTTTCGGAAATTGCCAGCAGACTTTCTGGAAGTCATCACCTTTCGGAATGACAAGAAGATAGTTTACTTTCACAAGTGGTGTTGCAACACTCTGCCCAGCGGCAACCTTCATGGTCTTTGCTGGCGGCATGCCCTCTCGAAGTTGATTTTTCAGGCTTGCAATAATTCGGCGGACCTTCCTGTAACCTAGCGATGAGCCTCCATGCAATCGTGATGTGGTTATCTGAAGAATCCACAAGACGGCTGTCTTCGAATGGTCAAGATCGACGGTGAAAGCATCGAACAGCGGGAAGGTAGGATCTCTGGGTATGTAATACGTGTTGTTCTTCAGATTCCCGGACAGGTCATCGATGGACTGGAACCTGAAGACCTCGCGCTTGACTTTGGCAAATTGTACATCACCAGGAACACAAGTGTCTGGGTCCACACTGAACTGTGGTGGATCAGAGTTGTTAAGGACCACGCTGATAAGAGGCCAGGGGTCATCCTCGGAGGTGTTCGCTATATAACGATGAGCGAGTGGCTCGAAGAACCGTCCTGCCATTCCTACTGCTTCTGGTACTCGTCGAAATAAATGGATTTGCTGGCGAATCACGGCGTCTTCTGCAGCATCCAGCTGCGCAATCATGCTCCTGGCGACCCAGTCCGACTTGAAGTCCACTATCCAACCAGGCCTCATTAAGGGGCCACGACGGACAGGGATGAGAACGAGGATCCGATTGGATATGTCTGGAATGGCACTTTTATTATGCGAGAGGGCGTCCACGGCTTTTTGCAACACAGTGTATTCGGTACTGAAAGCTGTCTTGTGGTCCTCGGTGGTCCCGTCGTAGTCGAAGACCGCACGAAACACATCACGAGCGGAGTATCCGAAACGGTCGATCGCGGCTTCCAGAATGTAGTCGAGGGCATCCTCTGGGGATGACGACACACCTTCCTCTTTGAATTCTTCGAGGAGCGTACGGATACCTGGGAACGGCCGTAGCGGATCCCGCTGATACTGAGAGGGGCCTCCATAAACTTTTTGAAGCGCCACCAACAGGGAGCCGTACTGTTCCTGATGCCGCAGCCTGGGTAGTGTACTCTCAGACGTGGACAAAAAAAGCAGTGTTGGCAAGACATACCCTTGCGCGAGCTCGTCGCGAGTCCATAACGGCAATCCGGTGACCAGAGGTCTCTTTTCTTTAGCCCAGATCTTGTATCGGCATGGATCTGGTGAAGCTGTCTGGACTGGCAAACATGGTCGGCAGATCAATTTCAACTTTGGCTCCTTCTTCTCTCGGATATCGAACAATGACCAGATAAAGAGCTTCGAAGGTGTGACTTTGGGTTCAGGGAGTTCTAATCCTGGGTCCTTGGATAACCATCCTGTATATACTCGCCGATCGTAGAAGAGGTACAGCCTATCGCCATCCGGGGAGAAGAGCACAGGTTGCTTCTGCTGTATAAGTCGAACAAGGAGGTAGTACTGGAACAAGGTCTTGCCTGCAAAACACGCTTTATCGTTCTCGATAATGCAGGCGGAGAAGCAAGTACGCACCAATGCCAGGCTGACCGATTATGAGAGTGCCAACGGCACCATCCGATGACATTGCTCGTTCCCAGACTTCATTGAACATCTTTACATAAGATTTTCGGACGAGGATTGATAGTAGACTAAGAGAGGAGGTGAAGGACGCGGGCAAGGGTAGGGATGGGGACTCGGAATCGAGGAGGTGGCCGCACTCGATGGTTCCATGCCACCTAGACGTGAAATCTTGCAAATCTTGCTCGGCCAACTTCCACCCGTCTGGCACACTCCATGAGGCCCAGTTATCAGGATCTACAAGTATGAGAGTCAGGTTATGATGGACGGTGAAGAAGGGAGCGCGATTGGATTCACCAGCAATTTCAACAGCCAGTCTGTTGTAGTCGGCAAACTCTGGTATGTCGAGGACATTCTGAGCGGGTAGGGATGGCTGAACAGACATAAGTATCGGAAGAAAGTGATTGGCGGGTTCACAAGCCACTAGTGGGACTTGAAGCTTGTATACGTTTATTTGTGCTTGGTCACAGTCACGGTCCAGACCGGCTTACTGGTACCGGTACTGGTAGGTGACCTTGAGGATTGAAGCTTGCTTGATGCAACTTTGGAGTCCGAAGCGGGATCCATCGGAATGACGAATTTATGCCAATTCTTGCTAATCCGAGCGATTTTGAGCTTTTTTTAGCCTGTGGGAAGCGATTTTTGGGAAGGTCCTCACTCCTGTGTGTGACCCGGATAAAAGACCTGAAATTAGGTATGTAGGTCCAGGTTGAAACCCGGATAAAACTCGCCACTTCGGCATGTACCTTTGAAGGGCTTTTCGGGAGTCCTACTACCGAACGTAAGTCCTTGCCCTATGACGCCATCATCGACGTTTCACCTCCATCGATAGCAAAAAGAGTAGGAGTTGCCTTAACGGGCTATCATGCGCCGATCTTCAGGGTGTCTTGGCGCCGTGCGGGCACATCCGGCAGACCTCCTTCATCAAATCCCACGCCCCAACCAGCCGCCAGCAGGTGCGGGGCCTTCTACGCAATTTGTTTTCGGGCCCTGGGTGCTGGGAGGCAATGAGGACTCCTGAATCCCTGAGTATTATGGGACTGCAGGACTGGGCCCGTGGGACCGCATACCGCATGCCAGAATTGAAGGAGGAAAAATATTTGCGGCCGCAGCGTGCAGGAAACCATCCACCACGCCCCATGAAATTTGAACCGTAAATTTCAAACGGTGTGGTTGAGTCCTCAGTCAGGATGGTTTGTCAATGTCGTTGTGGAGGCGTGCGTCGCGGGGCCGTTGGCGTGCTATGATTTATCGATAGCTCGGGAATTCATTTGGGTTTCTAAGTGTACTATACACTAATGGATTAACTCGTTAATGACGGCCATAAGCTGTGCCATTGGCACAGTGCGACAACAGGTACTTTGTGAAGTGCCTCGGGACTCTGGGACGCGATATAGCTTGAGCATTTCCTCAAGCAGTATATTTGTGGGATAACATGGAGAAGTTTGGAGAGTGCTTGGATTAAGGAAGCTGCATAAGGAGCGGGTTACAAACAAAAGGAACGTGAAATTACTTACTCGGGGACCCGGGGAATGATAGAGCCTGACTCTCTAGAGAGGAAGATCTTCTCAGCTCGGTTGAAGGGGACCTGACATGCTCAACCTCGCAAGATGCCGGCCCCACCGCCCGGCCACCGACAACCCTATCGGCACCGGCCAATCAGTGCGCGCTCATTCCTCCTTGCTGCCCAGTTTTGTCTCGATATACTCGCGTTTGGGATGCTGACGCCCTTCTATCAGCTTCCATTCATCAACTTCCCACCTTCCTCTGTCAAATCGCACAATTCCAGTGCTTCTCATTTGTCCCGTTCCCGAGCCAGCAGTGTTTCCGTGCCGTGGTCAAGGATAGCCCGAAGAAGCCCCGTCCTCGCGTTCTCTGGGAAGGAAATGATCGTTATAGGCGCGTGTTTTGCAGCTGTCTGTCGTTGAGCCCCGAGTCAACCTTTGTAGAAGGGACCAAATAGTTGACTTTGGGAGAAGTGTTGATGCTCAGTCTCTTAAGCAGTGGTATTAAAGACTTCTTTCTCTCCTTCGTCTTCTACGATCGATAGAAGCACTGGACGAGTTGGCCTCGGTGCTTTTATGGCCAAGTCAATTGCAAAGCCGACGAAACGCCGCGGGTACCTGCGATAGAGCCTCTGCGCTCAGCCCTCCACCTCCGACAGAACCAACGGCTTTGCAGCACTATTTCTCCATACTAGAGCGTGAAAACAGCGGCCCTACAGTACCACAGCCAACTCCAGCATGTTAGATTGGTAGCGTTTGGATCATCAAGGCGGCAGTGTATTTATTATCTTAAATGGTGACAAAAGCATCGTTATCGACTCTCCAGTACGTGTGTGTGTGGGTGGTCACGATGCTGGAAGTGCCAAAAACAGACGGCGGACCTGGACCTGTCGATCCGAACGTATTTGTTTATTGTGGCGCAAGAATATGACATCACCAAACCCACTTTATGTTCCGACGTATGTAACGACTAATTACAGTACATTAATAAAAATACATGGCGAGGAATTCAGTAAATAGATCCAGAGGGTCGCGAGCATAAGAAAGTCCAAAATTTACAATTCCTATGGAGAAGAAACGATGTTTGTCATGTCTTCGCAGAGATATAGGAAACAGGCTGACGATCATGGTCAAGTTACCGGATACCAGCCCTGTCGGAGGTGCTTAATCAAAAGAGAGAGAAAAGGAAGACGTAGCACAAGCTTACGGTTCTCAAGGACGCAGCCATCGGGAATGTCGATACGTTGTCCCTCATTCGCAACAACTGCAACGCCGACTTAGTAATGGCGCATATAAGGAGCCCCAGACGAACGTACTGATGACCGTCCCACGCAGAGTGATATTCCGCCCAAAGTACACATCTCCTGCAACAGTGAGGTGATCCAGCTCGATGATTCGCGGGATCTGCCTGAACCGCTTCTGGAACTGCTGAATCTTCTTGAAGTGTCCGCCAAGCTTGATGACAGGAAGCGTGTAGAACATTCTGTTCTCGTTCATCACGAGCCTGCCGTGGTCCAGCCGGAAGATATCACTCTTGACGAGGAGCAGGTCTGAGCAGTTCTTGACGGGAAGGAAACGGGACCGAGGGACGTTGATACCCCGTGCGTTGTTGAAGTGCTTGATGGCCGAACCTGCAGCCGTTTCGAGCTTTGCGAAGGCGGTCGGTAAGACTCAGTGGTAGATAATGAAGTGACTTTATACCTGGAGGACTGTACGTCCGTCATCCAGCGTCTTGGAGTTTGCCATGACGTCGAGTGACATCCCTTCCTTCTGTATTACGCGCTGGAGGGCTAAAGAAGGGGAATTGACGCAAGGTTGATGGACAGAGTCCTTCACTTACCCCTCAGATCGATCCAGAGGTTGTTCGTATTGAACATCTTGAACCTACGTGCTGTAGAAGGTATGATGATTTTGTACCATGTCAACCATGTCTATTTGCGTGACTCACCATCCTGGAATTCGTCGAGAGATTCGGGAGGGACTTGGGCCGTTTCAAGAAAGCGTATGGCACCGTCGTAATCTAATATAACGTGTTGGTTGATGTTATTGATGAGTGGGCTAACGACTACTTACCAACGAGGGTCCCTCCCTAAGAACAGAAAATGGATGAAAGAGGCGAGTAAGCGTAAGACAAGAGAAAACAAAGAACGGCCTACGTTTGTATCAGACTTGGTCTTACTCGTGACTTCCATAATAAATTCGCTTTGCGTCTCTGCCATGTACTGAAGGATGCGTTGATCCACACTAATGTACACGCAAGACGGCGGTCAGCAAAGATAAACGCATGGAAAGACGTCCGATCGGTATTGACTAACATGGCTCCGAGATTGTCAGCATTCGACACGAAAAGATATTCTTTGCCCTCCGACAACAAGCGATCGAGGACGCCTGACCGAGACAGCGAGGTATACAGGTCACCGTGGCCAGGAGGATACCACGCTGCTTTTCCTTCATGCACGCTCTTCGCAAAAGGCAGCAACGAGTCCTTGAGGACCCGAGGAAACCGCGACTGATTGAAAGTGGTGATCTTCACCTGTCGATTGGTATATTTCTTTATGACACGGATGATGTCTTCTTCGGTGTTGAAAGACGTCATCAACAGAAGGGGCACATCTGAATGTTCAGTGGCATTCAAGTGTTCAATTTGTTGGGCAATCAAATCCAAGAACGTGAGGTCATTCTGAACTTCGAGGGCGCTTTTTGCACCGGCCATCCCTAACATCCTCTTTAGCTCTGGTTGCGAGAATGGAAGACACAAAAACTCGCCCATAGACGTTCCAAGACCCCCACTGACCTTGAGCACGGCAAGTTTGCTCAAGAGCGAATTTCCGACAGGAGGCAATTGGTCATAGCGAACAATATGGTCGCCTGCAAGAGGGTCGACTTTCTGCCAGTCTCTGCGAATGGGTGTCAGAAATGAAGAAATAGGGAACGACCAAATGCGCACGTTTTCTTGCCTTCGTTCTTCTCAGATATATATCTGTTGTACAGTACCAGAAATGTTCTCATTTCCTCAAGAAAGAGCTGCGACAAAAGCTTAGATCCGTTTTGTTATTTTAGAACGGCGGACATGGCGCATACCTTCCGGCCTATGGGATCAGGAACCGTATTCACAAGTCGATCCAATTCGCTGGTCATCGACTTGATAGCGACATCCTCCGAAGTACCAGAAAAGAATCTGAGCGGCCGACGTTGGAAACGACGAATGGGATGCTTGAAGAGAGGCATGATTCAACGAGGGGGTTGAAAGTTGTGGGTACATTCTTGACGATTTATGCTATATTAGTGGCAGGCCCTAGGTCGAGCCATGCCGTTGCAGCGAGGTGCTTATAAAGTGTGCGGACTCGTGTTGAGCATGATGGATTGGGTGACCTCAGAGAACGAGAGATGCGCCTCTTCAGGACTGTGCTTTACATAAAGTGAACTCCATGGATAGCATCCAGATCCAGGAGAACAATGCGGATGCCTGCACAGCCGGGATAGCAGCGTCTCAACCTGCAGCAATGGGGTTCAATGGAGGAAATCCCTTCAGCGCCTTTCGAATTTGTTGAGGGACTCTTGGAAAAAAGTCACGAAAATAGTGATGGCAAGATGTGAGGGTCGGCCGGGAACATCCCTCGTTTCTCCTCATCGCTGATGTGGTAATAAAGAATAGTGGATTCCGATGGGAGGCATGCATCGTAGTCTACGACGTCGGGCGAGTCAGAGCCTGTCGTAAAGATCACCTTGTGCTCCGACGACGACGCCAATAGCATATCGGTTCCATTTGTACGGCCTACATGAGAGCTGAAGTGTGTTCAGCGCTTCGAGTGGAGAGATAATGGATCCAGCACCATTTACTGGGATCAAGTTCAAGGTCGGGTCCAAAAATTATTGCATCAGGGAATAAAGCGCATACTTCGATCCTAATTAGCAGGAGCCTCGGCCATGAAAGACGAAGAAAGGAGGGGCAAACGCGTTAATCATAGCCAGCTCATAGCGAGCGATTGGACTTTCCGGCATTTGCCGATCTGAGTTTGAACATTGACCAAACTTTATTTTCAGATATCATCACAAACCTTGCGTGTTCAACAAGACATCCTCCAGACTCTCCGACATGGGTCAGTGCTGCCTGATCGCCGTCCGCCGTCCTTCGTCCTTAACAATGCTGATATCACTTCATCTGTATAGGTATCTCCCGTTCATCTCGCCACAAACGTTCGGAGACTGGTGCTCAACGCGCCCATTATCGCAAGAAGAGAAAGTTCGAGCTCGGTCGCCAACCAGCCAGCACCAAGCTTGGCCCCAAGCGGGTTCACACTGTCCGTGTTCGTGGTGGAAATTTGAAGTACAGGGCTCTTCGCCTTGAGAGCGGTAACTTTGCATGGGCTTCGGAGCATACTACTCGCAAGACTAGGATTATCTCTGTGGTGCGTCGTATCTGTTAATTCATGACATCGGTTTCCCGATCTTTTAATGTAGGTCTACAACGCCTCAAACAACGAGCTCGTCCGCACCAACACTCTTGTCAAGAGCGCCATCATCCAGGTCGATGCTACTCCCTTCCGCCAGTGGTATGAATCCCACGTGAGTGACCAAGGCTCCTACTGGATGAATTTGCTGTCTGACCGGCGTATTATCTTTAGTACGCCCAACCCGTCACTAAAAAGGGCAAGACTGCTGCTCCTGCTGAGGGCGCAACTGAGCCCGTGAAGCTTTCCAACCACGCCCAACGCAATCTCGACTCAAGGAAAAAGGGTCGGTACCTCGAGTCATCGCCTTTTGTTGATCTGACATCCCCGTAGAGGCCAAGATTGATCCTCTACTTGAGACCCAATTCGCTGCTGGTCGCCTTTATGCTGTCATCTCGAGTCGTCCAGGCCAATCAGGTCGTGCTGATGGCTACATCTTGGAGGGAAAGGAACTCGAGGTGGGTACTGCCAACGGTTGATAAGAATGACTGAGCACCATCCTGATGTTCTCCCCTAGTTTTATCTCAGGAAGCTGAGGACTGGCAAGCAGAAGCATGCCCACGCTTGATTCCATTTCATTCTTCTTGTTGCAATACGTTGGTGGACCGTGGCATCAAAATAAGATTCGCTCCTTGTCAATAAAACACTATATGACGACCATGCTTCCTTCTCGTATGCAAATATATGCCTCTTGACTCACCCTCGCCGCTGTGCTAGTACTCTCGTGTATGGGAAGCACTGAACTCTGGGATCGATCGAGGGGCGACACTTGGGCGACATCTCTGATTCACGCACGCAATGGAACTATGTATATATGGCCGACTTCGGTCCCGAAGGCTTCTGCGGGGCTAATGGTTTTCTTGAGGACTGAACGAAACTCACGTGGGGGTGTGTCGGATGACGATAGGGCTGTAGGAATCTTCTTACCAGCTCGTCAGTACCTGGCCACTTAAAGCGTTAAGGCAACCGCATTACCGAAGTTTCGATCATCAGACCCTTGGCCACGTTTCTTTCTCGTATCTGGGTGGGATGGTATGAGAACAGTTTCGTCCTAATCAACGGCCGTTTTAAATCCCCAGTAGCTTAGGACTGATCTTTTCTTGGTGAGTTAGGTCTCAGGACATTCGTGCATTTAATCCTTCTTTCTGCTGTGCAGGTAAGCCCCATCTCCCGTTTGGATTGCATACACCGTCTCTTCTCGTCCTTCCCGTTCATGTTTGGTATCAATGGATGCCCCCCAAGGTGCTTCATGTACGTTTATCCGTCCAATTGGCGTAGTTCTCAGATAACGCTAAAATCTTCTCCAGACGCAAGTCTAGCCTTCTCATGTTGGGATATTCTCATTACTTTCGAAGATGAGATTGACTTGATGTGGGCGTATGCTTACATCTTCGCGTCCGACGCTTGAAATCTTTACAAAGTCACAGATGGCCGGCTGTCAAAGGTCTCTATTTCTTCTGTCGATATTTTGGTTTAGGCATTCAGATGTATGTGCACTCCGGACTGTTCGGGACATTTTTTAAAGATGCCTCTAGCAGGAATCCTGAATAGTCCCAATCCTGTCCCTCAAGAAATGTGTCGTCTTGAGTCGAGTCTGTCATTTCGAATTCACTGCAGCTAAAAGGTTTTTGACCGTGTTTAGAATGGGCGAATTTATCATCCAAAGCATCATCCTCGGCCTCACTTGTTTCAAGAAATTCATTGCCTTTCGAGCCGGCTGGGCAAGAACTCCGCTGGTGGCTTTACTCTGCAGAGAAGGTGCAACGACGTGTACGGTTTCGACAGGTGTGCAGATTCTTGACGACCCTTTTGATATTGAGTTCAATGTTCTCTAGTGGTCTTGATAGGCACCGCAATATCTGGCCGCATAGGCCAGTGGCCCGATTCCGCACGCTGCGTCTTTCCGTATGTCTTTCCTTCGTGTTCATACCGTCTCACTGCAAGAGTCCGCAGCATAGTTGTTTCCCTTTTGTCCTCCGTGGAACCTCTTATCTTCGCTCGCTGGTCAACCTGCTTGCTTATCGACTCCACCTTCTAGGGATGCCGCCTGATTATCAGTATGCAGAAGCTTGTATCCTATCGCGATAGCCCAGAATTGCCCATGAGTCAAGATAGCGTAGAGTTTACGACAATCATCGACTCTGTATGGACTCGAAGTCATTCTAATGGGACGCCACTGGCTCGGACGACATCGATGATCGAGTTTGTAGTGGGAAGAAGCTTTACCAACTTTCCACTGATTCGCTGTAGCGAGTACCAAGGGTTCGGTAGTCCTCACAGCGGCGTTAAAGAGACTCAATCAACGCTGGGCCGGAGCCGTATGGAAGACCAAATATACCTTATTTAATCCCACATCTATTGGGTATTCGACATTGTGGTCCTGTGGGCGGGGTTATAAGGGTTGGTGGGAGGAAGAGGCTTCAGCGATTGCATCAGAGCTGGTTTGGTCGCAAAGTGCATTCTTGCTTAGAACCGTGTCAATACTTACTCTGCTTCTGTCTTCTGGGACAGGTATAACTATCATGCGAGGTACAAAGCGGCTCCGTTTCTCAGCGAGAGTGTGTTGGATCCGTACATCCAGTACTCTTTGGACGCTTGTTGGACGCGTATATTCAGTCTGTCTTCGCGCGGACGAAATCTCTGCGAAGGGTGTCTTGATATAATATCTGCTGTAGCATCCTTGTTTGATCTTTCGTTGCTTAGTGTGGCGTCGTGAGCTTTTCAACCAAAAATAGCTTATGACGGCCCGGGAGGATTCAACACAACAAAGGCAAATATATGGCTCAAGAAATTGCAGACCTCATTCACGTTCTCATCAACGACCATGGTGAGTCTTCGAAGCGCGTCGAATCTCTCTGGGCTGACAAAAACTTCCTAACAGCTCATTTTCTCGGTGTTCAAAACTCTAACGGACCAGCAGGTCACGGTCGAACTCAAGAATGACCTCTCGATCACCGGCGTTTTGAAATCTGTTGACCAGTATGCCCCGAGCGCATCTCTCTGTCCGTGGACCAAGCTGACGGCATGTTCTCAGGTTCTTGAATATCCGCCTCGACAACATAAAAGTCGCTGATGAAGCAAGACACCCTCATATGGTTCATATTTCCACAGATTCGTGTGTTTTCAGCGGTGGACGTTAATCTGTTCTCATTAGATGGCAGTCAAGAATTGCTTCATCCGTGGATCAGTAGTTCGCTATGTTCAGCTCCCAGCGGAGCATGTCGATACCCAACTGCTAGAGGATGCGACGCGTAGAGGTGCATGGTTTAATCCCTCGGACTATGTCAAGAGGCTGATGTCTTCTCGACCTAGAAACCATGAACAATCAGTCAAAGCGATAGAATATCCGGCTTTTTTCTTTGTTGACGATCACTTGTATATTTTAATGGCCCTCTCTAACTGTAAATAACACGAGTTCCTATGGCTTTCTCCGCGGCAGAAATCTACAAGGGTGGCCCTTCACATGATATCAAACGTTTTGAAAACGTCCGGTGGTTGTAGTACCAGGACCTCTGTCTTCGAGTTTCTGGCGGCAGAAGGGGGAGTAGCGCTCGATGAAAATAGAAATGCGGTTTCTCACTCTGTTCGAAGAAAAGAAGTGATATGCACAGAGTAATTTCTAGCTCCTGCCGATGAAAGTTTATTGGCTAGAGTCAGAACCCGTCCACACTTTTACGGTTCCATCTGCACTCGAAGTGATCATCTCTCCAGAGTCTGTGGGATGGTGTTCAGTCCATGTGATCAACTTGTGGTGAACTTTCGGTGGCGGGTTTGGCTGTAGGAGCTTCGCCTATATAAATTGACCTGTCAGACGTAGGGTACGGTGGATGCATATTTGCTCACATCCAGCAGGTCCCAAGCCCAGACCTGGCCCTTCTCGTCACCACAAATCACGCTAGCTTCCCCGTGGCCAAAACAGGCACGGATCCGATAGGATTCATTAACATGACCGATGAAGTCGTTCAGCATTTTTCCAGTCGAGGCGTCCATGAGGCGTATATGATTGTCGAGGCTTGCGACTAGAAGCGTTTGAGCATCCTGGGTTGGTACGACCGAGGTTACTGGGCCTACAAGGACATGATGAATGAATGATGCGAAAATCCAAGCCCTTCACTTACTGCCAATAAAATCCGTACGAAGCTCTCCCATGCGAAGGTCGTACGTACGTACGTGACCGTCAACAGAACCGGCGATGACAAAAGTTGGTCCGACGTGGAGAGTCTGAACAGCATCTCGTGCTTCTTCAAGGACTTGGATAGCCTGACGTGTCTGGGCTCTGGACCATGGATAAATTACTCAGGTCCGTTCATTTGAATGCGCAGGAAACACACCGGAGATCCCATAATCTCACCGTGGAGTCATACGATCCTGGCAAAGATGTGTCAGGAAAACTATTCTAGGATAAGGCAAAGGTAAATTACCGCTGGCCACGACAGTCGCATCTTCATTGAATTCGACGGCGTATATCTTGCCCATGTGTCCAGCAATGCGTCTCGTCGTGGTTCCAGTTGCAACATCCCAGAGAAAGACAGACCGATCACCGCCAGAAGACGCGAATTTGGCGTTATCCTGAGAGCTTCAAATGCATTCTGCAGGTGGTTCTAGAAGACAGCATGAAAACACGTACATTGTAATGGAAAGCACTTCGTACCCATGAGCAGCAAATGTTTTGATCTCTGCTCCAGATGTTGCGTTCCACAAGCGGACGGTTCTGTCGGAACCGCCACTCAAGATGTACTTGGCCGATCCTTTTGAGTACCGTGCTACATTGACGGCTCCTTTGTGGTTGTTCAGAACAACATGGAGGTTGCGAGCGAGAGGTTGGGGGCCACGAGAAGGTGCCATAGTGAACGTTCAGTTCAAAGGTCGATTAGGCAATCAAATAGAAATAGGCACCGAGATGCGTCACCAACTCTTCCTTGACCACAACCTTGCAGTCAAGATAATGGCAAAGCGATCACTTTCTCCAGTTTCTTTGCCACCCGCAAAGCGCATTCACACTTCTGATACTTCCAGACACTTGATGACCCACTTTCTCAACTTTGACAACCTCTCCGATGAGCTGATTCTTTGCATTTTCTCCCACATTTCCTTCGGCGATCTCTGCATCACCCAGCCTACTAACAGGAATTGGGCGCGTCTAGCAGGGGACAACGAACTCTGGAGAAGCTTGTATCTCCAGGTGTATGGACGAACAAGGCTCCGAGGCGCCAAGGGCTTCATTAGTCGCCTTGACGGGCGAGAAGTGAAACCACTACCAGGACGCGCCAAAAGCGCCGAGTATAAAGACTGGAAGTGGATGTTCCGAATTAGTTCGAACTGGAAGAGAGGTGAGTAGCCTCGAACAAATTCCATAACCTTTTCCGGGACTTCTGCTGCACCCAGGGCGTTGCTTAGTAGAGGAGCCTGAAGAATCCCTAATGGATGTTCAATCAGCACTCCATTCATCTACTCTTAACAGCCATGTTATTGGTGATGGTGGCGAGCACATTATTCTTGCGGGACCTTTGACCATTACCGCGTCTCCAAAACTATTCGAGAAACCCCCCATATCTATCATCGACCAACACTACCGAAAACATACTCTTATTTGCGAGCCAGCAGAACCTGGCCCCGTGCAGATCACGACATTGGCCTTGGACCAATCTCCTCCGTCGCATGGTCACTTGTCCCTGGCATGCTTTCTATCCACGGGGGAATTCGCCATCTTTGAATTCAATGCCACCGCGACGTCACACTTTTCTCGGAAGTTCTATTATCGACCAACGCGGCGGTCTTCGCGGACTTCAAACATAATCCGAGCGGCGTACTACCACCCACTTGTCGTAACCCTTGCTAATAGCTTTTCCCTTTCCATTTACGACCTTTCATCAGGGACAGTACGGCATACGCAGACGCTTAGTGCATTCACTTCTTACCCTCCGGCTTCTCTCGTGCTTTCGTCGCCCTCTGCAGTGCAATTCAAGCTAGTTATTGTGTACTCATCCCCCGTTTATCCAAGACATTGGTCAGTTGGAGCGACGGAACTGTTGATCTCAAGGAACCCTCCATCCGCCACCCCTGCCCTTGCAATGACACCTTCGTCTCATTCGTTTACCGAAGAGTTCCGGTACCCTCTTCCATCCACAATGACAGTCACAGCAACCCGGAACATACGCGCCTTTGACGTGCCTAACGGTTGGATTGACACCGGTGCGCTACAGTCAATGCGTGAGCAGTGGAGTCGCAAAGTTTTCAACGTCGCCGCAGCCCAGACGGACGGCAAATGGGTTGTCCTTGCTCCAGGAGACAACCTCGATGCCGCGTGTGGTCGTTCCTTCTGGACATTTCCGCCAGGCGTTGCTTCTTCCGCCCTCCATTCTCCTGTCGGATTACAACTCTACCGATTGGTTCTTCCTACTCAATCCAACTCCATCTCGGCCTCACCACCCAAGCTCAATTTCGTGCGAACACTGGTGGGCCAGACAAGCCCCGTGTCAGCTCTGGCTGTTGCAGACGGGAGATGCGTAAGCTTGGGAGGAAATGGAGGAATCTGGGTTTGGGATCTTGAAGGCGGAACTGGAGCAGAGGTGGCTTCAGCTGACGAGACTTTCACGGATCCTGGGCTCCAGTCAATACGAGGCACCATCTCATTTGATGAAAGACGGATTGTCAGTGCGCATGCAGGCAAAGTCGTCATTCGTAGATTCGATATCTAACATAAGGCTGGTAAACCGTGGCACCGAGGCCGCTGCTCTAGTCATAAGACACGGAGGCGCTATTTATTCTCTTGTGTGTGGGCTCTCTTATCACCATCCCGCTGGAGGACGATCCCTGATTATCATTTTTAGGTTGTCCATGTACTATATCTCTATGTATTGATAAACTCAGTATTACGGAATTTGTCCATCTGATAAAATCCTCGAGGCCGTCTGGTACTCCGGCAGCTCTGTCATGGGATCCAACGCTATCCACCAAGTACGCGCTCTGCTCTTCGCTTTCTGGGTCTATCGAGCGAAAACAGTTAGGACATGACGCAGCAACGTTGTTTGCGCCATAAAACTCCGTCAACAAACATATTCCGACGCCTGAGGCCTCCAGAGAGCCCGTTCAATCATAATCTCCTTTCGGTAGGAGTTGCGTCGATGACTGCTCCATTTTCAAAGCCAAGTCACCGTCCGATGACTCGGATGTGCTGGGACTACGTTTGATTCTTCACATATCGACCTTCTCGGACATAGCAGGATGTCGATGCAGGATGTGTCAAGACTTGAATTTCAACTTCTCTTCGACTCCTCGTCTGCACCCTGGTAGTCCCAATTTAGTCCATCATCATAATTATGTTCGAAAGCGTACCAACACGAGTTTTCAGGGAAGGTTCACCCGATTTTGCATTCACGGAAACAAGATCCGTTGCCTGCAGACAAAGGAACCTTGCGTCATTCCCTGCCCCCGCTTTCGTTGTCAAATACGCTTCAACCTGCTGCAAATCGCTGTAGACGGACCGGACGATAAATCCAGTAAGCTCATTGCTATCTCTGACTTGTTGATCAGAATATAATGTCCGCGAACATGCCCCAACCAGTCTGTTTATCTCAGGAGGCTATCTGAATGAAACGGATCGACCCGTCTGACGGTCCTTGCTAACGGGAAATAAAAAATATTGCCTATCCTAGGCGAGATCTTTGTGGTATATAGAAAGCGAGCGACAAGAATTCGGTTAACCCAGCAATCCACCTCAATTCTTCATCGATTTCGCTCTAGGGACCCGACGCTTTTTCACCAACGCACAACTGGCTTGGGGCCACATCCTTGGAGAGTAATAAGCATTCTTCGCTCTTCTGTTTCCTAGTGGCGTGTTGGGCCGTAGACTTCACAGATCGTTTCTCATGGATTGGGGATGGAATCTCCATCACCGCCAGACAATCGGGCCTGTGATTGATCACACTGCCGGCCTGGGCACACAAGCGCCCACTGCGATTGGTGAACCCGTAACTTTCTCTTCTGGCCAATTCACAGGACGGACGCTGCGCGTCGAGCTGCAGGAGCTGCAGAAGGCCGAATCCGGGCGCAAGTAGGTGGTCGTTTCGCTTACCCTGCCCACTACTGCGGTGATGTCGTTAACGGAGAGCCGACGGTGTGCGTCGTGCATAATTACAGATACGCCAAGGTCGATCGCCGTCCGCTAGATCCGCCACCAGCCGTCCTACTCCGGTTGTTTGAGGCGGGGAACGCGCAGACGGGCCAGTTTGAGCAAGAGCTGGTGTACGAGTAAACTCTCTCCCTTTTATTGCCGCCAGCGTTGGCCGGTTGTTCGCTGACGACCTTTCGCTCCCCCCTTGCTTTCCGCCCTATTACAGACACGTGCAGAATGTGGGCTTCATGTGCACCGTCGATTTATTCCCCATCCCCGAGGCTACCTACGACTCACGTTCGCCTGGGTCCCAGTCACCGCCCAGCTCGGAGGCCTCAATATCGTACGGCGGCTTCCCTGGCTCGTCAAGAGAGGTCCAGCCGAGATACCCGTTCACCTACTTTCCTCTGCACCCCTACATGACCCTCGACGTCGACGGCAGTCAGGCGACGACCCCACCGTTCCAGATACCCCGCCGACAGCTCATGCTCGGCCACCTGAGCCAGACGGAAATGCCGCAGGACGTCGTCTACCACATTGGAAACCACCTCGTCACGGAATCCTCCAAGCTCACGCCAGCACTCGTCGGTGAAAAGTTCGTCGAGCCGACGCTTGTAGACCATAAGGGCAAGAAGGCGCTCATATTCGTTTTTGGGGTGAGTTCTCCCCTCCTCCTCTCCTTTCCCGAGTCGTCTACCTGGCCGCTGCTTGGGCCGACGGGTGCAGGTGTTCCATGGGTGGAAAACATGAGCTGGGGGGTGGTAGGAAAATGGGCTCGCGGCGATCAAGGAGCATTACGACCAAATGTCCCACCGTGGAGGCCATTCATGCGAGCTGGGACGCAGTTTTCTGATCGTTCTATTCTTCTCCTATCTTCGTTGGATATGAACCCACTTTGACAGGACCTCGCCGTGCGAAGAGAAGGGGTTTTCATCTTGCGTTACCGCGCGTTCGACATATTCTCGGGCGTCCCTGGAAACCCTCATACGCCTGTGCTGGCCGAGCTCTACGGTGGGCCGTTCAAGGTCTATTCGACAAGGGAATTTCCTGGTCTAGAGCCGTCCACTGAATTGACCAAGGTGAGTAAATATCCTTTTTTCTTTTTGGTCGTCGATCCGATGTGACTATCTCGGCCGGCCTTATAGAACTTGTCCAAATATGGCGTCCGGGTGACTCTTCGCGATGCAGAGCGCAAGTCCAAGAAACGCAACAAAGAATGAATGACTTTAATCAATTATATGGAAATGAACAGCACCTCAAGAGTGCCATTAAACACCCTTAGGCTCACATCGGCGGGCCCCAATACCCCTGGAAGCTATTTTATCATCGACGCGCACTGTTTTCCCGCTGCTTCTGCATTTTCTGAATCGTTTTAGCGTATTTGCTCATTACCGCCGTTATCCCTTCCCCAGTCGTTGCTATCCACCTGCTGTCCTGTTGAATTTGCTTTCTACTGCTGCCCTGCACCCTTCCTTTTACATACGGATTTATGTAGTTTATTACCGCCGGCCCGATCTCGCTTATTCGCGGGCTTCTAATTTGGTGTGTTTGCATCACAACCCTTTTCAAGCATCCTGCCCCGTGATCATGACGCGAGGTTCAGACGCGTCGTGTGCCACTTGGAGTGGATCTGGGTTAACTAGGGCGCGATCCACCATACGACCTGCATGCCGCAACAGACAGACTCTGCAGCTCGGACCCGGTTGTGTAGGATTACGAAGGATCTCAAAGGTCAAAAGGTCAGGGTTGCCGGAAGGTATGAAATGAACTTCTTCCCTGGGGGTTCAAGCTCTCCGAGAAACACTGACGATTCTGGTGGGGTACCTCAGAGTATTAACATACGATGTCGCAACCGGATTAATTATACTGATCGATGAAGAACACGCGCTGCTGGTAGACGTATCGCTCGCGCTGGACTCGCAATCGCGGGAGTGGGTGCCCGAGCGGCTGAGCACGATCATGGTTATCGGTGACCTGGAGCGGACCGATGTGGGTGGGATTACTTATGGATACCTTCTGGACGCCGATTCATATATACTCATCTATCTCTTCTCCCCCGCTGCCCAGGACCCTCTGACAGCCCCACCGATGCCGACACGGTCGCCTGCCTTAAAGATGGACAGACGGCATGTCCTCCGCGCTATCCTCGTTGTTCCCTCGCCGGACTTGGACCTCTCGTTGTGGAATGCTGTGTTGAAGGAGGATGAGGAGGAAAAGGAGGTGTGATAACTGGGTGGTAAATCCAGTGCCTCATGCCTGATGTGCGGGAGAGCGCGTGTCCAGAAGATTGGCGTGAAGCGGATGGGACGTGCTGATGGATGTCTCGCTGGAGCACGAGGTGGGAGATGACAATGGTGGCACGTAGGTGGTGGAATACAATCCAATTCTCGCTGGTGAAAGCATAGATACCTTTGTCGAGTGCAGTGAAAGGAACAATTGAATTGGCCGGGCCGGCTACTAGAGCCGATCCTGATTAGATGGTGCCAAGGAAAACGAAACAAGGCGGCGGCGTCGAGTTCTTTGTGCATCGGCTGGTTGTGCGCTCGAGGAGAGGGCGTCGCTGGCAATTCGCGCGAACACGAGGCAGTCGGGACTCTTTATCGTTTGTTTTCGAGTCTTGCCGGCACCTGTTGCAGCTTTCGCACGGCACTGGAGCCAAATCAGCTCCCAAAATGGGAAATGCGCCTGTCGAGCATTCAGCCTCGCTTTGCTCCTGGTCTGCTTCTTTATAACCGTCAACACTCCCCGTCCTTCCCCCTCTGCCCTGCCCCCTCCGCCCCGTCCACGTCCCTCCAGCTCCTCCCCCGACACGATCCCAGCCTCCGAGCATCGAGAAACAGGCCTCAAGCACCCCATCTGTTGACGTACTCCAGTGGTTAGCCATGGACAGCACACTCGCACTTTCACCCTGGTCACCCCTCGACACCCCAATCTCATTCCGATGGCAATTCACCACATCCGACGCACGTTCCGAGCCCATACCACCTCCTAGAGCACCCAGGATCGCTCAGCGCCTTCCGAGTCCGCCGCCTCCCACCTCATCATCTGCCGTGCAGATCAGCCAAGGGGTCTGGGAGGAGAACGACGACATCTACTACACATCCAGCTACCCTCCGGCCCAGGAATACCTAGCCCTCGCACGCAAGAGCGACAGGCGGCCCCCGCCACCCTCCGACCTCGTCTACGCACTCGCGGCGCTTCAAGTCATACGCACCCCCTCGGATCGGGCACACTGGATGTTCTGGGGGAATGGCGCCTACCACGAAACCGCAAGTGCGGTGAGCAGGATAGCCTGTGCGTGTATCCACCTTTCGTTTTCTGGGTTCTCTCGCTCACACCAGCCCTCGGCTGTCTTCCCCACCCACAGTACACACCCCGAGGCTCATCAAGTCCGACGTGCCCTGGATCGGAGGCTCAGAATTCAAATCGATCCTAGCCAACATCCAGGAGAAGTACACCTACGTCGCCATCTACAAAGAGTGGTACCCCACCGACACCTACCGCCCCGAGACCAATGCAAAGAAGCGTGCTCTTCGCAGCAGCGACAACGGTCGTCCGGCCATGACCGTGAACGAGTTCTTCAACATCCAAGAAGAGGACTTGAAAACTCGCAAATCGAAGAAGAGACCGCCGTCGGACGCGCAGACGACATCCCCGGCACCCAAACGTGCACGTCGGGCGGCTGCACCCAAGGTTTCCGCGCCGAAGCCACTCGAGCTCGAACCGGAGGCGGACGACCCTGCGCACAGTAGCACAGACGAGCCTGTACAGGACTCTGTACCGCAGGGCCCACGAACGAGCAAACGGCACAAGGTCGCCCCCTCCAGAGCCCCCCGCACCATCTCCGAATCCTACGTTGCCCAACCCCATCACGCCGATACCCAACCCGCCACCGGATCCGCCTCGCCTCCCTCCGCCTCGTCATCAGACTCCGAGCCTCCACTATCCCCGCCCACCCCGCTTTCTTCTTTGCACTCGCGAAACAGATCTACGTCTTCGTCAACGGAGACGCTTGTCGATGACGCAGAGGGCACTGGCAAGACTCGGTCTTCGTCGGTGCTGTCCGCGGACACGGTCGTGTCCTCATCGTGTCCTCCGTCGTCGAAGAAGCGGAAGGCGGAGGATGCCCTCGACGTCGTTGGGACTCAGAGTCCCGAGGAGGAGCCCGAGCCATCGGTGCGGATGATTACCCGTGGTCGCGCGTCGAAGCTGACACAGTTGGAGTCGGCGTCGACGTCGGAGAAGAGTGCACCTCCGTCGCGGACGGGGACACCCGCACTGGCTGAGTCCCGAGCAAAGCCGTCACGAACGAGAACGAGACCCAAACGCGCGCGTGTATGACCTAGAAGGGACGTTCAGTCACGCTTTTCCAGGTCCTTTGTAAACTTTTCTTTTTCTTTTTCCTTTCTCTGTTTCTCTCTGTCTCTCTGTCACCCTCTCGTCCGTTGCATCTGTGTACATTTTTATCCCGGATCGTCTCTTTCTCTTCCTTCCCTTCCTCTTCCTGTGATTCCCCATCATACCCTATCATCGACATCCCCGGCTATGTAATCTCGTCAATCTGCGTCCAAAGCCAAAGTTCTGTAAAGCTAGCCACAAGACTGTACCATCACATCTCACATCCCCCTCCCATCCTATCACCCCTCTCCCCCAGGCCCTTTTCGAATAGCGCACATCTACCGCCTCCTAACCGCCCCCATCCAGTGATCCACATTCCGCTGGCACAGCCAGCAAAACGGATCTGCCCAATGCCCATCAGTCAGTTATTATTACATTTGCGATCTCTTGTTTTGTTGTGATGTACTCTTTTTATCTGTGTTTGAATAGTATTCCCCTTGTATACCTGGTCTATGTGATGACGGAGGACGCTGTCTGGGTTGTAATGACGCGTCGTCTGTCAGTGGGTGTGGATGCGAACGATGACAATGTCAGAGAGGGTGCAGCGGCGACGCGTCGAGACCAGTTCCACGTGGTTGTGACGCAATGTCATGTGATCGTGAGTGTCACTCTTGAACTTGAACACTTTCAATGAAATTAAGTATGGAAGTTGAACGACGCGAGTCCAAGTCAGGCGTCTCTCGTCTTTTCAAGCGGCCTGCCTGTTCCAAACATCCCTTCATTGGCGATCTTCCTTCTGTATACCAGGGCCTTAATTTAACTCCCGTAGTGAATAAGGGAGCCTCGCTCATAGCTGGCTCCTCAAGGACGTTCAACATTCAAAGTCAACGTCAATTCTCGATGTGTCCTTCGTGCACCCTTGCCCATGTCCGCCTTCAAGCTTCGGCTCCTGCAACTCCGTGCTGTCACTTTTATTTGGCCCCCTGGGACTCATCCGGGAGAAAGTGAATGTCAACTAATCGGGGTTCCTCTATCTGTGTCCTCTGGTGCTTCTCAAGCCTATAACGCTGAGTCTCGTCCTCAATTTCCCGATGAGCAGAGTCCTCACGGATAAGCGATATTTTCTCTCACTTCGTCAAAGGCTGATGCGATTAATATCGACTACAGCAGTAAATAACGCAGCTTTCTCCACAGCCGGCTCCTGAGGAACAGTCAGGGCTTGTTTGGGTGGAATTACGAACACGAGGCGCCAATCCTTCTGCGGTGGAAATCGACATCTAGCGGCAAGCAGGGTGATTCTGGATTTGATCGAACGGCGGCTTGCAGTGCTGCATTGGAATAGGAAGAGTTTCCCATCTGAAAGGATAAAGGAGTCGACGACATCTTCATTCGGTCGCTGAGGGACGTAGTAGACGTCGGAGAGGATGGAATCCAACCCCGTCTCCGGGTACTCGATCGTCCGACTCGGTGTAATGTGGAGTTCCTCAGCTACCACCTGAGTACGTTGCTGTTCCAGTTCTTGGTCGGTGAGGGGAATGTGGCTAGAATACCAGTGGAGCAAGTTCTTCTCACCACGGGAGTCCAGCTTTACCATCGGCAAAAGGGTCAACTCTATGGTTTGTGCAAAGAGGGTCTGGGCGGCCACCTCAAAGAAGACACCTGCGGCCTCCCTCGACTGTGGCAGCCTTTCAAAATGATGGTATAGGCGCGACCTTTTCTCGTTGAGGCGCACTGCGAAGTTGGTTGGCGAGTCTCGTCTGGATGTGCGGAGAGATTGGAGCGACCAGGTGAGTATGGAACTGTTGTCCTTTGCGCGAGACCAAAAAGAGCGAGTGCGACGCGGGGTTCATCCTAAGTTGTTCGGAGTCCGCTATAAGTTGCATTACACTCTCTATGGTGATGCTGTTCAAAGTGGTCCTGGGCATGCTCTCGTACGTGGATAATTGTGTGGCACTAAAATCAATGCACAAACGAGGGATAGGACCTAAACAATCGTACTTCTCAAGGACAATGTCCTCGGAGAGGCCATAGAGGTGTGCACTATGTACCCGCCGGGGTCAGTAGGCTTTTGAAACCATGATGATTTTAATTTACGCTTGTTTCATCTCCTCTTTACCCCAGGGATTCATGACAAGCAGGTTACGTGATGTGGTCTTGTTAAATCGGTGCCACCGTTCCTCGTCTGGGGAAGTAGTAAAGAAGATGGCCATTTTCGTGCCGACAGTAAAGAGCTTCGATAAGGTGGCGGAGTCACTTTCCGCGTCGATGAACACCCAGAGAGGGTCGTCGGGGAAAAAGTCCCGTTGTCTCCAGGTGGCAGGCAATTCATAAGCACCTTCTTCCACAAAGAGGGTGATACTGTCTTGGTAGACCCAGAGAAATGGTCGCCTCTCGGAGGCACAGCGACGTGCAGCGTAAATCTACCAAACAGTTTTCCCTGTCCCAAGGATGAGGTCAGAATCAAGAGACGATAGAATATGTCTTACCGATCCCAGGTTGGCCCGTAATGACAAAACTTGGGGGTTTCATCGTGATTCGGCGACCAGTCCCCTCTTGGCAAATCCGCACGCAAGCGTCGAAAATGCGAATGTACTCAGCACGGACCCAGAGAGAAGATGGTTTGATGCCCTTGATGTTGATAATGAGAGGATAGCACCCAGAAATAATATCCGCCTCTCCGTCGTCGTCCAGATCCATTTCCGACTCGTTCCATGGAACTTGACCCTCTGCCTTAGACCATGCCTTCCTCTCCTCCTCCATGCTCGTACCCCAAAACTTGGTGTGAAATACTCCTAAAGGTCGATCACTTCCCAGTTTAACGGAAGATCCTATAGCAGAAGGTCGGACGACAGAGGCGAGGTTTGAACATCTTGACAATGAAGAGGATTGTCCAGCCTTGTCGTTGGAACCCGACTCGTCCTCGTTGCCTCCCAGGGTGACCTGAACCGCCATCACGGAGGCGGAATAAGCGGCAGATTTAAAAGCCTCAAAGTCGTCATCTAAGCAGCATTTAACTAACAACTCAAAGATCGAGAGCAGGGCGCACGACCTCAACGCACCATCTTCTAGATCGACAGATTTTCCCTCACGCATTTGAGAGAGGTACACTGGGACGTGATGAGGGACACCGAGTTTCCGCCTGACAACCTGCTTCATCCCCTCTAGACTGTCTTCTGTTCCGGCTGGATTCAGCGCCTGATCTTCTGCCACAACCAAGTTCATTACCTTTAAATAACCGGTCAAAAGTTCTCGTCGCAGCATCGTAGGAGATACGCGGTAGCCTTGCCGCGTCGCGCTTGCGCTTTCGTTGGTTCCGCATGTCAGCAGGGGGACGTGGTGAAAAGAGAAGAAGAGGTAACAGGTCCAGGACTGGGACCAAATCGACAGGAGTGTCTCATTTCGGATATGACCGCTCCTACCACGTGAATGACTAATCGCGAATCACCCTATGTAGAAATTCAATTTGAACTTCCACCGTTCCTCTAATACTGCCAGCGCTAAGTCATACTCGCCTCGCCTCCTGATTTTCTTCGTGGCCCTTCTATCAGTGCCATTCATACCCAATCGCATTGTTCGAGATGCCGTGCACGCCGTAACGCATGTCCAAGTCGCCTTTCTATGCTCATCTCCGTGGGATTCAGTGGGAAATGCTCTGTGGGTAATTCCGTCGTTCTCCTAGTCATTTCGAGTTCTTGCGCCTTTTTGCCTTCATTGACTCGTGTTCTGGGCCTGGCTGATCTCGTCTCCCGCCTGATGTCATGGTCATCGTCGTGACGAAAGTTTAAGGATGAAGAGGCCAGGCAAACGCCGCCACCCCATTGTACGGAATCGCTGTAATGCCTTTCGCGTCCGCGGAAGTGCCAGTGACGTACCAATACGCCGGACGCGACCGATCCGGCTCCCAGTGGTGCCGGAGCGACAATTATAGCAGCGGATGCCCAGGACTTTCCCGGAGGAGCGCCGTCTTTTTTGTGCAGTCGTCCAGACGCGTTCGCACCCGACGACACCAATAATATCTCGAGGCTATTCTTATCTTTCACGATCATCGACCTCATGAAGATACATGTCACTAGATCGCCCAACAAAGGTCTACATACTCTTGATTTGAATCTAGTGGTCAGGCCATGACCGAGTTGCTGCTCGCGTGCCCCCCTTCCTTTCCCTTGACGCCCGACTGACCCACTGTGCCCCGAGGAGGCCCCGCTGTCTTCTCGCTACATTCAAATAGTTTCCTGTAGCTTCTCTTCTGGTTCTCTGTGGTGTATTATGGCAAGATGTCGATTGGTGCTCAACACGTTCATCTTCAGGTCGTGCAGTACCCACGAACAGGATCGAATCGCGCATCGGCCCCACTGCGTCATCCTGCCTGAGAAGGGCTCCAGTCAGGGCGTAGAGAGGCGCGACCTTGGGACTTTGGTAGGTACCACCTTCGAGGTTCTGCCTGGGTACTCAACACAATTCGACTTCATTTGCACCAGATAGGCAGCAGATTGACTCGTACCTGGCGCGCTCCAACATTCCTATGCTACGGCGCTCCACCTCGACAGCGACAACGACGTCTGGTCGAATCCTCGATAACGTTACTGCCCACCGCGGCCTGCAATGCTGACTTACACGGTCAACGGCCAGCGGCCCAGGGCAAAGGGCACAACGGGCTCAAACAATACCCCCAGCAGGCTGCACGCGTCCCGATACACACGCCAACGTGGGTGCGTCTGGGTGCGTGTATAGCTTCTTGATTCTTATACCTTCGGTCAGTCGGCGTTGCACTGACTGTAGCGGCCAGTCCGCGTTCTTTTCTTTCTTTCTAGAGTTCCAGAGCATCTAATCCTGCAGGTTGTGACTCTCAAGTCCTGCTGTAGTACTGCCGGTGCAGGTGCTCTACTCAGAGCTCTGCGGGCTATATTTAATTTCATTGGCGGTCCCAGCTCGAGTAAGAGACTCGGGCTACGGGCTATAGGCTACGGGCAGCAGGATTCGGGATGATTGGTCTGCCCGTACTGGCCCGGACGATCACGTCCACATCTACCTCGGAGTACAAACTCTGTCTAAACTTTAACTCGAGTCTCAAGCGTAACGCCACTGATATCATTGACCATCCACGAACGCCGAACACCCGCTGCTGCATCGCCATTACACTACTTGCCTGCCTCACAAAAATACCAAAATAAACGAATACTTCCGCCGGAGTTTCGATCGTTTCGACAATCTCTTGACGCATCGGGGTTGCGATTGGCGCTTCTCTCGAGTCTGATCGCTGTGCCACGATCAGTTGGTCGCACTATCACCCCCCGCAAAGCTTGCTGGAGGCTGTGGTCAAACATGATGACTTCGTACTTGTGTATATCCGAGATATATGATGCCTGCAGCCTTCAGTGGTTAACCGCGAGGAAAGGAAATTTCTGTGTTCCGAGCTTTGGCACCCTCGCTGATTTGAGTGGTGGATACAGGATCAGACGACCTCGGTCGTTACGCTTTGAAGAGCGACGGAACGGCCTTGACAGGACGGGTTTTCATAGGCTACTACTGCTAAGTAGAGCTGTACCCGTGCTGCTGAGGCTCTAACGTGGAAATCCCGGCGGTGTTTCGCGATCGCCAGTGGTCAATTGCACGCGAAGATCCAGTTGCAAGCGTCGTATGCCTATGTACGCGCTTCAATGCGTCTAGACTCTCACTTTTGCGTGCGTCGGGCGTTTCATGGTCTATTGAATTGTGCCCGCCCTCCACCCTCTGCGCCGCCGTCCTTCCGCAGTAAAATTGAACTTCTCCAGGTTCGCTGGCGTATGGACACTTCGCGACCAAAAACCAGCGATGGTCTTCATCATCAAGCTCATTCATCTCGTCGGGCGGCGAGCTGCGAGCTGCGCTGGTAAATTCCGTATGTGCTTTCTTTTGATCGCCAGAGTGAGTTCTCCCGCAGTATTTATTGAAGCACTTATATTCTTAGAACTTACCGGAGTTCAATTTTCAGCGCTGGGGAAGTTCATTCTTCTCAATTGAGGTCCCATGGCCAAGGACAAGTTGTTGAAGGAGTGGAGGCTTTAATCCAACCCCTTCCAAGTTTCCCTTCGCTGCATCGACTTCGAGAATCTGCCCCGCAGCCCCTGAACGGAATCGGAGCGATGGTGCTGGGATAAATTGCCAGCGAAATAGCGAAGGAACATTCACTTGGCTTTTCAGCTCAGCTCACACCGCTCGAACTTCTGCTTCACAGGAGCCCAAGCAAACAGTTTAACCCCGTTTTTTCCGTGTTGCGGAACGGAATGGGTTCGGACTCGGACTCGGACTCGGACCTGGGTGGGTACCTGTCCTGTCAACGTTTTACTTGCCAGACTGCTGTGGCTCTGGCATTGGGTGCGTCACTTTCTCGGATATTCGCCGGGTTTGTGGGCTGGTCATGATCTACCCTGGTTGGGTTTGTGCTGCATCATGATCATCCAGAGAAGGTCGGGTTGAGACCTGAGGCCTGAGGCCTGAGACTTGAGAAGCTGGGAAGGCCAGGAGAATAGGGAGGGGCAGTCAGAAGGGACGGAAGTGCTAGAAGTGTAAGTCTGTAACACTGGCAGGGCGGAGAGCGAACTTGGCTCCAATGACTTCACTAGAGCGAGACTTGTGACCTTTGCAATTGCTTTTGATACTCTAGACTTGAAATTGAAAGAAAGGTTGACAGATTTACAACAGAGTTTTGAACAGAGAAGCGCTTACGCCTCCTGAAGCCTCCACTTGCGCATCCGACTTGTCAGCGCATGCGTCCGTATCCGACGTACCTGCGTCTGTGTCGACTGACTTGAAGTATGACGAACTCATGGATAAACTTGGACCTCCGGTCTTGACGCCTCCGGAGGGCCAGCGTATGGATCTACTCAGCCTAGAAGAGTTTCATGGACGGGTGACGGCCTTTCGGAACAGCTGAACGCCTGACGCTGCTGATAATTAGGCCTCGCCTCCGATGTATGACCGACGTCGTCGAGGTTCGGGATCGGCCGCGCGAGGGAGCGCTCAGAAGAAGTTGGGCAGCGGTCATGGTCATGGTCATAAGTTACGTCCAGAGACGTCCATAATACGATGTATTCATTCATTGATTAGATTGGATAGAGATAGGAATTTAATTCTTGCAGTTCATCTCGTCCGTATTTACGCGTTCCCTCGTCTCCTCATTATGGGCGTGCCTTGCTCTTCGCGGTTACTTATATCATAATACGTACAACACATTTTACTATAATTATAACATAGGATTACCTTAAGCTTTCCATACCTCATACCTCATACCAGCTCCAGCTCCAGCTCTGTACAGACTACACTTCTCGGCGAAGGACGGCCTTTGAAGCTTTCCATGCGTCATCCTATAAAACCTTGAACCGCCAAACTCTGAGCTTAGCGTAGGATGGGACAGGTCCAGACGCGCCTCAAGGCGTCATTCCGTACGCAGAGGTACGTTAGCGTTAGCGTAACTTGAATAGCCCTTCGCATGGGATCGTCGCAGTGAAGCTTCATAATCTGATAGTGAGCGTGGGTATCCGTAGAGTGTGGGACTGGCCGTGGGTGGGAGGATGGGTATGAACGTGGGGATGGGCGAGAACGCGAAGTACAAGAATCCCTCCGACTAGGAGTCTTGGACCTCCGAATCACTTGGCCTCCGAACGACTTGGATCTTCGTCTTCGTCTTCCTGAAAACTTGATTCTTGGGCTTCAGCTTCAAGAACATTTTGAGCCTCCGGATCTCTTACCACCGGACAGAGAACGGAGAACAGCAGTGTATGTATTCGAACGGACGGAAGAAAGTGGACAGGTTTGACGCGATCGGGTGGCTTGTCTGTTTTTACGCTTGACTGGCTAGGCTTGACTCTTGTCAGTTGGATGTCAGTCAATGTCCATGTCAGACTTCAGAAAGTAAAAGAACCTGATCACAAGTTGGAGCTTGAGGCGGTTAGGCTTAGGTCGGACACGGCATGGCACGCACAATGCAATGCTATAATCTTGCTGTTCTAATGTTCATGTTACCCATGACGGAGGCTGATGGAGTTGACTTACATTTGTTCGAGAGCGTGAGCTCGAATCTAAACGAAAATGAAAATGAATTCAATTGATCCTAGTCAAGAAATGACTGGCATCATCAATTATACGGAGAAAGAGAGCGTATGTACGTACGTACATGAAATGTCCCGCGAGGGTCAATCAAACCCGCACTGGTATCCCGACTCGCACTCGGGATCAGCGAGGGCTGTTCATGGAGATTCGCGCGTGAAGGCTCGAGACTTTTCGTTTGAGATGGCTGATCTAGAGTAAATGACATGCGGTTCCTTGGATTAGTATCATCATGGTTGTGGTTTTATCACTATCGGGAGATGCGCGGACAGCCTTCTGAGTTCTTGGTGAATGTTTTATGAGGTATTTCGGTCGACGCGTCGCTGGGAATATGAAAGTTATTTTATTCGAGAACGCGAGAATTGGGCACGTACAGAGTTGATGTGGGTGGAAAGTTAGTTTCTCCGCACGTTCGTTCGACCCGAACGCACGAGGACACGAGGAAAGATCGGTGTAGATAAGGAGGCTGCAGACGGGGCGAACGGCGAAGACGGATGGAAGCCGACTCCGAGAGACGAGGGCGAGGGCCTGCCGTGGACCATGGGCCGTCGGCGCCTGACCTGGCGGGGAGGGACGGGGTGGACGTCCGACGTCATGTGGGCGAGCTTGAGGGCCTGAAGTGAGGGGCTGCTAAATACCCCGGACCTGTCGCAAGATGAAACTATATTTTGGTGAAGGAGGCAGTAGGAAAGTAGAGGGCCCGCTCCCTAGAGTGTGTTATATCAGGAGCTGGGATTCGAACTTGAAGAGATCGGATTTCTCTATTCGGTATTCGGAGCCCATGTGCGCAGGCAGGAGGCATGCGTTTAATTTCGTATGCTATGTCAGTGCAGTAGGCTGGTGTGGACGGAGCTTGAGTTTCTGGGTACACGTTCATGCGTATGTTCAGCGCACGCCGGCCGTTGCAGCGATGGGGCGAGGAGGAGCGGATGTCCGGATTTGGCGAGATCTTGAGATCGGGGAGACCAGATCAACGGAGTCGGAAGTTTATGCCCAGAATTGTTTGGTTCCTGATGGGTCGATCGCTTAGATTAACGCGTGATTAGGTAAGCCCGTCGCTCAGGCCCGCTGTGGCCGTGCGCGGCTCAGTGCCGTCTGACTGTGACTGGGCTAGTGGAAGATGGAATAGTCCGACGGCTTGTCTGCCTGCGTATGGTCCACCCTCCGGGGTCCGTGCGCGGCGTTCGTTGAAGTGGGGGAACAATTGGGAGGGTGCACTGTGACGGGATTGGATGTGGGAGGGTGTTGGTGTGTGCTTGCGGGGAGGGCCACATTGGGAAGAACCCTGTGACGCGGTGACAGGATGAGTGACATGAGCTTTCTGAATTCCATTGTTGCGTTGGCCAGAGCGCCGTCCGTCCCTTGTCCTCTTCCCACCACCACCACCAGCCAGCCCCCTGCGATGGCACCACCCTCTGCAACATCCTCCTCCACCCTGTCCTCGTCGTCCCACAAGCACAAGCGACGGTATGTCCCTCCCCCGGCCTCGTGCCCTCCCCTCACCCTCCCCCACAGGAGATGGACCCGCGACCAGCTCCTCAGGAATCTCGAGGTCCGTCCAAACTGCTCAGAACCACTCTCACCCAACTCACCTCTTTGCAGTTGATTGGTGAACTCGAGGCCCCGCTGCCCCCCACTCTACCCCCGTCGCCCCCAGCTTCTCGCGCCGCCTCACCGGCTGCCGGCACCAAGCGGAAACTCACCGTTTCCTCCGATCCAGACTCTGTCAAGCGTCCAAGGACAACCTCAACAACAGACAGGCCTCCACCATACCACTTTCACAGCACACACACCCACTCTTCCCATCAGCCCCATTACCAACCGCAGCCTACCTCCCAGCCTCCATCACTACCCGCCCGGCCCCAGGCGCCACAACCACATATCCCCTCCCGCTCAGAGCCATGCGAGGACGGCGAGGTCAGAGAAGAGCCCCCGGCTCCCGCCCCGCCCCCACGCGGCTCCTCCATGGACGTACCCATCCGCCGTCCTAAGAAGGGAAAGCCCAGTCTTCGCCATTTCGACATGCTACACGACAAGTACCACGCTGCAGGTCGTATGCTCAAGTACTCTGGTGACGCTCGGTTCTGGTCAACCTACCCTCCGGGCCATCGGGAATATCGGGCCCTGCCCGACCCGCCGCCTCCGACGTCTCCTTACCACAAGCACGGCGGTGTCATTGCCCGTCTAGAACTCCTCGATGCCCTCGTATGCTTCACCTATTCAATATGGAATAGAGACTACAGCCGCCGCGCATGCGTTAGAGATACCTGGAAAACCATCGAGGCCTTCCTTGTCTGGTGTAAGCAAAAGTGGCAGGTCGAGGAAGGCATCAATGATGCTGAAAAGGCGTTTCTCGGTTTGATGTAAGCTTCCCTCGTTGCCTTGCTCTCCGTTCGATCTTTTATACCCACCATTCCCTTTAGCTGGATGATTGAGGCTTTCATTCAAGGAAGACAGCTGGTTTTCTCCGTTCGTAACAATCTCGACGGTGCCATGGACAAGGTCCACGACGACACCGCCAAAAAGATTGCTGCTGCAGTCGTGGGGGCGAATGAAGGCGATCGGCCCTTCGCGGGTGGTCTGCTTCCTAATGGAAAGGCGCCACCCATGCTTCCATCACCTAGCAGCACGAATTCCACTCCTGTCAACCGCGATGACGGTACTCCCAGTACCGCTAGCAATCGTCCAGCCCAAGCCGCCCCCAACGGTCCTCCCCGCCAACCACCCCACGTCTACACCGGCTCAGTGCCTCATAAGTTATTACCTGAGAACCTCCGCGATATTCCCGGTCCGATCCCACAGCGTGTAATCGAGGCCATGGAAGCTGTCACAGAACCCATTACGCCTACCCTGGTCCAGGACCTCAAAGATTTGACTGCCGGCTACGCCGCCACCGCCTGGTGTACGCAGATGGCTCAGCAGACCCTCAACCTTCCCCTTCTGCGCCGCTGCTTCCCGAACACATGGGCACGGATGATGCACTCGACGCTCCTGCCCACGGAAGAGCACGAGCCGGACTTTGAAGATGAGGAAGGCGAACTCTACTGGCCTGACCAGTGCATCAACGGCGAGGGCATTGGATGGGTATGTCTCATGGGCAAGGCAATGATCAACGAGTTCGGCAAGCCGTATGGTTACAAGGGCCTCGAGGGCATCGTCCCAAAACCCAAACCCGAGGAAAGCCACGGACGTCCAGGACACCCACCAAGTCACGCTTCGTCAAATCAACGACCGATACCCTCAGGCGCTCCCCGATAGCCACTTCGGTCTTGCGTCACCTTGCTACTAATTATCAGATCCTATCTACACGGCTTTCTGGGCTAGCTGTTTTAACCTGCGTTGGACCTCCCCATCCCGGTGTATGGGGAGCAACACACGCACACGTTCGCATCCAACCTTTCCTTCGTTCGGAATAATATTATGGATTGCGCCAAAGAAACGACCCCCTTCAAAACCTGCGTAGGCGCTCGCCTGCGAGCGTCCTGAACGCAAGACCCCCCTCGCGGTGCCAATGGTGTGTCGCTGCCGCCATCGCCTTGCCGCCGTGACTTGTCTGGGCTGCCCTTTCCGTGCCTACCGCCTCCGTTTTCGGGTCGGCGCTTGGGCATCGGAATGGGGCGAGTCGAGTCTGGTGGTATCATAACGCGGTCAAGAAAGTTAAGTATAGGCAGCTTGACTTGACGGGACAGGTGCAACGCCGCTGTCCCCGGCATGATCGCAATGCAACGCACCAGCCCGCATTTCCTTATTCCTGGAAAACGATTCCCCTCTTCGCCACCACACTAGACGCCAATGCACACACACGGAATTCTGTCACGAAAATGTTATTCTCATTTCATTCCTCTCCATATTTCTATTTCCATTTTCCCTTCCGGTCCTAGTCCCCCTGTATACCACCACCGTCGCCACCCAGCACTGGTCTCTGCATCTCTCCTCATCATTATCATCTCGCATACCTTTTGACTCACGCACGCGGAACGCCCATGAACCCACAACTACACTCGATACGAACCCGCCTCCATCCCGAATTAACGTGCTGCATGATCACTCGGTTTTCCTCTTCCGCCGCTATCCTGTCTGTCCATCCGTCCAGTGCTCATCCAATCCATATCTGTTCTTATTCCATTTTTACCCCGTATTTATCTGCGCATCCAATCCATCCGTCCATCCTTCAATCCTTCAATTTACCCTGGGAACGTTAACGTTGACCATTCATTACCATCGAGAGGCAAAGAAGGAAACAGGAAGAAGATTGTCTTGACAACATAACACTGTTACGACTCGGAGGAGGCCTGGACACAACAATGGCTGAAACACGGGCTATTGGAGGCGCTCGTCCGTCGTCCGCCGCCAATGTTAACGCCGCCTTTGGACTTTCCATGAGAATTGAACGCCTGTTTTGTCGCTCGTGATGATGCGTTGGTGTCTGTGCCTGGCCTGGCAACTGCAACTCTTTCCGAATGTGTACTCTTTTTGTCTGTCTTCCCCGATTCGTGATTCGTTGCCCTCGGCCCTCCTCGAGTCCTATGCCACTTTGCTCTGTTCGCTGTTCGTTCGCGTACTCTTTTCCGCTTCGTGTGCAATGTTGGTTCGTTGGTTCAACCCGCAACTTGGATAGTCGCTTTGCTCGCTTTCGCATTTCAGTTCTCTTTTTCAATTATATACTCTTACACAGAAGAAGGGGACGCTTTTTTGTGTGTTTTTAATTTGCCGATTATTGTTCGCTCAAAAGGACATGGTGGCGGTGGGGTCTATTTCCTTATTATCCTCCCCTTTTCACGTCGTCAATTACCTTACTGTGCCCTGCCGCCCTTTTTTCCTTGCGTTCTGCCTTTCTACTACTTCATTGGCTTGTTTTGCATATCGTTTTGCACTGTACATATATCTTTTTTTTTCTGGATAGCTTCCTTCATTTCACTTCACCTCATCGCAACCCCCATCCCATTCCACATCTTCCCTTCTGCATTCCACTCTACAGCATATTTTTTTCTGCCTCCAGTTTGATATCGAGCTCGTTTGTCTGCCTGCTGCTGTTGTACAACCCTTTGTTTCTGCTGTGAAAAGAAATCAATTGTCTGAAGGGAGAAAGGAACCGATCATCGAGTCGGGCCCCCCTTTTTCTCTCTTCCTAATCACTCTGACTCCTTTGTGCGAGAGTGTGATGGCCGTTTCGTCCGTTGCTAACGCTCTGTGTCTGTGTCTGCACAGTGCCGTTAGTAGCGCCTCGTCTCAGGCGAGTCAGCGTCGGCGTCGGTGGCGAATGTTCTCACTGTTCACAATTTGCGTGTGAGCCTTCGACGCCTCCGGGAGGTCCGGGAGGTGTTTACCCTGTCCGTTCTGGCCTCACCAGTGACACCATACCTGGTCTGGATTTCAACCCGGCCAGAAAAATATATCAGAATCGTGCGCCGAGAAGGCGTTAACGTCAACGGGAAACCGATATCGTAGATCCCCGCGGCACAGCCTGACTAACTTGTACGCTCCCTCGGGATTCCTCACTGTACACTTGTGCTTAGAGTTTCGTGCAACACACCGAGATGATTATTATAGATGATTACTCTTACGCTCCTTATTAATGATGACTGATGCTTTCAGGTCGAGGCAGAATTACTTACTGACCGCATTGAACGGTGACGCCAAACCGACGCGACCTCGATCCACCCAAGAAACCGTGGTGGGTGAGGGTAGTGCGGACATTGGTGGCCACATGGAACGACCCAAAAAAACCCTTCGCTGGCCCAAAAGCTGCGAAGCTTCAACGCCGCAACACCATATGCACTCAATGCCGGGATAGCATCCACGTTTGTCTCTTATCTTGCCCAGAGCGAATGGCGCAGGCTTGCACAAGACTCGCGTCGAGCACCCCATTTCTCCAGCCCGTGGCACCTGGCGTCGCAAATCTGGAAGAATTAAAAGCGGACATGCCTTTGAGCTTCCTTGATCCTGACACTCACAGTCGCCGGCCGTGTGCCAGCGGCTGTCGAACATCAGATGGGGAACTAAGGTGCATAGACCGCCGCGTCCGATGTCAATTGGGCAGCATGCGATTGACTAGAGGAAGCGAACTAGAGGGAAACATTTGAGGAAAGAGCTTCCACGCGGAGCGGAGCCCATGCATCTCTTCCAAGTCTTCCTTTCTCGACGGCCTTGGATTCACCTTCATGCGGATGTAGAAAGAGTGCATATCAGCTTAGGCATAGTACTTAGACAGGCGAGCATGAGGTAGGGGGCATCGAGTTGGAGTGAGAAAACAAGGACGAAACGGAAACTTCTCTCGCGCAGAAAAAAAGGATAGATGGACATCGTCTCCGAGGCTGGTACGGTATGCTCTCCTTTTCTGACGCTTGCCCAAAAGAACCAGCCAGGCCGAAGATGAAGCCCTTAGCCAAAGAATACCGGTGGAGAAATCACCGATTGGACTTGGCAACACGCTCCAGTTCGTCCTTTTTCTGTTGACATTCCAGAGATATAAGCGCTCAACTCTATCCAGACGACATGCGACGAACCTTGATAGCATACGAGTTTGACGATCCCTTTGCGGCGTTGATCAGCTCATCGGCGAGGCATTCGGCGATCGACTTGACGTTGCGGAAAGCCGATTCACGTGTCTGGATTGGAGGATGGTAATATTAGCCTTTGAACATGAACGTCATGTCGCAATACGCACGCCGGTGGTAAGGAGAGCAATAGATTGGTTGACCCGGCGCAGAGGAGAGACATCGACGGCCTGGCGACGGACGGTACCTTGCGAACCGATACGGGTGGAGTCTTCTCGGGGACCAGTGTTGACGATAGCGTCGACAAGAACCTGCAATTTCAAGATGAACACGAGAAAGGGCCTGGATATGCGGAATTTAACGGACTTGAATGGGGTTCTGGTCGGTGAGGAGGTGAATGATCTCGAAAGCATGGGCAACGATGCGGACAGCAAGGAGCTTCTTGCCGTTGTTGCGGCCCTTCATCATCAAGCTATCCAACGATCAGCACTTCGTTCCACGTATTATCCAACATCATGGCGCACCTGTCGACCAGGCGCTCAACGATAGGCATCTGGGCCTTCTTGAATTGCTTTTTGGCATAGCGGCCGGCGGTGTGGGGGAGGTAGACGGCATGGCGGACTTGGATGTAATCAGTGAGGGAGATGTCCTTCACCTCAACACTACAATTGCAGAATCATCAGCGCCTCTCCTTCGCCATCCCAAATGATTCCGGCTGCTCACTCTTGAGTGTCCCACTTGCCGAAAAGCTTGACTTCCTGTCCAAGCCTAGAGATGTCCTTTGGGAGTGTTGTGGCCATTTTGAGGGAGTCTTGAGAGGGCGACGCGAAGGTGGCCTGCTGGAGTTGGCGATGAGAAATACAGGTCGACGACGAGCAAAGAGGTCCTTCCACGAACTCACCTTGCGAGCTGATGTTTGTACTTGTTGTCCACAGCACAGAATCAAGGTTCGGGAGGCTTCGGGGACTCCCGAAGAACTGTATAGTTTCTCGGAAAGGAAAGAAGTATTCCGAATTCAAGCGCAGACCGCCTTCTTCCACAGTTAAGCGACTAAAACACGAGAAAGTGATTATAAAATGCAAGTCTATTCTGCTTTTCTTGTCCTTGTTACGTAGAATTCGGGTTGGTCATTTCCCCAGCTTCTCCTCTGCTTGTCGCCTTGCTGCCACCTCTCGCGTAACCTGATTCAAAGCGTGCTTCTCCATTTTGCGCGCGGTGTCTCGATCTCTCTCTGCCTCGTCAAGTTTCCGCTGGTATTTTCGACGCAGATCGCGTTCGTGTAGGTAGTCATCCTCGAGCTTGCGCTTTTGAGACTGTAACTGAGCGATCTGCCTGCCCTGGTTGAAGTTGCGATCTCGCAAGGACTGGATCTTTCGCTCGAGCTCCTGTATGTCTTTGTAGTCAGCAGATTTGTCGGATGTTCCATTCAACTCCTTGGCATATAATGGGTTGCTGTGGTCGAGATTTTCCTTCGTCTCTGCTTCAGTACGTGAAGGGTCTGCGATACCGAAGACTTTCTGCAGCCACGACTTCGCTGCTTTGCAATGACCAGAGACTGTTTGAGTATCTTTTCCTTCCGTCTTCGCTATTTTTGCGAGGTCCGTCTCGCAGCCGGAGAGCAAAAGATACGCGGGCTTGAAGTCGGAAGCACCCACGCCTTGCAGGGTAAATTCTGAAAAATGCATCCACGTTGAGTTTCCAATTTTTTGAACGAATAAAGAAACACCACCTTCAATCATCGCATTAATGACAGTTTTTGCAGCTTGAGGATTCCCGGTTCGACGATAAAAAGCACCCACGAGCATATAATTACCCCTTTCGCTCTTTGTCACTTTCAAAAGCTCAATGATGACGCGGGGGTTGGATTCCAAGTCTTTGAGATCATACAAGATGGTTTCTCCACAGAGCTCCATAGAGATACGGCTTTCGCAAGACATCGAGAAAGTTGCAACCACAGGCTTCGACTCCGCAGAAGCAATGCGTAGACTCGTCAACGGCCCAGCGCTCGCAGTCACCGAAGTAGATGCACCACAGACAAACAGTTCACTTGAGGGGTGTTCATCAAGACGATCCATATCCCAGCCCTCCAAAGCCTTGAGGGAAATCATAGCCTGAGGACCGACGTCCCAGTTTTGCATTGCGTAACCACTGAAATCAAAAGGCTGCGGTATGGCATTGAAGCCATGCGCTTCTTGCTCTTGAACATAGTATTCTCCCGCCCCCATCATTGAAGTCGAGCACCTTTTCGAGATGGTGTTGCTCCGGTGGTTCTTGCGGGACCTCGCTACTGGAAATTTGAAGTCTCTATCCAGCTCCGTTACCGAAGGAATTTCATGGCAAATTCTTTGCTCCTCTTGTTGGCTAGAAAGCGTATTTGTGGGAAGATCATCTTCACCTGTCAAAGCCATCGCTGGGTTCGCGCGTCGGTATTGCTCAATTAGACATGGCTGTTCGTGAATAGGCAAGACTTGGAGCCCAGGTATCTCCCATTTGAGGTTCAATGCGTTGTTTGCAAAGATCGTGGAGCTGAATTTAAGAAAGCTGTGTTGGGCGGGTGTTTCGGCGCTTGGATCCAAAGGATAAACCTCTGGGCTATCAGATCGTCACGTAAGGAGGCAAGGATCTAAGGATTTTGGAGCACGTACGTCTCGCCGACGATCCTGTGCAAATTATACGACGCACTGGTGTTGTTTTCAACTTTGATCACGGTGCGGAAGTCGTCCATGGTGAAGGCTTACACGGGTGCAATGAAGGAGACGCTGGAAGTTACCAATGGGGAAATGCAAAGCGTATATCAGCCTGTTTCAACAGATTTCGTCACGATCAGTGTTCTATTTTTATCCCATACAGTCATCCACCGGCCAATGAGACACCACCGGCTAATGATACACCTCGGAACACCATGAAGGATTCAACTGTTTGCTTTGAAAAAATAACCCCATTCTCTATAAGTCTTTAATACATTGTGTATAAAATTTTGTGGGTTCTGGTGAAGTCAATGCCCGGTAATAAAATCACCAAAATATTCATTTTGGTTGATTTTGTCACACCAGTCAATGGTACAGCATCTCTGGCTGTTTCTGCTCACGTTTGGTTGATTTTATGGCATACAACTGGTATAAATTTATTTTAATGGCTCTATTACACTGATTCCAAGTGGTTTTATGAGAATCCATGGGCTGGTTGAGTTCTGGGATCAAATTTAAATTTCAGTGTATCAAATGATGGTGGATGACTGTAAGCCAGTAGCATACTTTTGACCGCACAAGTACACCTCCTAAGAACAAAGCTGCTATATAGCATACAGTTGTCTTCTCTTGCTCTTCTGGGCAAAGCCGCCTTCCGCCAAGCCACTTTGACGAGTGTGAGACACCTCCATCACAAGGCATCGCCGTGCACCCCGCAAGACTTGGATGTTTCTTGAAATATTAGACTAGCTATCGTGAAAATGGAATAGGAAAACTATCCTCGTCCGAAGAGGGAGAGGCAGTTGTCCTCAGGTAGAGAAGAACAAAGGACGCGGTGTGAGGTTGCCGTAGGGTTGTGGGGCGCTGCGCAGCGCCGGCGCCGGCGGAGGAAGTTCCCACGTGTGTCTTGGCATGAACACATGAAGGAGCGATATAAAAGGCGGTAGCAACCCCGAACAGCCACAAGTCTCTCTCATTCCCTTTCATCGTTCACCTCTCATTACGAAAATGTTCCGCGCTGCTACTCTTGCTGCTTTTGTTGCTGTCGTTTCGGCCCAGTCGTGCGCCTCGTATTGCTTCTTCGCATGAAATGAAGCTGATCCCTAATTTAGGCTGTCGACGGAATGCACGAATGCCCTGGCTGGCGTCGCTGCTGATCCTGCGGCTTCGACCTGCTTGAGTGTTGGGTCTCTTCTACCCCTCCTCACACAGGGCGCCTCTGCCTCAGTCATCGCACCCATCAACACCTGGCTCACCAGCCTCTGCGGATCTCCAGCTTGCAGCAACGAGACCTTGGCCTCAGTCGTGCAGAATTTAACGGCGGGATGTTCCACCGAGCTATCTGGGATAGGCTTCACCTCGGACTCGACTCCCCAAGTCACCAGCATCGTCCAGCAGTATTACCCGACCGTCCGCAAGGTTGTCTGCCTGAAAGAGTGCGTAGCGGCCTTCCATGACCCTTGGTGCACTAATTGATGTATGATCTCCGCCCGCAGTGGAGATACAAACTGCATCACCCAAACCCTCACCAACATTGAGGGTTCTGTTGGAACCCTCAGTTTCAACAACATACTCCAGATTATTGCCAACCCACCCGACAACCTGCCATCCAATATTTCGTGCACCAACTGCGTGAAAGAGGCCTACAACGTCATCAGTACCGACGTCCCATCCATCGTCTCCGACGCTGACCCGGCGTTGCAATCACAGTGCGGAGCTTCATTCACCGGTACGAAGTTTTTCTTTCCACACCCATTGTTGGTGTTGATCATGTTTGGCAACCCACAGATGGAACCACGCCCTCTGGCATCACCCAGAGCGCCAGTACTGCTGATGGTGCCACCACATCCACTGGTGCTGCCCTTGGCTCTGTATCGATGCTTTCCAACGGTGTTATTGCAGGCTTGGGTGCATCCGGCCTCGTTGTCATTTCGACCTTGTTCACATTCTTTGCCTGAAGGAACTGTCCCGCCTTACAGCATGATCCTTACGACTTGCGGACGTCTTGGACTACTAATATCTAGGAATACTGATTACGTCCATCAATAATATTCTGGAACTCCGAATCTTGGAGTGATGAAATACGGCCTCCCCACTGAGATGTTGGATTCTCGGTTGTCAATACCCTGAGGCTCACTCGAGATGAATGGTAGGTTATTATAGCGAACAAGGCCGTGCACGTGTGCCTCTCACTGCTTGAGAACCTCTCGGAGCTTTAGAGGACGGAGTGGGGAGGGGTGGTGTGCGGCCAGTATCTCCCGCAACATAGACATACATACCTCGAAACTCGACCTTCACGGCGTTCTTATCCCATCTTTCAAACTTCCTCGGACGTCTTGCTGACACTTGGCGACAAACCACGGCTTTCTGGGCCCGTTTTGCACACAGAGGACGCCACTCGCCGACTAGAAGAGGTATAACATGAAGTTTCCACTGACGAGTTCTTCAGATAATTCTCAAGCCGATTGTCACTATCGGCGTAAGCAGCTTTCCGATATCATCTTCAGTCGGTCCTCAGTTTTCTTGGTGGTGTCTGCTCTTGCCTGTGCCGGCGCAATCTCCGCAACGAGGTACGCCAGATCTGCCCAGGATGCTTCTCAGGGCATTAATAATTAATGAATCCAGCAGCATCCTTGACGCTTTGACCGATACATGCAAGAACGCTCTTCAAGGAGTTTTAGTTCCCCCTCACGCCGAATGCTTGAACCTTGGCTCTTTCCTATCTTTGGCAATTGTCGACAAACAAGTCAGTTCCGCAGGCGGTCAACACATGGCTAACAGGCCTTTGCTCGACCGGATCATGCACGAACACCAGCATCGCTGCCGTCGTTAACAACGTTGCCTCGGGTTGCGCTCGCGGCTCAAGATCTGGAAACCTTCGGCATTTGCATCAGCCCCGCTGTTATCCTGGGCTACGCGCAGAGGTTTTACCCGACAGTCCGTCAGATTGAGTGTTTGAAAGAGTATGTTGAGCGCATCCTTGGATCTTGGGCGCTGATTGAACCTCATGTTAGTAACGCAGAAAACGAACTGTGCGTGCCGCAAACCATCTCAAACCTGGAGACCGTGGTCGGGAAGCTCGGGGTAGATGACCTCCAATGGAATAACTTGTTGGAGAAAGTTCGGGCATTGTTTTCGTCGAATATAAGCAACATTGCCGGCACGAACTGTATCAAGGCGGCATTCACCATAACCTCGAAAGTATTCCCCTCCCCTCAGTTGTTGTTCCAAACAAATCAGACGATGGGCTCTTGTTGCGAAGAGGGGCTCACGGGTAAGCTGCCTTTGAACAATAAAAATTCCTCGGGGCTGATCGTACTGGCTGGACTAGATGGAAAACTGGTGGAGGGCATTTCCCAAACCTCAGTCAAGACTGGTGTCTTCGCTCTCAAAACTGGCACGGGTTATGCGCTTAAATTCATTCCTGTTGGCACGTTCTTCACGATGATCATTACGACCTTTGGCCGGCTCGCCTTCCTGGCGTGATGAAGCGGCATCCAGTGCGACACATTGAAAACTTCTTGAGATGGTGGCTAGATAGTGGCATGAATGAATCCAGCGGACCTACGATTCGATAGTATCGTTTCAATAGCTTTATGTGAAGAATACGTTTGGACAGTTTTGCTTAGAATTCGCCTGCATCAAGCGCTTGAAGGAGTTCAACTTCACAAAATCAAATAAACCTGCTGGATCAAGCTGGCTGCTGGAACTCGGATATTCTTGTGGGTCTCCGGGCCGGATACTCACGTGCGTCCATATTTGGTTGGATGTGGTCCAAAGCCTTGGCTTGAACGGTCGAGGCGAGTTCATCTGGCGCTGTCTAAGGCTCAACTCGTCCCTTCTTAACTTCAGCGTCTGTCGGACTTTCGACCAGAACGCTTTATTACCTCTACCAGATGGACTCATCGTACTTCAATACCCCTTCAAGACGAAATCACGACCTTCCAAAGCCAGAAACCGGTCTCGCCGAATGGACAAGCAAGATCAAGGCCTTGCAACGGCAGGTGGATGCAGACGAAGAAGATGAGCAGAAGAAACTCGAAGAAGAAATCGCTGCCGCAAGACAAGCACGTCAACGACGCAGTCGTGGTATGGGCGCAGGGAGTCGCATCGATAGCTTGGATATATGTAGGTTTCTTGTCAAGTTGTCATCACCACCTAGCGTGCTCATTATAGTAGCTGATAAAAAGGAAGAACTAAAGAAACTCTCAAACTCCAACGATACTTCAGCTAACGATACTCCCAAGTCTGTACCGGAACGGCAAGATGACCACGACACAGCATTGCGCAAGCTTATGGGCAGAAACAACGTGTATAATCCAGACAGGGTTGGCTTACCTGCTGCTGGAGTCAAGTTGGACTCTATTCCCCTGGCTGCTATGATTGGAGGTCGTGCCACTGGCCCTCGATTGCAGAAGCACGCGCCGCAACAAGATGCCCACGATCCAACACAATTTCTGCAACCAGATCTCAAGGCCCCGCATCCCGTATTTGGCTCCGGAGGAGTGGCGATGCCTGGTATGGTGACACGCAGAGAGGTCTCCAAAAGCCCTACCCCCATCGTCGGATCAGAGAGTTCAGAGCGATATCGACCGTCCTCTGCGGCCAAACCTATATCACCTTCGCCATCGCGAGAAAATATCTGCGAAGTTTTCAAGGAGGATAAGCGCGACATTCGTAGGCGTTCTTTCACCGGAACACCTAAATCTCCATCGCCAAGTATAGCACAAAGATATGCTGACAAGTTCGAAAGTCCAACCGCAGTGCCCCCAGCTCTAGATAGGAATCCATCCAATTCGAAATCCACGTCTCCTCTGCCGACCTACTTGAAGAAGCAGGAATCCACCGAGCCATCCCCTAAGAAATCAACGGACTACTATCTCTCGAACTTCAATACTATTGGTGCCACCCCTAAATCGACTTCCCCGCTTCCGACATACTTGAAGAAGGAGGATCAAGCCTCCCAAAGTGCAGCAGACTCCCCATCTCCTGAGCCGGTTAGCAACCATCGCACGAATATCAATGCCTTCAGCCCCGCTCCCAACCCAACGTCCCCCTTACCCACATACACCACATATACGAAGGAGGAAGCGGTCGTCCGTGCAACTGATCTGTCGCCCTCGAGAACAGAAAAGACTCAAACCGCTAAGCCGGCCACAAACTTTAATGGGACTGGCATACCTCTCCAGTCTTCCTCCAGTGCTGTCAAGAGCACCAATGGACCGCATTCCAACATTGATACACCTCTCCGTCGGCTTATGGAGGCAAATAAAGTATACAACCCTGACAAAATAGCTCCGGATTCTCCTCGGAAGACGGTCGCTGAAAGGACGCAAACTGTATCCCTTGCCGCATTTATGGGTGGTTCTGGAAAAGGCGTCCGCCTTAAGAAGCATGCGCCACAAGTGGATGCGCACGATCCGACCCAGTTCATCCAGCCAGACCTCAGTGCCCCCCATCCAATTTTCGGAAAGGGGGGTATAGCAATGCCCGGAATGGTCAAGAGTCCAACCTTTCAGCAAAGCTCCTCGAGCACTGAGAAGACTGAACGTCCGACAACGAAGTCAACTTGGCTTCCTGTTACTCAAAGTGAGAAGAAGGCCGAGGAGAGACCTGGGTCTCCTCACAAAACTGGAAATCGTGAGCGAGCTCTCAGCGCCCCTCGTTCTGATGCACAAGTGACGTTCAATACTTCGGACAGTCTAGGCGACTGGTCGTCTCCTCGTAGGGCTGGTTCTCCAGTCAAACCCGCCTTCAGTGCCACTCCTGTTCAAGACCGCACGATATCTGTCCCATCCTATTCTCATTCTTCAGCATCGCGAGCTTCCTTCACTGCCTCTTCTTTATCTCGAACTATTCTCCCAGAACCCAAAGCTTCATCTCTTTCTCCACAGATACCAGGAGTAGCCCCGTCTCCTGCATTTCAGAAACCTCCACCAGCAAAAGAGTTGACCCCTAGTCTCAGCAGGCTTCAAGGCCGTGGATTTGTGCAAAATGCTGTTAGCAAAGTCGGCGCACAGTTGGAAGCACCTCCGTCACCCATTCCTATTTCCGCGCCACGACCTGTCAGCGTTGGTGGAAAAAAGGGTTCTGTACTTGATCGGTGGCAACCCAATGTGCAACCTAGCTCTCCTACTAAGTCAACACCTACGACCCCTTCACATGTTATGAGAAGATCCGCAACGCAAGATCCTACAATGGCTCCGAAGTCAGGTCAGGTTTCGACATCATTTTCCGTTAGCGCAGGTCCACATGCCCTGAAGTCTGTCTCATCATTACCATCTCTTACAAGTTCAGCATCAGCAACTCGTCCAGAATCTATACTCGAACCTCCTCCAAATGTAGTCAAAGACCCATACCCAAGATCAAGGACTCCTGGCCTTGGTTCTGCTACCACCATGGTCCTCATCAAACCGAGCAAATCCTCCAGTGATTTGGCTCACCTTGCCCACGTTGATGAACTCGGAATGAAACCTCATTCTGAGCGCGCAATCCAAATGGATACCAGCCGCTTTTCTCGTCCTGCGCATTTGCCACCCCCAAGGAAGCCCTTGATCCATGTGCGTTAATCCCGGTGATGCCTTGCCTCGGAACCTACTCACTTTAGTTTCATGTTTCAATTTGTAACCTTGCTCGTTCAATCTATTCAATGTTTCTGCATGTGTCATATGTTCCACTTCCTCGCGATACCTTTCTTTGTGCAATAGCCAACGAAGAACAGAGCTCGGAAACCTAAAAAGCACCATACTGTCCACGAAACATTCGGCAGCCACCCAGCACCCCCTCCAGAGCTTCAGGCATCCCGCCGACCACTAACGCCTCACGAACAGCGTCCTCAGGATGTTCATCGCTTAGATGTCGACGACCTTCCCTCTGTCGGAAGCCCAGGACCTCTGTCGCCTACGAAGGGACAACATTCGGAGTGGAAGGTAAGCCTCATTCCGAGTAGCATTGCCGGAGTCGCTGCAATGGGACCACTAATACTACGACAATTCACTCAGGCAGATTCACACCAGTCGAAGGATCGTAATTCGTTGACAATTCAATCTGTTAGTAGTGTGGGCGTATTTCACCCACCCTCTCCGTCTTCCAGGTCCCCGGTCGTCTCAAGGCCGCCTGATCCCATTACCCCTCGGGATGTGACAAGCTCTTCACCGCCACTGACGCCTTCTCCTGTCAAGGACAGACCTACCGTGCTGCCCTCACCTGGAAGACATGTCCGCATTCCGAGTACAGGAAGCCGTCCCACCGTCATGGAGCTTGCACAAACTCTCATGGAAAATCCGCCCGAAGGACCTCATGCCCCACTATCATCGCCTGATGTCTTGCCTCCATCATCGGAAGAGACATCCGTTCCTGCAGAACCTCTTCTAAGGCCTCGACCAAACGCTTTGTCTCAAATTCAGGCTGAGAAGCGTAAATCGAGCTATGAAAAATATTCTGCCATAATAATGCCGCCTTTGAAAGAAGAGGCTACACCGACGCCATCACCCGCTGGGACTTTGGCTAGGACAGCTGTTCGTGAAGGAGAGATACTGCCGAATGAGCATTCCGTTACCGCTGCCATCCAAACGATAGACATCGAAACGTCGGAGCGTCCTCTCCCGGAAATAGTCAAGAAATATGTGACTTTGGATTGTAAGCTTCTTCTTCACTTTTTCTTTGAAGCGAGATTTAAGATTGGCCAGCGACGCCGAGCACACCACTACCGCCTATTGATGTTGTCCAAGTCTTGAAATCACGCCCGAAGCCAACAAGCCAACCTCCAGACCTCCAGACGATATCTGTTGATGTGCTAGCAATAGTTGCCAACAGTGCCACCCCTCTCTCACGGCATCTCGGTGTTTTCTATGAATCAGAGATTTTAGCCATAATTCACCGGGTCAAATCGAAAGCGAGTGGTTTGGCGTCCACCTCTGTCTGGTGCTGGTTGGGAAGACAAACGCGTTTGGCTGAGCGGGAAGAAAGGAAACTCTATGAAGTCGCCAAACGTTACGGAACCACTGCTGTAAGTACTAACATTTCTAGTGATCGCCGTCTTTGACAGCGTTCTAGAAAATCGTCCACCAACTCGCTGAACCTCCGGAACTCATTGAGATACTAGGCGGGACTCTTGCTATTCGCCAAGTATGTATTACAATGCCTCCTTATGATCAGCACTGATGATGTACTTAGGGTACACGGGCACACTGGACACCTGAAAATACGACCATGCATCTTGTCAGGTCGCTGAATGGCTTGATTCTGATTGACGAACTTGATCTGGTAAAGTCCCCTTCGAGAACGCACTTCGCCCTGTACTCACTAGGGCGCTTCCAAGAATGTCAAAAACCTGTGTTCAGCTTTCAGTTTTTGTATTACCATCTTGGATTCGGTCTATGTGTGGCACGGCCGTGGTTCCTCTGCCCAAGAGAGGAAGGCAGCTTTCCAATATGCAAATGCACTACTAGACAACAAAGGATTTCCAATTGAACTTGTCGAGGGAGAGAATGACGCTGACGAGATGTTTTGGATGATAATGGGGGAGACGGAGTTCGCAGCAGCTGACTATTGGAGATGGAGAAAGATGTCCTTTTATATTGATCCATTCGTTTGGAGGGTTGATATCAAGAGCATGGGCCAGCCTGTAACGTTCTTTCATGTATGTCTTCGTCAACGCGTCGCTGAAGACTTCGCAGGTTTCTCCGGTTCAGTTTATATCCATGGAGCAGGATCTTCAGCAGAAGGTCTATATCGTACATTGCATCTGGGAATTGTTCATCGTTGTTGGAAAGAACGCCCGAAGTGATAGGTCTACCATTCGATTCGCCTTGGAAGTTGCAATGGTATTTGTATTTCTTCCTTGTATTCGTTGAATATCTCATAATGCCCCGTAGAAAATGTCAACAGTAGAGGCTTCCTGTAAACCTTATAATCCGACAGTCCATGTCCTCATCCTCCCTTCCCGACTTCCTTTGGATCTTCAACAGGGTGTCCGTGATCTCGACGAAGCTTGGTTGGTCTGTGATCATCAATCCTCATTTTCATTATACGTGCTCACTCTCCTGTCCGCAGAACGAAGGAGAAATTCCAGATCATATGAATCTCTTGCCCGCGTCTGAGGCTCTCACCCAGGTTGGCCCTCTTTGATATATATTCGACGATATATTCTGATTTCCTCGTAGCTTGGAACACGTTTATGGCCGAGGGCGACCGTGCAAGACCACGATATGCTACCTCTTGGTATTGGCGCCTCTGATCTTACTTGAGTCCTTCAATTTTTCATTCAGACCATTGTCTTATTTCCATATTATCTACCGCCGATGTCGTTTAGTATATCGTTGCCGAGTTCTTCTTAGTATGTCATCTTGTCTATTTCGATTCCTGATAGTGCATTGACCGTCTTCAAGTTATTGTATATCTTAATACCCTAATTCTCATGAACATTGTTCAGCTGCCACTGTTGGCTCGCGTTATTTTCGGCTGCAAGGCTTCGAGAATTCCATCGCAGAATGCCACGGGGCTCCTCTGAGCTATAATTACTCCTTTCAAGGGTCATCGCCAACCACCTACCCTTGCAAAAAGCTGGAAGAGAACAACTGAAGACTCCGCCACTTTTGATATGGCTCCTTTGCTTTTCAATCTTCTGTGCGCTGGTCCTATCCCCCTTCCACATGACCCATGGAACGCCCATTGGATACACCGCGGATATCCGTTCAGACAAGCAACTATCCTGCGCTGTATGGGTGAGAACCCCTGATCTCTTATTTACGTGCTCTCTGAGACCTCTCTTAGTTTAACTTCAATGGAGACGATGTCTGGATAGGACGGCGCGGCGTTCTATGTTCTAGTCTTCCCGAAAATCCACGAGCGAAGTTCGTCACAAGAGTGCTCCAGTTTGGTCTGAGCCTCTCTTCGACAATGTCCTCCCGCATCATGAGCTCGCCAAGCAGGTTGGGCTTGCAAAAGCAAAACCTTCGAGTCTTGGAATCCCTGTGACGTTAGCAGAGAACCTCGAAGGATATGAACTCCGTTGATTTTCATGATCGTTCAGATACCAGGAAAGAGGCGGAGCGCAAGACATGCTAGATGCAATCGATTCGATCAATTGCTCTTCTTTTCACAGAATGCTTCTACAGGCACGGCCAACATACTCAGTGTTCTTGTCAAGCACAGAGTTGAAGTGAATGACGACTTTGAGCTCATCGGTCCTGGCCTATCGTCCTGAACGATCTTGAATGCTTCATTGGCCATGGTAATGGGAAGAAAATGTACTTCGATGAGGTAGGGTGTAATTCCTTGGTTCTCTTCTCTGGAAGCTCACCTTTTTTGTTTGGAAGAATGGATGTCCCTCTGTCACTTCTCCTGGCGTCTTGAAGAATGTGGTCGGTGGAGAAATTGGATGATTCGCTCACATTTACAGCGACAAGCAGGAGCCGGGATATGGGGCTTATGACTATTCGGGTCGTCTGAAACCCCCCTTCCAACCTCGAACGCATTGCTAAATTTGAGGAACGATTTTGAGCTACCGCTCCAAAATAATCGAGAAATAAGTTATGGGATCATTAAGGATTGTACAGTAATAAATCAAGAGCGACATGAATCCATGCATATGTTGGATCCAGTAGATACCCAGCACTGCCAGGGAAATGGCAGGCAATCAGCCGTACCATTTGTCCCCTAACCTTGTCTGCGCAGGCGGTCGTTGGGGAATTGTCGCTTCAGTAATATTGAAGACCTCGATTGCTCGCTGTAGGGCTCGTCAGGAAAGCGAAGTTCTAGTCTGCAGAATTCTTACCTTCCAGGTAGCCATATCGAACTCTAGCACCATCTGCCGTTTCTGTAATCCACCTTCGTAATCTTCATCTTTAGGTTGTTCACAACTGTCTTTTGAAGTAGTTTGTGTTAGGCCAACGTCTTTGTATGCTCCAACACCAGCTCACAGATGATAGGCTCTCCGTCTTGGGTCTCGAATGCAACCGTCCCATCACGGATAAGGAAGGAAAGATAGAAAATGTTTTCAACAGATTGGGCGAAGTCGTTGGGATTCACGACGAACGTGAAGATATTGACCGGACCTAGTTCGTCCAAAATGGCTTTGAGCTAGCATGGGAGTCAAATTAATGCATATAGTCGAAAAATAACAAGCGCACAGTAGCAACATTCTTGGTTGTTTCATTCTGTGACCTGGAAATATCTTCTTCCTTCAGCTCTTGAGGTTTCCTTTCGTCTTCTTTGTTCTTCTCGAGCTTGGACCGCTTAACCTGGGTTCGTTTCTTCTGCTCGATTGTGAGTGGCCCTAGCCTACGCGACGTGACTGATGAAAACCAACAATAGATCGAGAAACGCACATGAAGCCAAGAGCAGGGATACGCCTGCTCTTCGCCATCGCCTTTCGGCCGATGCGATCCCAATCCAGTGTTGGCTGGTCAGATACGTCCTCTCCGTCTGAATCTTCTGGCAAATCATCTTCCAGATTCTTCTGACCGGAAATGAAGCGTAACAGCTTCGAAACAAAATCGTCGATGTCAAATGCGCCAGATCCTGACTTCATGGCACGAGCTTTCTGGGCTCCCATGTTCGACGCCATCAGCAACAAGTGAGAGTCCAAAGTAGCCTCTTGAGGTCCCTTGACTATGAGCACACGCATTAGAGTCTCGTCACCCTCCGAAGAACGGCCGCATTACCCTTGTTGAAAAGCTTGTCGGCCTCATGGACTTGGGAGAGAAGTTCCGTGGCGGTATAGTCATTCGGGTTTCCCTGATGTTCTACGACACTGTTAAATGAGAACATAAAAGGGAGCAGTAGAGGATGCAGGCACCTTCGATTTTTCTTGCTAGGGAACGATAATTCTGCCTAACTTCGCGTTTTTCCTCGGGGTCCTGGTCGGGGTCGAAGACAAGGTCTGTGGATGGTGTTTAAATGACATTGGTAGTAGAATGAGACCGCGTATTACCGTCTGCCGTATCCATTTCGTGATCAGCCATGGTACAGAGAAAGCTTTGGGAGTGAGACGCGTCAAACGAGGTCAGTGGCAAGGATCAGGTGAGGTTGTGACCTAATGAACCCTGACGCGAACGCGTTGTCACTTGTTTGGTCGACGCGTTTTCTGGGAACCGTCCTGTCACGTAAACCGTCTGCCCATCCCGCTGGTAACACTGATTCCGTCGCTCTCATCCCAAGAATACTTAACCATGTCGGTTAGCCATGCTGTCGGGGTACTATCCCATCCTTATTCACGTGGTCTGCGTCTCAGCAAGGCTAACTCCTAAGTTCTCCCTCTAGTACAGCAAAAGTGTCAGAGCAAAATGTCATGCTCCGCCTCCTTGCAAGGTCTGCTCAGTCAATATTATCGTTTTGGAGTTCTTAGACCAGATCCCCTGTAGGACACTCTTATGCCAGTTGGAACGCTTCGTTATGGTCGAACTTTGAGCAATGAGCTGGGAGAAACTGTTGAATGGCGCCACTGGTGAGCAATAGCGCGTTGTTCAACGCGATTATAAGAGTGAATGACTGTTAGGGGCTGTGTTACACCTCAAATACTGGTGGAGCTGGCTGCCGTACCAGAAAAGAGCATCAACGGCTTCGAGACCTTGAAGTGAGTCCATAAAGGCTCGACGGTTCCTATCCCTCCTGACTTCATCTTTCAGACCGGCCGACCAGCAAAAAATAAAATTGGCTATTTCTTTGCGACGCATAGATCCGGCTGACATACCAGCCTCAGCAGGAATGCGTCCCACACCTCAAGTTGTTTCACCAAGCAATGACACGGGGCCTAGTAATGCGGGTTCGAAGAGGACGAGCACACAGGCTGGTCTTGACCGGCCGACCACAGCGGCGCGATTCTCGGTAGCCCCTGCATCATCACCCCAGCCGCCGCAAGTGGAAAATGAGGAAGATGTGCAGGAGGAAGAAGAGGTTCGAGACGAATTGTATTGCAGGATGAACACCAACGTCGTTGGTATTCAATACTATAGAGGTCCGTTTTCGGTTCCGTGGACCATTTCCGCTCGACGCTGAGAGCAATCTAGGACTAGTTGGGCCGGGAGAAGAGGTGCTATTGGTGCGAGAGCCGCATAATCAATACGATAGGTACCCTCAGTCCTCTGGTTCGCACTTCAAGCAAGTAATTATGGCTTCAGGAACGCGATTCAGGTCAAGAACATCTCCCGAGTTCAAGTTGGGCACCTTCCTCGCAACGTTGTCTCCAAGTTAGCTCCGATGCTTGATAGGCGTGCCGTTACGGTCGAAGGGGTAATTAATGATGGAAATCGTAAGCGACAAGCCTTCGTCTAGCTCAAGACAACTCATCTTTTTCATTACATGCCTTTTAGTGTCTGGGTCCAGAGCCTATACACTCTCCATGTAGGCCCCTTGTCTGTTCTTTCTTCAACCGGTTCTTATCAGAGTCGCAGCACTCTGAAAATTTATGGGCCTTCTGACAAGAGGAACGAGCTTGAGCCTCAGTTAGTCTGGGCGACTCCAGGACAACGCGGCTTTCCTCCCAGGACCACAGCGACACATCCTGCCCCGAGTGCCAATGCCAGCACCAGCTATTCTACCGGTGCGCCTGGTCTTCCAGTCCCAACTGCCTCGCAACGCAAAGCAAATCCAGCGCAGTCGGCCGCCCAGATGGAAGCCATTCGCAAACAGCAAGAGGCTCTTCAGAAAGCCGCTGAACTTAGGCAAATGCTCAACAGTCTCGAGAAAGTCGACGACGAAGGTCGCCGCAGCTCTTTGCTGGATACGCTATGCTCAACGGATGACATTCTATCTCTCCCACTTTATCCTAACCCGCCTGGCATTGCAAGTGGTGAATTAACTGTGGATCTCCTCAAACACCAGGTCAGACAACTCCCTGATCCAATTATGAACCACCTCCGTGACCCTCTTTGTGTGTAGCTTCAAGCCCTCCAATGGTGTATCGAACGTGAAAATCCAGTGCTTCCAAAGAAAGAGACCGACAAGCCTGTTCAGTTCTGGCAACTGAGAAAGCGAGGAACCCAGGTACGTCCTACCTTTTTTTTTGGTGCAATATCATCACTCACATTGCCCAGCCCTATTATTATAACAGTGAGCCCAGTGCCGCAGGAATGGGATGATTCTCAGACCAGTTTATAGTCGCCACCAAAACCCCTCAGGAAGCTCCTCCAGTTCTCGGAAGAGGTGCACTCTGTGCGGATGCGATGGTATTATGTTTGTTTCTGCAGGTGTGATTAATTACTTACTGTCTGCGGTTCAGGGTTTGGTACGAGAATATTCCAATACGTATTTCGATGATATAACTTCCCTATCTCCAGGGTAAGACCCTCACCATGATTGCTTTGGTGCTGGCAACGCGGCAGCAGGTCGACCAAGGCTTCTCGAAGGCGACCTTGATCGGTGATTACGCTGTTCTGACCACCATAGATCATGCTGACGCAGTAATGTCTACTCTAGTCGTGCCTCTTTCTGTGATGTCCAACTGGGAGAAACAGATTGCCGACCACTGTGCCCCAGGATCTGTCTTCACATGTGTTTATTATGGGGCTAATAGGAATATAAGTGCAGCAGACCTTCAGAAGTATGACATCGTCATTACCACCTATCAGACGGTGGCTGGAGAGCACGAAGAAGGCAGTAATGGAGCTGGCCCTAGCAAGAAGAAAAAGAAGAACGAGCGAAACCTTTTTGAGGTTGCGTGGAAGGTTGGAGCTTATATTCGGAGGAATTTTCTAAGCTTATTGGAATGTCCAGAGAATAATCCTGGATGAAGGACACAGTATTCGCAATCCGAAGACCAAGATGGCCAAGGCGGTGGTCGCCCTCAATGCATCCAGGAGATGGGTCCTGAGTGGTACTCCAATCGTACGCTTGATGGGATCTGTTTCGAAGCTCTGTCTAACTGGATAAATCTCAGATAAATTCACCAAGAGTATGTACCTCAGGTCTTCAGTGGTGTTCTCAAAAAAACCCTGACAACTACTCAGGACCTTGGATCTATCTTGACGTTCTTGCAAATTTGCCGCCCGCTTGATAGCGAAGACTTCTATAAACGGCTTCTCCTTAGACCGTTGAAGAACGGAGAAGCATCCGGAGTCGAGCTGTTGAGGGTAAGCGTATAGTACTCTTATGTTTCCAAGTCCCGCCTTACCTGTGATCAAGGCCCTCATGAGCCATATATGCATCCGGCGAACGAAGGAGGTCGGTCACTCATCTGCCTTCTGGATTACGCGCTCAACTTTCCGCAGATGCAAGACAAGGATGGGAAGCCACTCATTCCTTTACCAGCTGTAGGCCTTGTTATTCCTACAAAAACATAACCTAACACAATCTTGAAGGTGGAGATGATCAAAGTGCCTGTTGCCCTTAGTGAAGAAGCTAGGGTATAGTCCTATAGCTGTTTGTGCAACCATGATGCTAATAGTTTTGAAGACCTTGTACGATGAAGTCGAACAAGTCTCCAAGCAGCGAGTCGAGAACTTGATGTCAGGTGGCATGACCGCCGCCGTAAGTTTGCCCAGCATCAAGGTTGAACTGCTGCTGACATTTTCGCTAGATGAACTCCAACGTCTTGAGCATGCTTACACGGATGAGGCAGATTGCTCTCCATCCAGGTCTTGTTCCGGCGCGTTATGCCGAAGAACTTCGCAATGCAGAAGCTTTTGACGGACCAAATCCGCAAGCCATCGTTGTGACGGCTGCTGAGAAGGCTCGGCTACAAGGACTGTTGGCAGAAGCGATCGAAAATTGCGAGGAATGTCCCATCTGCTTTGGCATGCTTCCCAACGATGCTCGAATTACGAGCTGTTCGCATATGTTTTGCCTACCGTGGTATGGGTATCATGGCTATTTTCTCACACTGTTGACAAGTTCCCTCTAGCATCACTGAAGTAATATCTCGTGATCCAAAGTGCCCAATGGTAAGAATGCCCGCTCTGTGCCTTAATGTTCAACTGGTTCATAGATCACAAAAGGACCGGCGGCCGTTGAGAATGACTGATCTGCATGAGCCCCCTCCTCCTACGGATTTGACCCAACGGCCATCCAGCAACCAGGTGGACGAAGCTGAAGGAATCCGTGCTGGTTCTTCTGCCAAGATTGATCAACTTGTCCATCTGCTCAAGCTAACACCTACTACCGAGAAATCCCTAGTGTTTTCCCAATTCACATCCTTCTTGGACAAGGTATTTTCCTAGCGGTAAATCAACTGTGTATCTCTGCTTAAAATTTCCTCTTCCACAGATTGCTGAGACACTCGAGGCAGAAGGGTGCGTATCCTCGTCTTAATTGTTAGTGCTGTCAATTGAATGTCACCGTTAGCATTCCGTATGTTCGCTTCGATGGGCAAATGTCTGCAAAAAGGAGGCAGGAAGCCATCGCTCGTTTCTCAGTCCCTGTAGAAGAGGTGCAGGACACCCCCTCTCTTTCCCGAAGTGCTCGAAGCTCGAGAGGTGGACGCTCAATTGTGGAACAAGGATATAACGGCGACGATGGCGACAGCGACTTTGTTATGAGTGGTGATGACGACTTTATCGATGATGAAGATGATGACAACGGCTTCACAAAGAAAAAGAAAAAGCCCAAAGCTAAAGCAAAGGGAAAGGGGAAGGCCAAGGCAGCGACAAGATCAGCGTCAATGGATAATGACACCTTCGAAGAAAATCCTAAAGTTATGCTTCTATCTTTGAAAGCGGTTCGTTAAGCTGCTTTCTGATGATTGATTGGTGTCTGAAAATATTTTAGGGAGCCCTCGGTTTAAATTTGACTGGTAAGATTCCACACACTATCTCACGCTGGCCGCTAACACGAAAGTTTGTGACCTAGTTGCGAACAACGTGTATTTGTGAGTTGTTCCTTCCGAAAGATGCTGTATGGCAATACTCATAACATCACCTTAGAATGGACCCGTAAGTGCCTTACTTTGAAGGGATGACCGCGTTGACAAGAAATCAATGACATTCTACTAGATGGTGGCAAGTATGTGACAATATGGTTCTTCGTGAAATGATCTCCCCTCATTTTTCTTTGCAGGAGGGGATCGAAAGTCAAGCCGTTGACAGAGTCAACCGCATCGGTCAGACAAAGCCTGTCCACGTTTACCAATTGATTGCAGAGAATACCGTGGAGTCCAAAGTCCTCGAAATCCAGGAGAAGAAAAAGCAGCTTATTCAACAGGTCGGCAATATTGCGATCGAACATTGACCAAGTGCTGAATCTTTGACAGGCGTTCTCCGGCATCAAACGAACGGAAACTCAGCGCCAGCAACGGGAAGCAAGATTGCAAGGTGAAATGACCTAGTTCGTACAATCACTCGCAAGCTCATGCCAACCCTTCGTAGATCTTGTTGAGCTTTTCGGTATTCGACGACAAGCCAGCCAAGTTGCTTGACCCGGTTATAGTCAACTAGAGAAACGTTTGTGCTTGACTAGGTTCCAGCCCCCTGTGGGATAGCTGGAACATAAGCATCCTCACCGTTAAAGTTAACCTAGCCATTCCTTTAATCTTGAGAGAGATCCCTTTCGTAGCAGAACCTACTACACACTTGCTTCTGCCTCTCTTTGCCTCTCTTTTGTTTAATCACTTACTCGAACCCGTGCATACATAAGAACCAGGTTCTTCAGGTGCATGTTATTTTTTTCAGAGTACCGTACGTATACTTCCCAAATATTCATTATAGTACTTATTCCCTTGTTCATACATACTCTTATGCTCCTTTCCGTACTTGGTATCGTACAGCCCTCCGTTTGTCCATGTGCCCTATGGCCCCGTGTCACTTATGTTTGATCTTGCATCTGCTCAAGTTGCCGTGCATATGGGTCTCGATGATCGAGTCATCTTCTTGTTCGGTACATAAGCTGGCTCTATAGCCTGATCAGCAAAGTGCAGAATGCCCCAACACTCAGTAACGCTGGAATCGCCTTGGAAGAGGATCAAACTTGTGCCCCCTTCCTCCGTGGATGATCAAGACGCCGTATCATGTCGGACCCATCCAACTACTCGACGATACCTACGCTTTCTCCCAGAGCATATGACGCAGGATGAAGCCCGCGTTCGACGCGAAACTCGCGCTGAGGACCCCCGGATATTCGATCTGATTATCTACCTCAATCAAGACAATGGAACGACGCGTTTTGCAGGTTTCACTGGGTACTTCAATCTCGAAGAAAACAACTCCAGTTGCGAAGTTGGGATCATTGTATCTCCAGAACTTCATGGCAAAAACATCGCCACGGAAACATTCTATCTGGTACTCCAATACATCTTTGAGGAGAAAGGCCTGCATCGCGCAACATTCCGCACAGGTTCAGACAACGTCGGCATGCAAGGATGGCTGGAGAAGACGGCTGGCGCACGACTGGAATCCGAGGAGAAAGAGTGCTGGAAGCAGCTTGATGGGACATTTCAGGATGTGAGGGGATACGCAATTCTGGAGTGGGAATGGAGAAATAACGTAAAGGCACGCCTTGAGGGACGGATGGGGGGATTGCCTTGATAAACGATGAAGACATACCTCACGGAGAATCTACTTTTGACACGATTTGATTGAGAAAGACGATCGAGTACAGTATGGAATACAAGATGGACAGAGAAAGGAATAATTATCGTATCATGTATTGAACTGAAGGTTGACCATTAGATCAGCATCGCAGCAGAAGTAGCAGGCGACATACCGCGGTAAGGTACGATTCAGCAACGATCCGAGCCCTTGCATTCAGGCTAAGTTTCATTTCGCTGATTTCTTTGTCAACTTCTTCCATAAATCTGGAGACGGTGAGTGAGCAAATTTAGGCTCAATCCCGAGAAGACGCCAAACGCACTGTATGATGAAATCAACGATTTTATGCTTAAGCATGGTCTCCGTATGCGTGTTTGTTATCAGGAATGAAATGTCATAACCCTGGAATGTGTCAGAGAGGCAAGGACATCAGTAGGGGTTCACGAACTGGTACTGGTTTCCGCCGCAGCACAATGAAGCTCTCTGCCCGTTGCATCATGAATCGCGTAAACTTGTTGCATAGAATGCGCTCGATCTCGTCGGCTTGCTTGATCCTGATGCTCAGTCTTATGGAATTGACTGACGGTTCGATCAGGACGCGTTCGTTCTCATTGCGTGAGATGGTGAGGGGGTTGAGAAGGACTTCTTTTGACGTCCTGCGGTGTATTAGACGGGCGATAATGAGGATCAATCGCTTTCACTTGCCCACATTCAACCTCTGGTTTGTTGTGCCGTTCTACAACCTGATAACGCGTGGTTGATGATCGCCATTGGGGAGTAAGCGTAACCGATTCGTACCTGCGAGGAGAAATTCTCCAATGTCAGAGCGGCAGTGAGAGTTGATCTGACCGCTGCAAGGTATGGTCGGAGAACGTTCGACTATATGCATGAATCAGGGACCTATCGCACTCCAAAAGGTGGATCCTTACCATGGTTGGGACTTAAGCCCACTTGATGAAGTGCGCCAAGAGGCGATCCTTCCCTGTTTCCACATTGAGTCGGAGCTTCGGCAGTCTCCGATCACGGTTTTATTTTCAAACTACAAACTTTCTAGCTAAGTCTGTTCAAACTTCACAACTCTACCTCCTCGAAATCATACATTTCTTGTGAAATGGCTACAAGTCTTGGCATCTGGTAGGTTTTGACGCGTTAATTCGCGCTCTGTACTTATCTTCTATTGATTAGGCATCTGGTTCTGAAAGGTGGAGAGGAGAAAGGGATCGTTCCGCCCTGTGCCATTCAAATTACAAATGTCTCGTATGGCGAAGAAATTGCAGATGCGAGCAGCAGGGGTGTCGTCAAATTGACGTTCCAGGGTCTTTCTCAGCAAGACAGCGACGGCGAAGATGACGAAGACCAAGACGGCAGTGCTAGTGGCCTGGCTCCCTCAACTACCGTGCTTTGCGCTCTAACGCCTGGAAAAGTGAGCTTTTTCTTGGCTCCTGCACCATTCAGGCGTCTGACCATGCTGGGTGACCAGATTGAACACGCTCCAGTTAGTCTCATTCTTGAGGAGGAAATGCCTTACGCCTTCAATCTCACCGGCAAAAAGTATCGTCCTTCTTCTTTTGAACTCCCGACTCTTGCTGATGATTTAATAGCACCGTGTATCTCACTGGCAATTACATCGGTTAGAATTCCTCTCATCTAAGTTATTATACGATCCTCAAATGTTCTGCTAGATCAAGGACATGACCAAGACCCCTTCGATTCAGATTCAGAGGACGCAGATTCAGAGGACGCCTATGACTTGCGGGAAGTCAGCTCTGATGTTGAGATGCATCCAGACGACCTTGACGGTATTGATAGTGACGCCAGGTGGGTACCATCTGGTACGCTAGGGATCTATTTCGCTTGACGCAGGATTTCATTTTCCCTTAGTCGATTCGAGGAGGTCACGGAGGAGCCATCCAAGAATCAAAAACGCCCCCGGGACTCGGATGCTGCTGCTGAAGAGGAGAAAGGCAGCAAGTCCGAGAAAAAGAACAAGAAGCTGAAGGGCGAAGGAGGGAAGGCTGTCGATGTGGAGGCAGCACCGGCTCAAAACGAGGAGAAAAGGAAAGACAAAAAAAAGAAGGAGAAGTCTGGCGACCAGGGCGAGACCAAGGGGGAAGGAAAAGAAAAAGAGAAATATCCGAAGAAGACTCTCGCCGGAGGTGTTGTCATTCAAGACGCCAAAGTTGGCACTGGACCCATGGCGAAGAAAGGGAACACGGTTCGCATGCGCTACGTTGGCAAGCTCACCAATGGAAAGGAATTCGACAAGAACGTGAGCGGTAAACCGGTGCGTTTTCACGTTAATTTTTGTCCGATTCGCATTTTGAATACCAAGTGCAGTTCGCCTTCCACCTGGGGAAAGGCGAAGTCATCAAAGGTAGATAAATGTACTTCTTCATATAACCCCAGCTCACTCTTGCACCGTAGGTTGGGACGAGGGTATTGTTGGCATGCAAGTCGGAGGGGAGCGTATCCTCACCATCCCGCCCAAGATGGGCTACGGTGGGCAGGGCCAAAAAGGCATTCCAGCCAACTCGACCCTTGTTTTCGGTTCGTCCATGTTCTTTCGTTCTTCCTTCCTTCTCGTCCTTATAATGTTAATTAGATGTTAAACTCTTGGAAATCAAGTAATGCCCGTGGAAGCCTAGCTGTTCACCACAAAAGTACACCTTTCATCTTCATTTACTCTGCTAATCATTCGGGTGATATGTAGTCAATTTATTTTGTTGGATTTGAAGCCAGTTGATGGGCAGAATGAATTTCTGCGGCCTTCCCCTTATGCTGCTCGTTGACGATTGTGTCGGTGATTGTTTGGTAGCGCGAAACAAGACGGCTTATGGTTTACCTACACGTGCATCTGTCACGATCGGACAGCATAATGCGCTCAATCAAGTGGTTGTATTGCCTTTTTCATACAAGCGTGGGGCTCGGGGTTCTCGGTCACGGCCGCCGGGCAGGATCATCCCAAGAAGCTCGGCACTGGTCGGCAGAACACTACAATTGCCTCATTGAGAGAATTTATCTCTCGATTCTCAAATGCCCGTGCAACAAGCGGTGGACAGTGTTGCTGATCCTTTCCCTTGACCGTCATGCAGAGGACCCTGCTGCTCGTTGGATCTTTCATTCTCCTCCTTGTCTGTCAGAAAATAATCGGCTTTTTCAGAGCAGTCAAATCCATCGGGTGTGTTGCCCTTCTCGTCCTCGGTACATCCGCTAAAATCGCTCCTGTACTGGCAGCAATCACCCTGGACATCGTCTCCTCTTCTCTCCTGCAAATATCCTCGGTTCATTCTTGCCAAGGACCAAATATGTATCGCTGGGCCAAAACCACACATTTGTGAGCAAGCATACTGGTACATGTCGACATCCCCTGTGTTCTTTGATCAACAAGCTGATTTGTCGACGTCCAGCATTCGAAGCTGCTGGTTGTGATATCCACTCGTCTGTGAGGCGCCTCCGTGAGGGCTGACCATGTTGAAGATGATACTGAGCCATGCAGGTTAGCATCATTCCCAACGTCAGGACAATGCTTGTGCTTGCAGATCCTGCAGCAATCAAGGTTGGTGCCCTTCGTCCCCGGACCCCTTCCATTTTTGAACCCAAGATTGGTTTCAGGAAGTCACCTCTTCACGGGCTCGCTTCCCGAAACCAGTTCATTTCTACAAGGCCCTCTCCTTCTACGGGCACAACATTGTCGCCTCCGAAGGAGAAGAATGGAAGAAATACAGGAAGATTTCCTCACCTGCTTTTTCGGACGTACGTGCTCCGTATTCTAATGGCAGCTAAAGCTGATGCACGCCTCAGCGGAATAACAAATTGGTTTGGGATGAGAGTGTTAAAATTATGGAAGGACTGTTCACGGAAGTCTGGGGAGATAAGGACACCATTACAATTGATCACTGCGTGGACATCACTTTGCCGGTACGTGTTCCTAGCTCTTCACACAAACTTGTTAGCTAATTCTGCCTTGAGATTGCTCTCTTCGTAATTGGCGTCGCTGGTGAATCTATGTCCTGCAATTATCGACTGCCACCCAGTAAACCTGACTATTTAAAGGTTTTGGCAGAAACGTCTCATGGAAAGAAGATGTCGTGATTCCTCCGGGTCACCAGATGACCTTCAAAGACGCGCTTCACGTCGTCACGACCGACTTCTTCGTGAAGCTGATTGTACCAGATTGGGCTATGCACTTCACCGCACGCTTGCGCCGAGCCAAGCTAGCCTTCGACGAGTTGCATGTGAGTTTTGTCTCAGCAAGGTCTGGCCTTGTGCTCATGATGAACAGCGTTACATGGCTGAGATGATCCGCCTTCGCCAAAATTCCGAGAAAGTTGAACGACACGACCTTTTCAGCAGCCTTCTGGATGCAAACTCTGGCGACCTTGGCGGTCCGGCGTTGACTGAGGATGAGCTTATCAGTAAGGAGGATGCCTTGCGGCTAAGGATATCTCATAGAATTTTTACAGGTAATATTTACATCTTCCTGGTCGCTGGGCACGAAGTGAGTGCTTCTGTTCTCTCATATCACGAAAAATCCGCCCTTCGTTTAGACAACAGCGCATACGCTCTGCTTTACCTTTGGCTTGCTGGCGCTATACCAAGAAGAACAAGAGAAGCTTTATCGGCACATAAAGTCTACTATACCATCTGACCGGCTTCCAGTAAGTTGTATCGTACCCCTCTTTATATGAAATCTCTGAGAGATACGGCACAGACATATGAAGAGATGCCTCTCCTCACCTATTCCATGGCGTAAGAATGGTTGTTGGGTGCTGCCACAAAAATACTGATCTTCCCTAGGGTGTTCTACGAGACTTTGCGACTATTCCCCCCGGTTGGTCTTCTCTCTCTTTTCGTGTGATGATGACTCTTAGATCAGACCAGGTCGCAGCCGTGCCCAAATTTTCTGCTGAGGACACTACTCTCACAACTACGGATTCGGAAGGTGTGAAGATTACTGTGCCGGTGCCAAAGGGAACAGAGATTACCATTGCCGTGCCGGGTCTTCATTATAACCGTGTGTCATCCTTGAGACTCTTCGGATATCCTTTGTTCACACCACTCCTATAGCACGCTACTGGGAAGATCCACACACTTTCAAACCTGAGCGTTTCCTTAAAGACTGGCCCCGTGATGCTTTTGTCCCCTTTAGTGCTGGTACGCAATCCCTCGTTACCCTCAAGATCAAAACTGAGCTGCCCTCTTAGGTGCTCGAGCCTGCATCGGCAGGAAGTTCGTCCATTTCATCTGCCTCATATCTGCTGTCATTGATCAAACTGCTATAGGTTCTTCGAAACCGAGGGGATTGCCATTTTAACCATGCTCGTTTCATGCTATAAAATCACTGTCAAGGAAGAACCCCAATTCGCGGGAGAAACATTTGAAGAACGCAAGGCGCGGGTTCTTGCCAACCGCGCGGGTCTAACGGTCACGTACGTGTCCCTCGTGGCTTGCGTGTGGAAATTGTGCTCACTGAAGGTAAACATATAGGCCTCTTCGTGTTCCGCTAGTGTTCACTCGCCGAACGTGATAATCATGAGAAACACCCTTGGAACACCACCCGCTTGTTATCTGCTGCTTGATCCATACGTACAAGTTGCACTTCATGTATTGCTTATCGAGAGTGATAGTTTGATTCTGTGTTCTGTGTCAAGTTGACTTCGAACGGACATCGACTCGAAGGCATGAACAACCTCTTCTTCTTTAGCGCCTTAAATCTAAGATCCTAGTATTTGAGATAGATCTGGCACATTTTTGCGCTGTATCCGCTTGCGTTCCTCGGAACAGGAGCTCGATCACAGCGTGCCCTGCCCTTAGGGTGCATGCACTCAACGAAGTTGAGAAGGAATCTTAGCAGCTGCTTGGGATGAGCCTTTCGAAGTCTCCACCAATATTAAATGAGCTTTAAACATTTGTGAAATCACCAGATAGCCGGTTTACTATTCCCATAGACGCACGATGAGCGAGGGTTGGTGGCACAAGCGAGGGTTAGTCATTGTTGATCACGTCGGCAGTATCCTCCGAACGCCGATCAGGGGAGGTTTATGTGGCGCACAGATGCGCAATTGCTGATTTAGGCTGCAATTAAATCCTGATCACTCTTCCGCCATCAGCGATGCTAAAAAGTAAACTAATTCCATTTCGAGAATGACTCGTCCCTAATTTGCAGAAGAGCGCCCATGAATACTCTGAGGACGCTCTCCGGCTAATGACACCCACCCTCCTAACCAGCGTGTCTTGCGCTAGCACTGGCGGTAGGTCGTCAGGTCTTTTTCTTCATTAAAATTAGCGATGCGATTGAAGATCTTTTTGAAGAACCCTTAGGCCTATGGTGCAAGCACTCAATGCGACATCTGCTCCGCAGAATGGTCGTGATATATCCAGCTACTCGGAAGGGGTGTTTATTACCCTCGTTCGCCACCGTCATTATCGACTGTTGGGCGGCATGATCCCTTCTTCTCTAAAGAAAGAAAATGTGACATGCTGGTGCGCCTTCTCTTCTTTCTTTTTTCCCCTAATCAAGGATTTGATGACATGAAGAGTCCTGGCTCACACGTGAATATCGAAGCACATGAGGGAACTACGAGCATTGAATCAATGGTTACCAATAGGCTTGCTTCCATCTACAATGCTTCGCGGACTCGAAGACCTTATAGTCGGACCTCTAGTGGGCTAGTGGGTCGAGAAATGTCAAATTCGGCTCTAAAACCTCATGGTGGATGCTTATCACCTGCGATAGCTTGTAGATAGTGGCAAAATGCGCTCGATTAGATATATTAGTACTGAGAGGGTTGCAGATTTTTGAATTCAGTGCTCACCTCCCCTCTACATACTATTTGCCGATTGCTTGGCTGGAGACTGGTGACGGAGACAAATGAACGGAAGTGGAGAATTGCGGCTGATGCCGAGGCTAAGCGATTCAGTCAATAGTCATCATAAGGGTTCGGAGTCCCACGATGCCCTTGTCCTGCAGCCACTGCCCACAATCTATTCACGCCATTCTTGCTTCGCCCAATCTCCATTCTATTTGCGATGTCAGTCCGGGTGCAATTGGTTACACACGGCGTTACACATAAGACAGTAAGGCTTCTGTCCTTTGGCGTCCTTCAAATCCTTCACTCCATTATGCCAGGAATCCTGCTTTCTGCGCTAACTATCGCAGCAATTTATGCTTTTCGAAAGTATATAGCCTTTCGAAATGCTGTTCGCTCTGTTCTGTGCGTGCATCCCCTCTTTCGTTTCCTCATCGATTTGATATTCCGGCAGAGACCTACCAGGCTACCGCGTCCTTTTCACGCAATACAGCCTCGTTGCCAATTTATTTCCACCGATTCCCGGGATCAGTCCAGGCAGCAACCACTTCTTCACCGACAAATACACCAGTGTGTTTGTAATACCCGCTCCAGCGTGCATGGAAACTCATTCCACCTTTGGACAGCATTCGAGCGGACGGGATGGGATATTAGCACAGTAGTGAGTCCCCTGCCTCTGCAATCTTCTGCGAACGTTTGACTGACTGATGATAGGTTGCGGTGCTTCCACATGCTGAAGCTACCGTGGTACTGGCAGACGCTGAAGCAATCAAGGTTGAACCGCTGGTACCCCGCAGGAGCCAGGATATTAAGTATCTCTCTTGCAGGAAGTTACTTCCTCCAGAGCACGGTTCCCCAAGCCTGTCGAGATGTACGAAGTGCTATCTCTATTCGGCCGAAATATAGTCGCATCCGAGGGAGAGGAATGGAAAAAGTACCGGAAAATATCTGCTCCTGCATTTTCTGATGTACGACCACCGCGTTCTCCTTCTATTTATTGTTCAATTGTTCTGTTCAGCGCAACAACAAGCTCGTTTGGGACGAGGCTGTTCGGATCATGGTTGGTCTCTTCGACGAAGTTTGGATGAATGCGAAAACGATCTCGGTAGATCACTGTGTGGAAACAACCTTGCCTGTGGGTTCTTGCATATGATGGGTATTGTTCTGCACCGTTGATTTCACTGTCAGATCGCACTGTTCGTTATTGGCGTCGCAGGTGAGTACTTCCAGTGCAACGAATTGCGCACTTATCCTCCAATAGGTTTTGGAAGGAGGATATCTTGGCAAGATGACGTAGTAATTCCTTTCGGGCACGAAATGTCGTTTAAGGATGCCTTGCACATTGTTTCCACCGATATATTTATCAAGATGATTACGCCTGAAAAAGTATTGGGTCTCACCACAAAGCTCCGGAGGATCAGACATGCATTCGAGGAACTGGAGGTGTGTAGCACACCCTATCCTTGTCTGAGGGACTCATCCCCTTCAGATGTATATGGTTGAAATGATCAGAGAACGTCAAACATCAGAGAAGGTTGAGAGGCACGATCTATTCACTAGCTTACTGGAAGCCAACGCCAATGATTTGGACATCACTAGCCTTACTGAAAGCGAACTCACTGGTGCGCCTGGGTTTTCCTATTCTCGTTGATGCTGGCCTGTCGCTGATCGTGATCGCAGGGAACATCTTTATCTTCCTTCTTGCCGGACACGAGGTATTTTGCTGGCCGATTGGTAACAGATATTTGCTTATTCTTGGTTGGATAGACAACTGCCCACACGCTTTGCTTCACCTTCGCTCTGCTTGCCTTCCATGAAGAGGAACAAGAGGCATTGTACCAACATATCAAGTCGGTGTTACCTGATGGACACATCCCGGTATGGTGACTGTTTAGGCTTTAACCGGTCAACCTGATCCATTAAATAGACGTATGAGGAAATGCCCTTGCTGACGCACTCCATGGCGTAAGTAATGACGCTGGCTATTACGGTGCATGACCCATGCTAAAACGGCCAATCACTATGAAGTACATTTTACGAGACGTTGAGAATGTTTCCTCCGGTAAGTCATGGTCGTCTACGTCGTCCACGTTATGTAACTGACGCCTTTCAGGTGGTTAATGTCCCAAAATATAGTGCCGAGGACACGACACTAGTGGCTGGGAATCAAAACGGCGAGAAGTTAACAGTGCCTGTCCCGAAAGGTGCTAAGATTGCAATCAACACTCCAGGCCTTCATTACAATCGTTTGTCGGCAATTACTCTCCGAAAATCAGGTACTGACTGCCCACCTTTAGCCCGATATTGGGAGGACCCTCATACTTTCAAACCATCCCGCTTTTTGAAGGATTGGAACAAGGACGCATTTTTACCGTTCAGTGCCGGAGCTCGAGCTTGCCTCGGTAGGAAGTGAGCCTAGTAATGTGTCGTTCATGGATTATTTTCACGCCTGGTTTTCTAGATTTTTCGAGACGGAAGGCGTAGCCGTCTTGACTATGTTGGTCTCTCGCTACAAGATCTCGATCAAAGTTGACCCGAATTTCGCTCACGAGACACTCGAGCGGTGCAGGGAGCGGGTGTTGGCCACCCGAAATGGGCTTACTTTGACGTGAGTTTTGTTTCTCCTGGCCATATCATGCTGGATGCGCTGACTTTGTGAAACCCCACCTAGGCCTGTGCAAGTTCCTTTGAGTTTCACCCGACGGGACTAGGACGATGGCCACCTCATTCGCCTGACACTTCTTCCTCACGGAAGGCCGGAAAAGACGAAAGTTTTGTGGAGTAGATATATTGCAACTCTCCTCCCCCCGTAATCCATGTCGTAATCCTTGTCGTAATCCTTGTCGTAACCCGACTGTACCTGTTTCTCCAAGGATGAATAACACGATTCATGTTGGATGCGTTGTCGAGTCATGGTCATGAAATCTCGACCGCCTAGCTTATGCCCGGATTCTGGTCGAGTGTATCAGAAGCTACAGCCTCTCAGCCATGTGAGTTAAGAAGCTCCATTCCGTCCTTGGGCTCTCCATTTTTTGAGTCGCTAAGGGGGACGCGAGACCATCTTCCCAAAAGGCGAAGAACTTAACCAGCAGGAAGGCGCCACCCAGAAAGGGAAATTCTGGGGATTTCTAGTATGTCTAAAAATTCACCTTAGCATGAAATACGTTCAAGCAATAAACGACCAAGAATCACGTCGATTTCGAGCAAACAAATTTATCAAGGACACTGCGATACGTTATGATGGAAGTGTCACGTAGCCACCATAGCGGAAGCTTCGTTGCATGATCGATACAGAAGTCAAGAAAGGAGCCCACCACCAACAGGTTCCGAGCCATGAGCATACAAGAGGCACACCGAAGAAGTCGACAATCTTGAGACAGGAATCCGATGGGCAATCCAATGCCAACTGGGAGTGCGGGAGAAGGATGGAGGTGGACCAGATTCCGCCCGGATAGCAGTACAGTAATACGTCGGTTCGGTGCGAAAACTGTACGTTTGATGTCCTTGAGGCCAGAGGCTCAATTTCCCCCAACTCTTCTTGCCAGGAGTTTTTGAAGACGGCCTGACTAGGTAATGATCGAAGCAAGGTGCACATTATGACCCAAACAAGTTTTCAGAGAACGTCGCCGCGAGGGCTGCAAGGCATAGGCTCACTTTATGACATCGTTTGACGGATCTTTGGCCTCCTGACGTCCTGGGTTTGAAGGAGAAAATTTCGCATGCTCACCTGGTAGGCCGGCGAATGACCACTACGCGACGTTTGCGCAGACGAGACATAATCGAGATGAGCAGTTCAACATTCTCATACGCTGTAGGGCACTCGGTCGGGACGTAAGACAGAAAAACCTACCTTCAGCCAATGGGTTTGAAAAACCGGAATGATGCAATGGTTAGAGAAACGTTTCCTCGGCGAAAGTATTCTCATTTCAGGGATATGTCGGCCACAAACATCAAGGTGACGAGAGGATTTCATGAATCCCCCCCTTTGCGACATTCTTCTTTTTTGATTTCAGGTGGATCCGAGTGGAGGTGCGTTTCGATGGTGTGACCGAATTCTGCTTAATTGTTAACCCTGCTGAAAAACGTAGTGTGTGCCGTGGCACATGGATTGTGGTTTGAAAGCGAAGACTTAATGACCGCGCACAGGTGCCTCAAGCATAGTTGTCGTCGGCGGATCCCTCGTAGTCCGCCTCGTTGCGGAGCTAGGGAATGGAGAGGGGAAGACTCGCTTTATTTGCGTGGTCATTGGTATATTCAGGCGGAAGATGGTGATTGACCTTGACCTACTGTTTGATTCAGGAAATCTTGCACAAAACTCGGCAACGTCACGCACCAGAATGACTGTTTGCCCCCAAAGGCCCCCAAAGGCTATGGGACAAAAGATGGGCACTATAAAAGAGAGACAGCATCATGGTGAGTAACAGGCATCCACTCTCTTCCCTCGACACACTTACCTTATGACTTTGCCGTAGGAACACCAACTTCCAACCTGTACCCCAACCTGCTGGTCGGCAGTAGACAGAACCTCCTTCTAACAAACCTTTCGACATATGTGCCTCGTTGTCAACACCCCATTTCTTCTTGGTCGATTACTTCACGATTGATATCGACGTCCAGCCTGAAGGCCGCATTTCTTTTCAAGAATTCCACATCCGGGTACGTCTTCAGATCTTCTCCTTCACAGAAGCGGGAGAGCCTGCGAAGTCTCCTGGTCGGTCCTACCATTCTTATGCTTGTCCACGGTCGAGTTCGACCATTCAAGCCCAATGAGACGTGGTCATTACCATGGGAATGGAGTATGTCGACCATTACGACGAGCGGGCCTGCCTCTCGTTGGCCGGGGTTGCCGTTATTGGCAACTTGGCCTAGTTGTCGCAGCGCTTAATGCAAAAGCTATTGCTTGTCCACAATGAGATGTGTCACGAGGACTGGGGGCAGGATAGATGCTGATCCATTGAAGGATCGCAGCTGTTCGGTTGTATGCAGGACCTATGCTGCCCCAATCGACCGCCCCGCAGTTGGAGCTGGACATTGCTGGCTGACATCAGACAGGAGCTCCCTTATGCTTCACGTCCGGAACCATCCCAAGGATGAGCCGATTTGTGGCACAGAAAATACGTGAGGTCCAGAACAGTGAATGAACCAACCCCCGATGATGGAATTTCTGCTAGTCCATACCAGCGCTGGAATTGAGCGCGATCTATTCTTCTGTCAGAGCGAAAGCGTAGTTGGGATATGACCAAGCGAGGTGAGCCAGGATTTTTTGGATGATTCCATTTTGCGAAATTGAAATTCGTTGTCGTAGTGGTCTCGCCTCAAGAGCACACTGTCCCTTCAAGCGATTGGAGCAAGATTAAAGCCTTTTTGATCCTATATGCTGGTGTGTTCCTATATGCTGGTGTGTTGACAATGTCCTCCTTTCTCAGTACCCCCAGCAGGAGCAGGACGCCAGCGGCCGGGGGTGGGGTGTGCAATGCGATTCAACCTCCTTTCCGCCTCAGACCTCGAGCCTTCGTGGTCGTCTGGGCCTGCTGATCCTCAAGAAGAGAGGTCAGTCTCGACGGTCCTGCCGGGCTTGATCCACAGGTAAGAGCGAAGCCTGTCGCGAAAAGGTGTGAATTGGTCGTCGCCGTGGATTCCAAGCCATATGGACGATAGGACCGCGGTGACGCCGTTAATCTTTGAGAAAAGGCAGGTCAGGCAGTTACCATAAATGTTTCGAGTTGACTAACTGGAGGACTGCCAGGGAGGATGCCGGAGCTAGGAACACAGGAAGGTGTTGGTTGGATGGAAAGCAAGAGCGCCAACCTTTTGTACACAGTGATCTGCGACCCCTTACAAATAGAAAGTCTTGCGGTCGGCGGTGCTCCCTCGGCAAGGATTCCAAAACAAAAAAAATATCTAACGAACGAACGAGACTGTCAGGAATTGAGTATATGCCAGGAGGCTTAAATGGGATTCAGTTTGACTCGATGCGAAGAGGTTGGAAGAAGTTAGCAACACTCAACTCAGCACAGCTTCATTGACAGCTTTGTCTTATAACTCAGTAGGCTGTATACACCTGCGAATTCGAAGCCATGAGTCTACGGTCTACGCAATACGCATCATAGCCGATAGGCAGCAAAGACGATGTAAATAAATCGAATTGCCGGATGACATTACAGGAGCAGAACCAGATCGTGCAATACATAACGAGCTTAAGAATTAAGCCCATCTTCCGGGAACAACCGGGTGAGATGAAGAAATACCACCATCAACGGCGAAGTTCTGTCCATTGACATAGCTGGAGTCATCTTGGAATTAATAAGATCAGGAAGTGAGATGAGATAGACGTGGTCAAATTGTGAAAACTGGCTCACCTGAAGCGAGGAAGAGGGCAGCGTTGGCAATTTCTGGAGATACGAAAATCGACATCGCCCATAAGCATAGTAGGATGATATTTTCTGACCTTCTGGAACGGCATATCTTCCCATGGGGTTCAACTGTCCTATACGACTCTCTGTCCCACGTTCGCGAGCGTATTCAAATGTGGGACCGGTCATCCCGGTCTCAATCAAGCCGGGACAGATGGAATTGACGCGGATGTCGGTCTTCTGCAGTTGATAGGTCGAGGTCTGAGCGATGGAGTTGACGCTATTGGGAGGTTAGACAAGCATGTTGTAAAATACGCCTCAACACCTACGCAGCCTTGCTTGCACTATCTGTGATCCAGTAGGGTAAGAGGTAAAGATAACCACGTGTGAACTAGGGCTCACTCACAATCAACGGTACCTGCCCCCGACCTCAGCCCTGCCACTAAAAGGAAGAAGTAAATTGTCGAACATTCACCAAATGGTTAGGGCTCAAGGAGACACACCGGAAGCAGTCAAGATGATACTTCCCCTACTGGTATCCTTGCCTCGGGATGGATTGACTTTAAGCATAGCTGCAGAAGCATGCTTCACCGCAAGGAAACAGCTGTTGAAAGACTCGGTTAGTCATCGAAGAAGGGGCAAATCATGTGCGTACGAAAGGGCGTTGACGCGCATAGAATTCATGAAGGTCTCCGCGGTGGTATTTTGGAGGGTGTCGCGTGAAGCAACCCCAGCCTATTGGGTAGAACGTTGAGAAAGAGAACGTGTCCAGCCTAACAAGACTTCCCATACATTGGCAAAGAAGACGTCCAGTCTGCCCTCTTCTCGAAGAGCTTGCTCGCAGATGCCTTTAATTGCTACTTCATCAGCAGCATCTGCTTGTTGGACTGTAACCTTGAAATAGTTTGAGGCACCGAAACAACCTGCCAGCGCTCCTTTAAAGCTCACCTTAACATCGGGGTATTTAGACTCGATTGTTGACTTGAGGTTCTCCAAATTCGTAGGGTCATAATCCAAGAGGTAGAGGTGCTTCGCGCCTACTGGAGGGTCAGGATGGAGAGAAAGGCTGCACCGGGGTTCATTGACCTTCATGTGCGAAACGTATCGCAGAGGCCCGTCTAGGGGTTCAAGTCGTGAGTAACGCTGGGGCAACAAAAAAAGAAACTCTTACCCAATCCCCTTCAACGAACCAACACCTGTGATAATGCACACTTTGTTCTTCAGCTTGCCGGAACGAACGGCTGTATTAAGTTGGGACTGTATCTGTTTGAGACGCGCCTGTGTCGTGGCGAAGTGGTCTTGGGCTTTTGGCCCAACACTGTTGACATGCCCATAACCACTCATATTTCAATGTGGAGACGGGTTCGAAAGGCAGAGTTGTGGGGTGATGGTGATGAAAGTAGGCAGGTACTTATTTGAAGGTGCAAGAGTGCGGGGGAAAGAGATCGCCGGTGATTCACGCTGCCGGCCGGTAAACTGGTGAATTCCCTCATCGGCCTTGGCGTATAACTCCCCTATGGCCGGATAATTACCAGATGTTACCGACCTGACGTCGACCTGACCCTTCGACGACCGGAGTCTATCTCAAAATGGTAACTATTTTCGGGCATTTTCCCGTAATTAGGTGGACTTGACTCTTAACTCCGAGTCCTACTCTTCAAACTCATTTCACACATCTCCCAAGACGAGCTCTTCAACTCGCCCAACAGCGCCTCAAGGCGACGAGTTTGAAATGGCGCCTATTATTGCAAGCTCCTCGGCGGATCCAGACCCAGAGGGCTCGCAGTCGTATGACTATACAGAAGGTGCCTCAGCAGTCGACATAGACCAGGCTTTGGACAACAGCCGTCGGGCTCGACGCGATTCTCAGTACAGCACCTACCATGGCGGCGACGGTGATGGTGCAATGTTCTCTGGACCAGGACACATTGCGAACCCAAGCAGTGTTTCTCGGATGTCGCATATTGAACTTGGGAGAAGGAGCAGTGATGTATGGTCACGGTCGAGGCGGAAGAGCTTTGACTCGAAGGCTTCTCATAGAGGCCGGAGGGACAGCCGGGCTAGTCAGTTATCAAGAAGGAGCCTGGACAGTGCAGTCAGACAACGCGTAAATGGAGATGAGACCGACTCACTACTCGATGAAGATGGTGGAAGCGCGACAAGTGGGAGAAGGAGGAGACGGTCCCCGTCCCCTCCAACACGATCCTCAGTTTTTGGTAATATCGCGAATCTATTTACCAGGGGCGGGGCTCAAGAAAACTCGCGCGAACGTCGTCGTTCAATATCCCAGCGGTCGTCTACTAGCAGGCTCTCCAGGCGCTCCGACGCCATGTCAGAAAATGCTCTTGATACGGAGGACGACGAACAGGAGCGGTGGGGTTACTCCTCGGGAGAAGAGGATGAATCTGAGGAAGAATACCAACAATCTATTGACACAGGGAAGGACACAGCATCAATTACGCCCAGCATGAACTACGACTCTGAGCCACCGAGCCCTATGGAAGGAAACCAGAGTCTTCCTATGCTCAGTTTCGACCCAGTATTTGGTGGAGAAGCTCGCATCGATATGGATACGACATTTACACTGCTCGACCTGCCCCCGCCAGGACCTCCCAGTCGACAAACCATATATATTCCCGACGAAGACAATACCGTACGATTCATTGGATACGAGACTATCAGATGGCGTGTTTGGGCGTGGCGCACATGTTGCGTTTTATCTTTCGGTATTCTTGGTTTACTAGGACATTGGTTTCCCTATCTCTGGCTACGTTGGGTGGCACGAGAGAAGGCATTCATCGACTCTCATGATGGCTTTTTGGTTGTGGAGGTGAATTTCCTATCTCTTCGTTCTTAATACTGACTAATCTGGTTTTAGTCGTCGTACAAGGCAATCATGCTTCTTCCGATAAGGTCCTTGAAATATCCATATCCCATTACCACCGTTTTCCCGCAAACAATACCTATAGTTGACGGAATGGAGACTATTATACCATCTAACAAAGATTATGAACTCAAGGACGGTTTTATCAAGCATCTTTTGGTGACTGACTATAGATATACTCGTTTTGCTGTTGACCCCCGAACAGGGCTTTTCAACATGGTTAGGTTTGTTGCACTGCCATTCCCCGTATGTTGGTCGCTTATAATGCCATCTTAGGGACTGGAGAGATCCATACTTGGCCAGCATCGTCTCCGCCAAGGAGCCCCTCGATTATGCGACAAGAGAACAGAGGCTGACGCTGTTCGGAAAAAACGAGATCGATATTGAGGCGAAATCGACAATATCTCTTCTTGTCGAAGAGGTCAGTCTCAATGTATAGAGGTCTTTTGCCTGGTTCATATTCCTTAGGTCATCCACCCCTTTTATATTTTCCAAATCGCCAGTATCGTCCTATGGTCACTAGATGACTACTACTACTATGCCTTCTGCATCGCCCTCATCTCCATCATCAGCATTGCTACAACCTTGATCGAGACAAAGAAGGTAAAGACCCATTCTTGTCTGCGTTGAAATCAGCTCCTTACTTGGCCTTTGAGACTATTGCCCGGATGCGAGAAATGTCGAGGCTCATCTGCCAGATGGATGTGTTAATCAATGGTTCATGCAAGTGGTCTAAAACATGACTCCTCCCCAGTCGTCTTCATCTCTTTGTAGGGACAACACGGGACTCGACCAACCTTGTCCCGGGAGATATCGTCAATCTTTCGACCTCCAATATCACCATAATTCCGGCTGACCTGTTCCTTCTGTCGGGCGATGCAATCGTCAATGAGAGCATGCTCACTGGAGAGAGTGTTCCTGTCACGAAAATCCCTGCGAAGGACAGTGACCTCGTCCAGTGGCGAGATGATAAGTCAGAAAATGCGAAGACATTCCTCTATGGAGGTACCCGAGTCGTTCGTATACGAGGAAATTTCACCATCGAGGCTCAATCACAGCCCGCAATTGCTGTCGTTGCTAGGACAGGTGAGGTTCCTTCTGTATTTCCAATTTCCATGAACAAATCTGAACCTTTTCTTCAGGATTCAATACAACTAAAGGTGCACTCATCCGGTCAATGCTGTTCCCTAAACCCATTGGATTCAAGTTCTATCGTGATTCGATGAGGTTCATTGGCGTTCTTGCTGGCATCGCTGGTCTCGGCTTCTGCTTCAGCGCCATTGGGTTTGTTCGAATCGGGGTGGGTTCTTTTATTCTCTTGCCACAGCATAATAGTAACATGGATATGTAGCTTCCGTGGCATACGATTCTTGTTCGAGCTCTGGATTTAATCACGGTTGTCGTTCCTCCTGCTCTTCCTGCCACCCTCTCAATCGGAACCAGCTTCGCAATTGGCCGACTTCGCAAACACGGCATTTATTGCATATCCCCAAGCCGAGTCAATGTTGCAGGGAAGATCAATGTGTGCTGCTTCGATAAGACAGGAACGTTAACTGAGGACGGTCTCGACATCCTCGGTGTACGTAGCCTAGAACGGAACGTCCATCGTTTTGGAGAACTGTTAGAGGATGTACACGATGTTCCTCTGGGCAGAGAAAAAGCCACGTTTCTGCATGCCCTGGCCACCTGCCACTCTCTGAAGATGGTCGACGGAGAGATCATCGGTGACCCTCTCGACGTCAAGATGTTTGGATTCACCCGGTGGACCCTCGAGGAGGGACGGGTAGCTGGGATAGGAAACATCAAGGCGAAAGGGACGGTCATCGAGCAAACAGCCATTGTCCAGACGGTCGTTCGTCCGCCTGGAAGTGCACAGTTCCGGTTAGAGGATGCGTTGAAAGGGGCGACGAAGGTAAGAAAAGCCTTTCTCGAGCCAGTCGGAGTAATGCTTAAAGCAAGGTCAATAGCACGCACATTTCCTTGAATTAGGTGTCATACGCACCTTTGATTTCGTTTCGACCCTCCGGCGAATGAGCGTCATCGTCAAACGCCTGCGGAGTACCAGCATGGAGATATATGTCAAAGGTGCACCGGAAGTCATGGTCGAAATTTGTGACAAGGCATCCCGTGCGTCTCCTTACCACCTCATTCTTCTCTTCGTTTAGGAGACCGATTCCTCTTTGTAGTACCCGAGGACTACGACGATTTGCTGTCGTATTACACGAAACGGGGCTATCGAGTTATAGCCATCGCTGGCAAAAGTATTGAAGGATTGTCATGGCTGAAGGCGCAGCGAATGAAAAGGTATGCTTCTCGTTGTCCTCCTTTCTTTGTTCTGACTCATTCTTTTCTTTCAGAGAGCAAGCTGAATCAGGGCTCAAGTTTTTGGGACTCGTCATCTTTGAAAACCGGTTGAAGCCTGGAACGACTCCGGCCATCCAGGCCCTGCGCTCGGCCCATCTAGCATGTCGAATGATCACTGGCGACAACCCTCTGACTGCGGTCAGCGTCGCCCGTGAATGCGGACTCATAAACCAAGCAGCCCACGTCTTCTCGCCGGCCTTCGCACGAGGTTCGTCCTGCAACTGCCGGTTGGCCAGGATGTCCAAGTCAGGCGCCTAAATTTACCCTATCTTCGTGTTGCAGGTAACGCGACGACGCCGGCTTCGAAGCTGGTGTGGACATGCATGGATGATCCCCTGTGGAAGCTTGATGCTTATAGCTTGAAGCCTCTCCCGCCACCTCCGCATCACACTATCGAAGGCGACGAGATTAACTACCAGGACTATTCGCTTGTCATTACTGGTGACGTGTTCCGCTGGATGCTTAACTATGCACCGTTAGAAACCTTGCAACGGGTAATTATTACCTCTTTGACTTGATTATGGGCTAATGAGGCCGTTAGATGCTGGTGAAAGCACAGGTCTTCGCTAGAATGTCCCCAGATGAGAAGAATGAGGTCGTCGAGCGACTTCAGAGCCTGGGGTACACTGTTCTCATGTGTGGCGATGGGGCGAATGACTGTGCAGCATTGAAGGCAGCAGATGTCGGTATCTCGTTGTCTGAGGCGGAAGCTAGCGTGGCTGCCCCATTCACGACCAGCACACCTGACATTGGATGTGTGCTTGAAGTCATCAAGGAGGGTCGTTCGGCGCTGGTTACGAGCTTCAGTTGCTTCAAATATATGTGAGTGCGTTTTCCTCAGTTTGAATTTGTGCTGGAATCATTTTTGTAGGGCCTTGTATTCGATGATCCAATTCACCTCCGTTACGTTGCTGTATTCCTTCGCGTCCTCTCTGGGCGACTTCCAGGTAAGCTATGATGGAGGTTGGGTATTTGTACTCTCCTTTTGACCAACTGCCCATGGCATCAGTTCCTGTACATCGACCTTTTTATCATCATCCCTATTGCAGTGACGAGTGAGCCATTCCCATTCTCTTCGACTGATCATCATTTTCAATCAATTCTCAGTGGGGCGCACTCTACCATACCCCCGAATATATCCTAAACGGCCGACGGCAAGCCTGGTTTCGAAGAAGGTCCTTGCGAGTATTATCGGCCAGATTGTAATTACCAGTGCAGTACAGGGATGGGCGTTCCTCTGGGTTCGCGGGCAGGAGTGGTACGTGTACTGTTTTATGATGCGCTATTTGGATGGCTGACGTCTCGTACCCAAGGTATACACCGCCTCCGACGTCACATCCCGGAGAGGATGGGGGTAACAAGCTCGAGTCGACCAACTATGAAAACTCTGTGCTGTTCTTAGTTTCGTGTTTCCAGTACATCCTTGTGGCGGCCGTATTTAGCATTGGGCCGCCATATCGGAAATCTATGTGGACAAACGGCAAGTGCCCCGTGTACAGACTCTGATGATGGCTGTTCTTACGCTCGCTTAGGGTGGCTGATGTTTTCGATGTGTCTGCTGACGGCGTTCAACATCCTTGTGCTGCTTGCCCCTCCGGATGCAGTGGCGAGTCTGCTTGCCTTGATGCGCCTGCCCATGTCGGCTCGGTGGATGCTGCTTGCGGCTGCGGTGATCAACGTCGGGGTGTCGATGATGTTCGAGGCATGGGGGACGGGGGCGGTGAGCAGCGCGATCGGTGCGGTTCTCGGGTGTTGGCGGCACGGACGACGAAGGGTGCGGGATGGAAAGGCATACAAAGCCGTTGAGGGAGGGTTGTAGTGTCCATAGATAAAAGTCTAGATCTGGCGGAATGATCGTTGTTGCCAAGGCCCGAGTGGAAAATGTTTGTCGGAGTTTCATTGTGGCAGGGGGAGAGGACTGTTTAAGAGTGGTTACCGGCTTGGGCGAACCTTTGCGACGGTCCTCTCGTCTCTCTCTCTTCCTCCTCCACCACCTTTTCTTCGTCCCCCCTTTGCCCCGAGGGCCCTTCCAATCTTTTATTTCTTCACCCGCGAGCGCGCCAGGCTGCCCATTCGCCGACACGAGACTCCGCTGGTAACGGGCTCAATATTCAAGATTAGCCATGTTTTCCTATCCGCGTCCCAACCAACTCGCTCTCCTGGTTTTCTTCCACTATCTTTTGCTTTTCTCCACCCAAGTCAATGCGCTGCCTCTCCGCGCCCGTCAGGCAACTGACGGACCCCGCTCAGTGACCACCGTGAGCACCACCAATACGTGCGTTTCGACTCGATCATGAAATGGCCGCATGGGCGCTGATCATCACAACTTACATGCCACAGCCCGATGGGTCCCGTAACGCAGACCTGCGTTATCGTGTTCACACCAATTAAGGATGCCCAGGGGAATGACGCAGTGGTGGAGGTGAAGACGTGCACGATTACGATGGGAGGGTCGCCGTCAGGGTCTGTCTCGACCGCTGCTCCTACTGCCACCGATACCGCTTCGTCGTCGTCGTCCACTTCTGTATCAACGACCTCTGCCGCTACAACAGCCGCTACGACTTCCTCTTCCGCCTCCTCTTCCACACTCTCTACAGAACCTCCGGCGTCTACTCTATCAACGACCTCTGTATCATCCTCGGTTGAGACATCCTCGGCACCTGCGACCACTGTCTCGACATCTGCAAGTGTGAGTGCGACCGCATCTGGAGGGCCTATTGTCGTCATTGTGAGTCTTAAATACTCTATCTGTTTCCACTGATACCAACTTCTCTGCTGCAGGGTGTTTCGACGGTCTCCGTTTCAGCAACTTCCACAGCGGCAGCGTCCACCGATATAGCGGCCACCTCAGTCTCCACTTCAGCCGCTGCTAGTGCCACCAATGGGAATGGAGGGATTGTCGTCGTCGTACGTGTCGAATTTCTTCGAGAGTGAATACTGCTGACAGGCCTTGTAGGGAGTATCAACTGTTTCGGCTCCTGTTCAAACTGCCGCCCCGGCAAGTACACCAGCAGATGCCTCGTCATCTGTGGATGCCACGTCTGGAACCCCTACTGCTACAGACACCACCTCCGTTGAACCTTCTGCTGTAGCTGCGTCGGGATCTGCAGCTGCCGTCGAGTCACCGACGGAGGAGGCAGCCTTCACTCTTCCTGGGAAACAACTGTCTGTTCTCCCCATCGGCCTTGGTGTTTTCGCTGGTATCTCGGTAATTGCGCTGATAGTTGTGGGATTGGTAACCTATGAGCGCACCAAGTATCGCAAGGTGCGTCCTGTCCCTGCTTTGTTCATTATCTGCGAATCCTAACCGCTTTTCGCAGGCGTTCCGGCAACGTAAACTTGCAGAATCTGGCGCTGCAATGGGTTATGGTGGAAATATGGCATGAGGGTCTTAAAGCAAATCATCGCAAGGCAATTCGTGCGCCAATCTCCCTTTTCTTTCACCGGGAAACGAGATTTAGATCCTCCCAATACCCACCTTTGTTATTTCGCGAACGTATTATCCTGGGGCTTTCTTCACTTGTACTTTTTTCTCTCTGTGCATCGCATTTTTCTTGCTGTTATATTACCCTAGTTCAGGATATATACATTTATGTTACCCAGGTTTTCGATGCAATTATACGGACATCACTAGAGAGAAGAAAGGACAGTTCTGCACCCCCGTTCGCGTGTCACCTGTATTTAGGCTGGGCTACGTCTAGAACAGGCGCTTTGTTGTCCATATCAGAACGTAACTAGGGAGCCAGGAATTATCAATGCACAGTCACCGAATGGCACAATTATTTATCCTGCAGGCTTCTGCCCGACACTGTTTGCGAAATGTCGCAGCGCAGCAGCTCGTCTTAGCCTCCGGCACGAAGTCAGACCTATTCAGACATTACTCAGAGTCGCCTATCCGAGGTCGAAGAAGTGACCTTGGAGGGTTCTAGGCCAATCACTAGGTATATTTCTTGCCGCGAGGACGTTATGCGGTGTGCTGTATCCTTAAATTACACCTATGAATGACGAAACGACGTGCGTTGTCGGGGTGCCCGAGGTGAAGAATCCTTGTCGAAGTGATAAATGCCATTTGATGGCATAACGACCACAGGCTGACAATAGACGTGAGTTGGACTGAATTTGGTTTTGTCTCTTCTTTCAGCCTCTCGAAAATTAATGGCCGTGCACGAAAAGCCAATGACCCACTTACAAGGTAACAGTGACCGCAGCAGGGCGTGTGGCGCACGCTTCGTCGCCAAGACTTCAGGTGTTTTTCTGTCAGCTCCTCTCCATATACGGCAATTGATATTTTTAGATCACCCTGTGGCATGGCACCATCGCGGAACCCATCGTTTACATATCGACACCACCTCCATCTGACCTAAAGTATCAAAGACTATTCGCCATGCCTCCCAATCTGAAGACTGTTGACAGATTGACCATCACCTTCCTCGTGGATAACACAATCGAATGGCGAGTGCGATTGACTCTCGCTTCTCTTGTCAAGCCACCTAAGAGGGCTAACAATAACTTATGGGTGATAGGATGACTAAATTACCTCCTGGATTTACCCAGGAGCTTCAGCAACATGTTAATCAACCTGGCCATGGTGTTTATGACGAAGAGAAAAAGGTCCCCGTCCTCGACTTCGATAACTTCTGTTGTGGTGAGTGCAGCCTTTTCAATGACGAGCTGGAAATGAATGGACTATATATTCAAAGGGGCTCATGGATTCGCAGCTTTAATCGTGCGTGATCATTTTATAGACGGCTTACTTCCTACTGAATTTATATCAGGAAACGTTCGTCGAGGGTGAGGAAACCTCCCATCTCACTCTATTCGACACCGGCCCCGATTCGCAATCCCTCGTGCGCAATATACGTGCAATGCAAACGCCAACTGAGAAAATTGAGCGCGTTATTACCTCCCATTGGCACAGCGATCACACTGGTGGGCTGCTCTCCTTCCTCGAGCTCCGGCGGGCAAAGTTCCAGTCTGCGGGGCTGACTGGCTTGGCATGCATCGTCGACGTCCATCCAAATCGCCCAATTTTGAGGGGTATCGCGCCTGGGCCACACTATGACAAGGTCCTGTGTGCTCTCCCGCCCGACCCTACTTTTGAAGAGATTGAGCAGCTGGGTGGCGTCCTCGAAAAGCACGCTGAGGGGCATGCGGTTTCAGGGGATACTATTTGGGTGAGTGGTGAAATTCCGAGAGTCACAGAGTACGAATCAGGCATACTTGGCGGGATGAGATGGGTTTCGGGCAGTGGATCTGGTGAAAGTGGAAAGTGGATTTTCGACAGGGTGGGTTTCATCTCAGGAAGTCTTTTGAATCAGCCCTAATGTCTACGGTAGTTGATCATGGACGAACGCTATGCCGCCATCGACGTTGCGGGAAAGGGGCTTGTTGTTTTTAGCTCGTGAGTTGTGCACTGTCTTTAGGCCAAATATGTACCAGCTCACAGAACATCCTCATGTTAGTTGTTCTCATGCAGGAATTGTGAATGTAGTCAAGGATGCCATCAACATGTTTGCACGGCCGATTTACATGGTATAGCCTGTGCTTCTGATGCTCACTGCCTTATCCTCCTCCTCATTATTTGCCTATTAGGTTATTGGCGGCCTGCACCTTGCCGGTCCTGAATTTGGTCCAAGAATACCGGTGACGGTGGAATTCTTATCGAAGACGTTGCGACCGGCTCCTGCATTCATCTTACCCATGCATTGCTCAGGATTCCAAGCGAAGGTAGCCCTTGAGAATGCATTTGGTGAGGGCTGTGTCCCGGCTGGAGCCGGCCACAAAGTCAATATCGTAGGCCACAGGGCCGATGAAATGCATTTGGTCTCTCCCGTATATTGAATTTGGTAGAGCATCTCTTGATTTACTGTCAAATTTATAATGAGATACAAGTCTCACGAAGCCCTCAAATGCTTCAGTATGGTTTGTTATAGGACATTGAGAGATTTCAAGAGAAGGATGAAAAATACAAATGAAGAAATATCAATGCCGCTTCTACTAGAAGGGGAGCTAGAATGAGGCCCAGTTATTAAAATTATTAACTCTGGCTTCATCAATCTCATTCTTAAATACACTTACATTCTTATCTGGCTCTGTGGTATGTTCGGGTCTTAAAATCAAACCCCTAGCCAAACAACTTCCCGAACAAAATCTTGATTTTCTTCAGTATGCCTGGTTCTGTCATCCCTGCCCTTTGAAGCATAGAGAACCAGCTCTTCGCTGGAATTGCCCTGCGAAAGAAGAAGCGTTGTGCCCAGGCAGCAGCCGATCCTTGAGGAGATCGCTTCAGCATTATAAATAGGCTAAATAGATCAGATATACTCACCCCCCACAGGCCCTGCAGATCCAAATCCAAGAAGACGCAGGGCTGGTCTGAGGATCCAACCTTCCGGAAAGACCACGGTGATAGCACTGAATATAAGCAGCTCGACCAGCATAGGATGCTTGTCGGCAACATTTCCTTATGAAATATTCAGCTGTTGGTTTGGGTAATAGATGGAATGAGGCACGAACCAACGACGAGCACAACGTGCTTGATGTGCGGCCTGACCTCACCAAATTTGGCTCTAACCTCGAGTTCGGGAACATTGTACATCCGGTATACTCGAACCAGCACCCCTTCAATATGATCCAGGACCACAGAGACTGCAGCTTCGCGCTTGCGAGAACGTTCTGTCGCGTCCTCAGGGAGTGGTTCCTGCAGCTCCTTCTTCAGCTTCTCCAATTCTCGCTCAATTTCGAGCGAGAACTTCTCAGTGAACTCCCCCATGTCAAATCCGGTGATCGCGAATACATCTCGTGGTTGATCGAAGACCTCGGTGCTGTTGACGAGCCTCTCCACTGAGACCTTGAAATCCTGGATGTTGGCAGACACGTCTGGGTACTCATCGGCAGCGGCTTTCAGTGCGTTTTGTGCATATTCAGTGGCCCGATTCCCGAGCTTTTTGGCTTCACTCCAGAAATCGAACCACCATGGTGGTGTCCAGTCGGTCCTTTCGGAGAATCCGGTGATCGTGTTGAAAAATGCTGACATCCAAGTGAGAAAGCAAGAATAGAAGGAATTCGTGCTTAATTACACATGGAGTTCATAAATGCTTGTAGAATCCCGGAGGTTCAGCATGTGTGGAGACACATAGTTTGGGAATAGCTCACAACTGGTACCAAGGTTTGGAAGTCCATATGAGACCGAGATCAAGGTCGAGAAAAAGACAAATAGGGAGATAGAGGGGATCCTCATGTCTTCTGTGTGCTTTACTGACGCGAACGACGGCGAGTGGTGAAGGTAGGGCTGAACCAGAGGAATGCGCTGTGGGCGCTTATTTGGGTCGAGCGTGGGAACCAGTTCAACCACATGCTGTATGCACGTGCTTTATACCACCCAAGCCCAAAGCCCAAGCCCAAGCATAGCGGATGCAAGGAAGCTATGTAGATAAACATGTAAATTCTGCACGAAGCGGAAGGAACAAAAGAAAGTCGAAAAAAGGGGAATGGCACTACTAGCGGTTGGTGACTCGATTTCAAGTCCCGCGTCTGTCTGAAAGAAACTCGATAGGCTCTTATTGTATCTACGGCTTCATCGCGAGTGACTGAAAGACGCGAAACCAGCTTCCAGGGGGGATTGCAGGTCCGAAAACATTTTTCTGCACCAATGATGCCAAGGAGCCTATATCAACAGAAAGGTTGAAGTCACAGAAGCCTACGGAGAAGAATTTCCCACCTTTGATAGGACCTTTTGGACCAAATCCGATGATATTCAGGATAGGCGCTACTATGGCGGAAGCGAGAGGCTGGATAATAAGCTGAGCAGAAATACCGAAGACAATTGCTGTTAGGATGGGATGACGTCGAGTAAGATTGGCTGCAGTTCGTGAGTTCACGGAGAAACAGATGTGTTGACAAGGCCCCTCTTACCAGAAATGAGTATAAACCTCTTTATATGCGGCTTGATGACTCTGAAAGCCTCCCGAGATTCCGACTCGGAAATATCCAAAGTCTTCGCGACTTCGACCACGGCATCCTCGATCCAATCTAGAACATTTGAAACTTTGATGTCGAGTTCACGATACCATTCGTCTTGATCTTCTGGGAGGGGTTCATTGAATTCGGCCTTCAAGTCTTCGAGAATTTTTTCCACTTCCTTCGCTACCAAACCAGCGATCTCCTCGATACTGAACCCCTTCTCATCGCAGTGCTTTTGAACTATTTCGTGGAATGACTGGGCGCTATTGACCAGGTCGTCGATCACCACTTTGAATTCTTCGAGTTTTTCCTTGGCTTCGGGAATGGATGCAGTGACTTCACCCAGTTTTGACTTTGCAAAGTCGATGCCCTGCTCGCTCAGTTCCGTTGCCAGATTGAGAGGGTCGAAGTCAGGAGGAATGTGTAAAGCATCAGGTATAGACGCGAATGGATCTAAGGAAAAATTTAAGCTATAGGAAATTCAAGCAACAAATGGCCACGGGCTCACCAGAGATGTCCTCGATGACTGCGAATACAAAATTGTTGAACCGGGGTATCAGGAGGTGATCTGTATTTTGCGGTAGATTACACTTACTCTTATGAAAAAAGTTTGCACTTGCTAAGGTAATGAAGGAAAGAGCCAGGAAGAAAAGGAGGACTTTCATGGTGAAGGAAGTCAGCCGAAGTGGACGAGCGCTTCAAGTTGGTTGAAAGGTCCACAGCGTGGGAAAGCACCAAAGTGCCTCGAAGAAGGAAGAAGGAAGAATTGAGCGAGGTCGAGAGCTTCCATTGTGGTTCCCTTCAAGTCCTCGGAGGCTAAGCAATTAATCTCGCACAACTGGCTTTCTTCGATAATTCGAGCATATACATTGTGGAGGACACCTCATCGGATGTGTAGAAGAATTAGCAGCAAGGTAGACGCAACATGTAACATGATGTTGAAATAAAGATATGTAAACCAACCCGAATCTAATGCGTATCACCCCAGATAATGCCATATCAGGTAGAAGCAGAGGAATGTGAACAACGCGCCACCAACAAAAATATACATGTCTTGCGTGCTGCGATAAAGAAGGCATACAGTTGTCAGCACAAAAGGGGCAAATGGAAGGAGGAAAATACACACCTTCGCCTCTCAATCCAACCAATTACATCTCTGCTCAGGCCCAATGTGTTTGCAACGTCCAATAGCCTCCTTTGTGTGCCTTTAAGCATGTTTCTCTGGTCGACCAAATTATCCAACACTTCCCTCCCTTGGGCAATGAAGTCATCGATCCGCGAATCCGTGTTCTGGATGAAGGAGTGTTCATCCAGTGCGCGGAATTCCCGGTTTCCCATGCCTCCATATGGTTGCGGTGTTGAGCCACGAAACGGTGACTCCGATACTGGCTCTGCTTGCGACCGCAGTCCGGGGTGCAACATGGAATTTGTTGGTCCAGTATGTTGGAAACGACGCCGAGTGTCAGAAGGAGAGAGAGGAGAGGCTCCAGAGATGAGTTCTGCTCGATTGGATTCTTGAGCCTGGCGCCATTGAAAATTAGACTCCTGTCAATCGATGAAGTGTGAAGTGTGAACGCGTACTTCTGCTGAACTCTCAGCTTTTAGCCGTTCGAATTGAGTTCGCAGTTCAGTATAGTCGGTACGGAATTTCTGTACCCGCCTAACAAGATAGAATCAAAATTCAGCAGAACATTCATACCACCCAGTTACATAAACACACATTTGCGCTTTCTCCTGCTTCGCCTTGATGATTTCGCGTTTGGTCATTGCATCATAGTCGTCTATTGTCCGGTGCATAGCAGATAGAGAAGCAGAGATTTGGCCTAAGAGAGAAGACAGACTTGGACAATCAGTTCACTTCTCTTCCACGCCGTTCTCGCCACAGGTTGCATGGAATTCACCTAGGAGCGCTGGTGAGTTGTCTCCATTGCGCAGGCGTTCCAGGTCTGCCTGCAGGGAGTTTGTTTGGCGAACACCAGAGGTATACAACGAGTTCATATTAGAGAGCACCTGCAGGTCCTATGTGCCGCGTTGATGTCGTGGTTGAGTCGTGAACGTGCCAGACAGTGAGCGCGCTGCGCCAAGTGTTGTTGCCTGCCTCAGAGTCACCACTCAGGTTCTCACTGGCAGGACACGTTGGGAACAGATCACGTGAAGTCCTGATTTGGTTACGGCCCGGATTGGTCCGATTGCCCGTAAATCTCTTCTGCGCTCAATCTGCGTCTATCTACATCCACCACATTCTTTAAGCTGCAATGCGGCCTCGCCTGCTATTCTACCTCACAGGACTTCCTTTTCAGTCATCCGAGGTTCTGAGCCAACATTCCATGACGTGTTAATGGGGAAGCAAGACTCCGAAGCCAAGCTGCTTCTTGAGATGGAACTTCAACCTGAACTCACTTGAACAGACACGAGAATTCTTGACAAGTAGCACTGAAGGCCGTTCTCGAGCTCCTTCGGTATGTGCAGCGGTGGTATTCATCTTCTCCAAACTCCTGACGCGATCTCTTTCCAGCCAATCAGGGACTAGATATTGCGATCCTCAAATTGTACATTTTCCCTCTAGGCCTGTGATAAGGCAATCGGACAAAGTCTTTCTGGTGCATACTTAGAATCACCGGCGGCGTTCTATTTATGCTGGATGTTGGTACCTACCTCCCAGCCACGATCACGATTCTCCAGATGCCGATCTTCATTGTGATTTCAGAGAAGCAGGTATATCGTCACTCTCCTACGGCACAGGCGGTGCGCTTACCCGAAAATGCCACTGTAGTGTCTCATGGACCTGTCCGACAAGCTCCCAAGAGTCGACGCCTACCTGCCATCCGCTGCCAAATTGGACGTTTGCGCCACCGTCGCCCAGGACGAACCGTGATGATTTGCTCATTTGAGTGGGCGATTCTGCGATCCTGTCATAGAGCAAACACTGACCTACAGCTCAGCCAAAGCAGGATCTCTACTTCCGGAAGTCCGAATCCGAGTGAAATGGCAACAACCTGTACCAGTCACCTTCAGGGCTTGACGGAAGAAGCGGGGAGGAGAATGTCCTGATCGATCAGAGCCCGGCCACCTTCCCTCTTAGTCCCTCTTCCGCCTCCGCCTCCGAGGTCAGGGCAAGGTACACAAGGGCGACGGACCGACTTGCTCAAACTTGCTCATGAGCCACGCGTCTAGGAGGTTTGCTTATTCGGCACCGTGGACTTCGCGCATTAAATTCGCTGAGTTGGATTTAGGGAGGCATCCAGACCACGAAGATGTCCCAGAAAGGCTTCAAATACCCTCGTGCCCCTCCTTTTCTCCCTTACGAAGCTCCTCTTTTTTTTCTGTCCAACCTCCCATCTAACGCCCTCCTTCTCCTCCTCTCTTTCAAACGGGTTTATGGACGCATGGGGCACGTCCTCACGCTATGCAGGTCCCCGTCGTGCCGGTGCAAAAATCATCCTCAACGCTCATCCATATCCATGGAAATTCGCGAAATTTGGAATGAAAATCGGGGACGGAGGTAAGGACGAAAGGGATTAGCAGTCTCCCTGCACGGTACATACGCCCACTGGCGACTCCGCGCACCGACCTGCCGGGGCGTTCTCCCGGACACACGCCTTATGGACCCACTGCCAGATCGCCAATCATCGCGAGCTGTTACAAGACTACCGACACCGACACTGGGTACCTCGATTACCATCCGTGTGGTTTTGTTGGGTTACCGCTCCGAGCGCGCTCATACGATGTCCGGACGTCAACGCAACACTAAATATACCCCATGGACCATTGGTCGCACTGGCGTTTGCGGACGTGTTTGCCTGCCAGGACGCTATCACCCCATGTCCATGTCTATATGTCCATGTCCAGTGTCCTCTGTCGGAGAGCTGTCTCCCAATCCCAAGTCATGATCTAGGTGTCTGTAGTGTCAAGATCAAGTCAAACGGTAAGTCCGTCCACACGTAGAGAGGCGCGCGTAGAGCGATCGCGAATCGCGATAGACAAGAACATAGCTTATCTGATAGAAAGGCACTGGCACACAGTCACTCCAGTCATGCAGCTTCATGCTACGAAGAAGTCCTTCCAATCCCAAGTCCCACTGACCCAGTTCCCAGCGAATCCGCATTCGCTCGCTAGCGCCGGACAGGCCCCAGTCACACCGATCGTGCATCTATCTGAATCACGAGAGATCACAAAGCAAGTGTTCAGTCAGGACCTCGAGCGAGCAAACCTGAAGGAACAATTGCACGACCACCCACGGATGTATCGTCCATATCCAACCGCAACGTTCTCGTTAAATTTACCGCGATTGATGCTTAGCGCCGTATGGGTAGATTGAAGCGCGGGCTGAGCCCAATGGGTCCTTTAGTGCCCAAGCACTTACTTTAAACCTTTATTTAACAGGCCATTCATGTGCTACGCGTACGCGACCCTCCCTCCGCCACGCAGCAAAGGAGATAATAAAAGGGGCCAAAGCTCAAAGAAATCCAATTTTTTTGCGCCACCGTATATTCGGGAATGTTAGGCGCAGGGCGTTAGCATGCGATCTTTTTTTTTTCTCCAGAGGCTGCTCCAAGGAGTAAGCGCCTGGAGGAGTACAGTGGTACCTTGGGACGTCCAAGGACCAAATATTCGCAAGGGTCCCTGAGCCCTCCCATTCAAATTTCGCGGAGACTTCATACCAAGAAACTGAATGCCAGGGAAGGGAATTTACCCCAGCTGCAGGGAGCCCCGAGATCGATGGATGAATGCAAGGAGTAGGTACGCGGGGGGACGTGGTTTAGACATATGCAGCTATCGACCTCAGGCGACCGGGCATCGACTCGGACTTGGATACCAATTCAAATTCCAAATGGCATTCAAGTTGAAGAGAGCCTTGGAGGAGACTCGAGTCAGGTCGCACCTCAGGCCTCGGCGCCGACTCGCAATGGAATTGCAAGTTGGATGGTAGTAATCTAACACAAAGGCAAGCATCTGCATTGGCGCCCATTAAGTATTTGACATCGGGTCTTCGGTGTCGCTGTGCTCATTATACTCGAACCAAGTGAACAAGGCAGTTGGATTCCATTGTGATAGTGTGATGTCCGGAAGAGATGACGGACGACGGAAGACGGATGGAGGAGACAGGGCCGCCCGTGAAGTAAGGGCGTCCATAATCACAGAGCCCTTATTCGCATATGCATACGTATACGCAGAGCGTTCGCACCTCCGGGGATTGGTGTCAACATGCAATCATGCATGTTCCCGCGAGCGAAAAGGATATGCTACTGCCTCCTTGAGTATCTCACTCACACGCAAGTCTAAGTAGCAACTTGGCAAGTAAGTAAACACGGAGGAAAGAACTCGGAGATAGGTGTGCATGTCAGGCAGGAAATGATAATGGATATCATACCGGTACCAAGATCTAACGTATACGTTCGCGCGAGCGGGAAGCTGAGAAGGGGCCTCGTCTCATCTGTCGATCGCGGAATCGTTCGCTGCCCCAGGTGCAAATATAGTCGATGTTGGTGCGTAGATGTAGATATCCGCACGGGGCTGGGGGAGGATGGGGCTGGGGAAGGGCGAGAAGAAGAGCAAGAGGACAGGGAACGGGTCCAGGGAAAGGAAGGGTTATTTGCGTAGAAGAAAGAAGAATCAGATGCCTGCATACTAAATGCAACTTAGAGGAATGGAAGGACGCAGAGAAGATGGAAAAACAGGGGATAGTGGTGGTAGATCTCTCCAGATAAAGTTGAGGGTGAACGCATATACGTATTGATAGAGTAGAATGCAGGTATGTACTCTACAGCATACGATCCGGCGCACCTCCGTGTGCTTGTGTCCTCTCGAGTCTAATCTGTTCTGCTCGACGACGCGCATACAGCACCCCTGCACACTGGTAGTTGAGGACCCCGTAACGGTTCCGCTGTCCGAGCTGCTTCGCGTTCCCATTCTTCCCAAGCGAATGTATGTGTATTGTATGACGCATATCGCGTGTCAATCTTCAATCTTCAAGGGTAGTAGGCGTGTGGTGGATCGAGGGGGATCGACGGCGTTAAGCGAGCGGGATGTACACGAGTTTTGGAGACCCTGCAGAGCGGAGAGAACCAAGGCTCACAGTTCGGAGGAGATGCAAGAGAAAAAATGACACTGACTGACAAGCCAGGTACATGTCAGCCCGCGGATGGAGCGTCATCGCTTCGAGCCATGTTTCCCCCTGCCTCCTCGGGAGGACCCCTTGTATTTCCTCGACGCCTTCCCCCCAGCGAGCTCGGCCTTTTCGGTCCTCCTGGCCCGCTGTTTGACCTGTTCGCGTTTCCGCGCGTCCTTGGTCTGGTAGCGGATCTTTTTCTGTGGTGTAGATTTGGATTTTATGGCAGATTGACTTGATGATGGTGGTTGGGACGGCTTTTTGGCGGGACGGGATGTGGGTGTGAGTGTCGATGTCGATGTCGATGCGGGGATGGGATTAGGGGCGGGTTCGGACTTCGGAGGGCCATGTATGATGGTATCTGGATCGAAATCTTCGACGACGGTGACAGTGGCAAGGGTCTCGTCGTTTTCGTATTCCTCGTCCCGCGCGATGTCGGCCGGGTTGGGAGAGCTGCCAGTGCCAGTGCCAATGCCGTGCCATTCGTCGTCGTGGTCGTCGTTGTCGTCATCTGGGAATGGGTTAGAGTTGACGTGGGGTGAGAACGGGGAGGGTGTACCGATGACGGCGCCATATGCCTTTTCTACGGAGGCTGCGTTCTCGAGGGCCTGCTCACGAAGCATGCGGCGTTGCTGGGGTGGGATGAGAGATGGTGAGGGGACAGCGCGGGATTGTGTGGGCTGGACAGACCTCGCGACGAGCTTCGAGCCTCTCCTGTTTCTCCCTCTCCTTTGCCTTTGCGCGTGCAGCCTCGGTCTTTGCTAGTTTGCGCTTGTGAAAGCCGGTGAGGAACTCTCTGGGGGGGCGTGAGGGTGGATGCAGTAGGGTGGGTATATACTGACCTGCGGGCATCCTCGTCAAAGACTACCTCTTTAAGCTGCTGGTTCTTTGCGCGCTTCTTGGCGGCGATAGCGCGATGTGAGGATGTGAGAGCGGCGAGGTTTGTGGTGGACATGAGATGAGATGGAAAATGTTTGTTTGGGATTAATTTCCTGTTTGGGCAGAGGCCTGTTTCCCGATCTGGCGGATCTGAGATGAGGAGTATATAGGGAGGAGGAGGATGGATGGCCCCCTCCGCACTGGCCATGTTCGACTATCTGCCCCAGCCCCACCTCTTCCCCCACAACCCCTACCCCTTCCCGCCCCCGCCCATCGCCCACAAGGTCTGGATCCTCGACTGTGCCTCATGCGGCCTCTTCCTCACAAATCGCGGCATGAAGGTACAGTAGCCACTCATTCTCTTTTCGCGTTCTTATTTCCTGCAGGCCGTGCTGCTGCTGCGACCAAACGTCTCGCTCTTCTCGTCCGACACCCTCCCCGTCAACTGTTCCCCCTACACCGCCAGCACAGACCCACTCCGCCCCGCCCACGCCCACAAGCCCCACACGTCCCCATCCCCGTCGCGCACCTGCGAGTGTCTCACACAGACCCTTTGTTGTCACGGCTGCGGCTCGAACATCGGCTACATGATTGTCGTCCCCGTAAGCATGTCCATTTTATTTCACCGTTCCTCCTAATCGCCTCCATTCCAGTGTACTCGCTGCACCTCCTCCATCACCGCTACCAATCGCGCCACTAACGGACACCGCTTCGTCTTCCACTCGAGTGAGGTCGCTGGCACAGAGCGTCATTATATCAAGAACGAGGCGGGCGTGTCCCCGTTTGACCCCTCTCCTCCTCCGCCCCCGCCCAATTACTTTTCCTACCACTCGCACCCGCTCGGTCCATATCCGCCACACGCCCACGATTATGCACATCCACGTGCACCGTCCCCTGTCTTCCGCCGCGATTTTCTCCCCACTCCTCCGCTCGAATACGCTGGTCCTATACTCGGCGCGTCAAGACACAGAGAGCAGTTGCCGGATCCTGACGCTCCTGTAAGTCTTCTAATCATTTAGTCAAGAGCATATAATTCTTACATGTATGCGCCTCAAAGCAATATTACCGCGTACACCCGCCGTCTCACTACACTCACGCATATACGCATGCGCACGCGGCACGCGCCCCACCCCTGCTCGTCCCTGCGCAACGCCAACCGCCATCTCCGAGCAACCAGCTTCCGAGTCCCGTCTCGCCCGGGCCCACCTTGACGCGCTCGCGGTCTCGATCACACTCCCGTTCCCAATCCCCTTCCCCTTCTTCCTCCTCTTCCTCCTCGGAGTCGGACGCAGAGAGCCCGCCCCCGCTGATCAGCCCGACGTTCAGCAATTCCGGCACGCTCCCAACCAACAATCACACAGGCAGTTATCTGGCAGACCATAAAGAGCCCCCGCCTGCCCCCGCGCCGACCCTCCAGCCAGGCGATATCGTGTTCTGGCACCACCTCGCGCGGACGGGCGAGATCGCGGGTGTGGAGGACGATCGACGCGCAAGGGGGCGCGAGAGCGCGAGAGATGCGGGCAGGTTTTTCTTGGACCGTTGAAGCCCAAGGCGAGCGTTGGAACGAGAGGGTTAACCGGCTTTGGCGTTGGGTCCGACCGTTACCGGTTATTGTTGCCTGTCGACTCGAAGAATTGGGAGAAGGCTGGTCACAAGGTCTCTGACTATGAATACCTGGTGGCTCCCTCTCTTTCGCCCCTTCGCCCCTTCCTGTGCGCTGTTCTGCCCTCTCTGCCTCCTATTCGACTGTTCGATTGGACGTGGGCCCGCTTCCCTCCTTACGAAATCTGACGACCCGTTTTTATCTTGTCGACGTCGTTCTTGGTTCTCTCTCTTCTCCTTTCTTTTCTTTTCTTGGTCCTTGGTCCTCGGTCGTGTCTTGCCGTTCCTGTCCTTTCTCTCCACCCATGCGCCGATTTTTTTTTGTCACGCGCTACATTTCTCAATCAGTGTAAGATAGAAAGAGGTGGTTTTCTCCCATCTCGCGTTATGACCCCTCCCTGCACCATCCATCATCCCAAAGCAGCATACCCACCCCGATAGCACATACCTCTTCGAGGTTCCTTTTTTTTATGACTATGTATATAGCATCGCATTCCCACCCAATTCCATCCACTATCCACCCCACATTCCATCCAGTTTCGTCCGTCCTGTCCATTCCTACTTCCCCACCCCTACATCCATCCCACGATTGTCCTTTCCCGTTTCCCCACCCCCTCATTCGTTCTTTTCCTCCATCAAATCTGGGTTTGTCCAACAAGATTATGTAGTTGTATCCCATCCCCCATCACCATCGACTACCTCGGTATTCAGTGGTTATCCAGCCGACTCTATAGACTTTAATGATTGCAATTACAGCGACTCCCAGAAAGGACGTTCAGAAGACGATGAAATTAAAGGACAATGAATACATAGGACGATTTATCTGTCAATCTGTACAATCGTTGTTCACAAAGCAAATGTATTTCTACAGTTTTACAAATTGCCTGGCGAGTCGACGTCGATCCCATGTTCTCCGTCTTCTTCATTGAACGGTCTTCATGAAAGAGCATTTGAAATTTGAAAGGTCCGTACAAAGCCCTCCTCGCTTCATATAGTCAGTAATGAAGCAAGGGGGGATTTGTGCGGTATGAACAACTTGGAAAGCTGCACATGCACATGAACTTTATAGCCACATAACTAACAGAATTGATCGATGACATATGTGAGTAAATAGTAAATCAGCCCTCCAAGAAAAGCACGGTGGCGCATTGACTCCGAACGGCGAGCGGCCGAAGGCCTCTCTTGGATGCGATAGTTCCTCTTCTTTCTGAACTGAGGCGGGCCGTAAGCTCAATACGTACCCTATTTATTTTATCTACTTATCTCTTTCTTCTTCTGTGTACTGACAGGGTCGGCAAGAGCGAAGCACCAGGCGGACGTACTTCCTTACGGAAGAGGAAGAGGGGGAAGAAGAGTAAAGGTCCCACCGGCAGGGCTGAGGGCGAGGTGACAGGGTCTGAATTCCCCGAAGTTCATAGAATGAGGAGGGTGAGAATCGAGAAAGCCTGAGGGTGGTTTGGTAAGAGAAATAAAATGGTAACGTTATAACCTCGTACGGACGGCGGGTAAGTAGCTTCAGGTTACTTACAGGCAACCTTGAGCAATTGCAACGAGGACAGAAACGAGGACGGCCGGTAATGAAATTGAAATATGAAGCTTGAAATCCAATTGGCTTTCATGGATTATATTGAAAGGCGGCTAATCAGTCGTTGCAAAGTACTATTCATTACTTGAAGTGCGGTGGCTGTAAGCTAGGAACCTATCGGCAGCTACGAGGCACGAGCTACGAAAGTTAAAATTCGAATCAGGATCGCTGAGAAGACGATAGGTAGGGCAGGGAAGACAAGGGAATAGGTGGGATAGATGGTACGGCAGGGCTGGGATTGGTGGCACCGGATAATTCGTTTTCCTTGAGCTTCGGACTCGGGGAAGGACTTCGAAAGAGGACAGAGAAGCCTGGCATCGAGAAAGAGAGGCGTATGTAATATGTGAGCGAGAGACATTATTGACGGCATGAGACTCGAGCACCAGGTCCACGAGCGAGCGAACGAGCAAGCAGGCGAATGGGGTTTTGGTAAGTGAGGAAGGAGCGACTAACCCTGGCCGCCGGAATTCGAAGTCTCTGTACTTGTCACTTGTGTATGTGCTCTAGAGTCTATACTGTGCGGGGTAACGTCAGAGGAAAGTTCGAGTTCCTGGAAACTTGGACTGCGAGGGCAAAGGAAACGCAGAGAAGACGGAGGTGTCACTGTGGCGCACGAAGCCGCTCGGCCACTGACATGTTCGCGTGCAGGACTGCTGCAGGTTGGCCTAGACGTGTCCTCCAAACGACGTAGGCTTGTGCCACACCGCAGTCACGTCGATTCTCAAAATATCGGGCCTGAGTTATCAGATAATGCTTTAATCGTTGAGTATTAAATAAAGACAGGCAGGCGTGTGCATCCAGGCTGGGAATTCTCGCACTGGGTGGAGCAAGCATAGACTGGATGCATGTATGCGCATTTCGTGTAATTGTGTCGCCGTGATTGGCAGCGAATCATCGACGGTCTTGCATCTATGAGGGATCACGGAGAAAGAAGGAGCTCCGAGACCCGAGAAAAGTCATCGCCACCCGAGTATGCAGAGCAGCAGTCGGGGAGAACCAAGGAGCCAGGCCTATTTCCGTGTAATGATCGAGCAGGTCCATAACCCGGACCCACCCCTCTTCGCGCTTCAAGGGCATGGATAGCGAATGTGAACTTGAGTCAATAATGATGGTCGCCAGCCAGCCGCGATAAAATGAGCCAACAAGAAGCCAGCCAGAAGCTCCTTTGAAGGCCCAATCATGATGGGTCCTCCGGACGTAGGCCTCAGAAAGGAAGAGCACTTGTTCTCTCGCACAGGAGAACGTGGTATATACTTGGGTCATTCCTGGGATTCTGGGTCAGCCGGGCGACAGAGAACGGGCGAGGGCTGGCAGATGATCAGTGGGAGTTCTCACCTCGTTCTCATCGTTGCGAGCGGTTGAGTAGGTTCTTTTAATTTTGGGCGGTGTTGCCGGGCGGTGTGGAGCAGGAAGAGGGCGGGGATCGACGTCGGAGCATTGGTGGCTGAGGCAGATGGGGCAAGAGGCGGCTGTTAGAGTGTATTTAAGGTGTAGACTGCGTTCGATGCTCCTCTCGAGAATGAAGGTAGCGTAAGAGCACTCTGTCACGTTGGCTTTTATGTGGGTATGCCAAGCGAGGTTTGGAGGTGCTGGATGCGAATGGATGGTGCTGGCCACGGAGGAATTCTACGGAAGGGGAAGGATGTCGAGAGGAGTTTCGTCGGATGGGCTCTTGCTTGCTATTTGAGAGGCTGTTCGATGTGTGCAATATGGAACACGTCTGAAAGCGCAGTAAAGACGTGTCTTCTGGCGTCTTCGAGTGGCTAATGGCCTATGACGCGTCGGTGGAATTGGTCGAGTGTGTGACCCGCAGATCTGGAGTATTGGCTAGGCTGGAAATCGAAGAACCATCACGGGTTCATAGACTTTCTGAGAAAGCTCAGCTTTCCTAATGAGAAGGCTCATGCGGTTTTACGAGGCCATAGTGCCTGACGTAGTCCTTCCGTGATTCAGAACCCTCGAAAGAGAACCTAGAAGAGAACGCCGTTAGTCAAAGGCCATGTGAGTGAGACGAAATAACTTGCATCTTGCGCAACTATCTCATGCTACCAGGCCTCTATCTCCAACAATCTTCTTCCATATTGCCCTATATCCGTTTGTCGAGCAGGGTAGACGCAAAGGAGGTAGGCGAACCCAGTTGACGGCTCGTATCATGAGACGAAATTAAGCCTTAACCTTTACGTAGACCCAGATAGTGAGCGAATTTCTGGCAACAGATAAAGACACGAGAGACGCGTGGCCATGAGATAAAATTATCGAATACGCCTCCGTATCGATCCCCTTCTAGCTTCTGGAGTATGCATGGATGACAACATCCAAGCAAGAGGCCGCCGAATGGGGATCGGACGCGCGAGGACTGAATGGATTGCGTGCGCGTGAACGCGACTGTCGAAAGAGCTGGCTCTCAGCTGTCCTCGTATTACGACCGCAAAGGCCGGAATCGGCGACGATCCAAGGTTGATGGGAAGAGAGGAAAGTTCGATGGAAGGAGATTGTGGCGTTTGGGATGGCTTGGGTGTTGGCGCCGTCGCAATGGAGATAAAATGGGTACGTGAAGGTGAGCGACTTTCTCCGTGTTACGCTTGTGCCGCCGACGTCTACGTCTGACGCGCCTGTGTTGAGATCCGTGACGTTGTCTATCATTTGTCTAAGTAAACGATGTGGGAATACGCGCGCCCGTGCGGGAAAATCCCTTCTGAGGTTGGCCAGAAGAAAGTCGCGCCAAAAATAATGCTCGAGTGACGAAACTAGTTGATTGTGCAGTGTGGGGGTGGCGGAGGACGTGGAAAGGAATGAACATGGATGTGGGTCGGTGGAAGGATGGGTTGTCCGAATGGCTGAGATAAAGACGAATAGGACTTGAAGGATTTGAAATTGGCCCACTTGAGCTCTGGTGCGTGTTTAGGTCAGGGCGTTTCATGCTTTGGATGGATATAAAGGGCATACCGACGCACTTTGAGGGCCCTTCCATCCTTGTTGTTCCTCCGAGCCAACATGGCTCAAACTTAGGGCAGAAATTTTTCCAGGGAGCACTCTCCTCCATTCTCCTCGGGATCGAAGAAAAATATATCTATAAATTGGTGGACCAGACCGTTGATCCGTCGAAAAAGACGGGCGAGTCTTGAGGCGTCCGAATCGATCGCGAGGATTCCAGATCATTCGGGGTGGGCACACCATGAACCTGTTACAGTCCTGCAGCGCAACTTGCTGTGAAATAACGAGAGCCTTCATAGCGGCTGCGGGGACCGACGGGACCGCTGGGCGAAGAGATGATGATTCAGGTTGACTGGGTCGGGGAATGAATAATCAGATTACATAATCCTCCCCTTATTAAGGTGAACCGCCCCAAACAACCGCCCCAAACTCTCTGTTTCTCTCCACAACCATCATCAGTGCTCCCCAAGGCCTTTGTACGTGCTCTATTCTTCGTTGAGCTCTACGCATCCTAACGCTATTGCTACCACCTCATGTCAGATCAGTCAAGTGCGCTTCCTTTCACCCAGCAACGTCGCCGCAGAAGCTGACCTTTGTCTCCATAGCATGCAAATCTTCGTGAAGACGCTCACCGGAAAGACCATCACCCTTGAGGTGGAGTCGTCGGATACCATCGATAATGTGAAGGCTAAAATCCAAGACAAAGAAGGGTAGGTTTGGTTGCCACTTGGCGTTTGATAAGCTTATCTAACTCGGACCAGTATCCCTCCCGACCAACAGCGCCTCATCTTCGCGGGAAAGCAGCTCGAGGACGGGCGCACCCTGTCGGATTACAACATCCAGAAGGAGTCGACGCTCCATCTCGTTCTTCGTCTTCGCGGAGGGATGCAGATCTTCGTGAAGACCCTCACTGGCAAGACTATCACTTTGGAGGTTGAGTCATCTGACACGATCGACAACGTGAAAGCAAAGATTCAGGACAAGGAGGGCATCCCCCCTGACCAGCAGCGCCTCATCTTTGCCGGCAAGCAGCTCGAGGACGGCCGGACTCTTTCCGACTACAACATCCAGAAGGAGTCTACTCTGCATCTCGTGCTCCGTCTGCGCGGTGGCATGCAGATTTTTGTCAAGACCTTGACCGGCAAGACCATTACGCTCGAGGTCGAGTCCTCTGACACGATCGACAACGTGAAGGCGAAGATTCAAGACAAGGAAGGTATCCCTCCCGACCAGCAACGTCTTATTTTCGCCGGCAAGCAACTCGAGGATGGCCGCACCCTCTCTGATTACAACATCCAGAAGGAATCGACCCTTCACCTCGTTCTTCGTCTCCGTGGTGGTATGCAGATTTTCGTCAAGACGTTGACCGGCAAGACCATTACGCTCGAGGTTGAATCGTCGGATACGATCGACAACGTTAAGGCGAAAATTCAGGACAAGGAGGGCATTCCTCCTGATCAGCAGCGTCTGATCTTCGCTGGCAAGCAACTGGAGGATGGGCGCACTCTCTCGGACTACAATATCCAGAAGGAGTCGACCCTCCACCTCGGTAAGTGTTGTGTCGTTTCAGTTGTGGAGAACAAGCGCTCATGAAACAATTGCAGTCCTTCGTCTCCGTGGTGGCTTGTAGGCAATATCGTCGTCGTCGATCTGGATGTTGTTGAAATGACCGGTCTTATTGTAACTACTAGACTCAATACATAGCATTGTCACGAATTTGATGAGTGATGTCCTGGCTGGACAGGGCTGGATCAAATGACGCTGTGAGAAGGCAGTGGACGCTTACATAATGCCGATGGGCATTTTCCCGACGAGATAGGTGCCAGGGCCAGCGCGTTGGCCTTTTGACCGCCACAGGTCCTGCCTTTCACCCCCACTCCTTGTCTCCGCCCACCATCCCCTCCCTTCCCCGGCGCCGCCAGCTATGGCACCAGCCTCCTCCACCTCCCGCGTTTCCTCAACTGCCGCCGCTCCCCTCACGTGGCGCCCAACAAAGATCATGCACATGCGCGACCTCGCGAAGGACGACGACTTCCTCAGCCATCTCCTCGTCGAGAAGGTCGGCACAGGCGCAGTGCCCCTCCTCGTCCACAAGATGGACGCTACCCGCCGTCTCCCTAGGACGGACACCCAGGACATCATGCGCATAGTCCGACGCGTGCGTTTTTCCCCGCCCGTGTCTCTCCACCCGCATATACTCACCTTCACGCGACGTTCTCGTTTTTGCGCTTCCCATACAGCTTGTACTCAGCAAGGCCCCAATACAGCAGACCGTCCGCCAGGCAGTGGACGACCTCCTCTTGTACGTGCTCCCCCTTAACACCCACCCCTCTCGCACTGCACCGCGTCGCCTGCCGACCATTCATGTGCTGACCGCCCGTCAACCGTTGCAGACTCCCTTCTATACGCTACTTTCTCAAGTCATATACCCAAAAGCAGATCAACGCCTTTGCCACGTGAGTTCGGCCACTCCTCCATGCTCGTTTCCCTCTCACACTCTCCTGTGGGTCAATTAGACACGCCTCCCGTTACTTCGAGTTGTACAATCCCTCGGGATCCATCGAAATCGCACACACGTCTCGCTACTCCCACCAGACTGGCAAGTCCGAGCTATGCATTTTGGCGACACGACCCCTCGCTCCTGGCTCCATCGTCACGGAGCTCAAAGGCTCAATGGCCAACCTCACAGAAGAGGAGGACAAGGAGCTCAAGCGGACGGACCTGAGGAAGTCGGACATTCGCCGCGATTTCAGCGTCATACATTCCAAGTCGATGAAGAAAAACCACCTGTTTTTAGGCCCGGCCCGATTCGTCAATGTGAACATACCTTCTCAAGTCTTCTGACAAGCATTTCTGATATAGAAATTCCATAGCATGACTGCGATAACAACTGCGAATTATTGCGTGAAGGAAGATATATCACATTTAGGGTGCTCAGGCCGATTGCTATTGGCGAAGAAATAACAGCCCACTACGGAGACGGATATTGTGCGTCCACATTTCTTGGTCAGATGTTTCGAAGACAGGTTCGCTCACTCACTTTTCCAGTCGGCAAGAAGAATCGGGATTGTCTCTGCGAGACCTGCGAGAAGAACGGTCGGGGTGGATATGCACCCGATCGTGACGACCCCGAGAGTTCAGACTCAAGCTCATCGGATCCCGAGTCTGACTCCGACTCCGACTCGGATTCAAGTTCTTCAGAGAGCGAAGAGGAGGTAAAACCTCTGCTCAATGTCAACGAGCGACGGACACGACGTGGAGTCTATGCTGTGACAAAACCCCAAGAAGACGACAGTGACGACAGTGATAACGATGAAGAGGACGACGATAAGATTCCTTTAGCAGAAGCAACGGACATTCCTGCTGACGGCGAAATTAAACTAACTGTCGAAATCGACGCAGGGTCCGACTTGACATCGCTGGCGCCTTCTACCGCGCCTTCTGACGGAGTGAGCCCTGCAAAGCTGTCCACGCCTGGCCCTATGACTCCCAATCGGGGTCTAGGCTTATCACGATCCTCATCTTCCCTCACCGATTTGACGCCTTCTGTTGCGGGTTCGGCCACCCCTCACAGCACCCAATCGACGCCATTCCGCTCGATTATCGCGACGCGTCGACAGAAAGCGAAGGAATTGGAGGAGGCCGAGAGCGCCAGCCGAGCTGGTTCCTCAAGAATCAAGAGTGCTTCTCGCAGTGCCAGTGTCGAACGTTCTCCGAGACGCCTTACACGCGTTACACGTTCAGTATCCTCGCTGCGGCTGTCAGAGAAGAAGGGGAAAGGCAAGGCGACACCCACACCAATTCCGACACCTCTCTCAGATAAACCATCGAAGCGGTCAAAGAGCTTGGGCAAGGACGAGCCCAGAGTCAAGAAAGAGGAATTGGACTCTCGTCTTCTCCGTGTTCGTCCTTCGGTGGGCGTCCCCGAGGCGTCCAAGGAGCCTCCGCGAAAACCAGAGGTACCTCGTGGCCCAGATGGAAAGCCGTTGCCGACTTGCACCACATGTTCCAATGTGTTGCCTTTAATTTCTGTGGATTCCAAGGTCGTCTGGGGTTTAGGGCTAGAGGCTAACGGCAAGAAGAAGAAGCACGTCAAGCAAGAATGCCCTCGGTACGCTTTTGCCTCGAATGGATGTTGTTTGACATATGCTGACTATTTTATTTGAAGTTGTATTCGTCATTTTGCCATCTATGAATGCCCCTGGCCATCTCGGTCTGCCCCACATGGGACCATCTCGGTGACGCCGAGAGAGGACTCAGTACCAGCAGACAGTCTCACCAAGAAAGTCACCCAAAAGGGGCTTTCGTTGCTCGATCGCAAACTTGCTGCTGCAGCTGCCTCGGCCTCGAAGCCGTCAAAGTCCAAGAAACATCGACGAGACGAAGAAGAGGAAGTTGAAGAGGCGCGCCCGTTGAAAAGACGTAAATCCGAGCCAGAATTGGTACTTCCTAAAGGGAGAGTGACGAAGACGTACTCGAGGAGTGCAAGGCGGTACAGGCGCAGTCCGACGCCGGAATTGCCGAGGAGGCGTGGGCCAGGTCGCCCCCGTCTCGCCTCACCGCTATTTAAGCACAAGATAACGAAGGTCAAGGTGGAGGAACCTGCACCGGAAGTGGAGAAGTCGACATTAAGCCAACCAAGGGCACAGAACGGACGGTTTGGAAAGAAGGACAAGAAGAAGACTCAAGAGGCAACTTCGGCTCGGTCTCAGAGTGATGGGTCCATAAGCGACGGGCAGGAATCGTCGCCCGCTCGCAAGCGTCACAGTGACGATGTCGAAGTGGGCGACGACTCGCCTCGCAAGAAAGTCGCTAGACGCGACGAGGGAGTAGCTAGCCAGAAGGTCTTACCTCGTCGCTCATCCGGCTTCTCCGGAAGCCGGCTCTTTTCCAACCCCAGTCCGTTGCAGTTTGCTCTTAAGGCTTGGGCTGGTCCAGTCATTCTAGACGACTCTTCCTCCTCCTCTTCCTCTTCCGACGAGCAACCCGAGACTCCCGAGGATGATCAGTCGCCTGCAGCAGACGTCGTGGAGCCTGAGGAGCTGAGCACTCACCACTTCCTACCGGGCATGATGCCCAGGGGTCCTTTGACATACAAGCCCTCTCCGTTGTCATTCGCCAAGAACCGCTGGAACGCTGTCATTCAGGTGGGGAAGACCGAACTGGACGTCAAGCAACCGATCCCGCGCAAGAGTAGCTACAACTCGGACGGCGAGGTGTGTCTTTTTCTCTGATAATCTTGGTCACGCCATTTCTGACATTCTGCTACTTCATTCTTACTCCGAACAGAACTCTGAGATCGGTCTTGACCGCGAGATTACGCACAGCCCACCCCCAGATGATGACTATCCATCAGTTGACGATTACTTTCACCATGGACTACGACAGGTGTATCCTATTCTGCCAGCCGACAATGTGTTCACTCGCTCCATCCCGAAAACCACCTCATTTCGCTCCGCAGACCCGCAGACCAAACCTTCCTTCATCAATGCCGGCTGGGATGATTCGTCGGACGCTTCTGAGGCATAATCATGTGATGTTCTAAACATTGAACCAACCATGATCAATAACTAATAATTGTATACTCATTATTTCCGACATATCTGCCCTTGCTCTCCTCTGTTGTCTTGGTCGTTGCACTGTTAGATAGTTGCATTTATTTTGGCATGGTTTTATCATTATTATTTCAATTGCACCATTCGTCGTTGTTACTAATAGTTTTCTCTCATCTAATGTAGTTGTAGTCGTCGGTTCCAACTGGACTGTCTTGCGTTGAAATGACATTTCATTGATTACTGGAACAACCATCGAGGATCTATTGTGCACCATCAGGTTTTAACGAGCTGCGACCTGCCCGTAGAATTTCGTCAGTTGACAAGAGGTTGATAGCGATGACAGCGCTGAGGCAAAGATGTCAGAAACGGCGTAATTCAAGGAAGCATGTGCGTACCAAGAGTGTAGCATCTGGCGCTTTACTCTGTAGTTGTCCCAGATGCCGCTCGCTGTTGGGTCAATAGGCTCTCCTGACTCCAGGTCAATGCCGACGACGTTGCCCTCAGCTTGCTCTTCCTGTAGAGAAGGAGCAGCGTGTCAATATTGTTACAGATAATAGGTAAAAAAACACACCTGAAGGGCCACCACGACGTCCTGCACATCAAACCCTCCATTTTGGGCCAAGGTCTTGGGAATAATGAGAAGAGCATCTGCAAACGCTTGCACTCCCATCTTGACCCGACCTTTCGCGCTCTTCTTGGCCGGCCCGCTCAAATGTGCTGAGCAGGCAACCTCGAATGCACCTGCACCGGGAATAAGGCACTCGTCCTCAAGAGCATTCTTGACCGCCCGAAGGCCGTCTCGAAGAGCGTCCTGGATTTGTTGCGTAGTGTGGGGATTAGGCCCTTTGATGAGCAGTGTGACAGATTTGGGATCTTTGACTTCCTCGACGAATGTGAATTTTTCTTCCCCTAGTGTGTGCTCGTAAACGAGTCCAGCCCAACCAAGCACCGAGGGAGTGAGATCGTCCACTGAATTCTGCGCAACACCGCCACAGACGAGTTGAAGGCTAAGCTCATTGAGAATTGGCTGATGGATGTAAATCCAAATTGCTTACCGCTCCATGTTGCGTCGCTTTGCTCTCCGGAGAGCAAGGATGCCGTTCTTCGCAAGTACATCCAAACTCATTGGATCAATGCCTTTCTGGTTAATGACGACGAAATTCTTTTTCTTCTCTTTTGAGTCGACGGCTTGATCGCACACAAGGTTCTTCAGGTTCACGATCTTCTGCAGTTTGGCATCGATGAACTTGCGTTCGGATTCAACTAGCTTTTCACGCTGTTCTGCCGAAGAGTAGAAGAAGCCAGAGTTGACTTCACTGCATCGAGCTTGATATTCAATGCGACGTGAGCAATAAATTGAACGTACGTTTTTTCATACTCCAAGCTCACGTTGAGTGTTAACACGTACGCGTTCTCGACGCGCTTGGGCATATCGGGATGTCGAGCACCATGATCAAGAACAAGTCCGCGAATCAATTGTGTTTCAGAGGCTGTCCGGTGCTGCATCTTCATGATTTCTATCATATGCAGATCAATTGGTTGGCGCCATTCTTTGGAATCTGCGCCAGAATCAGGACCAGAACAAAACCCATGAAATGAACTCACCTTTTTGTGGAAATCGCGGCCGAATTGTGAAAACGGCATCAACAACGTCCGCAGCGAGCTGGGTCGCCAGTGCGCCATTGAGTTTCGTGGACAGGGAGGTTTTTGCGATGTCAATCAGAGTCGCGCGATCCATCTTGACTGACACTTTGAATGAATCAAGAAACTGCAAGACATCGTGAGTTGATAATAACTGAAGGATGCACGGAGACTCACAGAGAGCGCTTCCTTTTTCGCCAAATCAAAACCTTCCGCGATAACTGTAGGGTGGACTCCTTCTGAGGTGTATCTCTCAGCTTGCTTCAGAAGTTCGCCGACAAGAAGAACCACGGATGTTGTCCCATCTCCAACTTGATCATCTTGCGCAACAGCGGTTCGTGCAATCATGGCTGCTGTAGGATTTTGGATCTGCATCTCTGAGAGCAACACTTTTCCATCTTTCGTCATTTTAATCTGGCCAGCACCGTCGACAAGCATCTTCAAGGTTCCTCTGGGCCCTAACAAACGACAAACAAGGTTTAAATTACAAAGCTCGGGCTGAGGCGCGAGATACTTACCTAGATTGCCTTTAACGACGCTCGCGAGACCCATTGCTCCAGCGGTGTTCACCTATTCAACCTGAGTATAATGGTTGAGACAGTAACGGATCTCCGTACCTGGAGGGCAGCTGAGCGCCTAACGCTCTCAGCCTTTGGATTGATGAGCTCGATACTTGACATGACTATGAAGTTTGCGAAATGGGAATACGCGTTCAAGCTCTTGTGAATCGGAATTGCTGACCGCGTCGCTTATTCAAGCGCCGATCAAAATCTTTATCTCATCAGTTCGCCTTGAGATCTGAGTTCACCTGCAACTTGAAGCCTGAGTACCCCCAATGCATTTCACGACACTCTATTCACAGTCCTATCTGTGTGGTGACTCAAATCCATAGCGAAACTCAAAGGGAGCTTCGAGGATCAACATTTCCAATTCGAATATCTCATCGAGCTACATCATAGGCAGAACTGTTCATGGAACGCGAGTCAAGATATGTATTATGAGAATCTGGGTATGTGGTAACGTGTGCAAAGCACGGATATCGGATACCTGGTAACGAATAAACAAAATCAAATGGTATGGTCAAATATTGCCAACTCCCCCGAGCTATCGCCACTATAATATAAACGAAAGAAAATGTTAATTATGTGCAAAGGGATCAAATGGACCACTTACACAACGAGTTGATGTTCGCCAGCAAAAGGATCACCAAGTGAAAAGCTTCCTATGTCCGAAGACATCTGTGCTAGAATTGTACCGTTGTTGGGATTTTCAACCGGAACTGAAGGGTCCCAAAGTCGCACACAGCCTGATAAATAAGGTCGTCAAATTCAACAAAGACGAGACATTATGCTATTTGAAGGCTTACCATCTTCACCTCCTGTTACCAAAGCTGTTCGTCTAGTGATAGCTGACTGAATCCATTGAGCCTTGATTATACCAAAGCGCTCCTGAGCAGACACAGTTCTGCATTCGCCCAGATGCTCATAATCGAATAATGGACCGCGATCTAGCATTCGCACATCATACACATGGGTATGGTTGTCGTTCCGTGGCAGGGCGAGATAGACGTCGTCAGGGCTCCATACAGCATCGTTTACTTCCGCTTCAAAACCCTCCGAAGGATCTCGAGTCTCAAAACGGTTCAGCACAATACTCGCAGTTGCCTTGGGAGTCTGCCTTCGAATGTCATACAGGCGTAAGAGATGCCGATTGGAAGAAGCCTGGGTTATTAATGCAAGCTTAGAACCTGCGGAAGGGTCAACATTCTTGGAATTTCCCGCATGGAGAGAACGGACTGACCGTCAGGATTGACAGCAAGGGCGTCACCTGTCTCCTTCGCACTGAACTGGTACAACATGGTCCGCTTTTCCACATCGAACGCCTTGTGCACTGCAGAGAAAGAACGGGTTTCTGGAGGATCTGATGCTGATTCCGATGAAGCAAAAAGATGGCCTGCCGTTGAATTAGAACCCCATTCCAAGGCACCAACAACTTGCCGCCGTTTGTCAGAGACTTGAAGGCAAGTAAGGTGTACAACAGCTTGATCGGTCAGGTTAAAGAGCTGCACCCTCCTGTACTTCTGTCAGAAAATGGCAAAAGTGCAGATATAGAGAACATCACACACTTTTCAGCAATGGCCAAAATGCCCGTCCCAGGTTTAAACGAGAGTGAGTGTGGTGCATACTGTTTAGTCCTCCATTTGAAGGTGTTGGTCCAGAAACTAGGTTGGGGGGAATCATGTTCCGCAGGCATTGGAGTCCAGATGCGAACGTATCGATCTTCTCCAGAGGAAACGAATGACAGATCTCTACATCCAGGTGATTAAATAATCAGCAACAAGTTGGACAAGAACATACCTCGTTGGGTCAATTTTGACATCATTCACTGAGTAATACTTTATGCAACTATCTGAAAGCGTTGTCTGTACCACTAATATCTCAAGGGCGCAGAGGATTGCTAACCTGTCTCGATCTCGTGGCCTTGGGGAATATCAATGGAGTTTCGCCATGTCAAGATGGAACCAGGTCGATTATAGGGATTTGGACGACCTGGAAAGGATATCCATAAGCAGGTATGTCTTGGGTATGTCTAAATCAAATAACAAACTCACCAGCTTCCCTGTCTGCAGTACCACCGTTGCAGGCACTACCGACAACAATCCAGCCATCCTTCTGTTCGATGTTGCCAATCGCTGAATCAGCAAGAATCATCAGCAAGCGACTGCACGTAATGGGGAAATCTCACGGACATCCTGGAGATTCTTTGAAGGAATGTGCTGCTTTCAAGTTCGATAGATTGAAGTCTGCCTCCCAAGAGCGGGTAATAATGTTTCTGTAATTGGTCACCACGGCACGTTGCCGAGGTCGAAAGTAAAGGTTTTCGACTCGACGTAACTGAATAATCCACAGAATTAGATGGGCGAAAGGTAACCGACAATGATGATGAAGACATACCTTGTCCCATATCAGAGGAGGAGCGTCTGGAGAAGACGATTGCCGGCCAGGGTACCAGCGTGATGTATAAGGATGCGCCTTGTGCCACGCCCTTGTTCCTTCTTGAAGTGCTGGTCCAAGTGCGAGATTGTTGAGGCTGGTTAAGATAACATTTTCGAGCTTGTTGTTATTGACTTCCATCGGTTTCCACTACGCAGAACGAATCAATACACAAAATCTACGTTGGATAAGTCTGCATTACCCTGTCTGGTTCATTGAGGTCTAACCCTGGTGGATCCCAGTCATCATCGGATGATTCGTGGTCCAGTAGAGGCTTGTTGTCGGGCATACGTTCGTAGTAGGAAGAAGGTTCATCATATGGAGGAGGTTCATCGTCAGAGGAGGAATCAATGATAATTGGAGTTGTTGCTCTGGCAGTGATAGCCGGAGTTTTGCGCCTCTATACATGTAGGATGAGTTTGACCTCTTAACCCGTAGCGGCATCGTACCTTGGGAGACAAAGTCATCTGAACCTCCTCTTCTTCACCATCACTACCCAGGCATATAACTGGGCCTTTCTGCGTAGTAAACGAGCCTGACGACAATGGGTGACCATTGATCTTCACTGGAGACGTGGTTTCAGGTAGCAGAGATATTGACCTGGCGCGCTTTCTGCCGTTATCATTGACACTCGGGCGCGCCGTTGGTCGAATATTTTCCACAAAGATCAATTCCGGATATTCCTCTCTAGCAATCAGGGGGGTTCTGGGGTGGGACGCTCTTGCTGAACCGCCTGCCATAGAACGCGGGCTCGCCGCAGAAGGATGCATAGAGGAAAGGAGTGGGCTCCTGAGAGTACTGGCACTGGAGGGCCTTGAGGATGATGGCACGGTGTCTATTTTGCATCGCTTTGCAGAAGGCGGCGGAAGCTGGGCTGAGGACGCCGCCCGCTTCTCGTGCTGTTTCTAGAATAGTGAAAATGATCAGCCATTTCATTCAGTACTAGTTCCAGACAGGAGATACGCGGAGAACAGAGTGTACATCCGTGACACGAGAGAGCGGCCAAAGAGAAAGGAGCACCTACTCGTCGCATCTCTTGAATAGCAGGAGGGATTGTAGAGGGAATATCCCTGCTGCTGGAGGCGGTGGGTACAGATGAAGCTGCCGTGAGAGTAGAACTTCCTCCTCTGCTTCCCTGGCGTGTCGCTTGCCCTGCTTCCCGAGAGCGTGCTGCACGTACTCCTTCCCTAAATTTGCGCGCGTCAATGGGTATTAGTTCCTCCTCAGTGTATTCGTACTTGAGATATTGTTTTTCGACGTCAATAGGTTCATCCCAGATGGCGTCAACGTCTATGACTTCGATGGGTGAGTTTCTGCCGTTGCGTTGATTGGATTTCCTTCTTCCTTGGGACGCCATGGAGAATTTGGTAGGGAGTTCCACCGGCTCGAAACAACGAAAGGACTACAAGGTGTCTCGTGACGTTCGTGACGCCCTAAAGAGTATTGGGGAGACTACTGTGGGTTGGTTCAAGATGCACCGGCGGAAACAATCTCTGGCGGTGTTGGATCCCCACCCGGCCAACTCGTAGAAACTAGGTAACGCTGAATACGCTGAGATTAGCGACTCAAACATGCTGAAACAGCAAAAGCGACGCACGATGGGCCCTGCTTTTGGCCACCAAAGCCCAACTTGAACCCTGACGGAATCACACCCTTTTCAATGTGCGCCTTTTCCACCTTTATTTGTTGGGCTGCTCAATAGCAGACCCGGGGATTGTGCTGCTAGGTAGGATGCAAGAAGTGAAGACAAAGTCGATAATTAGGTGTTTCTGTAAGAGTAATGTAGAAGGAGAGGAAAAGAGACGCGAGTCTGAAAAGCACAGATTGGGAGGCAGGAAACGCGTGTCAAATATGGCGAAATGCTTGGCCGTCAACTATGGTTGACCGTGCTGGACAAAAACACATGGAATTGATTTTCTTTCCCGAACGTGACCGATCGGTTCCAATCGTCAGCGATCGGTACCAATCGTTGGCGATCGTTAACTTTCAACCACTAATTTTCACAAATACCCCTTATGCTTTAATATTTGGTCCAAATAGCTACGATTTACCCCGATTCTGGTTCGTTACTACTAGTCACGATTCGTCACTATCTACAGACAACGATAAGTGACCATCAGCGTCGATAAGCAACTCATGAAATTATTATAGTAGTCGTTGCTATTGGTCACAATTTCTGATACCACAAAATTGAGTTTTCATCTGGTATGGAGAGAAATTGTAAAAAAACGGCCTCGCTCTCACTATTCGGTACGAATTGGGCTGCCATTCAAGTCGCTTCGTGCCCCAACATGGAGATTCCTCACTATCTGTCACGATTTGTGGCTTGGCTTGCATATTCCATTTTATTCGAACCCCCAATCGTTTCAGCGCTAAGGATAGATGCTGCTGTCGTGACTGATAAGCGCTGGCGCACACAACTCGAAGACAGGTGATGAAGGCAGGTGCTAAGCGTGGGAACCTGTCGGGATGATGGCGAGATCGACAGGCAAGACAACGGTGCTTCCAAATGACAGTTGAAAATGGGGTAGAGAGGTAAGGGACAAGGACGAGGAGAGTGTTGAGGACTAGACAGAGAGACCTGACTGAATAAAATAAGACAGGTACCAGACGTTGGTGCTGTTAGAATATTGGGAGGCTGTGCGAGTGTGCGCAATGCACCCAATGTAGGTACATTTCTCTTATCATTTTGGTTCTACATTCTCTGGAGCTGCGGGCTCCATTTTACATTTATCTTCTTTTATTTTGTAGACTACACTATAGTATATAAGTAGGATACTATGTACCATAGCTACTATCCGTTTGCCTCATGAGCTCACCAAGGTCAAACGGAAATCTCATCTTATCTTGATTTGGATTCCCAAGCTTATTTCAACAGGTGCACAAGAGCATGAAATGCATACCTTCATATGTACAAAGAAAGAAGTGACCGGTCTCTCTGAACGTGGAACTAGATGAATCAAGAAAAAGAGAGAATATTTCATGAAAGCAAATGAGAACGAATAAAGTAAAACAAGAGATGAGGTGATGAAGAGGACGACTGCACTGGTGGTCTCAGCATGGCAAAGGTAGGACACCGAGTGCCTCACATTGACAAGAATGAAGGAAGGGTGTGCATTAACTGAAAAAAGAGGTCAAATTCAGGTATTTTCTGGCTCAGTAGTAAGGAAACATGCATCTAAGTATGAATACATACATCTTCTCATCTTACTCCACCAACTCGTCTATTTCATAGCAGCTTGATCAGTTTTCCCTTGCATAAGCACCCACCAAGCACCAGAAGGTATGGCTTATTGCGCAACATTCGAGGTGGATATCGACACAAAACAAGTTTAAGTGGGTCTGTTGTAGTAAGTAGAAGTTTATTATAGCATTATTCTCTGGACATATGCAACTGACAAAAGTGGGGGTCCATGTAATGTTAAGTCATGTGTATGACATGAATACCAGACCCTTCGGAATTAGCTGAGGAGAACCATAAGGTATTGTTGGATTGCATGGCAAGACCCAGTGCCGCGGATTTCTATAGATTCTAGCCAAGCTCTGGCAGACATTCCAGGTCACCAGGGACTTGGTAGTCCTAGATTAAATCACCCATCACAATGGTCATTATTTTTGAATGTGAGTAAACTGACATGGGTCACGTTGAGGGAATACAATTATGATTATGAATGAATGATAGGACCGCCTGAGCTGCGGCCCATGCTTGATTGAGTTTGAGAATGGCAGCAAGTGGCTCCCTGTCAGCTCACATGGTGACTACAACACCCAAGCATTTATGAACAACAATGATGTGTGCTTGATGGACCCATCAAAGGTAGGTGGGTGCCAATTTCACCTGGGATTTGGGTAAGCTATTTTTGAGACTTTAGCCCACTCTCATCATACTCTTTTAGCAGCCTCATGCATCTCACCCAAGAATAGGCCTCTCAGCTTCTCGATGATGTGCTGGCCCGCTCCTCGACCCTGGAAAATCCTTTTTTTTTCAACACTTGTCATTGCATCCCCATGCTTACCTCGCTCCCTGACACCTTTCACATCAAGCCATATGATTCCTCAATGAATCCGGAGACCCTCAGTCAGCAAGTGCAGTCATTCTGTGGCCCACACCACCTCTTTCCCTCTCTTTCCCATTTCACTGAGACGCTCAGCGTGCCTCCATTTCCTTGTTAGGTAGCCCTTTCGTCCCATCTATCCAGTTTCCACCCTGCTGCCTCTCCCCTATTTCTTTTCTGTTTCATTCTTATCTGAACTTTTCTGTTTTTTGTTCTTCCTTCACACTGGTTCAGAGATCTCTCTTGCTGGCCTCTCTTTCTGTTGTAAATACAATCTATGTCTATACATACACACAAAATTGAGAATTTAGTTTGTTTTTTGTCTCTCACTGCCCTTGTTCCTCATCCTCTCACTCACATTTTGGAGGCACCTTTGCCTCGTTTGTCACATTCCCACATTTAGCACCCACCGTCGACCCCCATTTTCCAGTCGCATGCACCCCCTGGTTAGAGCCGCACAACCGGGAAAATTTCCTCATGCATCAAAGCTATTCATAGCGACATTTTGGGTATTTGTTCTGCATCCCTTATTCTCACAATCACCCCACCATAAGCACATCATCGATGGTCCCAAGCAATGGGAATGAGCTATTTCTGCACCACATGGATAATTTCCAGGTCCGCGTGTCCTCAAGGTATGTGTAAGCCATGAGGCCTCCATTGAGCTTGAGACTGCACTCGGAGAGAGAGCAGCTTGGCAGTTTGCTGGAATTCTTTGCTGTTTAGGCCCGATGAGCAGAAAAGAAGACACAGTGCATGAGAGGCCTAGTCACACAGCTGCATCAACACGACATGTATTGTGTGTAAAGAACCCATGAGTAATGTGATTGTCTCTGGTCTACCTGCAGATCGCTCACACTAGAACCCACACCCCTGTTTGTCCTGATCTCCCCCATGAAATTTCCTCAATGTGTTCATACTATCCTATTTAATGACAGTCATTTTTGCTCTTCTCCTTTTGTAAATCATGATGATTCGTGACTAGGAAAACATAATTCTTGTTTCAATTTCTGGCATCGAGGGAAATCGTGAAAAATCATGAGTAATCAGAATTGCCTTGACAGACAAGATTGCTGGTCATGGTGATAAATCGTGTGAGAGAGAAAATATTTGTTAGAAATCATGTTGAATAGAGACCACTGATCTGATTAAATTAACGGGTCATAGTGAAAATTTTAAATGTCTGGTGAAGGAGATTTTTCATTCCAGCTGGGAGTGGAAGGGTTTGGACTTACATATTGCTGAATCATGAGCCGTCACCCATCTGTGGAGCTCAGACTATAGCCTCACAAAAATTTATGACCATCTGGCTACAAGTTGAGTTCTATCATCATCAATCGCTCATGATTAGGGAAAAATCTCTGAAAAATGTGGCATAGAGACTGATCAGGAACGATTGAAGCCAATTGAGGCCAATTGGACCAGAAAATGAATTTCACAGGGGGTAAAAAATGAAATAGGTGCATTTTTGTCCAGTATGTTTGTCAGGACCCGATGTTTGTCACCCCCCCAGAATCTCGCCGCCGAAACCTCCAATCTTCACCAGCTTTTGCAGCATGCAACAACACACCAAGACACGTATCGCAGACACATTTCTGGGTGGAAAAAGGTGCTATGAAGAAGACAAACTTTTTGGCTCTCTGTCACACATGAGGGACACTGAGGGTGCTGCCGACTTCTCGGCAAGATGGGATCATGAGTACGTAAGTGATGAACATGATATGATAATATGATATGATATGATATTACACCGCTAACATGTTTTCGCTCCCTCACACTGAGGTTCTTTGGACTTTGAAGCAGTGATTAGCGAAGAGTGACACTGATGTGACCTGATGAACACTGGGTCCTGACAAACATCAGGTCTGAAATAGTAAGTATTGGCCTACTAGATGTGACATCACCAGCACATTGGTGAAAATTGGGTGGAAGCTGGGAGGTAAGGAAGAAACCACTGTTCCTCATCGATTTCTAAGTATATAGAAACTACTTTGCATGCAATTTTAGTAGTAGAAAAATAACTTCTATACAACTTCTATACTCTATTCAGTGCAATGGCTTGCAATGACTGGTGGAATGACTCTTGGTTGTCCTGGACTGAACAAAAGTGGTTCTGTCAAATGGCACAAAGGCTTTGGCTATTTACTGTCTATAAAAATTGGCAAAAATGGAAAGATTCCACTTGATGGAGGACTGCCCTGTTTCCAGGCCATGCCCGGAGGGCCATTATTCCATTCTCTTTCTGAAGCTCATTCAAATTGCGGCAGGACGACCTTCCACAAGAGTACCTTCACCATTTTCTTGGCACTGACATAAGCTCAAGCTCAGATGTCGACACGTAGATGAGAGTCGTGTCACCCATAAAACCCTTCTTCTCTCAGCTTTAAATGGCACACCCCTTATAGTCTCCATATACTGATATGAAAAACCTGTTTTCTCACATTTGGCCTCGAATTCGTGGTGAAAGTGTGCTGAACATGTATGGGCTATAGGACAAGTAGTACAGTTGTCCTCAGTCTCAGGATATCCTTCTGTGAACGGGGAGCTTGACAGGGATGAAGTGTAACAAAAAGATTTTGCTGGGGGAAGATGATCCCAGTAGCCTGGACCACAGTGCCAACATGTATTCACCTTCTCAGAGTGCAGCAACATATTTGAGTCTCCTGGAGAAATCCCCACTAGATATATGCCCGAGTTGCCTTAAATCTTGACTGAAACAACTGTCTTTTGAGGAAGACACTGAAAGAATTGAGCCTTAGCCTTCCCAGAAGCCGCGAATATTGATGAGACTTGCTGTTGAAACTGCATGAATTGTACCACTTTCTAGTCAAATTAATGGAAATTAAACTGGGACCTTTTATTTGGCTCAATCTGATTGAAACAGTGACCACTGACAATATGGCTTTAATACCATCATTCTTGGTCATTAAAGTGGGTCAATTGAGACAGGAGGCTTTTCTTGATGAGCTAGGTAATGGAAATAAGGCCATGTCTAGACTCCAGGCACCTCAGGCAACTCATATGCTAGACCAATCATAAGTCAGGAGACATACATGTTGATGAAAAGGAAGAAACATACATCTTGTCCCTCAAACCAGTAGCTGGACAAGACCAGAAAGATCCTTTGCTTCCGTATGTGTACGGCGATCTTTTAATTTCGAGATCAACTGGCCCACTTCAGATGCTGTTAAGTCATAATCATCTGCCTCCTCAGAGTCATCCATGCCACCATGGATAGGGAAGGTCTGCATAGTCATAGTAGCATGCGCAGGAGGAGTCGAAGGCTGTCCTGAATCTTTGTCAGAGTATTCATCCGCTTCCATCTCAGTATCTTGTGCTGATCCTTGGCCAGAGAACCCAGATTGGGGGGGCAGTTGTGGTAGGAAGAAGATGTCAGAAAGAACACTAGTGAGAATTTTGTGGTATTGCTCAACAACTGCAGTCTTCGGGAAATGAGGCATTGACCGTGACAATTTGCCAATGCAACATTGTTGCCTGAAGTTGAGGCTGATAGTTGCTGCTGAGTATTATATAATACAACACGTGACATCCTCATTCTGGCTTCCAGTCCGGGTAGACCTTGGATTACATGACAAGTAGAGGTGCAAGAAAGAACAGGATTCAGATCGCAAAGTAATATAGGACAGCAAGGTGGATGCACTTATTGAGAGATACTCTATAGACATATGGGCACATAAAAATTATCGTGGACATGAAATACGAACGTTGAAAGACATCATGAAGAGCCCCAAAAAGTGGTCAGTCAAAAAAAGAAGCGAGAGTTAACGATGCTCGCTGAACGATGAGGTAGGGCGTGCCGGTTGGGAGCTACGTGGAGCAGAATCAGAGGGTGGCGGACTGCCAGCCGAACCTGGAGGAGGAGGCGGTGTGGGTACAGGCGGAGAGCGCTGTTGACCAGGGTGTTGCGAGGCATGTGGTTGGGAAGGGGGCGGGGGCGGGGGAGGCGGCTGTTGTTTCTGCCTGCCACCTCCATTGGGTTGGACGTGGCGAGCCCCGTTGGGCAGAGGAGGCTGGTTTTCGCCCGGACCACTTGTACGTGGTGATTGTGGCGTCTTTGGGGGCGGGTTGATCCCATCGAGCATGAGGTTCACCCCATCGGTCTTCCACAGCTCCTCGAGAGTTTGCAGGAGTTTCAGAAGTTTCTTCGGCGGATTCGAGCCGTACGGAGGCGCCTTCATGTCATGTAGCATGTCCATGACACGAGGGTCCTGCAGAACTGAACCGTTCTTGCCGAATTTCTGCAAGAGGCGCATCGTCTCTTTGCATCTCTCCAGGTAGCCCTCTTCATCGATTTGCAACGCCCTGATGATATGGCTCTGGAGAACGAGAAGGCTGTTTGTCAGAGAGAAAAAGAGGAAGAACTAGGGAAAGCCAACCTCTTCAATCAGCTGCACGAAACCCGGCGGCTGCCTCCCAACCAGCACATTAACCATGCGCATGACAAACGTATACTGGGCCACAGCATCACAGGCTCTACTGCTCCCTCTCTTGCGGAAGAACTCGCTGAAGCCTTCATGGTCCTCCTGTATCAGACGATCCACCGATCTGATGAACGGCTCGTCAGGCGGCGTCATGTCGTCATCAGAGGGCCCTTCGTTTCTCGTGCTGTAGACCGGCTGAGGAGGCGGCGCCGGCACTGGTGGTGGCAGCGGGCCTGGTACTCCCGCTACGGACGGCTGGTGATGCCTGGGAGATACAGGAGGGTACTCAACCTGCGTGTTTGGATAGCTTGAATGAGGCTCCTGGTCGCGAGATTGGCTTTGCTGCCGTCGCCTTTCCATAGCAGCATGAAACGACCGCGGTGGGCTTAGACGACGAGGAGACGTTTGCCACGAGTAGTCATGCCGAGGCACCTTACTAGGTCCTTGGTTCGAGTGTGGATGGTTTGGAGGTGGAGGCGGGCCGTTGGATCGGTAACTGTCGTAGTCGTCGAAAGACGGGGAGTTTATTCGCTTGCGAGAGTTGGGAATGTCATAGTTCTCTCGTCTTGCCTCAACATCCATCGGGTACTCTTGTTGCGGCTCAGGCTCATCATACGCTGGAGACCATAATTCTCGAGGTATTTGTGGAGGGCGAGGAACCTGTCCTGGTGGCTGAAGCTACGTTCAACAAAACGAATCAATGTTCTGGATTATTTTCTGAAATGACGAAGCGCACCAATTCCACGACGAGGTCAATCGTCCTATCCGGTTTGACGACGACGTTGCAAGAGCTTATCTCATCCACGTTGTCGGAAGTAACTCGCAATATGAACTGCCTGTACCTTCCACGCAAGGTATATGCACGAGCAGGGCCATCTATCCTGGCAGGGCTCGACTGCAACTGAGTGCCCTGTTGACAAAATTTCATCAGGGCTTTGGTTCCAGTGAAAGAAAAAATATTCAAGCCAACTCACAATGTCTTTGGCATCCGCCCAGAAACCATCTGCAGGATTATCACCTGGCCGCAATGGAATCTTGACCTCGGCGAGCTGAGGGTCCTCAGTACCGCTCCGCATGTCGGTAATAAGAAGTGTAACCATCCGTAACGGGATCTGCTTAACCTTTCGCTGAGCTAGAGGCACCCAAACACGTACGTTAATTTCCCAAATCAATAGAAGAAGAATTACAAACCGGGGGTTTCTCCAGACGGAGTTGGATTACCACCCTGCTGCGAACTACTCGAGCTCGTCCGCTGTGCGACACCCGCCGGTTGAGGTGGTGGGCGTTGCCGTTGTGCAGACTGTGGCGGTGGGGGATGTGTATATGCGTGTTGCTCAAGAGGCGACGTATTCCTCGGCGACGGGACAGAAGGAGGCGACATGTTCCGCCTAGGCGGCGGCGAACGAACAGGAGCGGAAGGCGACAGGATCCGCGAACTCGAAGTACGTGGAGCGCGGGGCGAGACGTGATGAGAAGCATGAGGTGGCGGGGGCGACATATCCCGTACAGGCGACATGGGCATTGGCGCATCTGGAGCGTCGTAGTCTTGTCTGTAGTGGCTGTGGGACGGAGCGTGCGATGACGAGCTCGATTCGCCACCGTGCGAGGGCTGGGGCGATGCAGATGACTGCTGTGAGTGACCTGTTTGCCGAGAGGATGAGGGCGGCTTGGAAGTGTTGTCGACGCGTCTTACGTGCTGTGGAGTGCCGTGTGGGTTGTGCCGCGAGTCATCGAGGGTCTTCTTCGGTGCTGACGGCAGCGGAGGCGGGAAAGGCGGCAAGTTCGACTTGGGCGGAGGTAGGGGGTCTCTGCTCGTCCTGGACGCTGGGATGGTCATCGCAGACCCACTAGACGACCCAGCAGCAGCAGACCCAGGGTGCCCATCCACAAACGTCGACCCCATCGCGCTGCTCGACGGATGGCCCCCATTCGACCCCGTCGACAAGCTCGGATCCGCCGACAGCTGCCTCCTCCGCGGCCTCTCCACCGCCACCTGCGGCGTCCCGCGGTACAAGGACGAGTACGGCCCCGAGCCCGCATGCATGGGCGGCTCCGCGCTCGGCGTCGGGTCGTACGTCTGCAACCGAAATCGGCTCGTCTGGCCGGGATACGCATCGGGCTTGCGGGGGCGCTTCGTGCCGCCCTTCTTCGCCTTGGCCTTGGGCGGCTGCGGCACCGCCTGCCCGGGCAGGAAAACCCTGGTGGAAGCAGGCTCGAGGTTCGCGTCGTACGTGCTTATGCTGCTCGCAGACGCTGCGAGGGCGGTCGTCCCGGTGTCGCTTGTGAAGGCGAACCCGACGGCGCGACGGAGCAGAGGACCCTCGGACGGAGGAGGGGTGTCGTCGTCTGGGATCGGTGGAATCACTAGGTCGCCGTCGTCTGAAGTGGGTGAGAAGGAGCGCTTCGGGCCCTAAGCAAAAGTAGGGGTAAGTTGACATGTTGAGTGATCGACAACATGAAGACGAACTGGGCGCGCTGGAGAGGAGTCGCGGCTGCTCCTGCGAAAAATACATGTTGTCAGAGATTGTGGCAGAGATACAAAAAGACATGTAAAGGAGCTGTTACGCACGATGAGCCGTCCCCACTACGGCGTCTCCCTCGACCGATCTCGCCATCGTAGGTGCCTGCTCGCGACATGACGCTCGAAACGCGGCTTGCACGCGATGTGGGCGGAGAGCGAGGGTTGGGAATGCGGACGCAGCCGGCAACGTACAAATATAAAAGTGGTTGGCCCTCCGGTGGACCTCCCTTACACGGGTTTGCCAAGCGGAGAAGTTCTCAAACACGGACAAGAATGGCAATTAATGTGCACTGATGCAATGGCGTCGTTGAGGCTTTTACGAGACGACAAGGAGGCCTTTGATGAGGAGCGACATGGTGGACGGGGAGACAGGGTGGGTATGCAGTGAGCCTGGGGCCTGGTGTGTCTTTCCCGAAGCAGCAACGCATAAAGCTAATCCAACCCAGATTTTGCTTGACATTCCCACGCGGCCGATGAAATTCCTTCTTTTGGGAATTTTGCAATAAGCCCTCACAGCCACCGAACAGCACCCAACGCCAACATGCCCCTTTCGACGTGCTATCGATAAGCCCGCGGATGTCCACCAATGGAATCGCGAGCTCGAGGACCCCACTTTTTCGAGTGAATGCATGCATTTGTTCCCCATTTACACTGAGCTGATTCGAACCGTACAGATTACAGGCAGGTTGTGATTTATTTATGTAAAAAAAACTCTAATTTGACCGAGATTTATGACTTTTCGACCTTCTTGCCATACAACCGAGCAGCATTGCCATAAAACACAGCATCAACATAGTTTTGCTCGACTCCGACCTCGGCCAGGGATTCTCTAGCAATTTCGTACCAGTCGCCGACCTTGGATAGACTCCTGGAAGAGGAGGAAGGAGAGGATCCAAAGATTATGCGCTCGTAGCCGAAAGCCTCCATGACAGGCGCAACTGAAAGGGAGAATTAAGTTCGCGCTCCACCATAGTGACGGGCTTTTTACTTACGGTACATCTTGATGCGCCGTTTCCACTCCTTTAGTTGCTGGGTGTCAACAGCCTCAATCGGGCTTCCGGGGAAGGGTGTTTGCGGAGTAGGAGCGTCCCAGGCTGGTGGGAGGAACTTGACATGGACCTGAGGAATGAGAGAAAGGGCGGCGACCTGCGACTGGAAGGCGAGATATGTGGGATGATTCATCAGCTTGACGATGGGCAAGTCGAGATCATGCGGAGGAGGCAATATGTTGGCTGTGTGTTGTCGGATTAGCAACCGGAGGTATGGGGATAATGAAGGACTCACAAAGAACGACGCTCGGAACTACCTCGAGATCAGAGGTGGCTTTGGCGATCATGTCCTCGAAGCCTTCAAGGAGCGAATCGGAGAGAGTTGCTTGGATATCAATATCGACGGCATGACCGCGTTGAAGAGCCCAGCGAAGACCTTGAACGGCCTCGGGAGAGTTCTTGGTGAAGATTGCAGATAAGGAGGTGGGTACGGTGGAGGATGCAAGAAGGGCCTCGACGGAGGGATCGGGGTTTTCGAGGTTGAACGGAATGATGAAAGAGAGGATCTGGGAAGGTTCCGAGCTGGACTTGAGGCTTCGGTGGCGTTCTGAGGATGAATGGGCAAAGGGGTGTGTGAAAGGACTCACTCGTTTATGGCGTTTTGGAGCTGTTCGGCAGGCAAGGCGAGGACAACCCCGTTGACTTTCTCGGTGAGTGCTGGGCTGGAGTCCTTCTTCCACTGGGCGTAGTATATGTCCTTTGAGACGACATTGGCGTCAATGACCTGGGCGGGATGGAGGGCGCTAGGGCTGGGAGGGAGTTGGAAGGACTCCTGGGTGCCAGTGTTGGGAGGCGTGAATACGGAGAGAGGGAGCTTAGGGAGATCCTTTGGGCCCTTGCGACGAGTAGTAGTAGGGGGTACCATTGTTGGAAGTACAGAAGAAAGGGATATGCTATGAATAAGTACGAAGAGGAGGGCGGGCAGCTGTAATCTCTGCATCAATCACATCCAGATCGGGCCATCGTCATCACCACTCCTCATCATCATCAGCTGCGTTCTCACCGCCACAGCAACTGGACTGTCAAGACGACAGCGAACAGACTCGGAGTCGGATGGGCCCAGCGTCGTCTCCGAGCACCCAGGGCCCCTGTAGATCGACTGTGCCCACCGGCGCGTGCGCTCACTCTGGCTGGCAAGGTCAGCACAGAAACACACGCTCAGAAAGACGCGACTCACCCCAACGTTGCCTGCTGTAGCCAGGTATTTGTCAAACCTCTCAGCCGCGTTCCGCCACTCCTCTCTCTGGCCCTCCTCAAATCCCTCCTTCAACCCCTGTTTCCGCCCCTTCTTCAACCCTTCCTTCAATCCAGCCTTCCGCCCTTCGTCATAGCCCTCAGCATGTCCCTCCTCGTACCCGTCATCCCTCCCGGTATTGTACCACCGATCCACGGCAGCCTGGATCTCATTCTCGCGCTGCTTGCCATATAGCTCCAGCGAGTGCACCGTCATCTGGTACTTCTTCGCGCTCGCGAGGGCCTTGGACTCCGAGTACTGCAGCTCGTCCATCTCTCGTCGTGCCCCAACCAGGTCGTCCTGCAAACGGAGCACCTCGCGTTGCGCCACCTCCAGCTGCGTCTGGTAATCCCGCGCGTCGCGCTCAGCGCGGACCGTATGCCGGTGCAGCTCGTCGTTCTCCGCCTCTAGACGCCGGATACGCGCCTCGAGCTCTCGTTCGTTCCGCTCCGACGCCTCCAGGCGCGCGAGAGCGTCGTCGGCTCGCCGGATCTCGTGCTCGAGCCGGTCGCCCGACACCCGGAGGAGGGCCTTGAGGCGCTTCGTCTCGCGCTCCTCCTCGGCGATGGCGATAGCGGCCACCATCTCCGCACGGTGCTCGCGCCGCGGAGAACGAGAGGGCCGCCTGCGCTTCTCCTTGCGCTCCTTCTCCCCCGGCTCCGACGGCTGGAGGCTGGGGTCCTGCAGTATCCGGAGCAGGGGCGAGGGTGAATACGTCGCCTCGCGGACCTGCGCCACAATATCGCTGTTATATTGCGGGAGGATTAGATCCCGGTTAGTCCCAAATGGCGTCTATCTGTGAACGGAAGAGATACTGACTGTGGTGATAGGAACGTGGTCGTCTGCATGCCGTCGTCGACTTGGATAGAGGGCAGAGGCTTGTCTTCAGTGGGCATGGTGGTAGTACTAGATGTCGATAAGGAGAGGGGAGGGAAAGCAAGAACAAGAACTTGAAGAGCAATCGAGAGCACCGGGCTTAAAACTGCGACGCGCAGCGCTCCAAACTCGATGAAGAATGTCGATGAAGTTCAAAATGTGCAGTGCTCCGTTTACAGTTGACACTCAATACTTAAACCCCTCGCTCCTCCGCTTAACTTAAATGCTTCATCATCTAATCTTGGCCCCCATGCTCCCTACACGCGTCGGAAGGCCTCTTCTGTAGCCCTCGGAATTCATGATCATGATCCTTGCCAGTTAGAACTCAGCCAGGGCGCGTTGTCTGCAGGCCTCCAACCCGCCGGAATGGTGCACATCAGGACGCGTTCTGCACACCATTTACACCCTTCACATAAGCACATGAGGATGGTCTTGCTCCACCCGGCACCGCACCCTAGGGCCGCACCGCGCACCGCCCTTTTCTTGACAGCCTCGGGCGCAAGTATGGCGTTCGGCGTTGGGAGCCCGCCAAGTAAGGCAGGCGAGGAGGTGCCTTGAGGCAGCAACGAGGGGATGAGTGAACCGGATTTGGGGTGCGCCTGGGGGTTGCGGCTCTTTCCCAAATCACCGAGTGTGGAAATTGTGCTTGAGATCATCTCGTTCTCTCGCAAAGTTCTTTCGAAGCTTGACATTTGCAAAGTAGGGTATATCTCTGAACCCGTTTAATCTATTCTTCTTTGGCCAGGGCATTGGGTACTCTTCACCCCAAGTGCGTCACACGACCTTCCAATCCAAGTTAGTTACTATTAGGCGCTAAAGTGTTTCCTGAATCAGCAATTCACCTCGAGGACGCGGTAGCCTCCGCATGCCTCATGTCATGGAAACAATTTTCCTCCCTCCCGTCAGTCGTCGAATCGCCATCTAGTCGCGGCGTGCGCGACCTGCCTCATGGGTATCGGAATAACGTCGACGAACGAGCATCTTCCACCTCTCTCGTCATACTCGTACATTCACCGCCTCCATAACTTGTTGAAGAAATTGACTTGCACTGCCGCGGCGGGCGCTCGATTCAGATAGTTGTCAAACCCTCAGACCTAGCCGTAAGTAATTTACCTCTTTGGGCGCTCGTTTCGGTGGCGTTCATGCGCTTCTTTACTAACCACATTACACGCTCTATGATCTATGTGTTTGAAGCGGCTGTAAGACCCACGGGATTCAGGATTCCGCAGCGTTATGCCCTAGATCTGGAGGACGGGCCCCTGACCCTACCCTACTCGTAATCAGCTGCGCGTGCATGTTTTTGACCTGGCGTTTCTCGTGAGTTGAACGGTTGGATGATCAGGGCTACTCAAATTAGATCTATCTGTCTATGCGAGGCGAACATTTTGACTGTATTTCTGCTGCATGGTGGAGTTCTTATTCCGAGAAAGAAAGGCGATCTATCACGAAGCTCGTTACCTTGGTCCAGGTGCCGTGTTGAAGACGATGGCTGATCATGGAGTTTGCAACAGCACTCGGGAGATCAACAGATCGATATCGTCAACAAATGGTAACATCTTCTGGAACAAGAGATAGCTATGTAGGCGTCAAACTGCAGTCCCAACTCAGCTTTTCGACAGGCTCTCATTTAGTCGATCATGATCAGGAAGCGTGGTAGTAGACGATTCCTTTCACACGGCGTCTCCACGGGCTTGCTACGTCGCTTGACTTCCATCCTACCGTCTCGGAGGGAAGGACAGTTATGCATTTATTCGCACGAGTGGTCTTCTACGCACTCTGTCTAGACCTCTGAATGTACTAGCATATGTGTCGGATCGAAGGCTAAAGTTCAATTTTGAACAATAAGCGCCGAGCGTCGCTGCTTGGGAAAGGCGGTGTTATTTTAAAATTGGTGGTCACAATGCGATCCAATGCGCTCCAATGCGGTAGGAAATTATCTTGTTCACATGGGTCGCCTTGAGTTGATTCCGAACGCCCGAATACCCAAAGTCTCTTCCACTCCAATATTTCATGAACGGACCAACGGACGGGTTCCTATTCAATCAGGCCACGTTCCTTGGTGGATCAACCACGGAGACAAATCCAAAGATCACAAATTCCGCATACGCCAAATTCCAGTCAAGTCCCCGACTGCTGACCTCCTACCCCGCATGACGCGTGCAAGCATTGTTCCAAAAATAGCTACGCGTGCATCCCATGTGCCTCGACAATGCGGGGATCTATTTTTGCGGCCCCACACTACCACGAGGCGCATGTATAGAAATTAGACGTCCTATGTCGTCGTGACCGAGGTGAGGTGCTAACCATCGGCGGTATCGCTAATTTCACCTGGCAATTTCACCCAGATTATGCTACCACGATGGGAGTCGTCTCATGATGCAGTGCCTCTATAATCGACACAGATGAGAAGAGAGGTCACGACGGTGTCCAAATTTGCCTTGCAGCTTGCCGCTCCGTTGGGCGAACGCACGGAAGCGCGCAGCGCACATGAGATGCAAACCTCTCTCATGACTGGTGTATTTCCAAATTGCGAGGTCCTTCTCCTCTCTGACAGCGCGTCAGCTGCCTCGATTGCGAAAGGGAGGAAGAGCGTGATTTACGCGACAGTGTCCCTGGAAGGATTTAAAATGAGGTGAGAGGCTGGGAGAGAAGGGCATCTGCGATCCTCTTGAATCAAAGGAACTGCGACGACCATTGGCAGGAAAGGCAGACGACTTACGACTAGGTCATGCGCTTCTCGACATTCTCGCGTTTCCTTTCTGCTCTCGGCCTTGTCGGCGTGTCCTACGCTGCCCCGACCGCTCTTCAGGAACGGGCCGCGACGGCGTTGTCATCCTCAGAGCTTGCAAGTTTCGCACCGTTCACGCAGTTTGCGCGTGCTGCCTACTGTCCCAATGGTTTGAAGACCTGGACATGTGGAGGTGCGACACCCTCTTTCCTTGGGTCTCAATTCCATTCTGACATAGAGTCACCGTCTAGCTGCATGCAATGCTAACTCCGACTTCCAAGTAACCCTCACGGGCGGAGACGGTAATGAGATTCAGATATGTGGGTTACCTGTCTGGTTTCAATCCGAAAGTGATGATGAGCTGATTTTCGATCACAGATTACGTTGGCTTCTCGCCTTCCCAAAACAGTATCATTGTGGCGCACGAGGGAACTGATCCGACGCAGTTGTAAGCCGCCTCAACTGAGTCCGACGACTATCATCCCTGACGCGCCATTCCAGCCTCTCTCTTTTGACAGACGCGAATATCGTTCTGGCGAGCCTGAGCACCTCCTTGTTCCCTGGGGTCACTTCGGGCACCCAAGTCCATAGCGGGTTCCGCGATCAGCATGCCAAGACCGCCTCCGTTATCCTCACGGAGGTGAAGAGATTGATGGCTTTGAAGAATACAAAAAATGTGGCGCTTGTGAGTTCGTCCTCGACAAACGTCGGGAGTTTTCAACGCATTAAATTTTTTGGACTCTAGGTCGGCCACTCTCTTGGAGGCGCTCTTGCAGAACTCGATGCTTTGTTTTTGACGCTGAACCTCCCGTCCGGCACGGCAATCAAAGCTGTGACGTACGGCACGCCGCGAGTTGGGAATGCTTTATTTGCCTCGCTTATCGACTCAAAGGTTAGACGACAATTTGGTTCTTACAGACAGAACGCCATTGACAAAATTTCCTCACATCACAGGTACTGGATTTCAAGCGTATTAACAACAAAGACGGTACGCGTATCACCCAGTAGCATACGAAGAAACACTTTCTCAGGCAATATTCGCGTGTAGATATTATCCCTATCGTTCCTGGGCGTTTCCTTGGTTTCTCGCACCCGCACGGAGAGGTCCACATTCTCGGGCCTGGTCGTGCTGTCGCATGCTCAGGTTCGTGACGCCTGGTCAAAGTTGCACGAAGCCCTGGCTGAAGTCTTATGCTTCCAACCAAGGTGATGACAACGCCACAGACGCGGATTGTCAGATTCAGTCGGTTCCCAACATTTTCGAAGGCAATATTCTTGACCATGTGAGTTCCGGATGGTGGCTCTCCTCCTTCGCTTGTCCTTGCTGATCGGAATGTCCAGTTGGGGCCTTATGAGGGAATCAGCATTAGTACTCTAGCCTGTTAGTTTTTAAATCGGCTAAATGCGCAGTTTCTTGGCCTTGTATTTTATCGGGATGACAATTCAATGACCTTTATGAAGGTAATAGAGACCGTCAGGTATGCGGTTGTGGGTCCCTGTGTAAGCGAAGGCAATTCGAACTCCGCTCGCTTGACAGCCTTCGACGTCGTCGGCTAAGCTCACCACGCCCACGACATCGCTTCTCGTACGTCCTGACTTACAAGACAATTGCTCTTCTGGTAGAAGAATGCCCTCTAGATCGCAAATCCTGGACGAAGGAAACTCTTTGACGGCGGGAAGGAGCAGCAACTCTGGCGACCCTGGCGACACAGCTTCAGCTCCGGTTGACATTTCGAAGGTGGAAGCAAGCGACAGCATACAGAGCCATCTCTCGGCGACCAACTCCTCTAAACGTCTTAGGATATCGCCTTCAGCGAGTGCTTTGGATGCGAAGACCTCCACCCCAAATTCCGATGACTCCAGCACACCCCATCATCCTCCGCGAAGCATCTCGAACTACTTCCGAGTCTTCTTTCTTTATGAAGCCAGTCAACAACTCCCGATATCTAGTCGTTCAGGCCGCCCAGAACGTTTTTGGCTCAGACTACTGGCGAGATCTACTTTCTTGTTTTATTGCTTCTTGAGTTGCGTGATAGCATCCACTCGGCTTTACGTTTTCTTCGCCGTCACACCACCTCTACGTGAAGAAAAGGGCACGCTATATGGAACGCCAGTAAACTCTATGGCAATTGGATCTTATTTGACGAGATCATCCAGTGGGCCTTCGGGACTCCTCGAACCATTCGTCGTAACAAGCCAGGCTCAAAACTCCACAGTGACTCTATGCGTCTGGATTGCAGATTCTGATATCCAGGATCTGGAGAGCTCGCTGGGGAATTGGAAGGGTAATGTTGCATTATCGATTTTCGTACCACGCCCGAGGTGATCTTTGATTCTCTTCTAGGCTCCGTGTCTCTCCTGATTACCACAGCTGCCAAGCCTTCTTCTCCAGAACACCACCAGCTGGTGAGGACAGTTCGCCGTCTCGTCTCTCGCTCCCAAGCCGCTCGCCCATCGGTGCACCTCCTTCATGTCAGCCACCTCAAGGCCCCATCTCCGAATCTGTACCTCAATCTCGCTAGATTATTTTCGTCGACGGACTGGGTGCTCATGTTCCCAAACGACCTCTCGGACCCACTTTCTCCAGCGTTCTACGCACAGGCGACTTCAAAGCGCTCTGATGTCGAAAAATCGGCGCATCTTCTGACACCTGGACCAAATGCTTATCCTTTCAGCCCGCTGTCCCCTCTTCTGCTACGGAACGACGCAGACTTCTGGTGCACTGAAAGGATGTTTCTCGACGTCACCCGTGAATCCGATTGGGATGAATGCCTGTGGCAGCTAGCTCTCCAAAGGAATGGGAAGGTCGACACAATAACCCCGTCCCATCAGCTTGCCACCGCGAAGAAAGTGCCGGTTCAGATTGCCAACGAAGACATTGTAAGTGGACCATGGAAAAGAAGAACGTTTTGACTGAGTTCGGGTCACGGTAGGGCTTAGCGAGACAGCTGCTCAGCTCCAGATTCAGAGCAGAAGCATGCGACACCTTTGGCAAGCAGATGATGACCGGACATGTTCGAAACAGGCATAGGGATATAATGCTGGAAGGCGTGAAGGCGTTCTGTTTGAAGGTTAGCGTGCATCTCAACGTGTTCAGTCACCGAATAACGAGGGCGCATATAGACAGTGAACAAGAAACTCCCCCGGTGATACGGACAAACCCGCGCTCATACACCGTTTCCCATAAATCTAGCTTCCATTTCTTCTTCATCCATGGCGTTTTCCTCATCGGGTTCTGATTGAAAGGCTGCCCAAACACTATCTCCCTCAGGTCCATCGACAACCACTTCCAAAATGTCCCTAGAAGCCTCTGCTTGCCACCTGTAAGAGCCTGCATACATGAGAAGAATGATCACACTGACCGGCGAGGTGCTCCAACTCCTGTCTCCCTCTGGGGTTGATCCAACTGGGAGGGTCGCAATAGCTCAATCTTCCAAAAGTGACGATAAAGATGTGATTTATACTAATGAAGGGTCGAAGTTGCGCTTGCTGAAGTTTGGACCGTAAGTTCAGACAGGGGTTTGTGTCAAATATTAGGTGATAGAGTAGATATGTTGCTTGATTGATCAGTCGGATGAGGCTGCAACACAGTGAGATGCCGGAAATTTATATCAGGAGACGACTCACGACAAAGTTTCCTCCGGTGATGAAGTGAGTCTTTCGTCATCTTCCCAGAGAGGCGAGGTGAGAAATGAGGTGTAAAGGATCAGTGAGGGAATTAGCGTATAGGATCTAGCCATTATTCCATGGCCATCCGGATGGGCGATGGATAGCTGAGCAAAACTGACGAGGATTTGAATTTTTACAACCTAGATGTGCCTTAGATGTTGGGCATCCGACGGAAGGCCGATGCACTTACATCAGTAGGAGGCCTGGTTGAATCTATGAGATGAGAGCATAGAAGATCGAGGAGAGGATCTTTGATGGGTTGGTCTGGGTGTCCAAGGTTGTCATTGGCACAGAGGAGGGCCTCGTACAAAGCATGATCTGTCAATAAGTATGAGATAGGTGTTACTCCTGTTGGAGAGAGTCCCACATACGGCTCGATAAAATGGCGAGCATCCTGGAAGATCGTTCCAGAAACCGGTTGGACTGAGATGGGTGAAATAGAATCATGAGAGCTTTTCGATTCCGAGCGAAAACTTCTAATCTGTAGAATAAATTAAGCTCAAAATAAACTGACGAAAGGTATGGCTTTACCGTTGCAGAGAGATAGGGGAAGCGTGGAAGCAAACCGATTCAAGGAAAGATAAGGTCTCCTGCGATAATATTTCACGGTGAGCATGTTCCAAGTTATGGCTGAGGTGTTGTTGTATTATCTGAGAAATGCCGCTTATGGCTGATACGGCTTCCTCTGGACCAACGATTACTTGGGCTGAGAGAAAGGCATCTTGGAACCGGGGCAGGGACAAGATAAGCTTTGTCAGGAGATCAAGGAGAATGGCCAGCGGCAGTAACTGAAAGGAGGGATTGAGTAAGGCAATTGAAGAACTTGACGAAGAGCAGGCCGACCTGGTTCGATTCATGAAGTGCAATTAAAATATATAAAAATGACAAAGATATGACCTGCAGCGAGCTTTCGTAGTCGTCACCCTTCACCGAAGTGGCTAGAACTGCAAGAGTTTTGCTGCAATAGGCTGAGAAAAGGCTAGAATCTTTAACCAGTAGGGTCGAACTCAAGAGACGCTGGAAAGTTGTTTGCTCGTTTGAAGGGTGAGAATGAGTTAAGATGATTCGACACAGCTAGCATATGTTCAGCATAGGCGCCGAATGCGTTATGACGACACGCACCTCATTCTTGAGATTGATTGACTCAAAAGGATCATCTTCGCCTGCAACATCCTCCTCGCTATCGGCTACAACTATATCCATACCATCATCGTCTGGACGGCTTGATGCGGGGGCAGAAATATTACTAGACGGTAGGTTATTCATTGCGGCTGGTGGTGGGCAGATACTTGGGGGTGGCTCGAACTGAAGCTGAGATAGGATCGGTGATCTCTGGGATGGGGATAGAGGATCGTTGATTGAATCCCCGCCGAAAATCTGCTCCGTTTTTGCCTTTCCCTTTGCCGCTCGTCGAGACGGTGAACGAATTGGTGTCGAGGTATCAAAGGCATTTTGAAATCCTGGGAGAGTCGCATTTTTCCTGCGCTTCTCGGGAGATTTAGGCAGTTGTTTACTGGGAGAAGCCTTGAATAGAGGAGGTGGGCCGGGGCCCCGCGAAGGGGTCTCTGTTACAAGCCATCTGGACGTTGACGCCTCCGGAGCATTGTTCCAGCTTCGCATCGAGCTGGGAATAGCCAGGGGAGTCGGGGGGAAATCCGCTCGACCTATCTTCTTCGCCTTAACTGAAGCAGGCGGCTTAACACGAATTGAAGCTTCCAGTTCTTGTTGCTGGTTTTATCCTTAGAACTTAGTCCACTAAAATTGACATCGTGGCAAGACACGCACTTTGAAAAGGAATTGCGTTCGCAATCGATCCATGTCCTCTTTCATTTTGTTCTGCAACTGGACCTGCTTGGCGTCCGCCTTCTCCTTTTCAGAGCGGAGTTGGGATACTTGGGCTGCATGAACTTGAGCGTTCTGTCGACAAGGGCACAAAATAAATAGAGCCACTAAAAACTCGAGTGACACCCACCTTCTCGATCGCCTTCCGCAATATGCTGACTTCTCCTTCTTTTGCCATTTTCATGTCAATCGCGTCTTTCAGGGCAGTTTGTACCTTGGTGTTATCTTCGCGCAACTGGCCATTGTCTCAAATGACTTTGAGAAACAAGATGAGATGACAGATACCTACCTCGTCCAGTTTCCTCTGTAATTCCAACACCTGAGCCTGAAGGTCATGAGATTTCGTTGTCTGGGAATGATTCTGGTTCTGGTTCGCAGGCTTTCTGACTGGCTCACTCTGTCGGAGGGCGGTATGTCGAGGATTGTCAGGTCGCGAAAGTGCACGGGGCTGCGCGTTGCGAGGTAAAACGTGCGTCGGCTGAACGACTTTGACAGGTTTCTGAGGAACTATATACGGCCCATTTCTCTGCCCTCCAGTAACTGGCCGCGATGTCGTCGCGTTCATCCTATTCATAACCCCGTACGAACCGTCAGCTCGCAGGGAAATTTCGGGTAGATCGTCTTCGTCGCCTGCCAGTACTGAAGCTCCAATCCCTGGTGTCCATCCAGAGTTCGTTTTATGACGCTTGTTGATTGGTCGGTCAGGAGGGGTGGAGGAAGACTGGAATAGAGAACTTTGATGAAGATACTTCTGCTCCTCTTGATCAAGTACAGCTAACGTTTGATCATCGAGTACGATATCGTCCAGGACATAATCGTCTGAGTCGTCCATATTCGCGACTTTGAGCACTGGAATGCTTCATGAGGGATAGTAGGAGTGCATGGAGACCGAAAGACGTGAGAAGATGGCAGAAGAGCCTTCACATTGTCTGACGTAATCCTGGCTTATGGTGTAGCGCCAAAGCTCTGTATGGCATGTTCTGTTCTCGCTACGCGCATGCGATAGGCCCTTCAACTTAGGCCATCCAATCTACCCTACTCCATTCAGCACTCTCGTTTGGAAATGGACACCACGGCAGGTCAACCTGGCTCTGTCAAGCTGGACGACGAGAGGGCTCGTCTCGCGAAGCGCGTCAAGCTTGAACAACTCAATACGACAATGGTCGTGCAAGGCGAGTCCTTTGCATGCTGTGGAACTCACACAGACGATGTTTAGTTCTCGCGGTTAGAAAGTGCCAAGTTGGACTCTTCTTTGAAGCGACACACTGCCCTCATCAAGCGCATCCGTCAGTCAATGGCCTCTGATAACCGTGAACAAATCGTGAAGGACATCGAATCTCTTTCACTGGAGAAATACATCGATGAAATTGCAGGGGCCGTAATAGAGGGTCTTGCACGCTGTAAGACGGAGAAAGATATCTGGGGTGCGGTGGAGGTGCATATGCTGGACGTCTGTTCTGTCCTAAACTTACTGAATAAATCCAGATCATCTCAACTTTACATCGTCGTTTCTCAAAAGTATTTACACCTGCCCTTGTGGCCAACCTTGCCTCAGCGATTTCTGCCCCACCTCGAGCTTCCTTATCAACTTTGACGCCGGAACAGAGAGAAAAGGAAGATTCTGCGCGTGTCACTCGACAGCGTCCCGTAGTGCGACTTTGCTCTGAGCTTGCCCTCGTCGGTGTCATAAAAGATGCTCCGGATAGGAGTGGTGCGGAGTGGATGATGAAGGCCATGAAGGAATTGGTAAGTTGTTCGCCCATTCACCCTCCTACGCTGACTCCTCATGCGGCTTGCTGGGAATTAGCTTTCCAATGATCCGAGCCTCTCTTCCTTGCCTCTCTTGACAACATTTTTGAAGGGCTATTCAAGACCTTTCTTGGGCATCAGCCCGCCTGCTTCGTCGAAGCAAGTACCGCAGGGTGCAGAGCCTGGCGATTTATCCAATACCCAGACCAATGGGGACGATGATGGAGGACAGTTCCCCCCTCTTGCTAAGGAAGACGAAGAGCTAGTGGAGCAAGACATACGCGATCGTTTCAAGCGCATGTGCGAAGGGTATTTCGATAACGTCTGCAAGAAACTGATCATCGAACACAAGGTTCGAAGTTCGAACGATCTTCCTTCCGTTTCAATGCATTCTGACGTCACCCTATGCAGCGTCTACAAGAGCAAGATAGGCGGAATCACGAAGCGTACATACGTTCCGGGGAAATATTTGAAGATCGCCAACAGGCCTACGAGAAAATGACAAAAGGCTATGAAAAGCTGCTAGCAAGTTGTCAATCGTAGGTGCTCTCTGTCACAGGGCTCGCATTACTGATTTACGGTTGTTTATAGTTTGTCGGAACTGCTTTACCTTCCTCTTCCACCTCTTCCAACCTCTTCCCAGAAATCCGATTCCATTCTTATTGGATCTCACTCAAGCCAAACAAACGGAGACGCCGAGGAAATTGTCATCGCTGGAGGTAAATGGGAAGACGAAGAAGAGAGAAGATTCTACGAAGACGTACAAGACCTGAAAGATTTTGTGCCGAGCAGTGTGCTGGGAGTCGAGGGACCAACTGAAGCAGAGGAGGAACAAATCAAAGAAGCTGAACGCGAACGTATGGAGCAAGAGAAGGAAGAAGTCAGACAACTGGAAGAGGAACTAGAGAAACTCAGCGTCGGCTCGACAGAGGACGCGAACGGTGTTGTAAGCCATGATGACCAAGAAGAAGAGGAAGAGTAAGCTTCCACTTATTCTCTTAGCTTTTGGTTAACAATTTATTAAGTGCTCCCACCCCCACTCCTGGCACTCCCAAAGCAGCAACCCCTCCGTTATCCCCGCAGTTGGCACCACAAGGTCCCTCGCAACTGTTGACGGCGCTCCTCGTTCGCCTACCTGATGCCACTAATCGGGCTTTGATTGATCAAGTCGCGATCGATTTCGCGTTCTTGAATTCCAAGGCCGCGAGGAAGAGACTAATTCGGGCAAGCACAATGACGTTCTTCGTGTCTGAAAGATACTAATAGTTCTGCAGTTCATGACACAAGTTCCTAAGAGCAGGACAGATCTCCTGCCTCATTATTCGAGATTAATTGCAACGTTGAATAAGTACATGCCTGACATTGGCTCGGAAATAGTTGCATCTGTGGGTTTGACTCTTTGCCGTTTCTTTGAAACATCCTGATACCTTTCTGTTAGTTAGATGAAGAGTTTCGATACTTGCAGCGAAAAAAAAATGTTGTCAAGGAATTGGCAGAAGTCAGGTTGAAGGTCAGTAATACATTTTATCTCAAATTACGGAGTTCCTCTAAGAAATTTCGCTGCAGAACATTATTTTCCTCTCGAACTTGACTAAGTTCCGAGTTGTCCCATCGCATGTTATCCTTCACATGTTCAAAGTTTGTCTGGACGACTTTTCGGGGACCAATGTCGAAAACATTGCACTTCTTCTAGAAGGCTGTGGTCGGTTCCTTCTTCGAAGTGAAGACACTTCAGAGCGATTCAGCACTATGGTATGCTGATTGGCTATGTTGCAGGCGTGACTAAAATCCTATTTTCAACTAGCTAGAACTCATGCGTAGGAAGCAAAGTCTCCAGCACTTCGATCAAAGGCAGCTTCTCCTGTTGGAAAACGCGTATTATCAGGTGAGGAGACGATTGCCAGGGCAATTTGTGTCTTAACTGTCCAATTAGTGCAATCCTCCTGAGCGAGCACCGAGACAAGAGAAGATACGAACACCGATGGAACTATTCATTCGACATCTAATTTACGACGTGCTAGCGAAGAAAACGATTGACAAGGTCCTGAAACTCATCCGCAAACTCGACTGGGATGACGAAGACGTGAAACGTACTTTGCACAAGGCCTTCACCAAGCCGTGGAAGATTAAATACAGTAGCATCGGCCTTTTGGCGATGTTGACGTATGATCTCCAAAGATACCGACCGGCATTTGCAATCGCCGTGGTTGATCAAGTACTAGAAGATGTAAGGCGGGGGCTCGAGCAGAATGTCTACAGCACCAATCAGCGGAGGCTCGCGACAATGAAATATCTTGGAGAACTCTACATCTATCGCCTACTTAGCTCCAGTATTATTTTTGATACACTATGGTCTCTCGTCACCTTCGGGCATCGTAGGCGATATTTCTCTTGACGACGATTGTCGCACTGATTGCCTATTTGTTAGCTGATGGTCGACCATTGCCAGGACAAGTGGCACCTTTGGACGTGCCCGACGATTTCTTCCGAGTTCGACTTGCCTGTGTGTTGCTTGACACCTGTGGAATGTGCTTCGATCGTGGCACCCAGAAGAAAAAGTTGGACAATTTTTTGACATTCTTTCAGGTGAGCAACTCCCATAGAATAGGAAAAAGCCGTAGCTGAACCTATGTAGTACTATGTCCTATGCAAGGATTCTCTTCCTATGGACGTAGATTTCATGCTATCCGATTCCATCGAGGTGTGTGAATGGTGTCTAATTCTCCCTGAGGTATTGGTGCTGACATTGCTTCAAGGCTGTGAGACCCAAGTTGGAAGTGGCTAAAACGTTGGCTCAGGCAGCTCTTGCTGTCGACGAGATGTTCAATTCAGCGTTTCAAGCAACTGGTTTGTCGCCTTCGTCAAGCATTATGCCATGGCAATTTACTGATGTGGAGTAGCTGAAGACAGCGGTGACGACAGCGAGGATGATGACGAGAGGCGGGAGGACCAAGATAGGGATGAAGAAGAGGCAGAGGACTCAGGGGAAGCCGAGTCACCAGTGCGCAATCCTTCCGCTCGACCCTTCAGTTGCTGATTCTCCCATCCCTAGGTTGGCGAAAGACCTCCGTCCCCTGAGCAGGAGGTTGTCCTTTCGGCTAGTAATAGTCTGCAAGAATACCTCGGGCCATCCGAAGAAGCGGAGGCCGAGTTTGCGAAGGAACTTGCTAAGATGGTCACGGATACCTCCGCAGAGTCTCGCAAGGTGGACAAGAAGACCGCCCTGGCGCTTTGGGATTCAGCTGTCCTGCCTCCAACTGTTCGCAAAAAACGCATAGACGAGGATGAAGCAGTAGACAAAGACGTAGGTGGACCAGGTACAATGTCTTTCACTGTCGTAACAAAGAAAGGCAATAAACAAAACGTACGTATCTCGTCTTGCGTGGTGTACGTATTGCGTGTTCATCAAGTTATTCCGAACAGACACGTCATATTGCCGTCCCTGCTGCATCTCCATTGGCAGTCCATACGCGCTCGGCCCAAGAACAAGACAAAGTGGAACAGCAACACTTAAAACGCCTCGTGCTCAATTATGAGCAAAGGGAGGAGGCAGAAGAGTTGAAAGGTACGTGGGTTGTTCCTTGCTTCTGGCTCGAATGCAGATTATTTTTTTCCAAAAGCCCTTGAAGCCCGCAGCCGTTCTGGCGCTATCAAGATACGTTATGTCGGATGACCTCATGGGCGCCGTTTCATTCGAGAGACTCCAACGAGACGCATTGCGCGGTTTTTCTGCCTGCCGTCGTGATGTCGCCCATCGTGGCGATAACATCGAGGTCTGACCCTGCAGCTTCTGACCTAACCTACCTACGGATGGTGGAAATGGCCTGGTTTCTAGCTTACATTCCATTGATGCACCAATTTAGGCAGCATCTTGCTGGGATGTCGTTCTGCAACGGACACGTTCTGAGCTGCCTACCCTCTAGAATACCGAATGTGTATGGATAGTTCGGATCTGCTGTTGGAATGTCAATTTACAAGGCGGTGATTGCCATGAGCTTCTTGTCGGTGTATGTGCTTGTCCGGTGTATGGGTCCCAATTGGGAAAAAGAGATCGAAAGACGTGTAGCATCAGTGCGCCACTTGAGGGAAATGACGCGAAGCAGAATCTGCCACCTAATGACAATGTCATGCGCGTGGGTCTGAAACTCCGTTAGCCCCCATCTACGTAGACTGCACTACCACTCTGACCACTACCCTCCTATTCCAGACATGATGCATTCTTCGTCGCGAGCTAAAAGGCGATTCTCCCTTTCGGCCACACTGTCGCCGTTTGACCCTCTAGAGCCTGCTAGAGTTGTGACCATTCTTGAGCACACCCCCCATCGTCGGCGAAAACTGAACCAGTATGCCCGTGGAGACAGGATAGGGAAGGGGAAGCATGGGGATGTCTACCTATGCAAAGACGAGACGAAACCAGGTGGATATGAGTTGGTGCGCTTCGTGCTGCCTGCTGCTCGCATGTTCTTGAATAGATGACTCCCCAGGCTGTAAAAGTCATTCCACGAAGCAATCCACGAGACAAAATCAAACTCCTCAGGAAAAGCGCCCGACAGGAAAGTCAGAATGGTACCCCGCCCATGTCCAGTACAATGAACAACATTCGGAAAGAACTCGCCATCATGAAAATGTGTCGTCATCCCAATGTAGTCCGTTTGGTTGAAATAATAGATGATCCGCGGGAGGACAAAATTTATATGAGTTGAGTGCATTCGAGATACAGGACGTGACACACTCTAAATCGCTCCCATAGTCATGGACTTCCTTTCAGGTGGTCCTGTTGAATGGTCAGACGAAGGGAAAAGGCCCTTGCTGACATTGCAGCAAACTCGACGGATAATGCGAGACACGATATTGGGCTTGGAGTATCGTATGTGACCATGCTCCTCATCCCCCTATTCCCGAAGCCAATTTACTATCCAGTCCATCATGAAGGGGTCATCCACCGCGACATTAAGCCTGCCAATATTCTTTATACCGAAGACCGTCGTTCTGTCAAAATCATAGACTTTGGCGTAGCCCATTATACTCCACCGCCAAAATCGAACGGCAAACAAGCCGAACGCGGATCGTCTTTCGAGTATCCCATGATCGATCCCGCAGTGTTTCCTGAGACAGATCTCCTGAAACGCGTCGGGACACCGTCGTTTCTGGCTCCAGAGGTAGTCTGGTTTCAAGACAACGAACCTGAAGCGTCCTCCCCAACCCACGGCAAGAAGCCCAAGATCAATCCACGACCTCAAATCACGAAAGCTATAGATGTATGGTCTTTGGGCGTGACGTACTACTGCTTCCTGTTCGGGCGCACCCCATTTAATGTTCCATCCTCAGCAAATGACAACGTACATCATAATGAATTCGTCCTCTATCAACAAATTTCGAAAGGCGAATACACCGTGGACGACTTTATGGGTGCTGACTACGTTCCTACTGCAGTGTCACGTTCCTCAGGCTCCATCCCAGCCACAGACGGGACAATGGTTGTCCAACTCTTAGAGCAAATGCTCCAAAAGGAACCCCTGCAACGAATAAGCTTGTCCGAGATCAAGGTTAGTGATGTTTTCGAATCCGAAGGACCTTTCTCAAATCACAAACTTAGAGGCATCCTTGGATACTTCGAGATATCCATGATCCTGATGAATGGCTGAAGTTAACCTCCCCAGAATACAGTTCTAAAGGCGGGGATGTCATATCTCTTGGCCAGAAACTTAGGAGCCTTCTTCTCGGTACACGCTGATCATATTCTGACAGTCCTCCGGTTTATTCTAGGCTCTAGCACATGCTGCCCGTGATGGCGAGTGGCTTATACCCTTCCTCAGTACCTTTTTCTCTGTGCCCTTTCTCTACCACGCTGTGCATCACCCACTCATTTCTACTGCTCCTTCACTTTGTAAGCATATGTTTATCTGCACATTTAAATCGTAGTACTCTCACACATAGATTATGTCACACCGGTCTACTAGATATTTTATGTACTTATATTCTATCTTGCACTGATCGACGCGTCTCGAATGCGTTGCATCAAAGTGCATATTCACGAGACACGTGATAAGACGCGATCCACCTTGTGATGAGGGCATCCAACCGACTCTTGTGATCTGACGATTGGGAGTCGGAATCCCCGGCCCGTCGACACGACCAAGACCGATTGTAGGCTTGCTGGCGTTTCACTGACCTAACAACTCTTCTTCTTACAACCACCGTCTTCCATTTCTATCCCTCCGAGGCCTCTCTACCGCTGAAAACAACATGTCGCTGAAGGCTGTGAGATTGCTTTTTTTGTTCAAGTTTGTCGAGTTTGAGTAACGAGATCGATGTTTCTGGCAGATTGTAAAATGTGACTATTTCTTCACTGTGGTCCGTTGTCACGACGCTCATGAATTTCTACGAAAGCTGTCCTCTCTGGTGACACTCTCGTCCTTCGTGGACGCTCAGTCACCCAAGGCCAACCTCCAAAAGAGCGGTGCGCATCCTCTCTAGCTAGGCACGTGGATTCAGGGTGACCTGACATTTGCTTAGTGTGTTGCACATAGCAGACTTGATTGCTCCGCGACTGGGAACATCGGCCAGAGAAGACGAGGTGAGCTGTATCCGCAACTATGATGCGACCAGGTGCTGATCGTGTGACAGCCATGGGCATTCGAAGCTCGCGAGTTCCTTCGCCAACTCACCGTTGGGAAAGAAATAACCTTTTCATCCATTCATTCCTTGCCTGCGAATGACGACGTCGCTCGCGATCTTGGAAACGGGGAAATTGGCGGACTCGACCTCGCCTCCGAACTACTGAGAAACGGGTGGGCGAAGCTGAAGGAAAGCAAACGAGAGCCAACGGAGGAAGACAACAAGAGGAAGGAGCTCGAAAATGAGGCGAAAGCTGCTGGAAAAGGGATTTGGAACCCTCACGGTCCCCAGGTCAGTGATCAGCCAGATTGTTCTATGCCGCCGAGTTGATTCCGTTTCAAGGCGCGTGTCGTCCACCACACTATGCCAACGGACTCTCAGGCATTCGTAACAGAGTGGAAGGGCAAACCACTTGACGGTGCAAAATTATTTGTTTACACTCGTATCTAAGAACTGACCCAACTTGTGCATAGCCCTTGTCGAGCAAGTCAGAGACGGGACCACTTTACGTGTCCGCCTCTTTATGCCAGACGGAGAACACCAAATGGCCAACATTACGCTAGCTGGGGTGAAAAGTCCCCGAGCATCCACGAAGCAAGGTGAAAGTTCCGAACCTTGGGGCGAAGAGGTAAAGTTTTGTGGCAAGAAGGAAAGCGGCGATCTATTCATGACCAAACCCAGGCAAAATTCTTTACGGAATCGCGTCTCCTTCAACGTCCTGTAAAGGTGCAGATTCTGTCGCTGCCCAACGCAGCCGCCACACCATTCCAAAGTTCGGCTAACACAGCAGCTCCTCCACCCGCCAGTATTTACATCGGAACAGGTATGCGACTGGCATACTATAAAATACAGCAGCTAATTCATGCACCGCTAGTTATGCACCCTGTCGGAAACATCGCGGAATTCCTTGTCGGGGCAGGTTTGGCACGAGTAGTTGACTGGCATGCTGGCATGCTGGCCGGCAGTGGCGGAATGGAGCGCCTTCGCATAGCCGAAAAGTCTGCAAAAGAAAAACGCCTCTGCCTTTATGCAAGTGTGCCCTCCACCACCTCAGCTGCAAAATCGAATGGTACCACCCCCAATGATTCAGCTCGCTCGTTTGATGCAACAGTAGTTCGCGTCTGGAGTGGAGACCAGATCACGGTTGTTGAGAAAGACTCGGGCTCTGAACGGCGCCTACAACTTAGCTCTACAAGAGGACCAAAGTATGATTCCCCTGTCTTTTTCCGAACTCAGGTCTGACGACACGTAATTAGACTATCCGATCCTCGCCAAGCGTACTACGCTCAAGAGGCTCGTGAATTCCTCCGCAAAAAGTTGGTTGGCAAACACGTCAAGGTGCACATTGACTTCGTCCGACCTCGCGAAGGCGAATTCGACGAGCGAGAATGCGCCACAATCCGTTCTGGTGGACACAATGCGTGGGTTTCTTTCATCGTCTGCACAACATCCATCTTACCCCTTCCAGGAACATCGCCGAGCAACTGATTGAGAAAGGTCTTGCAAGCGCCGTGCGACACAAACGAGATGATGAGGACCGCTCGCCAGATTATGACAAATTGATGGCCGCAGAACAAGCGTTAGTGGGTCTTGTTTTGGACGTCTATCCCAACAATAACAACCTTCGAAAAATGTTAGAGCAGTTGCAGAACTTCGTGGAATTCACTCAGGCAAAGAAATTCCAGCGCCTAAACAGCCTCTAAATATTTCAGAGGTATGTTACTTTCATCTTCCACTAGGCCTCTATTGATGCTTTTCCAGACCAGTAGCCGTGCAACCCAATTCCTGAATGGTTTCAAGAGGCTAGGCAAAGTTCCTGCAATCATAGACTATGTCCCCGCTGGATCACGCTTCAAGATATTCCTCCCTAAAGACAACCAAACTCTTACCCTGGTACTTGCAGGTAGGTGTTCACTTGCTTGCCTCTTCATCTATCTAATTGTCTATAGGCATCCGCGCACCGAGAACAGCACGGAACGCTTCGGAAAAGAGCGAACCGTATGGCCAAGAAGCCCTGGAATTCGCTTCTCGTCGGTACATGCAACGAGACGTTGAATTCGAGGTTGACAGCCTCGATAAATCCGGTGGATTTATTGGAACACTCTGGGTGAACAAAACTGAGAATGTTGCAATCACCCTGGCCAAAGAAGGCCTGGCAACTGTGCATTCATTTTCGGCTGATGGCCTTCCATGGGCTCGCCAATTGTACGATGCAGAGGTACGTCCTCTGTTCTTAGCCCTGTCTCTTTTACGTGGCGACCTAACAACTTGAGTGCAGGAACAGGCGAAGAAGTCGAAGCGTAATGTATGGCCTCTTGCCTCGTTCCTCGTTTCGATGGCTGAAAGCATTTCCCCATAGATCTGGAAAGACTATGACGAAGAAACAGCCAAGGCTGCCGAAGTTGCTGAAGAGAACGAGGGTGATTCTGGACCATTGAAATCAGATTATCACGATGTCATTGTCAGCGATGTGCGAACCCAAAGCGGCTTTGGATTCTCGGTACAAATATTGGACACTGAGGGTATGTTATCTTCCGCGTCAATGCTCCAGGTTCTTACATACCTTGCTGCCAGGCATTGCCGCATTGGAGAAACTCATGCGCGAATTCTCGATTCATCATCGTACTCCTATTCAATCTCCACCAGGGTTTGCACCTAAGGGAGGAGATTTGGTTTCAGCTAAGTTCTCCGATGGAGCATGGTATCGTGCCAAAATTCGCAGATCGTCTCCTCTCAAAAAGGAGGCCGAAGTCACTTTCATCGACTATGGCAACCAAGACACTATCCCATTCTCAAATATTCGGCCTCTCGATCCTAAATTCCGCTCACTACCAGGCCAAGCACACGACGCGCGTCTGAGGTGAATACTATTTGCTACTTATTTCCTGCCCAGGTATTGACTCCTGCGCCAGCTTTGTGAAACTCGCTGGTCCAGAAAGCGACTACCACCAAGAGGCCCTCGATCGATTTCGCTCAACTTGCGAAGGTCGCAAATTGGTCGCAAATATTGACCACAAGGAAGGATCCTTACTCCATCTTCGCCTCATCGATCCCACAAACCCTGCTGTAGCGGAGGATCCTTTGGTCTGCATCAACGCCGACCTCGTCAGCGAAGGCCTGGCCTCGGTCGATCGCAAAGGGTGCAAGTACCTCTCCTCGTATCCTCACATCGTGAAGAAGCTGCAGGCATCGCTCGTTGAAGCCAAACGCGACCGTGCAGGCATGTTCGAGTTTGGTGATGTAGAGGAAGACGACTAGATATATACAGGCGGACATATCAGTATATCGGACGACACACAGGTGCTCGCATGTAGAATTGTATTCAGAGATGGTCGAATTGAGTGCTACGACGTTTGCACGCGGAAAATTGTTGGTTCTTTGAATTGTGTCTCTGCAAGACTCTCCCAGATGGCGACGGGATTGTTCACGCTACATTTGAGGTCAGAACTCAAGAAATATACGTAGAACGAAAATAGATGGAACTTGCGTTTCTAATGTTAAGGGGAAATTGACGTCAGCAGGGTGGGCTTGCCATTCTGTAAAAAATCGATGAGCATATAGTTGGTTGGGAGACAGCGAAAATGAAGCCGCCGACCTTCAGGTTCTTCTGGAACATCAATGCCAAATCCCAGTCTCCAAGTAAGGCCTTGAACGCTATTCGACAAGCTGGGGGTCTCATCAGTCGACTGAGTGAATGAGACTACACTTCTCGACGTACAAGTCGGGCGGAGCTAGAGTATGGTTTTTGAGTTTCGTCGACCTGATCTCGGTGTCGACATCAGCGAATCCTGAGGATTGACCACCGACAGTGCCGCAGTATTCTTGTGGTACGCCACTCTTGCCGCCGAATACAGTAGTCTTCACACCGTCTTCTTTGGCCATGGTGATCTGGAGTGTGAAATTGGCCTATTAAAGCCGTCATGTGGGACAGACAGATTTTGCGTACACTAAACAAGGAACAAGAGCTTGCACACCTGTGCACAAGCCGCTGAGGGTCAAGAGGGAAAAGGCAGGTTTTGTATCAGAGGCCTACCGTCCATTCGACACGATCAACACGTCCTTTGGCTTGAACAAAGGGCGGTCGGGTGGGTCCCACCGGAAAGGCTGGCACTCCTGGCCCAGTCTTCACAACAAGCTTTCACCGTTAACTCACGCCAAGGGTCGAGAGAATTGCGGAAGACCTTTGACTAAAGGCGTCCTCATGCCCATTGATTGTCACTTGCACAGGCTTCAACCAGTCGCTCGAGTTGGAAAATGGGTGGTGCGTGGCGTTCGTCCACTGGATCGGGTTGTAAGAGAGGAGTTCCTCGGGATCGCCTCCATCGACTATCGTCTGCACAATAAGCTGAGCGAGGGGACCAGCACGGGCGGTGCTGTCTAGGCCGGCTTGCGGCTCAGTGGATTTTTTAGGTCCAATGATCTAGATCGGAGAAGAGGGGATACTGGACTGAGGCAAAGGAGGAGATTCTCTGTACGTACAATCCGATGGAGCCACTGTATCCATCATCCATAAGTATGTTGTCTCTGAGAAAAAAGTTGCTTACATGGGCGATGCATATATAGCCTTCGGGGTTCACGAAGGGTCAGTATATGCACATTCTTGCCTGAAAAAATAACAAACCCCCTCCATTGTTAGTCTGAGAAACGAGTTATCATCGTCAACCAGGGCTTAAATGAGAAGGGAATTCATGCATACCACATCAACAATCAATCGCTGGGCACCATCCGCTTTGAGCTTCTGCAACCCAGCCAGCAAACTGCTCCCAAACAATGTGAAATTCTTTGCCGAGAAGCTACCCAGCGCCAGCACACCAGTAACATTGTCCCTTAACATATAAAACTGTGCAACGCTGTAGCTCTCGTTCAGTGCAGGCATCGCAGGCTGGAGGTGTTCCGGGAGGTCGATGTCCGTAAGCGGCACGCCGTCCATGATGACATTCATAGGCTCCCTCCTCGCATCGCGAGGGTCGACCGCAGGCTGCTGCTGGAAGTGGGCAACCGACGGGGGTGTCTGGAAATATTCCTGGATTCTGAGTACCGCATCCGTGGTCGAGTGGTCGTACAGGTCTACTCCATTGGTCCTGTTCGTCGCCACGCAGTTATTTGCGCGATATGATGCGGAGTCGGTAAAGTTCTTCGAGGCCGAACCAAATCGTGAGCGATAAGGAAGCTATGGGGCAAAGGAGGAGTTAGAATTCCCGTTTGCAACGAGGCTGGGAGGCAAGTCGGAGAAGCCCTACTGGCTCCTGGAAGTGGAAAGGTGAGTGGTTACGAACCGTGAAGGTGTCATTCGTGGTGCTGTTCGCACGCTGTACGGTAAGCTCGACCGAGTCGCTAAGAGGGTGGACCTGCTGCGCGAAGTTGCCCATTGTGTAAGACCAGCCTGCTGCTCCACGACTGTAGCTCGCGAAGAAACTGCGATTAATTGCGAGTAAGCCAGTGACTCGAACTGTCTAAGCTTGAAGCACGTACGAGTTCTGACGAGTTGCGAAGGACTGGTAACTACCTGTTATTTTGGCATTTTCATTTACAGAGAAGAAAGGCTCGCGGCCGTTGATTAAAAGCACTTTCGCGCCAGAGAGCTAATGAGAGATGAAGGTTAGATCAACAAGCCGGGGATGAAGGAGGAGAATAATATACCGAGGCGAGCTGGCCTTTGAGCTGGCCTGGAAGGGCCTGTTGCCAAAACTCAACCTCTTCCTTGAATTCGTCGGAGGCGACCTTAAATGCCTCGGGCGCGATATATACGTCTTGTGATCCATCCTTCGCGGTCAAGAGGACCAACGGCAGCGGCAGGTAGGTGACATACAAAGCTTGACGCACAAAATGCAAATATTTAAAATTCGTTTTGGGTGTGCTAACAAGACGAGCTTACAATCATAGCAGTAATTGTAAACGCCACAATGACCGTCATTGACGCGTTTAAACGAGCGGTAAATGTCCAGGTGGAAGGCAAAGTCCGAGGAGTATTCTTGCTCGCTTATCCTAAGGAGGTCGGCGTGCAGGTCCTCGTGCACGTCGTTCTCGAACGGGGGAGGCACCTGGATCTGATAGTTCGTAGAGGTATGGAAAGCAAGTGTCTTGTTAACGACTTCGATAATCTAGCGTAGGAATTAGGGTCAACGTTAGCTTTGGGCCAGTGGATCGTTCGACTCTGGACGCGACGTACGTTAGCCTTGACCAATGAGTCGACCGGGAAGGAGGTTATGCAAGCACGCGCTTCTCGTGGTAGAACCCATTTCTTTCCCGCGATTTCTGCACAGCGGTCTAGTAGCGGGCTGGAGAGGACAAGAGTAAGCGAAAAGAGGGTGAGCAGGAGCCACGACTGGTGGTTGATCATGGTCAACCCGGGATAGCGGCCTGCCGCCCCAGCCGCTGAAGAATCGCACTCTATTCTAACTGGAACACTGGCTTGACGTACACATTAACAACCTTCTAGCCCCTTCTAGCCGAGGTGGTTTTTCTAGCGGCCCCTCATTATTGACTCTTGACCGTGTGCTCAGATAAGTAATGGAGCCGTCTCCAATCAGGCGTTAACTATTCAAATTCAGCCCTTTCTGAATGGTCAGAGCATCCTTCGAAACGACTTGGCCACTTTGAGGTATCTCATTGGTTTTGCAAAAGGAATGTCCAGGATGCATGCGAAACTTCAACGAAGGCGTGGAATCTCTCGAAAAGCCGTCCAAATGTCGTCGCGCTGGTCTGGTCAACGATCATCACTCACCTATGGCCCATTTTTAGATTCGAAGAGACTTAAAGGGCGCGCCAGACGCGGGTATCACGCATCGCGGCGCCGACACGGAAAAGGGAGGATGAAGTCCAAAGACGCAGAGACGACAGGTGTTCATGTTGTACATGATCTAAATTCAGTTGTGAGGGAGGTGTGTAGGTAGGACAGATTTACCGCCGTATTTGTGGCTATGGAAAGAGAGAGGCAAGCGCTTGTCGCGCTGCTAAGTCGGAATCCGCGTTTCAGAGTACGGGACGAAGGAAATGAACGCAACAGCGGTGTCGTCAAGGCGCTGCTGGGGTGTCGCGGATGCAAGCACGGGGTACGGTTGACGACTGGGCTCAGGTCTATTTCAGACAATGATGGGCCAGTTCTGCTCAGGTTTTGCCCGTTAGGCGTGTATCCCTCGCACTTTTTAGTCAATATCTGAGTTGTGCAGAAGCTCTCAATGACATATCTGTATAAAATTTGCCGTGAACAAGCCAGGAAGAGGCAAAACAGACCTGAGCTCAGTCGACAGAGAGGACTGTTTTACATAACAGAAGGAGAGGTACCAGGGGTACGTGGCACCGCGTCCTATATTTAGCTGCTTGAGCGTGACACTCATTTCTGTGTAATGAATTTTAAAAGAAGTTTGGGACGATCTGGGGTGATGCTCATTGCTGTGTACGCTAGCTTTCAGCAGTATTGCTCGTGCCGTATGCATTCACCCTCGAAACCTCAATTTCCAGATGGCTATCATTCAAATCGGCATGGGTATAGTAAGTTCATCAAATTTCTGGACACATTTGTCAGGCTGATCCACCTAGATGAAGTGAGAGAAACTGGAAAGCGAGTATACAATGCGTAATGTAGAAGATGGTGACCACCTGGATGATCACACTCAGAAAACGTTAAAGTTACAGCTGAAATTTAATGTCTAAGTCCTCGCAAATGCTGGTCCAATACATCCCAGGCCTCTGAGACAATTCCCGCAGTGGAACATGTCATCAGCTTCCTTTATATCGCTTTCTAAAATTTCAGGTTCTTTGGAAGGTTGCAGGACAACGCAAACAAGGCCTTCGACGATCGTGGTTTTCAACGCCCAATTTGGCAGAGTAGAATTTATATCACCAAAGGTGTAAGGCGGGAAAAGGGCCTTTATTGAATCCCTACAAAGAAAAAACTAAGGGATGTATGTATGATCCTATATTTTCCAGAAACAACTCATATTATGAGGGCTAAGTGAGGGCGGATATTAGCCGCCATGACAAGCGCCGTCACGAACTCACGCCTGCCATCTGGCAAGGACCCCAGAGAAGGTCCATCATGCGTCGCCCTACTGAAACATAGACCTGAGCCCAGTCGTCAACCGTAACGGGGGTGTGGAAAGGACACGGATATTAATTAGTCGATGATATCCTGTAGGCTGCTGTTGGGTTTGATCCTTCTGCCGTGTTGCGCCATGTCCTCCACTTTATCCGCGAGTTTTAGCACCGTCCACCGTAACACACGAGGGTCTCGTCGCATGACTCCGTTCAGGGACTTGAGCGTTGTCGGGCTGGCGTCGAAGTGCATTGTCCAGTAACTATTAGTCTGTGAGATGGGGGCGGTGTAAGTAAGATCCAATACATGACTCACTCTCCAACGTTTTGCGGTCTGCCATGACGCTTCATGCGCTGTGGTAGGGTCCGTGTGCCCCAAGAGTTGATGTTACGAACAACGCCTCCAGAGTTCATGACGTGCATTGCGGACTGACGAACAAGTTCCCGTATAGGCTGCTGCAACGAAAGTTAGAGGAATGGTTGGACAAAAGACTGTAGAGTTGACCGACGTATTGTGGAACATGTGTTGTGATGCAGAGCATCTCGTAGAGCGGCATTTTGGCCACCTACTGTCCTGGCTGAATGGCGGAGCAGAGTACAAGTTGAAGCTCATTGGCTGCTTTAAATTCGTGCAACGAAAGACAGTTGTCACGTGGATTTATCCGCATTTGTACGCGCGTCGGGTGTCGCGACGACTTGAATTTGCACCTTATGCGTCTTTGCTCCTGCTTGACATTCTATCTTCGACTATACTATGCGCTTGACTGATACTCCCTTGCTCGTAAAACATACAACTACGATGATGATCAATCCTGGATCGATAAGCCTCATGAACCTCTGGAAATGGAATCCACACCTCCAAAGGTAGTCTCGGGAAACGGCTGGAAACGGATAAGCTATATAATCGACGCACGAATTTTTTTCTGTCTCCGCCGGGGAGATCCCATGTCCATTCTTGCGCGGGCCCAATTCTTCCTTCTAAACGGCGCGGCCTATCCATGGTGGCCTCTGATCCTGCCTTAGGTCGTATGTAAGACTTTCGTAACATATAATGGGATTCTCCTCGGTTCGCTTCTCTCGCAAACAAGCTATCGCTTGTGTTTTCCCGTGGGTGATTGACTTCTCGTGGCCACTCCCCTTTGTCTGTTTCTCCTCGCATTACGAGACTCTTCACGCTTCCGAGGCTTGAGAAAAAGGATACCTACGCACCAAAACGGGTGTCAAGTGACGTGTAAGAAGCTTCTCCTTCTCCATTTCCACTTGGCCGCTCATGCTTCATAGTGTTTCAATTGAATATCTCCCAAGATAATACATCATCATCTGTGTTCTCTGTTATAGCGTGGACATGTCGTCAACCATCGCGGCTTCGTGGTGAACTCCGTCATGCGCGTACAGAAAACAAGTTCGCCAAAGAAATTCCATGAATAGCGCGACGTCTTCACTGACTCTGACTCGGGCACAATCATCGGTCTAGGTGCAACAAATGTAACTGCTGTCCTTCTTGCTTTTTATCTACTTGACGACAGGTCTGACCATCAGACGGCCCCCCTTCCAGATCCGCAAATCTCTTGCGCATCTTTAGTCGGAAGGGCGTTCAGTCTATCACCTTCTCGAGCCCGGTATTCTCTAAATAAACAGCTACTTGGGATGGTATCTCCGAGCATCTTGACGTCAATTAAACACCTTATTGAGCCTGCTTTCTTTCCTCCCTTCGTTCCTGTCCGTTCTTTTCTCTCAAAATTCTTATCACTCCAGACAGGCCTTCTTCCAGGCTTTGCCATGTCTGACGCATCCAACTCTGCTCCGAACGTCCATCGTCCACACTCTTCGAGACTCCAGCACTCTCCGTCGCTGCCCAACATCTGGTACGTCGCCGCCGGCCTTCTTTTTCTATACTTCACGTCTCTGACGATTTTTCTCATCCTTTGCGGACAGGTTTCCCCCGCATTCTGGTCCTATCCCTCGCGAAATGGTGAAAAACGAGACGGCCACATTGCAAGGACCTTCCGCCCCCTCTTCCCAAAAATCCATCTACTTAGCTCCCCGTCCGAAAAGCCCGATGCACGCTCCCGACACGTTAAATACGCCTCCATCGACCCGGTCTATCGCAAAAAGACAACCTCAGCGAAAACTCATGCACGCCGTCGTACCGAACGCGATCAGCCTCATTCGCTACTCACGCCTCCACTCACTCCTTCGTCAAGCATCCGCACGACTGCCAGCAGGGACTCGCGGGAAGGCGCCGGTACGCAGCAAGACCACGAGGAGCCGAACACGAGTGAAGAGATCACAGATACCGACCCGGACTCGACACGCATCGTTTTGGTTCGTCTTAGTGATTTACTATTTTTCGAGCTATGCAACTGACAGCGTGTTTTTTATTAGCTCGGAAATGTCAACTCTTGCGTTACAATGGATGCGCTGGAAGCGGCTGTCCTCGAGACACTCTCTAGCGCGCCGGTAGACGCCAATGCAGTCTCGACTAATGCTGACGGAGGCTCCACACTTGCCACGCGCTATCGTCGGCCATTCATCCGTGGCGTTAATCAGCGGGTTTTGCAACCTGAAGGATTGGTCCCGGTCGGCTTTCACGATGTTCGAGTTGCGAAGATTATAAGAGACTTGGTTTCCAACCCGGACTCGGTTCAGATGCCGCAGTGCCTGGGTGATGCCACTGACGGGGCTGGGAAACCCGTTGGAAGGCTCAGTGCTCGACTGGTCACAGCGGAAGAGCTCTCAAAGGTACGTCCCGGGGTTTATTAACCTAGTAACCCTGTTACCGACTCGTTCTCGTGCCTCAGAGGCTCGGAAATTCTCCGTTCTTGGGTAGCATCGACGGAGCGTTCTTCCTCTCGATCCAGAAAATCAGCCCTAATGTCATACCTCAAGAAGCTACTAGTGCTATCGACGACGTTGCGCGTGCCGTCGAGGCGATGAAAATGTCGGACGAAAAGCCAGAGCAGAATTTTACAAGAGGAAATATCAACTCGTTCGTCCTTCAGAGTATCGTGAAGTCATTCGGGAGCATTCGGTTCTTTACCTACTCTCGAGAGGAAGTCAATGAGGATAACGTGAGTTTTCGACATGCTATGTAAAGATGATAAGGGGCTTATATACTTCGCCAGTCAACCTCCCTCATCTACCGCATTGAATACCACGACACGAGAGACGCGGACGTTGCTTACAAGGAACTCGAAGGTCAAACGATGTTTGGTATGAAGATTGGAGTCTTTGGCAAGGCCGAATCCCCGACTCGTCCAGCTCAAAAAGCGCCGGTCGTAGGCGAGATACCCTTCCCCAGCGTCTCGACTTCAGTAGATTCACTTGATCGCCTGAATATTCGCCACGCTGGAGCACAGTCAGGAATCAGGACACGCATCGGCTACCCGCCAGACAGCACCGCGCAAAACGTTTCCGGAAACCAAGACGCCACCATTCCAGTAATATCCGTTCAAGGAGGTGAACCATCGCCAACATTCTTTTATACGACACCCTTCCCCGAGGCTTCTGGTCATCAGCTAGATGCTACCACCCAGGTTACATCCTCGAACGCCGCTCACCAATGGGATGCAGATACAACCTATCGAACGGATTTGATTCCACCTTGTTATACACCGGATGGCGTGTGCTCCTATTGCCCTTCCCGCGGCGCTATGCACTCGCATTCTCTTGGGCCCAAGCCAGGCTATGGCCACTATCCTATGTCCCCACAGCCGTCTATGTATTACGCCATGCCCATGGCGGGTCCCATCCAACCCCACCCTGCTCACGGCGCACCTTCAAACATGGTCAGCGTCGTACCTATGCCTCCGCGCGGCGCAGTCGGATACGACTACGTTGACCCCCAACAGCAAGTCATTCCGAACGGCGCTTGGGGTCCTTTCGATCCGACCGCCGCAGGTGTTGCGGCGGCGCCAAACGTGGGTATGGTCCCCATGCACATGGGCGGACCGCCTCCCCCGCCGTCACTGACCGTCAACGTGGAGGACGCCACACTAGCTTCCGCGGCGCGTCCATATCCGGTGTACATGCAGATACGCACCCCTGAGCCATACCCTATTCAGCACCCTGGCGTCGAGGGTAATTCGCCGGGGGTGCCCACGATGTCGCCCAATTTAGGCCGTGCGGGTATAGGTGGGGGTGTGGCGACGACACCGGGTTCGTCTTCGCCGGGGAGCCTCCACGCTGGCGCTCCAGGTGTGCACGATAGGAACCAGCTCAACTTGGCAAGGATTGAGGAGGGACTGGATACGAGGACAACTGTTATGATTAAGAACATTCCGAACAAGATGAGCGACATAGATTTATTGGAGTACATTGGGAAGATCTGCCCCCGGCGCATTGATTTTTTCTATCTTAGGATGGACTTCCAGAACGGTGAGTATCTATCTGTCTGGGGGTTGAATTGTCACTGAGAGCATCATTGGACATTTACCAGGCTGCAATGTTGGATATGCTTTTGTCAACTTCATTCACGTTCAAGATCTCTTGCGCTTCGCTAAAGCAAAATTAGGCGAAAAATGGTACGCGGCTTGTTTTATGACTAAAGTTATTTATTCTGACGACATTGTGACAAGGAACATGTTCTCAAGCGAGAAGGTCCTGCAAATGAGCTACGCCAACTATCAGTACGTTTTCTTTCATGTCATGTTAGACCATCAATACTTAAGTCCCGTCGACAGAGGGAAGGAAGCACTTGTCGAGAAATTCAAGAACTCTGCTATCATGGACGAACGGGAGGCGTGGAGGCCGCGCATTTTCTACTCCTCGGGGCCAAGCCAAGGCCTGTTGGAACCCTTCCCTCCGCCGACGCATATTCGCCGAAAGGAACGAAGCTCTCATAACCGTGGTGCTCTCTTCGTCCCGGGGGTCAACGGGCACGGTAGTCTGACGAATGCTCATGGGCTTTTCCACAGCGCTCGTCGTCCCCGGCGTGAGAACGAAAACGAGAACTCGTATCGCCATGAAAACAAGATGACGTCCTACCACAAAACTCCGAACTACAGGGCTCGTTGACAAAAGTATAATTTTTTCTCCTTGCATCCATCATTGACCATTTATTGCTACTTTTACAAAACATGTTATCTGAACTTCATGAGACTGCTTTCTGCCTTCTACATTTATTTATCTATGTCCCCTTTGCTTTCACTGTATAATGATTGAATATGTTACATGCTGGGATTTACCTTCGTTTCTGTCTTTGTAATGTAATACTTTCCCATTCGTCTTTGTGGCTTCTTTTGTGTTGCGAACGATGTTATACCTTTAATTGCCATGTAATTCGAGTCAATTCTATCACAGTCATTATTGCCAAGGAGCGCTAGGCATGCTGTCTTTGAACGAGATGCCTGAGCGCCTCCTGATTGGCTGGCCTTGTGATTGCCGAGAAGCCGATTGCAATCAAATTTCCTAAAGCACACGCGGCGTCTAATTATAGCGCCTTCCACCACAACTCCCACCCGCTCCTAGCCGTTATCTTTACGCCGCGGTTCTGCGCCTGCTTCTCGCTCCATGTTCAGCCTAGGCTCCCCGTACCATCGCGAAATGTGTGTATTCCGCCTCCTTTGTTCCTTGCGGCCGGTCTGCTCTATCGTTCTCTCCGTCTTTGCTAGTGATATCTCGCCTTGCCACTTCTCGGAGCAATGGCACTTGTTTCACACTGACGGCTAGCGGGCTAATTTTGGGAACAAATCGCTTAGTTTCTGGCCCATTTCAGACGCTACCATGATCCTGTCCATCTCCGAGCATCATCTAGCCACCCCATGGGGTCGGTTCTTTTCGCCGGTAGTGAACAGATGCGCATACAATGAATCCCGATTCTAAAAACGCAACTTGGGCTTCTTTTACACCAACAGTCCGAATTCGTTACATATACCTCAGGCCACGCCACCTACATCCGATCCCTCCTTGTTCTTAACCACATCGATCCCGGCGTTGTCTACCTTCAATATGGCCGTCGAGACACCCAGCACGATGAGACCGGACGAGGTCGCCTACGCCATGGTGCAGAGCGGCATAAAGAAGCACAGAGACCGCTATGAGAACATCTTCCTCAAGGCCGTACGTACCTGTCGTTGCTTTCCCTCACGACTTCGTCGTTCTCACATATCCTGCTTCTAGTTTATGGCAGGAGCGATGCTGTCTTTCGGAGGACTATTGTCGGAGGTTCTCGCGGGAGGTGCGACCGGCCTCACAAGTTCAAACCCTGGAATCGTGAAGATACTCAGCGGCTTTGTCTTCCCTGTCGGTTTGGTGATGTATGTCCACGTTTTACACAAGTAGCGGTGCGCTTTTCGCTGATGGGGCGGAGAACAACAGGATTGTTCTGCAAGGCCAGGAACTCTTAACGAGCAATATGATGGTACGCTGGAGGCAAGAGAAACGCCACTCTCAGAATGTCGACGACGGCGTTATCCTAGGTATTCCCCATGGCCGTCCTCAAGGGTGCTATCCCTTGGTGGAGCCTTCCTATAAACTGGATAATCGGTAAGCCTGTCACCTCAGATTGTCAGCATGGCCTTATTTCCTGCAATAGTCTTCTTTGGCAATCTCACTGGGAGCCTCTTCTTCGCCGCCGTCCTAGTGCACTGTGAGTTACAAATGATCCTCGGACATTCAACGAACTTCACATATTTGCGCAGACACTGGGATAGTTTCAACAGAACCCTACGAGTCCTATATCAAAAGCTTTGCGGTGTGAGTGCCACCTTTGCTTTCGTAGTAATACAGTGGCGCTTGGCTGACCGTCTTTTGAAGTCATAAAGCGAGCGATCCCCAATGGCACCAGATCTTCTTGCGAGGGATCGGATGCAACTGGCTCGTTTCTATCGCAATCTGGGTGTGTCTGCATTCTATCTCACCTTCTAAGTAGCCTGCTGACCAGGTTCAATAATAGCAAGCTGCTGGTGCGAGAGATACGATATCCAAAGTAAGGTTTTCCGTCATCAAGAACTTCAACATGCGGGCGTGTTCACATCTATTCATAGATTTTCGCCATCTGGATACCTATTTGGGTGTGTTTTCAGCGATTGCCACCCATCATTTCTGAAACTTGCTCGCAGATATTCGTAGCTTGCGGATTCGATCACGGTTCGTATTATGATTCTTCTCGCTATATTTGCACGGAGAGGAGCTGATCTTCTCTTCTACCAGTCGTCGCGAACATGTTCTCCGTTCCTTTAGGAATAATGTTCGGCGCTCCTGTATGCTCTCACAAGATTGTTGGCGCTGAAGTGGGCTGACGACTCATTTTAGCTGACAACTACAGAATATATCCGCAAGTAAGCTTACAATGCGTAGCCGGTGCTTGATATCTTGGTTATTAATGCAACTGCTAGATCCTTGTTCGCGGCCCTCTTTGGCAACATCGTTGGTGCGCTATTTGTGGCCCTGCCCGCCGTTTACTGGTATCTGGGAGATTATAACGCTGGCGGTCTCCGAGCCGCGGAGACGGGCGAGGGATTGAACCCACCACGCCTTATCTCACCAAGCAACTCCAGTACGGACGACGAGAAGAGACAAACAAGAGAAGGGACTGTCATGGTGGATTGAGGTTTCATGATATAGCAGCGCCCGCTGTGTTCACTATTTTTGCTATCGTCTAAACGATCTGTGCACGGCATGTTTGCAAGGTCTCGTTTCATAGGACCACATTGGCAGGCGCCCATCAAGCTTGCGACTTCTACGTTTGTACCTGAAGTGTATTTTGGGTTACATAGGATATATATCGTTGTTCCACTAAATTTACATACAAATGGTTCAATGTTTCCCAAGCAAATATGGGGTATGGGAGGCAAGGTCCGTTGCTAAAATAAGCGAAAGCCTTTCACGCAGCAGTCACCCATTTGTTGATTTCCTTGAGGGTGTCCGTTCTTTCGGGCTCATGCCAATCGAAAACGAGGTAATCATGAATCCCGTCCGGTGCTTCATAGTATCGGACCTTGCCTTCGCCCTCATTTACGCCATTGCCCTCGCCTAGATCCTTGACCATGCGATCGCGAAGAGTCACAATGCAATCATACAAGACTTCGGCACCGCCAGAAACGATGAAGGTTCTTGGAAATTTCTTGAAATCAACGACCAGGCCAGGGTGCAAAGAAGCAGGGGAGATGTAAGGGTTGGTCTCCGCTGCACCGAGTCCGTGAGGACCACAGAACGCGACCTTTGCGTAAAAACCACCTCCGTCCACGCTAATGTAGTCCGACACCATACATTTCTTGAATGACCCTTTTGGAGCAACTTCGTGGCTTATGCTCAGGTCTGCCCAAGGAGAAAGCAACAGGAGAGCACCGGGTGGTCCGGGCAGCTTCAGGTCGGTCGTGCCCTGGTATTCGGTCAAGTAACGCGTCAGGGCATGCGCCAAGTTGCCTCCAGCCGAGTCGCCAACAATAATGATGTCTTCGGGGGCAAAACCGACCTTGTTGACGAGATAGTCGTAGCCGGCGAGCGCGTCGAGCAGCTGGGTAGGGAAGGGGTGGGCAGGTTTGAAGGGTTTGCCGGCAGCCAGGCGGTATTCGAGGGAGAAAACGCGGTGAACAAGATTGACATGTTTCAGTAAGCCTCTTGCAATGGCCGCCGTGGGGTCGGTCGGGTGCGCAGATAGACGAATGTACGCGCCACCGTGAAGCATATAAGCAACCTTCTCTCCTAGATTCGGAGCAGCGCCAACTCCGATGGTAGAACCCTTCTTGTGCGTCCAGTATCCAGGAACGCGAATGGAGGTGACCCCAGCAATCTCAGCCCACAGTTTGAGGTTCCCCGTCACGAGGTGGTTTGCGGCTAAAACCCAGACACCGTTCACGTCTACACCAGGTGTGATAGCCAGGTGGTTTGGCATCTTGATGTACGGGCCTGTCCTGGTAAAACGTTCACGCTGAGTTACTCGGTAACAAGATGGAAGCAGGACGTACTGGGAGTTGGTGTTCAGGAGTTGGCGCACCAGGTTAACGAGAATTGAGCGCTTCAGGCTCCAGGACCGTCGGGGACGCCATGACCTTCGTGAAGCTAGTCAGCTCCTTAAGGCTTTCCACCACATAAAAAAGGAGCCTACTGTGGCAGATTCAGCAATACCCAGAGCGGGAATCGAATACAAAGGGTGGTCAGGAGCTGATAGGTGAGGAAGAGGCCTTTCAGAGGTTGGTGGCGGAAAGCGTAGGGCATGATGTGGTAGAGAGACAAAGAAGGCTACTGTCATTGCCGGGCACTCTTTATCACGGTCCCAGACCACCAGTGACCATACCCTGCACCATGACGGACACTGGCGTGTGAATTTATTTTGTCGGCAGCCGACGGCTTGGGTTCATTGACCTTGATCATGTCTTCGACACTCAGGCTCGACTTCAAAACAGCAGTAGCCCAGGAAGAGGCACGTCTCCGGCTCCTTCACCCAACAGTAGACGATATTCCGGGATGCGTCAGTGTATTTGACGACTATCTTGCCTGCAATGGTAAGGAAGAGTTTGGAGTTTGCATCGTCAGCGCTAACGTTCTCTTGCCTGAAGTCATCCGCTCACAGGTCAAGTCTATCTATCGCTTTGGCGAGAGAACCAAATGCGACCGCAAATTCCAGGACTTCAAGTTCTGCATATCCACCAAGATAATGCATCCGGAGGAGCGACGTGAGGCTTGGATACGTCGACGGGCAGAGTGGTGGGCCCACCGGCGACTGAATAAAAGCAGCGAAGATGTTTGGAATATTCGAAGGTGCGTTCGGTCGGTTTACAATGCATTTGAGAGGCTTCATCAAGTCGTCGCAGTGAACCTCTGGAGTTTCCAAAACTCATTACTCCAGAACTAATGCGTGAGGCTGAGGTGAGGACATGAAAGAAGCGGAGTGATAGGCAAGGCGATACATATACAGCCTTCTTCATTGCGTGTCGTCTGTGTCGTTCATAGAATAATAGACCTTGCGAGTAAAAATGCTGGAAGAACGGCCACTGTCGAGCTTTTGAAGCTCCGCGCGAGCGCGCTTTTGAAACTCAGCCAGGGAAAATGAACGCGTCGCGTCTTCTCATTACTCCTCACACACCGCAAGCCTGTTCTTCGAATAATGGTAGGTGGACGCGTTTTTCTTGATTTGACGCGTTTTTAATGTCTCCCAAGGCCCCAAAACGTCAAAGAAATTCTTCGCCTCCCGCCCCATCTTCTCCCCTTCAAGGCCCATCAGCGCGTCGAGGCTCCCAATCATCCCTCCCACCCTCTTCACCTCCTGCCCCATTCTCTGACACCGACGATAGTCTAGACGAAAGAGACGCTGTGGCAGATGTTGAAGGCGAGGATGAAGACGCGGAAGGAGAGGATCTGTTTGGTGAAGCCCTAGACGAGTAAGTCTCGAATGCTGTCGCGTTGTCGGTCACACTGAAGATGGAGGTGCCGTGTAGAGATTACGCCGCAAATGATGCCCTCGATCGCTACTCGGACACTGGAATTGATGACGAGCAGAATGTGGCGGAGCTCTCAGCAGCGGCGCGTCGTGCTGCCGAAGCAAAGATGGCGCGTCGCGATAGGATGGAACGTGGTGGCCGACATGGTCAACGTGCTGCTCGTCGAAGCCATGCTCCTGCGTTTCTCGGAAGTGACGACGATTTGGATAACGAAGACCTTATGGACGATGAGCTTGGGCTTTCGAGCATGAAACGGCGCACGCGAAAACAATACGATGAGCGGAGAGACGCTGATGATCTGGAGGGCATCGAAGATGTGTGTCGCAAATTCTTGAGCTAGCATCCGTTCTTATGTCTTCAAAAAGGAAATTCCACTGGAACAACTCAGCGATATCAAAGCCAAGTCTATTGTTGAATGGATCGCTCATGATCGTGTCCGTCGGTCAATCATCAGGCATTTCCGCCATTTCCTGATGACCTTCGTCGATGATCATGGGGCATCTGTCTACGGTCAACGTATCCGAAATCTGGGAGAGAGTGAGCCACTTCACTATCAACACATCCCGTTTCTAATGCTTTGTCATTAGCCAACTCCGAGTCCTTGGAAGTCTCCTACCTGCATCTCGCGCAATCCAAACCTATTCTGGCCTACTTTTTGACGAATTCACCCACTGCTATGCTCGAAATCTTCGACGAAGTTGCTCTTAACGCCATTCTTGTTTACTTTCCTGCATACGAACGCATCCATTCCGAGGTCCACGTCCGAATCGCAGACCTTCCTCTCAGCATGACACTTCGAGACCTCCGACGAGCTAATCTCAACAACCTCGTTCGCATCTCTGGTGTTGTAACACGACGAACCGGAGTCTTCCCTCAACTGAAATACGTCAAGTTTGATTGTCGTAAGTGCAAGGGTGTCCTGGGGCCCTTCTACCAAGATGCCTCTAGGGAAGTGAGGATTAGTTATTGCCCAAATTGCGAGAGCAAAGGGCCCTTCACGGTCAACTCAGAACAGGTAGGCAGGTTCGTGATTTCAGCCTAATTGTAGCCAACCTCACTACCTTTCAGACTGTCTATCGGAATTACCAAAAGATGACGCTCCAAGAGTCTCCAGGGTCTGTACCTGCAGGTCGTCTACCTCGACACCGTGAGGTCATCCTATTGTGGGATCTTATCGACAGCGCGAAGCCTGGAGAAGAGGTGGAGGTCACTGGGATTTATCGAAACAATTTCGACGCATCTCTGAACTCGAAGAACGGGTTCCCTGTCTTTTCGACCGTCATCGAGGCAAACCACGTCAACAAGAAGGAGGATCTCTTTGCTGCTTTCCGTCTAACGGAAGAAGATGAAAGGGAAATGCGTAATCTTGCGAAAGACGAGCGCATCCGCAAGCGTATCATCAAGTCAATAGCACCCTCCATCTATGGCCACGAAGACATCAAGACTGCCATTGCCCTCTCCCTCTTTGGTGGTGTACCCAAGGACATCAACCACAAGCATCGCATCCGTGGAGACATCAACGTCCTTCTGTTGGGTGACCCCGGTACAGCCAAGTCCCAATTCCTCAAATACGTCGAGAAGACTGCCCACCGATCCGTCTTCGCCACAGGCCAAGGTGCGTCCGCCGTTGGTCTCACCGCAAGCGTCCGAAAGGACCCCATCACGCGCGAATGGACGCTCGAGGGCGGTGCGCTGGTCCTCGCGGACAAGGGCACCTGCCTCATCGACGAGTTCGACAAGATGAACGACGCAGACCGGACGTCGATCCACGAGGCCATGGAGCAACAGTCCATCTCCATCTCCAAAGCCGGTATTGTAACGAGCTTGCAGGCGAGGTGTGCAATTATCGCAGCGGCCAATCCCGTTCGCGGGCGATATAACCCGACAATTCCGTTCCAGCAGAACGTCGAACTCACGGAGCCCATTTTGTCGCGGTTTGATGTCCTGTGTGTAGTGAAGGATACGGTAGACCCCACCATGGATGAGCTGCTCGCGCGATTTGTTGTGGGCAGCCATTTGAGGAGTCATCCAAAGTTTAACAAGGAGACAGAGGAGATGGGTGTTCAGACTGAGTTGGATGCAGATGTGAGTGGCCTTCATCATCCTGGTTGTATTGCAGCTGACCGAGGAATGATTTAGATCATTCCTCAAGACGTACTCCGCAAATACATTATGTACGCTAGGGAGAAGATACGACCCAAGCTGTTCGACCTCGACCAAGAGAAACTCTCGAAGCTTTTCGCAGACCTGCGTCGAGAGTCGATGGCCACGGGCTCGTACCCTATTACCGTCCGTCACCTCGAGAGCATGATTCGTATGGCAGAGGCCAGCGCGAAGATGGCCCTCCGTGAATACGTCCGAGCGGATGATATCGACCTCGCCATTGAGGTTGCCGTGGGCAGCTTCGTCAGTGCTCAAAAGTTGAGCATCAAGAAGACGCTGCAGAGGGTGAGCCGTTTAAGTTTACATGCATGTCGATTCAAATGCTGACAGCGTGAATAGGGATTCCGAAAATACCTGACCCAGTCGAAAGACCACGAGGAACTCCTGTTCTTCTTGCTTGGTGGGCTTATCAAGAGCAAGGCAAGGCTGTACCAATTCCAACACCACGAGCAGCCAGAGAAGGTCACTGTCAAGCTTTCTGAGCTGGAAGAAAAGGCAAGTGAATTTGTAGGAACATTGTGATTGCAGGAAAATGACACCCTCTCCTGTTGTCCGCAGGCGAAGGAGCACGACATCTTCGACATCAACTCGTTCTTGCGCTCCGATTTATTCAAAGCAAATAAATATGTGTTGAAAGAGAATGGCGTCATCGAGAAGACGTTCAATATAACTGCTCAGGACCCATAGTTGTGTCTCTCTGTTCTTTGTTATGTGTTTTGCTATTCGGTTGTTTTGAATGTATACCACGCACTGCTGCTGATCTGTAATGATATATAAAGGCCTTTCTCATCATTGTCCTAGAAGCTAAAAGATTATGCATTAAGTTGGGGGTGTAGTAACGCTGAATAGATAGGGGAATAATGCGATGATGGTGGTCTATGATGTGAGTGAATCCTCCAAGTCTGGTGGTTTTGGGGTTGCGGGGGGATGCTAATCGCGTCAAATCAGGTATCCTTAACGGATGCACCGTCTAATAGCGGTTTATCATCTGACACAAAATCCGAAGATGTCTCGCCGTTGAGCTTTTCGCCAGAGTTCTCTGGGGGCGGTACGTTTGACCCGTCCGCATTGGCGGGTTCGTCATCATCGTCGTTCATAATCTCTGCCGGACAAAATTTAAGCCTATTTAAAGAGGGAAAAATACGCGCAAAGGTATGACGCACCATCAGCATACACGTCGGGATGTGCCCTGAAGCAATTCTGCATCCCCTGGAACTTCTCAACACAGTTGATACCCTTGGGCTCCGCCTCAGAGAATACGAAGCAAGAGAACGCCTCTCTGAATTCGGGCCCACACGGCCCATGGGCCATTCCACCAAGGCAAGGACAGTCCCAGTTGATTTCGCCAGTTTCCGGGTTGAAGGCACCTTGTGAGGGTGTCCCGCCTTCTGTTGGAGGTTGCTCTCCGTTAGTTTCTTCACTGATGACGGGCTTCTCGTCTAGAGTAGTGTCGGAAGAGGCATCCACGTTTTTGCTTGATGAAGCTTCCGCATTCGAGGATTCCGGCGTAGAAGGTGGAGCAGTTTCTGGCTGTCGTGTTGGCTTTGGGACAGATTCGGACGAAGCTAGTGAAGGCTTTGACGCTGGAGACAGAGATTCATTCGAAAACAGATAGTAAGATGGGATTTAACTCACGCTTTGTAAGAGGGCTATTGCTATCGAGAGCTATGTGATTGCTTTCGTTGGCCAACTGCCATGTCAGGTAGGCCGCTGTTACCGCAGACGCTCCGATCGCGACTTTTGCCGTTCGACTGAAAGGATTAGCAGCCGTCCGCACTGCAGACGATGTATGGAGGCATCGACGAAGAGGAAGACGCGTCAAATGGGAGAACATGGTTGAGGCTGAGTAAGCGATGCCGGCGAAATATTTCGCTGAGTAACCGTACGGTGCCTTCTGATGCTAGCATGTACAATTACATTACGTCATTATGTACAGTCACATTGACTTGTCCTTCATCCTCGACTACAGCTCGGTCAATAAATAGCCCTCTTCTTCTCCTTTTCCATCAGTTCGTTCAGACAACGCGCGACAATGCCGACGCCCTCCTCGACGACTGCCTTCTCAGCGTCCGGCACCCGTCTCAAAAACCGTCGAAACCTATCCGGGTGCCATCGAAGTTGAGCGCTCCGGATCCTCTCTTTGCGAGTCTGATGCTGCGAATGTAAAGGAGAATAGAGGAACCCGACGATAGCGTCCTGCGTTATGTCCTCTGTGTTCCGTGGAGGAAGAATAAGCGGCCATGGCGTCCTCTTGAAGTCTAACAGCTCCGAGGACGAAGGCAGCGACGACCAGCGTGATTCGTAGTTTGCCCAAGCGTCCAATATTAGTTTGTCGAGCTTGGCACGATCCCTTCTCTCCTTCTCGCGCGTTTCTGAGTGCGCCTTGCGTCGAGCTTCTTCCCGTTCCAGCCGCTCTGCTTCGCGCTTCTGCTGCAGGCGTGCGTCGATCCTTCGAAGCTCATCCTGGATCCTTTGCCTCGCCTTCTCTCGCTCGTGTGCCACTCTCCGAGCACGTTCCTCCTGCCGCATCCACTCTTCAGCCTCAACCTCCCACATATACGCGAGCTCCTCCCACTGCTCCCTGCGCAGCTTGGCCGCTCCCCGCGGTCGACTCGGTGATGAAACGTATTCAACTTCTTTGCTGGGCTTCAGGATCTTGCGTTGGTCCCTGACCCAGTCGTCTATCTTCACGCTACGCTTCCCTCCGTCCATAAAATCTTGCTCTGCGACCCAAGTAAATGTGTTCGTCATGTCTCGCCAGGGGGCGTCGATATCGCGTCCGTTGAAAGTCGAATATGAATAGGAGGCCTGTTGTGGCGCGTATCTGTGGCTGCGGTGGCGACGCTCTGCGGTGGACGTCGAATGGTGGAGAGTGGTCATGATGGGAAATACGAGGGCGGTGAAAGATGTGGTGGAGTTACTGGCTCAGCCTAGACTAATACGTTACACTCGCCAGGAGATGGTGGGTCGGAGGGAACAAAGGGTCGTTGCCCCGGGTCAATATATAATAGATCGCGTCTAGCAACACATTGTTGAGGCGCGATAACCATGCAATCTGTCTAACACCACCTCACTCCTCGAAGGTATCTTCATACCTTGTTCCTGAGATATGAAGCCAGACACGTTTTGTCAGCGCTGCACCTCGCGCGATCAGAATGCATTGGAAACACGATGAGGGCGGACACGTTGCAAGGTCCATGAGTTGGGTGCAACGAAGCGGACTTAGTATCACTTACAGACTCCACAATTGGTCCGCTAAAGGCCGCTGCAAGATGTCCGCTATCTCGGTGGAATAGTCTTCTACATTATTAGTTTGATGCATCTCCTCGAGAGTTACAGAGACGGACTGTACATCAAAAAGAAAGAATGGCAAACTCATGTTAAATAGTGCGCTACATGTATGTGGATTATTCAAGAAAGTGGTGGAAACTCGAGAGCGCAGATTTGCGATGATAGACGGATAGGAGCAAAACGAAGGCTAGTAAAAATGAGAGGAAGAGGGGCCGAACCGTCCTGATAAATCGAGACCTGGATAGCATACGTGAAGTATAAGAAAAGCGCGAAAACCATGAGCAGTGGAATAACGACAACGTAAGGATAATGATGGTGCACTGTACAAACTGATAAAACGTAAATCAGCCCTTTCCCGGACATCTGAAGTACCCCGCCGACTTACTCGTGTGATCAAAAACAGGAATGAATGCAAGGCAATGCAAGTGCTATGACGCGGATGGCTCCGCAGTGCCGACGTGTAGGAAGGACAGGACAAGCGCTATTGAGCTGTTTTGCTGGCACTGCATCTCGAGTTCGCGCGAGGTCCAAACGAGGCCGTCTGGTCGTTGGTCTGGCGTGTTCGCATGGGCTTCAGCGTGGTAGTCGTTACTTTCGCGAGAGCTGTTCTGTGACCGGTGCCCGAAATCCAGCTCGCTCTTCACCACCTCATAAATTTTGTTCCCCGACTTTGAGCGGATGTGGAGTGGGCCAGTAGTGAAGGGGATGCTTGATGTGGTCAGACCGTTGCTGCCATTTGGACGAGGGTACGAGCCGTTTGCAGGAGAGGACGAAGGCGTGCTCCGACCCATCAACGTCTCTTGAAGGACTTTGAAGGCAACTGCATCTGCGGCCTTCTTGAATTTCGCCGTAGTCAGAGATGCCGCACCATTGGCACTTGAGATATTTGCCAACGTCAAATCGATCTGACGACGTAGGCAAGTCGCCCATTCATTGCGGATGATGGTATCATCTACGCTGAACATGTACCTCCGCTTCGCACCCAAAGAAGTGAGGAACGCTATCTGGAAGGTGTTCTTCATGAAGGCTCTCTCCACATCGACGTTGTGGCTCAAAGGAAGGCCAGAGTACTTGGTCGCATTTGGTCCTGACCTACATAGTGTGATGGTCTTCGACCCCAATGACGTCCCAGTAACGCGGAAGGAAGCTTCTGAGGAGCGCGAGAAGTGGAGGATGGGCGGGTCGAAAATCAGGTCTTGGCCAAAGAGTTCGATGCTCAGCAGGGGATCAGACTGAGGCAGGCGGAGGACAATGGGTTCCGATTGGACCTTCAGGTTGAGCCTGGTTGGTAACGGTCGCTTAACAGTAATAATAGTGTCCTGTGAGCCACTAGCTGACGCGCATGCTTGGCATAGTCTCTCGTGAAAAATGGATCGATAAAGGTCTTGGAGGAGCTCATCAGGGACGAGATTCCGAGGATCGATTCTTCGGAAAGCGTCCTGGAATTCCTTGCTCGTGACTTTGCGCATCGTATGGCTTGTGGGACCCGGCTCGTCTGAAATTCCTCCATGTAAACGGTCGTTGAGTTGCACGAGGGCAGAAACTAGGCGAACGGCCATATCTCTGTCGTATGCGACAGACTTCGCATTTGCTTCGTACCAACGAGCAGCGAAGGACTCCAGGAGGTGTTCAAGAGCATATTGGCTGGGAACATTGACCGAATGCAGGAAAACACGCAACGCCACGTCAACTCTAAGGCCAGCGAAACCGAAGCTGTCGAGATATGACTTCAGAACGCTTCGCGACGTTCGCCGATAGAGGTAATCTCCAAGCTGGGTTCTATCCAGCTCCAAAGTTCTGAACAATATTTGCCCAAGCAGGGTCGGATTATCGTGGATGTTGGTCTTGGAGAACAAGGAGGAGATAGCGTAGTCGGGATCCTTCACAAACTGTGATATGAAGGTACGCATGATAGGGTTCCCGGGTCCAGATGTTGACGGCATTTTACCTTGTGCTTCTGAACGATCGGCGCAGAATCGTAGATTTCGAAGTTGAACTACACTTTTAACGGCATACTTCCTGTCGGGCTTGTAGGTGCTATCGATGAGGTTGTCTTGATCATACGCGACAGGTTTGGCTATGACCAGAATGTCATTGAAGAGGAAAAGGAAACGATCCTTCACGGTGTTCGGGTTCAGAACTTGTAGCACAGGAGAAGATAAAATTAGCTTGCGAGGCGGATCATCGATAGCGGATGACCACATAGGGCTCTTGAAGCCTCGGGCAAGATGCTCCTCAATGCGTTCCAAAATGACAGAACCTTGATGAATACCAAGAGAATATTGAGAAGAGGTGGTCGACGAAGATTCGGAAGGGGTTGGTGCAGGGTAATCGCTCAAAGATGAAGGGTCGGGAGTGGCATGGCCAGGCGATGGCAACACCAGTGAATCAGGAAAGAATGCATACGGTGACCTCCTACTACCTAGGTCAGGGGATCCGACGTTCTGAATTTTGGGCGTCTGATCTATTTCCAACGTGTTTTTGGCGTCTGACGCCTTAGAACCGTTCGACATAGAGCCACTTCCAATTAGTACTGCTTGTTGATTGTCGGCTGCAACTTCATTCACCGTCGGCATGCCACTAGCATCCTCCCAATCACTGACGACCTCGCCGTCTTTCTTAGGAAAGAGATCGGAGAGAGAAGGCTTCTTATTGGTAATAGGAGTGACCTGGCTATCAGGAACAGGCAGAGAAGCAAAGGTCACTGTTCCTGAGGCTGACCCCGGGGGCGACGCGGTTTTCTTCCTCGAGTTCTTCAACCATTGTTTAACACCCGGAAGTGTCATGGGCAACTTCCCGGTGAGGTTGTAGCCACCTCCATTTTGCTGGGGAGAAGAGAGGTCGATATACTCGGCATGCTGAGGGGACGGGGGTTGCAGGGCCAAAGGCTCCCCACCATACTTAACGAACAGACGTGTATCTGAATTCTGGTGAGATAGCTTCCGCTCTCTGCTGCCATCTTGTGTTTGAGACGACGCAGTGGACAATGAGTACGCCATCGGCGAAGCATGCGGGTCGTCAATCACATTGGAGTGCAGTGATACGTCGGGGCTTGATGCTGTAGCAGAAGGATACCCTTTCGCCCTTCGTTCCTCTTCCAACTTCAACATGCCTGGGAATGGGAAAAGCTTCGCGTTCTGATACCTGGACATGTCTGTGGAGGACGCTGGTGGGATTGGCGATACGCTGCCTCTTGGTGGAACATGAGGGGCCAATGACAGTATAGAGGTAGATGCGGATGGTATCTGCATTATAGCAGGGGCATGAACCGTCGCAGAAGTGCCAGTTTGTTCACCTTTATCGGTCTTCGAACTCGTCAAGCTGACACCGCTTTCGCGACTGACACTGGAGTCAGTATGATCCCTTCGTTCACGCGTGACGATACTGTTTGTGCGAGATCGCCGGCCTGAGTTCGATCCAGCCCTTGTGAAGGTATTCTTGACTTTCTCCCAGGTGCTTGTCTCTGTCCGTTTTGGAGAACGATCTTCAAACTCGGGGAATTCTCCTGCTATGGGCGAGCGATCCCCAACACTATGTATGCGAGAAGCGATTGATAGTCGCGTCGGGAAGAATTGTGGGGAAATAGATCCATCGTCACTGACATGAGGTTGGGCAGCAGACAAAGGTGAGGCCGGGGCATATAGGTGGGCGTTTTCTGGCAACATCTCGGGCTCGAGGATGACACTCTTCGAGCTTCTTGACGAGACACGAGGAGAAGTATCGTCATATGCTTCCGGAGAAAACCTCGACGAGGTCGCCGATAGCGGTGCTTCCTCCTCTTCTGGCTCAGCTGGAAGCACTTCGATGCTTCTGGCGGCGACATCGTCATCCTGATCCACGTCGTCTTCATCTTCGTCGTCGTCGATGGGCATGCGTATCTCAGGTACTGTAATGCGATAGAGTTGATATACAGCAGGCATAGGAAACAAATAGTACACACCTGGAGAAGCCACCCAACTGATTTCACGATCGAAGGTTTCTAATTGATTTCCATACGGCGTTCGTGGTCTCGCTGTTGTTGCAGGGTAGAGGACTTGCTCTTCATCTTCGTCAGTAAGCACCTTCTCCTTGAGGGGGGTAGTAAATGGACTGCTGGGGAAGGGGTCGTTTCGTGATGGGGCCCTCTGACTGAGGAACACCGGTACGCCGATTGCGGAATTCGGCGCGGAGTCCGAAGAGTTGTTGGATGGTGTATTCGTTGACAGTTTGCGTATGGCGTCCATGGATTGGAACATGCGCTGGGGGGTTCCAGGATTGACATAAGTTTGTGGAGGATTTTGTTCATCGTCGTCCTGATCTTCAACCAATACACTTCTCCGCCGGTGTAGCTCAGGGCGCTCATGCTCTTCTGGAGGACGTTGATTTGCATGAAGAGGGACTGGGGGTGGGGTTAGCGTTGTTCCTTCACATACATGCTCATTGATATGGTTGTGGGAAGTTTGCAGCTGACTCGGGGTTGCAGACTGCGCACGGAGCTCAGCATAAGTGTCGTGAAGCGTAGGGAGAGGCGAGGAGGGAATAGCAGGTGTGTTGGGATTGGTAGAGTTGATCTCTGAATCAGAGACTGCAGGAACAGGATTGACAGGGCCTGAAGTACGCCGTGACCGTCGCCGCCGCCGTTTTGGAGTCGGAGAAGAAGCGCTTCTATCCTCTGCTCCACTGGTAGCCTCAGCATCTGCCTCTTTTAGTCGGGTGCCCAGCCTGTTTAGCAAGTTCTGCCGTGCTGCAATACGCTCCCCTCCTGACACGGTGTTGTTCCGAGAGAGCTTTACGTGGGACGGCGGCGGTGTGGGGGAAGGCGATGGATCATATGTCTCCGTGCCGCCCGTCAGTTTATGCATTGCTAATCGTCGACCTGCCGCAGAGCTGCCCGCGCTGTTCGAGCGCATCAAACTAAAATTTCGCAAATCTTCCAAAGTTGGCAGCGGTGTCGGTGGAGAAGTGCCTGGATAAAATAAGGACATGTCTGGCGAAACAGGAGTCGGTGATGGGAGGAAGCGAGGTTGCTGGAGGAAGGGGAAATGGGGCATCGGGGACGCTAGAGGAGGGACCATCGGAAGCATGATCGGTGACGGAAGATGGGAGTTCTCGTCTTGTGATGAGTCGCCGCCCAGTGGGGGGATGGGAGATTGTGTTGCCCTCGCTTTGCCCTTGAAATCTTTCGAGCCCCTTGACCTTGAACGAGAGCGCGAGCGCCGCTTTTTGGTGATAGAGGGCGACATTGGTCGTTCGTCCGGTTCGGTATCCGGTTCTATTTCCGTGTCCGCAGGCCTTTCCGGGTGAGAGTGCGCCTTGGGCTCAGGCGTCCGCTCCTTTCCTTCGGTAGTTGGAACCTCCGTCTCTACCTCTGCAGCAGCTTGCTCCTCATCACTCTTGGACTTTTCGCCTTCGCTGGATATATTCTCCTCATCGTTGGGAGTAGGTGGCTTTTCTCCTTCGCTGAAAGCTTCGACGGGCATTGGTGGACGCCGACCATCCTTCATCCTCGGGAGGGAAGCGGCTCGTTTGAGCTTAGCGACGGCCGCCATTCGCTGCTCAGCTCGTGAGGAGTGAGTTTCATTATCAGCCATGGCTATCTGTGGAAGGAGAATAAGCGCTGGGTGTGAACAAGACTGGTTAATAGCACGCACTGACCGTTGACGAACACGCCAAGGATGGTGAATCCTACTTGTCTAGAAGCTCGAGGAATATAAGGCTGCAGAGGGATTGGAGGGGAGAGAGGCTCCCAGATGTGGATAAGGAAGAGAGGGAGCGAGGGTTAAAGGGAAGATTAAAGAAGGACGGTGTGTGGGAGACTGGAGCGCAAGTGTGCTAAGTTCAACTGGAGGAAAGAAAGATCCCAACACGTGGCCACAGATTTGCCTCCGCTCAATCCCAAGAACGCAATTTCATCAAGCTCACACAAACACCGATAATGAAAACCGATTCTTTCCTTCGAACAGACATGAAGGAGGGGCGCCTCAAAGGATGCAGCAAAAACATGAAACCTGGCTGATTCCGGATTTCGTGCACTCTAGACTCTAGATGTCATTGATTGTACAGATAATCCAATGGAGGACGCGGGGCTCAGGGTATACTGACATATGTCGTCACAAACACATGAATCAGTTGACTCTGCATATTCCCGTCCTGCCTTATGAGTTCTATCAATAGATAGCACTCCCGATGTCTGAATCGATGGCTTGTGGTTTAAGCGAGGAGGTTTCTCTTAAGAGCTTCCATGCTGCTTAAGGCTCTGGTATTCATCTCGAATCACCTTCCAAGAAATCCGGGGTATATCGAAGCCTTGAAGTAGTCGTGCGTATGTTGTTCCTCCAAGGCGTGATATAGGCCGTAGTTTCGCAGGATCAACCGTCATGCCGTCCTCGTTCAACACGGAGTCTCGAACGTGGATGTTCTTTATGAGCCCGAGAACAAACGTGGCAGTAGGCTCTGCTGTAGTAGGGATGGCAACGTCCTGAGAGCTGTACAACTGGCCGACGATCAGCTCCACATGCCCGAGACGGATAGTTGCTTCGTACTAACCTCACATTCCATTGCGACGGCACTCTCTCGGACGAACGGTGGCTTCACACTGGTCTGTTGAGTGTGTGAGAACGTCTGGAAGGAAGCTTCAACAGAGTGCAAAACAAGAAACGTACGCTCGGTTCCCTAGTCAGACCACTGATAATCCATTCGTCGGCATTAGCAGGAGATTCTACCGATGTAGAATTCGATGCCTCAGTGAAAGCTTCACTGATAATGCTAACTGTGAATTCTTTCGTGTCTAATATATTATTCCTCGTATCTTTCGGTCGTCGAGTTGACAGACTGAAGGAGACGCTAAGCATTGGCGGATTGTGCGACACCTGGCACGCGGAAGAATAAGGCGCTTCAATAATGTGAAAGATGACAATTACGTGCCATTGAGAAATAGCTGAAAAACGTGGTTGAGTGGATAAATTCGAACCGGACACCATACAAGGACACCGAACCTGAACGGCGCAAGATTTGGGATACCATCGTTAGAGACCGTAGAGACGAACGCGACAGGTCGCGGTATAATCGCAGAAGTCAAAATTCGATACGAATTTCTAGAGAGGTAGAAAGATTGTCAGTAGCAGAAGATGGGAGGGACTATTACGATTTCCAACCTCGCGATCTCGGGGTCGGTGAAATCCCAGGTCTTCCGGTGAGTGTTGTCAACCTCTTCCTTCCATTGTCTCATTTCATTAGGCAGGCCGTCTCCAGGGACCCATGTCGGCGCCGGTGGACCAACGAACTTGAAAGTAACCTGTGGGTCAAATGGTGGTCGGGACGAAGATGAACTATGACGATTGCTTGACCGGTCTCGGCAGATATCAACAAGCGTGATCGCGCGATTAGGGGTGAAGTATTTTGCCGCTGGTGTTCCACGCAACTTGAGCCACGATTCGAGCATCGTCTCTGGCGACGAGAACGGTGAGTAGGACGGTGGAGAGGCGCGACCGGGCCAAACTGTGGACTAGGCATAAAGTTCCCAGGACTCGGATAGCCGCTGATCGAGCACACTTGCACAGAACAGAAAGCAAAGTCGCTCACTAAGCCTAACAATTCCCCCGAGTCACCTGGGCTTCCAGGAAGAACATATTATTTATGTAAAACCCAAAGGTGAGCCTCCTTTTTCTTTATCCGCTATCATGTCCAGCATTGACACGACCGCTACAGCTGCATCCTCTCTGCATGGTTTCTACGGTTGGACCGACACGCTCAAAGGCGTATATTATGGCCCAGGCTGCGTCAGCACAGCTCTTCCAAAGCTGTTGGACACACTTGGTGTCAAGAAAGCCCTGATAGTGACGGGGAAGAGTCTGCACCAAAAGGTGGCTTTCGCAGCGTTTCGTTGATCAGTGAACGATCTGACCAGATAGTCAACAACAGACCGATGTCGTCCGAAAGATCGAATCCACCCTGAAGGAGCGTGACGCTTGGGGAGCCACATTCTTTGAAATCGGGGAGCATACGCCGATAGTAGGTATTCGCAATGGAATCAAGGAGTACACGCAGAATGGATGCGACTGTATCGTTGCTGTTGGTGGGGGTTCGCCAGTCGACGGGTCCAAAGCAATGTTGTACAACATCCAGAAGGAATTTGGTGGCAAGACACCTCCTCAGATCGCCATTCCGACGACCCTCAGTGCCGCTGAATACTCGGTAAGCTATTTCTGGATGGCTTACTATCCGAAAATGACGCTCCTATCAAACCAGATCGGTGCTGGCTACACGAACGACGAAGGTCACAAAGTGGCAGTATCTTCTCAGGAACTAGCCCCGGCCGGCATCATCCTCGACGCTGAGCTGACCTTGGCAACTCCAGAAAGACTCTGGTAGGCGTTCAAGTCCTGTCTGTAATCAAAGACACCCCATTAATGTCGCTGCTTTTCATAAGGCTATCCACGGGCATCAGATCTCTCGACCACACTGTCGGTGAGTTGACGCTGCATGCCATGGTCCCGAGTATTGACAGACGGTCGACGTAGAGCAACTGTATCGGCCACTCGTCTCTCATCCTGTCAAAGTCCTGTGCTACTCTGCCATGGCAGATCTTTTCAAGTATCTTCCAAAGTCCAAGGCGAATCCCAACGATGTAAACTTCCGCCAAAGACTCCAGATCGCGTCATGGATGAGCCTATGGCCAATGAAACTTGAGAGATACAGGTATATGAGCAGTCTATGAATTTGTTCACTCTATTGACAGGCATACAGTGCTTTGGGTTTGTCGCATGCATTGGGTCACAAACTCGGGGCCAGATATAGCATTCCCCACGGCATAACTTCTGTTGGTGGACTTCAGTTCATGGATCTGAATCTTGGGCTAATTTGTTTCACAAGTGCCTAACGTTGGCTCCAACTGTTATTCTGAAGTCTGAGCTTGCCCCGGAGGAAGACAAGAATTTGCTGGCGGCCACATTGTTCTACCTTCATGAGCCTTCGACTGGTTCCGTCGACGGCGATGTGCGCCAATTAGCCAAGTTGATTAACAAGTGAGCCAGCTCTCGATATTCTGTCATTTATGTCACAATTCCTTGCAGCCTTGTCATAAACCTTGGCCTTCAATCGACTTTGACCGATTACAATGTACCTCGAGAAGACCTGGTTTCAGTCGCACGCCAGGCACTGGGAAGAGATGACGATCCTCAGCAGGAGAGAGTCGTGAAGCTCTTGGAAAGCATTTATGAACCTCTACAACTGTAATCATGATTCATGACTCAGATTTGAGAACCCCAGCGAGATAGCATACACTTAATACAGATTCTTCAAAATCACACTAACCGAGATGTGCCCAGAGTCTGCTTCCAGACGCGCCTTCAGCGTCAGACCCCCTCGTCCTAGGCCTATCATGTCCTCTCTTCAGTTACGATAATTCCGAGCGTGCTATTGGATCACCCTTCAAACGTCCAAGGATCGATTTTTAAATAACCTCCTGGAAAGAACCGCAGCGCTGGATAATTATTGGTGAAAATCTATGGCGACCGCGCGGGTTGTGGATCGTTGCATATACAGTTCTTCCTTTTCTGCAATTGAGAAACTGGTCTAAATTGGTGCGCTTTTTCCGATGCGAAGAAGATATCTCTCCGCAGCTGAAGTCGCATCGGTTTGCACGGGTCCGATGCTGCGAGATTCCGAGAGGACGGGGTACCTAAAACTGTTAGCCACCTGAGGGGGTCTGAATATCTCCTTTTGTTCCGAGTCTGTCAGAGACGATTCTAGAGCACGAAATATCTCGCCACTGTGAAAGGATTTACATAAGGAAGAACGGTTGGGGTGGACTGGTGGGGACCGGCGAAACCCTCTTAAGAGGCAGCCTTGACTGGGTAATTTCGGCGGTAAAGGCACAATGAGACCTTGGCAGAAACATTCCGCATCCTTTCTCTCCCTTCTCAAAAGACGGCCTCCTGCGAGAACACGTATTCGAGCCGTACAATCGTGGCAAAATCGCTTTGCAGATCCATCCCTGACAACATTTCACGGCATATTTAAGGCACAGCTGCCCCTCCTTCTTCGCCACTCTTTCCTGCTGTCGCCCCGCGTCCCCTCGGCCCAGACACGCACCCATTCAACGAAGATGTCGTCCTCGAAGTCATCCGGCCCACTTGACGAGCAGAAGAAGGCAAACGGACATCGTAGTCACGACCACGATCATGAGGAGCATTCTCATTCACACTCGATATTCGGTCATTCACACTCTCATGGTGAAGATGGGCATACACACGACGCAGAGCAAATTATTGCAGCGCTAAAGGGGTCCGGTGAGCTCAGTCAGCTCTGGATAGTGTTTCCAATGCTCAACATTCGTTCGGCCAGGCGATCGTGGCAGCTATATTACATTAGTCGGACTGTTCTCCAATATCGCGTTAACAGGTGCCAAAGGTCTAGCAGGTTGGTATATGCACTCTGCCTCACTACTAGCAGATGCTGGTCATTCCATGAGTGGTTCGTCGCGTCCTTCGCTCTTTCCATGCAATAACCCTCATCTTCCTCGCACCGATCACTTAGACCTTCTTGGTGACTTTGTCACTCTCTTCTGCTGGCGCCTATCCCGTAAACCTCCTTCTGAACGATACCCCTACGGTTTTGCGAAATTCGAAACGCTCGGCACGACTACTATCTCAATACTGCTCATTGGCGGTGCCCTTGGCATCGGATTCCACTCATACCACCTCCTCATTGTGGCACTCAGCGAAACGGCATTAACACTTCCACCTGGACCTCTGCAGGAGTTCTTGCAATGGGCCACATCCAGTGCGCCTATTCCAAAAGTTGGCCATGGCCATGTCCATGCTGTAGACCCTAACGCCGCCTGGTTCGCCGCTGTCAGTGTACTTGCGAAGGAATGGCTATATCGGATCACCAAGGTTGTCGCCGACGAAGAAAAGAGCCCCGTCCTTCTTGCAAACGCGGTTCACCACCGGAGCGACGCGTATTCAAGCCTGGTGGCGCTCTTTGCCATCTTAGGCACCTGGTTCTTCCCGGCGTTTCCTCTGGACCCTATTGGCGGTATGTTATTATACCTTATATGATGATTACCAGGATACTCATCTCCCGCCTAGGACTCATCGTTTCACTTGTCATCCTACGACAAGGTCTTGGTTTGTTCGCAGGAGCGTGGGGAGATCTTACCGACGCAGGTGTATCACCGCGCGCACATCAGACTCTGATGAGGGTACTACAGCCCCTGGTAGACCAACCGTCAGAAAAGCAGAATGGTTCAGCGGTTGATACCCTGCCGTCACTAGTGTCAATCAGCCAGCTTCGTGCCCGGAAGGCTGGGTCCATGATGTTCGTTGACCTTATCGCCGAAGTCTCTGGGTCAGTCACCGTGTCGCACGCGACAACACTAGAGGAGAAAATTGGGAACACACTCAAGAATGCGAGAAAAGAAATCAAGGAGGTACGAGTAACATTCCGCCCCACACATGTGCGGTCAGACTAGGATTACACTCCTTTGGATATGCTTCGTTGGTAGCAGTAATTATAACTTATTCCTCACTTCCCCCATACATGTATTAGTCTGTATTATTATTATCCTTGAACTTCCATGATCCACGTAGTTATCACCGCAACTTGTTACATTGGATATACGTCTACAAAGAGGTCTATACATCTAACCATTAATCGAATACATGAATATCTCGGAACTTCATGTGAGCAAAGAAATTACAACGTTCTGCATCTGTCCGTCGCGTATTGCCTACGAGAACAGTTGAGTATGGACCAGAAACACTTGAAGTATAAACCTACCTCATAAATCTTCGAGATGTTCTGACCAATGGAGACATCGTCAGAACCGATCCCATTGACGAACTTCCCATAGTTCTCCCCGCCGTGCATCTTAATTCCGAGGCATTTCCTCACATACTCATACACCCCTTTCGTCTCCCCAAGCAGAGTACTGGTAGAAGCAGCACCACGTGCGCCAGTCAAAAAATCTCTCCTGAGCGATTCATGCAGCGCTGTCGCCTTCGAGGCAAGGTGAGACTGGAACTCGGAGAGTGTAGTAAGAGTTGGAGCAGGTCCCTCTCTGCCGGCGAAGAACTGAATAATGGCTGGCGTCGTCGCCGCGGCAACCTGACGCATCTGGTCGGCGCTGTCCATCACGGTGCTCTTGTCGAAGGCATGCCTCATTATTCTAAAGAGTTTGGCTGCGAAGTCTTTGAGCTGTTCTGGCGTAAAGAAGGGACCGAGAGAGGCCGCAAGCTCCTCCTGGAGGGTGGCATCGATACCGGTGAATAGTTCCACTCGAAGGGCACGCAAGTCCAGCGCTTGCCAATTGATTCAGCGGTTGAAAATTCGCCATGAAAGCGCGGCCTACCTTGGCAGAGCAAATAGAGGTAGGATGCGATAAGCATTGATAGCACATCCAAAGACGTAACGGTAGCTCGAGCAGATATCAAAGCCAAAGAGCTAGACCAGACAGAAAGTCATAACATATTCAAAGTAGCAGAAAGAAGACAAACTTGACTGCTTGGTTGTGCATCTCAGCTGACTGGATGTGAGTAGAAACGGGCGCAGCGAGATAACCTAGCTCTGAAACGTAAGAAGCGGTGGCGATATCGATGCCCTTGCCGTGGTAATTCAATGACGGGTCGGTGGCTGCAAGGGAGGGAGGGAGGCCGTTGTTCATCGCGGGGTTGCAGAGTTCTGTACTTTGAGAGAAAAGAAGCTTTCCAATGTGGTGTAGGGCGAGGCGTGTCTTCTCCATGGCGTTAGTAATTGCCATTGCCTGGAAGTTTCCTCCGTGATGGATGATTCCAGTCTCACTCTCAATGAGTGGATTATCGGTGGCTAAAGGGAATGATTAACACCTGTTCTCGTAGAACATATGAAGCGCACTTGAGTTGCATTCCTGGGTAATCGCCGTCAATGCAGCAAGCAAATCCTCGATTTGTGGGCCCAGAAATTGCGGAGCGGTACGCAGAGGGTAACGATCTTGTCGAAGCGAATAGCGGTCTTCCTCGAGAGTGACCTCCTCTTCATGGAGTTGAGCAAGCTTGCTACCACGTAAGAGGTTCCAGATGTTCTGCGCAACCTCGACCTAGAGCCGCAGGGTTGGATGTCTGATGAAGATGTGTACTTCTATTGCTCACCTGTCCAGGGTGGGGACGCGCCGTCAAGTGGATGAAAGACGCATAGGAACCTCGAGTACCACTCAGAGCCTCCGTGCCCATGGCCGTACAAACTTGAGCTAGAAGCGCAAGATGCATTGCATCGTCAATCGCAAGGGCAGCCACGGCAGCGGAAAATGCAGTTCCATTGACAATCCCAAGTTGTTCCTTCGGTACCAGCGCGATAGGTTCGATGGAATGAGCCTGCAAGACCGCCTTGGAAGGTCCCTTCTTCCGACCTGACCCAGATTCCCGCGAGCCATGGAAAAGCTGGATCGACTCATTACCAGCTACGGGTTGGTCTATGTCAGCAACAATGATAAGACCACAAGACAAGCTGCGAACTTAAGGATCCTGCAATATAGGATAAGGGAGAAAGGTCTAGAAACCAAGATGTGATGTCAAATACGACGTCATGAGTAAAAAGCGCCTACCTCCAGAAGCAGAAATGCTGCCTCGCAGGGGTACAACAGGTACGACATCCGCACACAACAGCTCGCCCATCTTTTCGATGAGCTCCCATCTAGAGAACACAATGAACGGCGTGCCGATAGCGAATGAATAGCAAACCCCACCTCACACCAGAGTGCCCACGAATGAGCGAATTCATCCTAACTAAAATCGCAGCCCTGAAAACAAGGTTGATCAGTTGCACTAATCACCGTTTCCAGATTCGACTGACTTGACCCATGATTCTGGCATTACTGTCGCGTGGTTGGGGTCCTGCAAGGGTAGTCTAGGAGGAGGCTCCTCAGAAACAGGCAGAATCCCTATATGCTGGTGCTGAAGGAGTGCATGGCCGAGCATAACAGGCTGGTCCGTACGAGTGTCGGCTGGAGTTTCCAATTAGTGGGACTTCGGTACATGATAATCCAATCGATGTACCACTACCACCAAAGCCTGTAGATAGTCCGTAGATGCTGGCACCACTGGCGATCTTATCAACCACGACTTGCCGGCTCTTCTCGACGCGTTCTTTGACACGTTTCATATTGTCGAGGCTAATCAAAGTTGTGTGGCGAGCTGCAGATACGATTGCAGCTGTTGTCAAAGAGTGGCCATCGATCTTCACAGGTTCGTGCCTGCAGATACCGCTCTAAACAGGGGACCTTGGTGACGGAAAGGATGACACACCTGTGCTTGCCAGTGTCTTTGTGGGCTTCGATGAACTTTGACAACAGACTCGTCGAGTGATGGGCGACAGCAGAGCGGTTGAGAGGGTACGGAGAGTCGGTGGTGGTGCCGTTGACATGCTTGAAAGGGTTCTCCAAGGTGGTGTCGTCGAGAACCATGGTAGTAGGACGCTCTACCCATCCTTAGACCCGACCGACTTATATGCGGGCGCGGATGAGATCCGCATCTGGGGAGCCTAATCAGGGGTTTACGCGAGAGGAATTGTACAGAATCATTCTCACCAGGAAGGGGATCCCGGGTAGAACATAACATCCATCAACCAAGCACGTTTGGAGGACATAGATAAAGAAAGCGTAGGTATATTCCCGAAGGGGGCCGAGTAACACGCTTTTCCCTGCAGAAAAGGGATGGGGTCGTCGGTATTGTGCAATTTCTACAAGTAACAGAGAGCGAAACGTCTCTTGAGCGCAGCTGCCGAGTTAAGAGCAGCCTCAGGTATCAATGAACATTGCTATTAGACATTCAGTGTACTGAAGTAGTAGAGAAAAACACCATCTTACGACCTTTTCCTTGGGCAGATAATGACTTGCTATGGGAATAGCCTATGATATCAGTGGGCAAAAGGTCTTCCATTGGTGGATGATCCATCCGACGAAGACCAGAGTCTTCCTTTGGTCACTGTGTATCCTGCCGCTTCAGCGCTTGATAGGGTGGTTGCGCACCGCGGACCCTTGTTGGAGAAGGGAGACGCCACATGGATGTCAGGTTGGTATTAACAATGATAGCACTACGCCATAAACGATATCACTCACTATTGCAGCACATTCAAGACGCCCGACAATGAGGCAAAGGCGGGAGTGAGCCGCACACAGCCGTACACACACAAATTGAACGACTGGCAAGGAAGTTGAAGGAACAGTGTCTGGTCACCGCATCTGGCCAAATTCATCAATGTTCAAGAACCAATCCCAGTTAGCGGTGTATCCTTCGAGCCAGGGCGGAAAGAGCATGGAGGACAGAGTCTTGGTGATAAGATCCGAAATGGTGCCACGAAAGGGCTTCCAACGACTATCGCAAAAACGAGGGTGCAATTTTTTGGGGTCGTTCAAGATCCTGAATCCACGCGTTCAACGATCCGAGAATAATCTGGCTGACTGGTATCGTATGCTAAGGCATGAACGCATGACATGACGGCCACAGGATTCACATAGATTCACATTCCCTTCCCCTGCTAGAACTTGTTTCGTGGTAAGATGATAAACAGCTCATCTGGCGATGGCCGATCAGTTATGGCGGCCGGAACGCGGAAATATTATTTCGCTAATACAAGTACATACCTTGGAGTATTATAAGTACACTCAAATAGATAATTTTTTGTCCATACACATTGATTTTTACACACACACACACACAACGAGTTTTACTGTAGATGACTGGCATCTCGGTCACTCTACAGTCTCCTAAAATTTGTGTGCTTGGTTTGGGGGTGTTAAAAAAACTAACAGTACTACTCAATAGGCAAGCATCTGAAGTACCTGTGTACCAATTATCAGAAATTCAAGGGAGGGTTTGAGACCTCCACAAATATTTTATTTCGATAGGTCAAAATCGGTCAAACCAGGAAGTCGGCCAGGCCTCGAGACTAGACCGATTTGTATTGGTCCCGTACACCGGCTGTAACCAGGGTCAGTTATGCTTAGTAAGCTGATGATAAGATAACCTCGGAATGCGAGGACAGCACTCGGCCACCTTGAATTGCTCTTCAAAGTTGGTCTGACCTAAATGAAAAAATGCTTCCAGTGAAAGTTAGACACCTCTATCATGAGCTGGTCTTCTTATTTCGTGATTTCTGATGTTTTCCTTTCAGTTATTTAATTTGACATTTCTCATCACTCAAAACAAGAATTTTCAATTGCTTGGTGTCTTATGTTCGGAAGAAAATTGTAAAAATTAGGGGATCTTCTTTTATGCACACATATTCGCCTCACAATTCATTTCACCTCTTTGTTTATGCAATAGATGCTTTGTACTAAGAGAAATCAGCAGGAACAGTCCAATCCACCTCCAAAATGACACACTCTCCAATTTTCAAGGTTGGAAGTCCAGCAATCCTTCAACATAAGAGAAACTTGCTGAATTATAAAGTAGTCACTATGAAATTCTTAAGTCCAAAGTATCTTCTTGGCAATGTGTCATGTTGTCGAGAAAAGCCCTCCGGGACCACCAGAAACATGGTATCAAATAAGGAAATCGGGCGTCACGCGTCACCAGACACAAGGGGAGGCTCATTTCTCCGCGAGGAATGGTGTTCTGTCTGCCAAAAAATGCAGTTACATTGCTCTGATACTATTATACATGAGTGCACAAAAAGAATGGAGTGAAATGAGCAACTGTGCCATCTACAAAGGCAATGACTGAGTAGCTGGTGTGACCGAGTAACCGGTTATGGACAGTATACACACACACGACTTTTTCGACACACATAGAGGTCATTTTATTACACACACAGGTTTTTTTGCATACACACACACTATTTTGATGTACACACACCCAAAATTAATATACACACACCTGATTTTGACACACACACACGCTGTTTCAACACACACATCCGATTTCTATACACACACACATTGAGTCCATGCACACACACAGCTATCGGCGGCTCCGGCCATCAGCGGAGTTCCAATGTCTCGGAGATCTCGGCGAGCACATTTTTGGAGGCCCAGGACACCAAATTTATTCCCACAGGTAAGGTGCCTAACACGCTGGGCAGCGATTCTCCCTTCTTTCATGTGGTATTGTAGAATTTAACTTTTTGGAGTCAGAAGAATAAGTTACAGTAAATCTCCCTTCTTTGCAGGATGAAACCTTGAAGATTTCAAGTATGAGGGCCGGATTAGGGAAAAATTCCCCAGTGATTTTGAATACATGAATTTGTATTTTATATATGCCAAAGTCAAATTTAAGATACATGCACAGGAAATTCTATCCACACACACAAGGATTTTTAAACACACACACCACGATTCTATGCACACACATGACAATTTTATGTACACACACCGTGATTTTACATACACACACAATGATTTTATATACACACACAATGATTTTATATACACACACGTCGATTCTATATACACACAGGGTGATTTTACATACACACAGGGTGATTTTATACACACACATGTCGATTTTATACACACACACGAGATATCCCACGACACACTCGGCTATTGGCATTTTGCTTGCTGGGCAGAGCTTCAAGCTTCTTGGCAGACTTGGCCAAAATTTGGTGCCCCAGGACACCAAGTTTTCTCCCACAGCTCTGTTGGGGCGCCTTTAAGGGCGCCCATGATGCGCATCAATTTGGCTCTGCTACTAGTAATGCTGGCGTATTTCGGGCAATTCTGGACCAAATTGCATGAAATAAAAAATGTGATAAATGATAGAATATTGGGAGTTCTCAGTATATACTCTTTATGTCCAAAATTACCCACATCTGTCAGCTCCGTGGCCAAATCAATGCAGCTCACCACAAAATTATAAAAATGTGGTCTCACTGGTCCATCCCTTAAGCATCTTGATAGTCCAGAAGTGCCTGAAATATGCCAGCATTACTAGTAGCAGAGCCAAATTGATGCGCATCATGGGCGCCCTTAAAGGCGCCCCAACAGAGCTGTGGGAGAAAACTTGGTGTCCTGGGGCACCAAATTTTGGCCAAGTCTGCCAAGAAGCTTGAAGCTCTGCCCAGCAAGCAAAATGCCAATAGCCGAGTGTGTCGTGGGATATCTCGTGTGTGTGTATAAAATCGACATGTGTGTGTATAAAATCACCCTGTGTGTATGTAAAATCACCCTGTGTGTATATAGAATCGACGTGTGTGTATATAAAATCATTGTGTGTGTATATAAAATCATTGTGTGTGTATGTAAAATCACGGTGTGTGTACATAAAATTGTCATGTGTGTGCATAGAATCGTGGTGTGTGTGTTTAAAAATCCTTGTGTGTGTGGATAGAATTTCCTGTGCATGTATCTTAAATTTGACTTTGGCATATATAAAATACAAATTCATGTATTCAAAATCACTGGGGAATTTTTCCCTAATCCGGCCCTCATACTTGAAATCTTCAAGGTTTCATCCTGCAAAGAAGGGAGATTTACTGTAACTTATTCTTCTGACTCCAAAAAGTTAAATTCTACAATACCACATGAAAGAAGGGAGAATCGCTGCCCAGCGTGTTAGGCACCTTATCTGTGGGAATAAATTTGGTGTCCTGGGCCTCCAAAAATGTGCTCGCCGAGATCTCCGAGACATTGGAACTCCGCTGATGGCCGGAGCCGCCGATAGCTGTGTGTGTGCATGGACTCAATGTGTGTGTGTATAGAAATCGGATGTGTGTGTTGAAACAGCGTGTGTGTGTGTCAAAATCAGGTGTGTGTATATTAATTTTGGGTGTGTGTACATCAAAATAGTGTGTGTGTATGCAAAAAAACCTGTGTGTGTAATAAAATGACCTCTATGTATGTCGAAAAAGTCATGTGTGTGTATAAAACTCGTTGTGTGTGTGTGTAAAAATCAATGTGTATGGACAAAAAATTATCTATTTGAGTGTATAATACTCCAAGGTATGTACTTGTATTGGGTGACTTCCTGTAGGCTTTTGCATTAAAATATACTGCAGCAGAGTTTGAAGCGAGATGTTCCAAAGGATAGTCTATTCAGCCCCATAAACTGTAATGCCAAAACATTAAAAAAATCACGAATTAATTGCATGGGCTTGATTGATCTTATCATCATCTTATCTTCATCCTAAAATAGTATTTGAGAGTGAAATTGTTTTTTTTTGCTTGTCAATGGCTTTGTTGAAGCGACAGGTGGAGAGGTGGCAAGGAATGAGCAGCAGGGATGGAGTATGTCTGCATCGTTGAGTCGATGTTGAGGGCAAGGGTGAGCCGTAAAAGGAAGGTATTTGTGTTTGCTGTGCTGACTAATGTTTATTCTGCATTGAACGAATCTATGAAGGGGGTAGGGACCCTCTGAATAGATTCGTGTTTATTCGAGGGTGGTTGGAATAATCCAGCTGCCAAGTCCTGCATATTTGGGTCTGGCATCACAGCTTCGTGTCTTTGTAAGGCTTGATTTAATCTATTCCACAGAATAAAAGCCTACAGGAAGTCACCCATTAGTGAAATAATATTTCCGCGTTCCAGCCACCATAGATCAGTAGATTGAGGTGTAGATCTCTGTGGACAGTCGGAATCACAGAGCACTTTTTTCAGCCAAGCTTTGAATTTTTGTCAACCAACCACTTGTGACTTAAAGGCAAGTCATGGCATGCGGCCCGGTCATGCCAGACCTTATATAAAGGCTTGGGCAAAGACTGCAATATTAAGGATCCGCTATTCTGCGAGGGAAGGCTCACTGCGCACACAGAGTTTTGCCACGTCAGTTGTAGTTCTTACATAATTCTCATATATTGTCATCTACTGTACTGTAGGACATCAATATATATGTGCATAATGGTCGAGACAATGCTGGAGATGTACAAATGGACCATTCTATGCAACACTCAACACTGATTATCAATCACCATCCCATCGGATAATCCGACTCTGAAATAGCCAACAGAGTCTACCCCTGTTGATAATTCTATCATACCTGACTTCACCCAATGTGAATCCACAAGAATTTGCAGGAGAATGGTGCATGCCAATTGGCCTCTGAGCTCTACAGGACTGTTGTGTACATATTCTCAACAAAGGGTGCAAAAGACATGGTTTTTTTCAGATACATATCTCAACTCCATGAATCTAATTCTATTTCTACCTTAATTATCAGCAAATGGAGATGTTCTGAGGCGCACGAGCAATCCCGAGTTGTCTGGGGGTCCAAATCCTGCACTGGTCAATTTGTACTTGTTTGTCTGGGCTTCCCAGCCCTATGAAGTGCCATACTGGACAAAAATGACCTCTGATTTTTTTCTAACCCCCATTTATGAAGAAATCTTGAGGATTCTTTGAGATATTTCAAGATTCTTAAGCAATCCTTGAGATTTCTAGGGAAACCTCAAGAATTCTTAATTACCCTTAAGATTTCCTGAAAAATCCTGGAGACTCTTCAAGAAAACTAAAGAATCTGCAAGAATGAGCTGTTTTATTTTCATGGGTCATTAGGAATGCCCAAGAATATTTAAGAATATTTAAGAATCTTGGTCCCCAAAAGGCTCTATTCTTAAGGAATATTAAAGATTACTGCATTCTTTAGAAGGCTGACAGCATAAAAAAATGGCCTGTTCTTAAAGATTCTTAAAGAATCTCAAGGAATATCAAGGATTCCCAAAAATTACTCAGTTTTCCTCAATAGAATTTTATTTTCCTAAATATTCTTTGAGAAAACTGAAGAAAACTGACAAAAACTTCAGATGGGCCTGAAAAAAAAATTGATTCTGATTTTTGTCCAGCATGGACCATCATACAGCCCTATAGCCAATGGATGCTCTTTTTTTTTTTTTTGGTGGAGCCATTTGGCTTGCGACTCATAACTTATGTTACTCTTGGGTTGCCGGCTAGGTGACAAGGGTCCCCCCTCATAGGGTAGGTGTGTTCTCACCGCGAGGAAATGCCTTTAAGCACGCCTGTCCCAGGTTGTGTGGGGCTCGGGAGACTAACCGGAAGCAATCAACGGTTCTGTCCAGGTGGACGCGCTCCAATACCCACTAAAACCCCGCTGTACTTTGTTACCCAGGCTTCCGGCAGCTTGTGTCTGTCTTGGAGTACTTGCCACCATGTACTATTTACTAGTGGCAGCCGTATCGCTCTAGCTCCATATTTCTTCTTATTTGTCATGAGGCAGTCCAGCTTCAGCCTCCGATTTATGGCGTACAGTAGCCGATGGATGCTCGCTTCGCTCGCAATTGGCCAACGTAGGAGAAGGTTTTATCTGCCTACCTTTACTTTTCATATACATACCTCATCTATGCCCACTTCACGGCCAGGTTCTTGCGCAATGGCCGAAAATGTTCCGGACTCTGAACCAATTTGTATATCCTGCATAATTATATAATGGGCCCATGTAACATTCGCACCGCCGATAAATCCAATGAAAAGGTACACCAGTACCTTGACACTACTGATCGTGTCCGCCAGTCCATTCTTCGTCTGGAGGATTCCGGGTAACCTCGACCACCCCCTTTTCATCTATACTTGCCCCTACATCGCTGGCATCAATGCCAGCAGCTTTCAGCTCGTTCACCAAAAACTCGCTCAACCCCAAAGGGTCTTTCGGCAGCCAGACACACGACTGGTCGACGTAGGTTGAGGGATGATCAAACGCATGTTCATCTTGCTCTTCCTCATCAGAGTCATCTAAGGCAGGTGCAGCTTCGTCGAAAACGGGGACATTTTTCTTGGAGGAGGCTTTGGATTTCTTAGAGGCCTTGGAGGCCTTTGAGTCCGTCGATGCCTTCCTGGACAGTGAAGGGCCGTCAACGGTACCATGAGCATGATCGAGCGCCGTCGTTTCCGCGGTCGACTTGTCGAGATCCGTTTCGAAAGTGTTACGCTTCGTTTCCCTACTTTCACTCCTTCGATGACTATCGGCGTCGCCTCCCTTGACTTTAGCCTTTAGCTGGTCGAGCTTTCCGTCGAGGATCTTCGCTGTGGCTTTGAATCGCTTGCGCACGCTGCGTCCACCTAGAAAACAGAAGCTAAATAAGCAAGCAAGGGGAAAGGGGACTTAAACTGACGGTCCCTGCTGAAAAGGTCAATTTCACCGTTCTCGTCGGGGTTCCTCTGCTTCTCATATCTTTGGGCCATCTTCTTTGTGGCCAGAGACATCGGGAGATACTCCACCAATGCTGGTTATTCAAAGCAAGATATGTCATTTCGTCTGGATGAAGACAAACACAGGACATACGACTAAAGCTGTTGTGTACAAATAGGTGGGCGGATGCTGTGAGGATAGCAAGAACAAGCATGAAAACAGCTTGTATGACGGCTGCAACACCAGCTTCCTTCGCCTTTAAGAACAGGAGGCAAGTTAGACAGACTTGCTCAATGTACAGCCCAACAACTGTGCACGCAGAGAGAGGTTAATTTCGCAGAAAACTTCAATCAATTAGTAGACGTTACAGAGATTGTTTATGGCCATCGGGTAGTACATCCCTCCAGTCTCTTTTTCGTCTGGCTGGTCAAAGACCTGGTCAAGAACTACACGGGCGGTTAGGATGCGAGGGCACGTCTAGCGAGAGTGAGTGGCATACGGAATTTGAAGGCAATGTAGAACATGGCATAACCTGCGGAGTAACATTAGAGGCTGCATAGGGCGGGAAACGCCGGAACGAACTAATTAATGCAAGCAAATTGATGAGCGGCGATAGAACGCTATACGCGAAACCGATTGTCGCCAGCAGGGATAGACGAGGTAAAATCACGCCGAAATCAGCCTGGAGGAATGTCAAGACATGGAACGACTCCTTAAAATGCAGAAGCACGTACTGATGGCATGCGGAAGGTCACCTACAATACAGTTTGAGAAAGTGCTACAGGACGGATGAAAGAATAGATGTACCTCGTATGCTTGACGTGGAGTACGACCCAAGAACCATTTGCGAATATAATGAAGGACAAGGGGCGCTAGTTGAACCAAAGCACTGCCTGCGCCGGCTAGACCTTGCGTAACCATATAGGTCAAGAAGAACACAGATGCGCTGGGGAGCTGGCTGGATAGTTGCTGGACAGTCTGTGTCGGGTTCTTGACGATCTATCGCGGACGTCAGACAACCTCAACTGCCGTTACTTCCGACAGCTTACGTCTTCGATCGCTGTGGTACAGAAATAAATCTGTGATCAGAACGTCCGGGGTGGAATAACGCACCACTCGTTATTCCAGAACTGAGGGTAACAACCAAAAAACCGTGTCTGAACAGAAATAGAAAGTGAGAACAAGGGGATATGACACCAACCGCACACGCACATGAGAAGGAACATGAAGAATCGTCGATAGACGCTGACTGATATCATAGAATATTTTGGTATACATTCATACCAAGCCAGCCCTACGTCGCTCGTCATTTCAAGTAAAAACACAGAAAGACGACTGCATACCCTGCAAAATGAATGGCAGTAGGGCGAATAAGGCGGCGAGCAAGGCAGGAGGAAGGACACCCTCGACGAGACCTTGAGCAACGGGAGGCGCTAAGATAAGCAGCAAGCATCAACTCTGGAAACAATTCGTGTCAACTGGACCGCAACACCTTCGCAGACCCATTGCAGCCAACTGTAAATATATTTAGGTGACTTCGGGGCTAGCGAGAGGAGGAGCAAACTCACCGGACTTTCTCGCAGAGATCCAACAAGTTACTCAGAGTTCCAATGAAACCCACGGGGAATGCCCAAACTATTACTAGTCCTGCGGTGGCGAGCCATGAGATGACATATCGAGATTGCATCTCGAGAGCCCCATCATCGAGATTCCGCCATACGATATCCTTCGGATGAGTTTCTATCCACCTATTGTACATCTTCAAGGGCTACACGTACATAGAAAACGTCGATGTCAAGGAAAAAACGGACGTTCTTGGGCAACTCACCTCGTGGTAACTCAGGCACTGGGCAAGAACGTGAGCACCCAGTTGCAGATTGCATCGCACAAAGGCGCTACCAAGGCATTTCCCTTTGACGATGTACTCTCTGGCTTCTGTAATTTCTTCATTGAGACGCGAGATCTCTTCCTTTAGAATAGTTCCGAAGTAGGGGTTAGAGAGTTGAAAACACCCCAGATGACAAGAACACCTACCTTACACCAATCGATAGTATCGACTTTCGGTCCGAACAAGCCCAGGAAGCCAGTTCGATGTTTCGGTCGTCTGTTGGGAGCGACAAGGTCATCCAATAGCTCTCGATTGGCCGGCGGTACAATCAATGCACTGCCTTCCTGAGAAGTCTCCTCGTCTCGAACTTTGCGGCTGTTGATCTTCTTGAATTGCTTCTCCTTCTTCCGCCAGGCCAACGCTGCAGCTTTCAATATCGCCGATTCCGCTCCTTCTAACTTCTCACAGGCTTCTTGCCTTCTTTCGAAGAGCTTGTTCAATTTAGTTGTGTCGCGATAGATCCAAATTTTGTCAATCCCTCCTGGCACAAAGCTTGCGAATGTTTGGAGGTCTTTCTCATTCGTCAGATCTGCTGGGAGAGGTGATATGAGGACAGTGCGGGCTTGAGCAAGGCGCGAATGAGATTTGCTGATGAGAAACTGGTGGCGCATGTGGACAAAATGTACCATTTCGCCGCGAATCTTGTAGAGGACAAAGGCTGGGCAATGTTAAAATCAGGACGTCGTTGGACAACTGCCAGACGACGTACCGGTGAGGAGATAGACCACAATAACATGAGCACAGAAACGCAATTGGTCATTTGGGTCGGTGATGCTGCACGAATGAGATGAATTTACGAAGGTGGAAACGCGCTGGCAAATGACACGCACTTGATCCATGATATCCTATCCAACCCTTTATGGAGACTGACAATGTATGCCGCGTTTGCAGGAATGATGATAGCAAATGTTGATAGCGTGAAAACAAAGAAAATAATCATCAATAATCTAAGAAACCGCAGGAACATATATCTGGTGGGATGACAGCGCGTCAGTGTCATGTAGAGTGCGTTGGGGACATTGGGAAGAATACTCACGCGTCAAGTCCATTCTTGCGTATCTGTCGATGATTATGAAGGATTATAATTAATTAACAATTGCCTCACTTACGATGTCCTCCGGGGGCATCATAAGTAAAGCTGGCACCCATTTCCATGGGCCAGAAGGCAACTCCACAGCACGTTTGCTGTTGATAACATTATTTCAGGCATCTAGATTGGAACTACAGAAGGACGAACGCACTCTGGGGGTGGTAGCACCGTTCGAGGGCTATAGATTCTCCAGAGCCTTTGCTTCAGAAAGAGGAACGCGCCGACTTCAACCAACAGCAGGCCAGCGTTCACGGCCAATGCGGTGAGGAAGGCGGTGGTGGTACTGCTCCTCAAGGCCTTCTCGCGATCGACAGACATCTTCCAGCCTATTGGTCGTCGGTCAGAGAAGGAACAGAGGAGGTGGCCTCAAGGTGCTGCTGGGATTGATGGATGTGAAATTGAGAAAGCGAAAGGAGGCTAGAGAGAAGGGTATCCAGGGACCACAAGTGGTCAAGAATGGTGGGAAGGACAATAGTGCTTTGTGTTCGGAGAATAGAATATGCACTGGCAACCTGCCACCGGATGCCACGCAGGTACCAACATATCGCATGGTATATGGAATGCCAAGATCGTCATGGATGATTCAAGGTGAAATTAGAAACCCGCAGGGCAGGGTCGGGCACCAAAATCCCTCGAGAGTCGAAGGACTTTGAAAGATTTTGATCATGATTCAAATATTCACCAGTGTTATCGACAGATGTTGAGGCTGTGTGGTAACTCTCCTGATAACAACGTATTATGAAGCAATGGCAGGTAGAAAAGCATGTCCTCTGAGGGATCAAGCACAATCATTGGTATAGATGAATCCAACCTCATTCCGTTGTAACCGAACTTGATCCATGGTGTACCCAAAAGCACGAATCATGTTTTAGCAGTCGTCTTTCTGCTCCTTGAGCATGGCGATGCGCTATAAGAGCGGGATCCAACCAACCGTATCGAATTCGAAGCTTCTACAACATGTACGGACTTGCTTGCGTTCCTCTTTCCTCCTCGCCATTTCCAATGCATTTTCTTCCTTCGTAAGCACAGCGGTGCTGCTGGGAGCAGGGGAAGAGGTTGGTTTCAGCGCCGCTGGTGGATCCCACCTTTGGTGATTTCGGGCCAGAAGACAGACGATAGAGGTCGCGAAATAGGAGACTGCGCCCATTGTATGGATAGATTCTTTGTCGGGTGCAGTGTCGGAGGTGCGGGTATGCGAGCAGACGAGAGACGTGTAAATTCATGATTACGAAGCCCCTATCTAATGACCGGAGGTCAAGTTAAGAGGTCAACCATATGAGAGTAAGCACTCCAACCTCAATCACACTACATCCCCCAAATGTTCTCCGTCCACGCAATACAAGAGGACAATTTGTGGAAGACATCCCAGATAGCTTCCCTCAGGGTCTCGTCTTCATATCCGGCCACCAACGGAAATTTCACTGCGTCATCGCGTACAGGACCTGCACCCCCGAGAGTTGGTTCGGACGATGTGAGTTTCGGGCGCTTGACAGCTCTACCCCCTACGAAATCCCTTCCTGTCTGCATCTTGGCCGGAATGGTTGGTCTATCATTGTTAATATCATTGACAGGATTTTCAGATACCAGGAGGCTTTCCAGGACACCGATGAGTCGCTTTCCGAGCAGCAAGAAGACCGGGTCGTTCGACCTGAGGGTCCTCTCTACTGCGGACCGAAGCTGCGTCTCCTCTTCACCACCAACCTTCGCCGTAAGTTGGCGGGCGCGAACGACTTCGTCCGCCAGATTCACCAATTTGGTATGGTCAATATCCGATACCGGGGCTTCATCGTCGATTTCTGCCTTGAGAAGGGACCAGACGCGGGGTATGAATTCCTGAACCACAGAAGGTGTCGTGGAAGAGCCAGAGCCAGAGTTTGCGACCTGAGCAGACGGGAGACGCGTGAGGGAACGCAAGGATGCCGTAATAACGAGGGCTTGAAGGTGGTTCTGGACAGAGACTAGATTGGGTACACAGAAGAGTAGTTGTGGGGGCAGTAAATGACTGCCCTGCGAGGAAGATGCATCCTTGGTAAGGTTGTCCTTTGCGCCATTCAGATGAGATTCTGGGGGCGAAGGGGGTGCACATTGCACAGGTTTGTCCGACTGGAGGGCTTTGAGTAACCTCTTGATCCATCTCTTGCCTTCTGCACAATCTGAATCTTCTACCAGTCCGCCCTTGAACCAATTCCTCCAGAGCCGTCGTACGAGATCCGGCCCACCCCAAATTTGCAAGACGATGTCTCTTTCACGCTGCTTGACCCCATCCAGGAGAAGCCCATTTAATTGGGCTTCAGTCATGGACCCTAAGACGAAGTTATTTAAATCTTCTTTCATATCTTCGCCTAGGGAAACGATAGCTCGAATCTTATCGACAACAAACTCCGCCAGTGGTGTTGAGGACGTGTCGGTGTGAGTGCCATTTGGGCTGGAACCTGATGGCGGTTGCAGAATCGAAGAAATAAGCAGATCGATTGCTTCATCTCTGGCTGGTGCGCATCTCTCTCGCAGGACAGAAAGAACTTCTCTGAGAAAGTTGAGTGTTGAGTGCAGTGGAGATGATGTTGGGGGTAGAGGTGAGCACAGCGAAACCAGAATTCGGTGGTTGGGAGGAAAGAGAGGTGTAAGTGCATCGTACAAATCGAGATACAGCCGCTTTAAGCGTTCCAGCTGCACTGATGGAAGCGGCGACGAAAGCGCCTCTGTAGCCTACCAGAATTACATGAAAAATGAGCGGGAGAGAGAGAAAAAGACTTCAACTCACTTCCTCCCAAAAAGCTCTATGGGCCACCTCTTTCACCCGGCCTAGCAGCTCAACATGTTGACTGCCATTTTGTGCTGCCTCCGGAGGATGAAATTTCGCGTGAGTCAACATTGATAAGAGGGATTTCCCCGGAGGAATCACTCTCGCGGGATCGGTGACCAGGAGATACAGAAAATATGTTTGATCGAGGCTTTCGATAAGTTCCAGGGGTAGAGATTGTAACGAAGCAAGACTAGCGAGGTTGAAGTCCTGCAACGCCATCGTGATAGCCAGAGAATGTGGTAGTGGGAGGAACTAAAACACGCATTTCTAGTCAACAGTAAGTTCACCCGATCTGCTGACATCATGGAGGGTGGCTGTGCTGACATCATGGGCGCGTCTCAACAGCAACTGTACGGCTCAGAATTCACTCCTTCATGTCCTCGACGTCAGTCGCACTCCCCATCCCGACCTCTACTGACGACCAAGTACCCGCTCATCACGCAAGCCCTGTCGCGGCCTTTATAATCGGTCTATCCATCGTTCTGTTGGCCTCTGTTCTCAACGCCGCTGGTCTCAATATCACAAAGTTGGACCATGTGCGGCGTCTCCAGCGTTGGATATATTCTTTTTGACTGACCATGTCCCAAAGGTACGAACTAGCGCAATACCGAAAGCTGCCAGGCGGAAAGACTGGATGCGACCACTTTGGTTGCTTGGAATGCTGTTGTACATGTGCGTAGCAGGCCCACTTTCCACGTTTCCGTAGTTCTCATATTCCGACAGTCTTTCACAACTGATAGGCAGTACTCTGGCACTAGAATATATGCGTGCCGGTATACATTCTTCTTTGCGGGTCTCTGGTTCTCGCTCACCACCCTCGATCAGAATACGTCGCACCGCTTGGCTCTACCTCTCTAGTATTCAACTTCCTCTTCGCCCGTTTCCTTGTCGGCACCCCAGTTACGAAAACAGATATCTATGTACGTCTGTCATTTCATTCAGTTTACGTCTCTGAATATTCCGAAGGGTACCATCGTCGTCATTCTTGGCGTCATCGGCATTGTCGCGTTCGGCTCAATTAATAGTGGTCTTACCAGTGCAACAGACGTCGCACACATCACGTACCTCTGGCGTAGGGGAGGTTGGCTCGGGTACTTCTTCGCCATGTCATTTGCCCTTTTCGCCGTCCTTGTATTCACCACAAGGCTCGACCTCGTTCTTGCAACTCGGGCAGAGCTTGCTGCGGTCCCGTTTTCCGGAGCTCGTCCTACACAAGGCGGATTGCCTCCCCCAGTTTCTTTCTCCGTGAACAAATTAAGGAGAACGTGGTTTGGAAAGGTGTTTGGGGTGTTTTTTGCCCTTAAAGCTGGGTGGGACAATTTTATGGGTTGGGTTTTCGATCGTCTAGAAGCTTGGGCTGCTCCAAAGGATGATAAACAGGTGGCATGGACACTGGGTATTGGATGGGCTTGTTGTGGAGGTGGCCTTGCAGGTGGATGTCTCGTTTTTGCTAAGGCTACGTAAGTTCGCCTCTTTCTGCACAGCTGTTCGATTTTATGATGCCTCTCCAGCGTCAAACTTCTTTCCGGTTCCCTTTCTCATGAAAACCCTGGTAACCAATTTGGCCATGCCGCTCCGATATTCACCATCATCCTACTTGTTCTCACTGCGGTCCTGCAAATCATCTGCCTGAATCGTGGCCTCAAGGTTTACGACTCCACGCTGGTGGTACCTGTCTTTTATGGTGTTTATACTGCAACTGGGTGCGTTACTTTGCGAACTTTGTGATTTGTCTTACTTATGCACGGTGCTTAGGTGGCTCGATTCGTTGATTTTCAATGACGAAGTCCAAGCCTACAAGTCATGGACTCTTTTCCTCATCTTCGTGTCCATCATCATTTTGATAGGCGGCGTAGTGCTCCTCACCCATAAGAAACCGGAACCTGTCACCGGTAAAGTCAAGGCGTCAACAACGACGAGGAGGCCGAGACGAAAGCCTGCTAAGAAGAACGTCGGGGAGAACGGAAACGGGCGCAGTGAAGAAGCTGGCAGCGAAGAGGGCGACGATGAGCAAGCGAACGGAGAAGGTGACGTTTTATGGGCGGTAGGGGACGCGAGCGATGGGGAAGACGAAGGAGACGATGACGACGTCGATCACCATCAGCATCCCCTGCATCAGTCGCCCCTCCGGCGTCCAGTGGTCGCTCGACGGAATTCACGAGGCATGACAGAGCAAACTGGCTTGGTCGAGCCGGAGTCTCCTGGCGACCTATACGCCTATTCAACAAAATTCAATTCTGACGACAAGCGCAGACGATCGATGGACCCTTTCAGAGATGAGCAAGAACTAGATGAATATCCGCTCGCGGGAAGTTCACACTCAAAACCGCGGCGATGATATGCAAGTCTTGGGGGACCTCTGTTTATTTTTACCATAGTTTTACATATTTCATGCATTAATGAAACCACGATAGGTACGACATGAGAATTCTCTAGACACATTTTGGACGTCTTTTTGCCACCAATGGTCATACTGCGAAGCTATTTCCCACATCCAGGACAGCAGTGGACGACATCATGCACGAAAACATCACAGTCCGAACAGAAGTCATACAGGCACTCTGGGCAACGATACCGACCATAAGGACTCATTCCTTCTTTGGCGTTTGCCGCCTTCTGTGGGAATGGACGTGCACAAGCATGACAAGATGTAAATTGTTGCAGAATATCTTCATCGCTCTGCCTACAATCCTGTAAGCAATGCACACTCTCGAAACAAGCAGAAAAGGACCCACACTGCATCGTAAGGCTTCACGGGGAACAGGTGATGGTAGCTGCGAGCCAGATGAGGGGAGCTGACAATCATCAGACCGCAGATGTCGCAGTCTGTAGGCACGTCGCAGACTTTGGACAAGCAACGCGGACACAGGAAACCTTGGCTCTTCATCTCGGAATGACAAACACATAGGCTAGGGGGCGAGGCGTCGGGCAGTCTAGTAGGGAAACCCATCATCATGAGGTCGGCTGCAGGATTGTTGGAGCCACCTCCGTTTGTGCGAGTAACTGCCCTCTGTGCAGGAGGTGGGACAAGCTCAAATAAAAGGTCTTTGAAATGCCCTTCATTCATGGCCACACCAAACTGACCTGCCTTAGAGTATAATGAGAAAGGGACAATAAGTATGCTCAGGAATTACCCACCGCCTGTTTTATCGCACATCTCGCGGCATATTTTCATTTCGGCAGCCAATGCTACGACTGATATGCGTATTTTGCTAGACACGCATGATGACAATGTTTCATGAATGTTGCCTGGATCGCACGTCGTAAGGGATCCATATATGATGAGGATTTCCCTGGAAGAATGAGTGGGTAGGTGGCTAGTGGCAAGATGATGAATATAAGCACACTAGGATCCTTATGAATCGGCATACCTCATGCTACTTCGCGCCATTTCTATGGCGTTTTGCAGACTTGGTTCGCCAGTTGGTTCTAATTTATGTCGGTCAGCAATCGACTTTAGCACTTCCTGAGGGTTTCCTGTAAAAAAAATCAGCCAAGTTTCCATACTCAACTGCATGGTCATACCAGACATCTCCCCTACACGCTCTCCAAGGCCTGCTCGCATGCCCACCACTCCGATTTGTCCCAATGGGTTCTGGTCAAACCATTCCGTTATAAATTCACGGGCATATTGCAACATCAGATCAAAGCGAGTCGGACGCATATCCCTGTCCGTCATAGAGGCGGAGAGGTCAAGAATGAGGACGAGATGTCGAATAATTGTTCGTCGTATCGCAGAGGCGGGGGCTAACAACCTGTCCCCCAGAGGTTAATACAAAACAGTGTTCAGTGTCAAACTTTGTACCTCCTTCGCCTGCCTCTTGCCATGAGATCTTCAACAGACGTTTGGAGACTCCCGGCTTCATCTTCCTGCACTGTCTCCCAAGAACGTGCAAACGACGCCTCCCATGTATATGCTTGCTATATTCGCGATCGGAAAAGTCGGTAGTTAGGTTACTAAAAATGTAGATAAAACAAAACGTACAGTATCCTTTGCCTTGCTCTTTCCCTTGTCCGCCTTGCGCTTCTCGCTGCTTTTGCTTGCTTTACTCTTGCCCTTGCTTTTCGAGGTATGCTCCAAGTCGATTGAGATGTCGGAATCGGAGTCAATTTCCATGTGGTCGTCCTTCTTAGGTGGCATATGTTTCTCTCGGGACGAAGCAAAAGGCGAAGGGGAGGGCCAGAACGAACTGCAAAGTAAGTCAGGACTCGGTTTAGAATGAACCTGCTGAAATGGCCCTAAGTTGCGGACTAATAGGATTCCGGATCGGAACCGGACCGGACAAAGTAGCTGGCGCTTGAACGCGACTTCCGCTACACCAACACCGTCTTCCGTTTGGATAACGTACGACAGCAGGCAGCACGAGGCATGTCACTTTCATTGGCCCTACACTCGAACCTTTCATGTGAGCTAACTAAGGTGACAGGTGTTGGCCAAACCCAACCACGCCCCTTTCACGCGTTGTACCACCTAAATCGGCGTTCTGAATACTGCACACTTCCCTTACCGCCGCCCACATGGACAGCAAGAAGTCTCCTCTTGCAGAAAACTGGTTGTTTTCGCGCCCGAAGCTGAGCCACCTCCGGTTTGTGCTTGGGTTTAGCCTGCTGCTTCTTGTCTTCTTCATATGCAATCTGTCGACCTCCACAACATTTCTCTCGCGGCGTATAAAACGACCCGAAGATGCCTCTTCCGTTATTTCCAAATGTCGTCAATTGAAACTCCACGCTGGCCCCCCGCCGCATTTCCACCACCGTCAGCAGTCTGACCGGTTCGAGGAGGGCTCTCGACCAGTCCTTATACGCAACGCCAAAATATGGACTGGCAGGAAGAACGGAACATATGTATTGAACGGCGATATTTTACTCGACAAGGGGATTATCAAGAGAATTGGCCATTTCCATAGTGCAACCCTTCAGAGCTATGGGTCGCATCTGATGGTGATGGACGCGAAGGGTTCATGGGTAACTCCTGGCATCGTGGACATTCATTCGCACCTCGGAGACGGGTCTGCGCCGGAGCTCACTGGTGCAGACGACACCAACTCCTTCAAGGGCACCATTCAACCATGGCTGCGTAGCTTGGACGGGCTCAACACGCACGATTATTCATACCCTCTTTCGGTCGCGGGTGGAGTGACAACAGCTCTCATTCTCCCTGGATCTGCTAATGCGATAGGTCCCATTATACTCTACTCTGAACTTTCGCAGTGCACTCGCTCACACATTTGTCTAGGCGGTCAAGCCTTTGTTATCAAGCTTCGTGAGACTAAAGAAAAGTCACCTTCGTCGATGCTGCTCGAACCACCTTACCACATCAATAATTCGTTTCCTAACCCCAACCTACCTCCGAGATGGCGGCATATGAAGTAAGCATCATTTATTCATTTCCTCTCTAGCTGTATTTCTGATTTTTATATCCCTTGCAATTCAAGGCATGCGTGTGGTGTGTTTCTTCACTTTCTTTCCCCATGTTTTTGTGATGACCAATGTCGCCCGTCCGACAGGCGAAAACCCGTGTGTGTACTCGAAGTTCATTAAAACAGAAATCCACTCAATCGACTTCTAAAGCTGATGTCTACAAGGATACAAGGATGGATACAATTTGGGAATTTCGGAAGGCGTAAGTGTGCATGGTGAATTTGTGGAGAACACAAAGAACCGACTCTCTTCAAGGTATAACACTGCGAAACAGATCAAAGACAAACAAGACGAATATTGCGCCCGGGCACTCTCAAACGACTGGAAGGATCTAGGCGAGTTTCCAAATGCCCTCCAATGGGAAGCTTTGGTAGACGTTCTGCGAGGAAGAGTCAAGGTATGGTATGCCTTTCACATCTCTTCGATTGGCTTATGTTTCTTAGGTCAATGTGCATTGCTACGAAGCTGTCGACCTAGATGGCCTTGTCAGGGTATGTAAACAGATATTTCTCGTTGTTACGATTAGAATGATAATCTTTATAGCTCTCAAACGAGTTCTCCTTCCCGATTGCTGCTTTCCATCATGCTAGCGAAGCGTATCTGGTCCCAGATCTCCTGAAGAAAGCATACGGTGCGATATTCAGTTTTTTGACATGGCGTAATATTCACATTACGCAGGCAAACCACCGGCAATAGCCCTGTTTGCAACTAATGCCAGGTAAACCAAATGCTTTTTCAGGGCTATACCCTTTACTTCATGACCAGTTTTCAGATATAAGAGGGAAGCCTATCGTGCTTCTGAATTTGCACCTCGTATATTGGCCCAGCAAGGGCTGACAGTATTGATGAAGGCAATTCGTCTATTTAATGCTGCAACCGTTTCTGACAATCTTGCCTAGAGTGATCATTCCGTTCTCAACTCTCGCTATCTGTTATATGAGGCCCAACAAGCACATTTCTACGGATTTCCTGAAAACCTAGCCATTGCATCGGTGACCAGCAACTCAGCAGATGTGATGGGTATGGGACATCGCATTGGATATGTAAAGGAAGGTCAGTATACCTTCACCTCGAATCGTCGATTCTGGCTGACCCTGTTTCTTTCCAGGCTACGACGCAGGTATGACCAAATTTTGGAGGATATCACGGTCTAACCACCGAGTGACCCCCTTCAGATCTAGTCATCTGGGATAGTCATCCTATGGCCTTGGGAGCCACACCAGTGCAAGTGTTCATTGATGGAATTGCACAACTGGAGTCTCCTTTCACCGTCAGCAAACCTGATACTTTCCAACGGTCTCCCAAGGTGCCCAACTTCGATGAGGAGGCACGCAAAGCTGTCACCTACGAGGGATTGCCACCCCTTCTACCACAGAAACGGCCTCTTGATTCCACAATTGTCTTCCGAAATGTGAAATCGGTCTACAAGGTTGAGGAAGGACTGATGCGACAAACCCAGCTAGGTCAAGCAAACGCCCTTGGAACGGTCGTGGCTCGCAACGGACGGATTGTATGTTATGGGGAAGCTGAAAGTTGTTTAGTGTCCGCAACGAAAGATGGTTCCGTTTTTGTCATCGATCTAGATGGAGGTTCCATCTCTCCAGGACTGGTCTCTTTTGGATCGCCACTGGGATTAGAACATATTAATCAAGAACCCTCAACCAACGACGGGAATGTCATCGACCCTCTCCGTCACACAGTTCCGGATGTCCTTGGTGGTGGTTCTGCCATGATACGCGCTGTTGACGGCCTGCAATATGCCAGTCGAGATGCACTGTAAGTTTGTCTCTTTGCATTCGAATTAGTTCTGATTCCTCATTTTAGGCTAGCCTATCGTGCTGGTGTAAGCAGTTCGCTCCTTTCGTCTACTGAACATTCGTTGAGATTTTTCCCGCCAGGTTACCGTGGGCGTAACCGCACCCGCTCGTAAGGGATTCTATGGTGGCCTGGGCACCTCATTTTCTTTCAGTGCTGAACACAAGTTGGAGCAAGGTGCCATCGTGCAGGAAATCACTGCTGTGCATGTCTCCGTTCGTCACTTCTCGAACCCTAGTGTCAGCACACAAATCGCAGCCCTGAGACGATTGTTGCTTGGGCCTTCCGAAGGAGAGGCCGGAGTTTGGTTCGACAAAATCAAGACTGTCAGTGCTTTTATGTCTCTTGTAGGACCAGCTGAGGCTCAACGGAATCGATTAGGGTCAAATGCCTCTCGTCGTCGAGGCACACAGTGCGGATATAATCGCTACTCTGATCATCCTCAAGCAACAAGTCGAAGCTGAAACACGTCAGAAGTTGCGGTTCACAATCACAGGAGCTTCAGAGGCGCACCTACTTGCCAAGGAGCTCGGAGAGAACGACATCGGCATCATCCTAAACCCCCCGAGGCCATTCCCGTACGTTTGGGAAGATAGGCGCATGTCAGTGTGGTTGCATGTCCTGCTCGCTGCTGTCTTTCTGATAATGTTGCAGCCTTCCAGGACCTCCTCTCTCGAATAATAGCGCCATTATAGAACTGGTCCATAACAACGTAGTTGTTGGCATAGGGTGCGAGGAAATTTGGTCTGCTCGGAACCTTCCATTCGATGTTGCTTGGGTACCTTTTACTGCCTGAATGTTGCGATAAACAGCTGACTTGTACTTCTGCAGGCTGCCATCGAAAGTGGAGCAAGACTCTCCAGGGAACAGGCCCTTGCAATCGGTTCAGTCAATCTCCAGAAGCTTCTTGGGGTCGACATCGACGAAACACGAATGGATCTAGTCGCGACCCGGGGTGGTGACCTCCTCAGCTTCGAATCTCGTGTAGTGGCAGTCCTGTCTCCGAGGCAGCAAGTCGTGGATTTATTCGAGGGAGAGCATTAATGATGGGAGAAGCCACACAGTATTATTCTAGAGAGCTCATAGATACTTCCTGAGCATTTCATTGCAACGCAATTAACCATTCGCTTTGCTGTGGACACGGGAAGACTATGAAGCCAACGTAAAGCTGCTGTCAAGGAGGTAACTTTTAATAAACCCGGCCAAATCTTCATATCACATCACGATGATCACATGACATCAGGTTGTTAATTGGATAAACGCGTTTTGCCCATCCTCCATCCTGTACTCTCGCCATCACCTCCGGGCTCAAGCAACTCCGAGTTCTAACTATCTGCCGGTCCTCTTGGAAGAGGTACGGGTTGCAATATGGCGAAAAATGTCAAGAAACCACAAACTAGCAACAGCAAGCCTATCACAGCATTTTTCACGCGTGCTAGCAAGGCGCCACAAGCATCATCTCAAGACGCGACAGCATCACCGAAAGAGAAAGATTCACCGAGTGTCAGCTCCCAACCAACGAAGGTCTCATTAATCTCCGGGTCCTCAACAAGCAACCTCACTGTCCCATCGAATAAAACAAGGTCGACCAGATCGTCGCCAATGGGGTCGCAAACAATAGGCACCTCGAAGAGCACGGGAAGCTTGTTTCACGTCAAAGACGGAAAGAACTTACGTGTTTCTTCTTCCACCTCCCTCTCTTCCCTCAAACGGTCGCGTTCTCCAGAAACGCAAGTGGTCAAGCGTTCTTCTACGCCGAAGAAGTCTGCGGTTGTAAATTCGTTCAAGACTCCAGAAAGGCGGAAGAGCAAGTTCGATACAGATTCCGAGGGCGAAGCGCCAAATGGAGTCATTCATGTCAGGTCGACGGTGAGCTTGTTTGAGTTCCGAACCTCTATGATATGAACTCACTGTTGTCCCGACAGCCAAATCCACAACAGAGAAAGAAGGCACGTCTCTCCTCTCCAGTAGAGTCCTCGAAATCCACCGCCACAGAACTGGTCCCAAGTAGTCAGTCGGACGAAGAGGAGCTCGCTTCCACTACGGCACAAATGAATGGTCATTCAATTGTTATTTCCCAGGCGAAGCAAGTCCTTCCTCCCACTCCTGATCAAGATGACGGGGAATCCATGTATATGGATGTCGACGAGCCGATCACTATTGCGAGTACGCCTGACGCTCTATCGACCAGTAAACAGCCAGCCCGAGAAGATAGCCGCACCTTCGACCAGATCATGACTCCTCCTCCAAGTGACCTTCCTTCTATGCCGCCTACTCCAGTTGCCCTTGATCAGGCTACGAAGACCGCACAAATTATTGCTGACATCAAGGCTAGGGCATATGCAAAAAGTGTTTCCAGCCCGGAACCTGCTCCTCTGGAATTCAACGAGACCTTGGATAGCAGCGATGATGACCTCGAACCCCTTGAACTCTTCGTACAACGAAAGTAAGCCGTTCATTGCTAGAAAACATCGCTGTTCTAACTCCCTCTAGGCACAAAGCTCCAAGTACCAGTAGTGGAAAGACGACCACCACGACCACAGAGCGTCGTACAACCGGATATTCGTTGCGGAATCGGTCTTCGTCCCCGACCCAGGGATCTCGCCCTCAACCACGACATCAAGCGGTGCAGGCGAAGACGAGGAAACCCACTGCAGACCCCTTCGAGGCCCTTCTCAGAGAGAAAAGGCTCGCAGATAAGCGCGGCAAAGGAGACAATGCAATTCATCGCGCTGATGAAACTGCATTCAAACTCGGCAAAACGGCCCTTATCGATGAAATGGATGACGAGGATGAAGACGACATCCTGAATAACTGGACTGGCGGCGACATCTCGTCCCTCGCCATGCGCCAGCTAAAGCGAAGTGGAAGCCAATTTATTGACATCAAGTCTGAAGATCGCAAGAAGTTGTTTGGTGAAGATGGTGGTAAAGAAATTATAGGGATATTGGAGCGTGATAGGGCAGCAACACAGCAGCCAGGACCCTTGGAGAAGATACCAGGCATTCAGCTTTGGACGGCGACTAGCATTGAAGGCCGTAACATGGTGGTTGACGGACTGGACACGCGTTATGAGATATCGGGGGAGAGCCCCATCATTCAGCTTCTGAATTCATCCCTGAAGCGCGGCGGTATGTCTTTGACGGTGTCCTTCCACCGTTATCAATATTCATCCCTTCGAATCAGACATCACACGCGTGACAATGTTGCTGAATACGAAATTCATGCTTACCGTCCCCACTATGGAGCGAGTTGACGTCGCATCGAGTCTCAGCGGCATAGGTACGTGGTTGTCTCTCACTTATTCTTTGGTTCGATTGTCAACACCATTTCAGTCTTGTCAACACGATACGACGTCGCAGAACCTGCTGCTCGCGCCCTCGACGATTTCTGGGCTTCCACAGCATGCCCCATCACCAGTACCATCACGTTTGTACAAATCTTGGCATGGCTGCAGTCCGTTGGTGCAGACCCGTCTATCCTTAAATCGCTACGTTGGACCGCAAAGGAAGGACCGGATGCTGCGGTGGTAGACCCAACACAACGAGACGACGTTATTCGTCGTTTGATTACCCTTACAGTTTCGTGCGCGAGGTAAGGCATCGGGTTGCCAGTTCGGGGTAAAGATTCTGATCCTTTCTTTAGGACCAGAAGGCTTCGTGTTGAAGAGATACCTGACATCATCCTTGCCCTCATGTTGATCGGCATGGATGTGATAGCAACGCCAGAACTATCTCGAGACGTTTCGCAAGCCGTTCATGAGGTTTGCCAGTGCATGCCTTCTGATGATTCATCACGGATCCAGGCTGTAGGTGTCTTTTTTATCGGTACACTGTTCATTCTGACTGCCCCTCTAGGAGCTGGCTCTATGTACGAAAGTACTGGATTGCATCGCGTCATATGAACCAATCAACAAGTTACGCATGCTCTCATTCCTATCTGATGGCTCCGGAAGCGCCCGGCGCGTCGCAAATTTCGTAGCCTACTGCATCATCGTTGACCAAAATTCTCCAGCGCCTGTAAGCTTGTCCATTGAGATGGCCACATTATGGTTCACTTAACATGCCCACAGGAAATTTATTGCGACACCCCACCTCTCGTCAGGATCCTTGATGAACTTACTGCCCATTCTCAGTCAACTTCTTCGCCTGCTCGAAAATTCGCCTTGAGAGAGGATACGGATTACGTCGACCTCGGATTCTATATCTCTATCCTCAGCATCGCCGTCTCCAACCTGAAGGCTTATGTTACCCTGGAGCTCGAAGCTCCCAAACGACGGCCTTCCGTTCAGCAAGAAAGTCCGACCAAGAGCGGCGAGAAACCAAAGACCGAGCTACAACTGCTCCATACGGCGTTGGAAAAGTTGCACTCTAGGATTTGTATGTCATCGTACTCTTGTTAATCTTCCCATACTTGTAACTGACTGATCTTCTAGCTGACAGCAGAGCAGCACATCTGGACCGCTCGAGGACGAAGGCGAACATTAAGGGACTCGCCATGAACGTCCATTATCAACGGGAAATTTGGCGAAGGAATGCTTCGGGATCTAGACCTAAAACATTGGCACAGTTCTTCGGGAAGGGTTCTTAATTTTCTGCTCTGTTTCATCTTGGAACTTCGCTTTCATTGTCTTGCTACAGCATATTCATCCGCATCATCCTTACATGCATTACTTTGATGTGTAATTGCTATTCTAGTATCGTCGTGTTTTTCATGTTCGAATATTTCTTCAACTGTAGATACTGTACACATTACTATACTGTTCCTAAACATATGGTACCCTATTCCCTGCAACATAGTACAAGTATTGACCGCTGTACCCTAGTTGAGATCTAGATCAATGTCAAAAACTTGCGCACGAGCCTTTTCTGGCGTAGTTCGTTGCTTGCTCGTCGGCCAGCTCACCCAAATCGGATTCGATGTCCCATGCAGGACTCGGTTCTCTGGGAGGACGCTGCTGAGAAAGTCGAGACGAGGAACTGCTGGCACTGGGAGCCAGAGCAGCTGGAACAGCTTTCTTTCCTTGCGAGGCGAGTGAGCTCGTGGCTTGGTTTCGGAAAGGCTTCTCGAAAGCATTTTTGATGTTCTTCACTTTCACTTGGCCAAACCCTGGCAGATTCTGCAGCTGGTCTGGGTTAGCTTTGGCGATGTTGGCGAAACTCTAAGTTCACTGTGAGTGAGGGTGCATCCCAAGACTCAGCATTCGTAACGTACACCAAAGGAGGTCCTAAGAGTCTCTACATCTGTCTTGTTGACCCTGCTAATTGAGGTCAGTGTCGTCCGCAGGATGGAATGGTAATCCTTGTCGACGCGTTCTTTGATCATATCCGGTGGCTTGAACTCGAACTGCTTGAAGGTTGTGAGGTAATGCCCTGCCTCTTCGTAGCTGGAAGAAAATTACATCTTAGAAGGCGGGAACACTTGAGAGAGGGCGAAAACGAACGAGAATGCCACTATAATCGTAATATTGTTGATTAAGCATGCCTTGAAGGGCGGTAAGATCCCAGAGGGCCACGAACATAGAAGATCCTGCACCTTCGTCAGTTCGCGTATAGGTTCTTTATGTTCTGACTAATTAGCGTAAGATGGATATACGGTGGAGAGGAAGCTGTGCGGTGCTCACAATGTCGGACAGGATCAAAAGAATTCGAAGATTGTAGTGGTGGCCAAGCTTTTCGATCCGTGTAAGTATGTATTCCGGATGGAGGCGATGGTATTTCAGACTGCAAAGATAAGCCCAGCACATTAGGACAGTAAGATCGGGAATACCTTAAGTATAGCACCCCGGTCGTTCTTCCAACCTGATAATCGGCCACAATGTCCCCGAATTCCTTCCCAACATTTCGAATGCACTCTAATACCGGGTTCCCGCGCTGTCCTGACCATGAGAAGCAACTCGTGAGACGAGAGGGAAGTCCATACCTGAAGAGGATTGATGACTATGTTGTTTCCCGAAGCAGGGATCACAACTGGCGGGGCGTTGACCGTGTTGGAAGAGGAAGACATGCCGATCGCGTGTGACTAAAAATAGACAGCTTCTCATCATCCCGGGCCGCCCTCTGCCGGGGGTTACATATGGCGAGATAACCGCCTCAGATGGCTTGCTCGTCTTCGCCCCACGGGCTTCCCGTTGCCATTTGTCTCCTACCACCATGGACAAGCTTTCCGCGTACCTCCCACGGAGTACGCACTCGTCCTCCTTCAGAGCCCTCCTCGGGGGTGTTCTCCTCGTCACCGTCGTGACTTTCACCTCGTTCAACGCAATTCTTGACTGGCAACAGCAACATACCGACAGAATACCCATCAACGCCTCCCAGATACTCCAGAAGTGCCAAGCCCTGCACATTCCTCCTGGCCCACCTGCCAACTTCCATGGCCGTACCGAGTCAGACAGATTCGTTCCCGGCACCCCATCGACGTTGATCAAGAACGCGACTATTTGGACTGGACGCGTCGAAGGTCATGAAGCTATTGTAGGAGGTCTCCTTCTCGATAAAGGAATCATCAAAGAGGTCGGAAGCATCCCAACCAGCGTGTTACGCGCTTACAAGAAGCTGGTGGTTGTTGACGCAGGAGGCGCTTGGGTCACTCCTGGGTACAGTCCAAGTTCCTCTGCTTCGTGAGACGTATTCTCAACACGACCTCTCACAGAATCGTGGACATGCACTCTCACCTTGGAGTCAATAGCTCACCTTCACTCCGTGGTGCCGCTGACACCAATTCGCGCAAAGGGCTCGTTCTTCCCTGGCTTCGCAGTCTTGACGGCCTCAACACTCATGACGACGCCTACCAACTGTCGATTTCGGGGGGAGTGACAACTGCAAATGTTCTACCTGGTTCTGCTGACGCTATTGGTATGGTTAAACGATTTATTCTTAGCGATTCACTTACAGGAACAATTTCTGCAGGCGGACAAGCATTCACTATCAAGTTGCGGCCAACGTCCGAACGATCTTCCTCTTCTTTGGTTCTTGAACCTCCTCACTCCTTAAATGGCACGGAGTTTGACCCTTCCTTACCTCCTCGCTGGAGGCAAATGAAGTCAGTCGATTTGCCTACAACTTATCAAACCCACCTCTGACACACCGTTGATTTCAGGCATGCCTGTGGCGAAAACCCCAGTGCGTACCATAGTTTATGGGTCGTGAATAAATTTTGCTAATCCAAATACCCAGGCCGAGTGTACTCAGGAACTCGAATGGACACTATCTGGGCCTTCAGAGAAGGGTGAGTTCTGCAATATAGTCCTCGCTCGCATGATCCTTACCCACTGACAGGTATGACACCGCGCGTAAGATCAAGCAGTCGCAAGATGCCTACTGCCAAAACGCGCTGGCAGGCAAATGGAACGGACTAGGAGACTATCCGGAAAACTTGCAATGGGAAGCCCTCGTCGACGTGCTACGAGGACGTGTCAAAGTCCACAACCATTGCTATGAAGCTGTTGACCTGGACGGAATAGTGAGAGTGAGCAAAATATTCGACTCCCAGTGATTTCTCGACACTGACTGATCATTTTCAAGTTAACAAACGAGTTCAAATTCTCTGTTGCGGCGTTCCATCACGCTCATGAGACTTACCTCGTTCCCGACCTTGTCAAGAAAGCTTACGGTTCGTTCAGTAATGTCCTTATCCCATATTAACAACTTTTCCAGGTCAAACACCGGCTATCGCATTATTTGCGACAGATTCACGATACAAACGTGAAGCATATCGGGGCTCAGAGTTTGCGCCTCGAATCCTGGCAGATAACGGCTTAAGGGTTGTGATGAAGGTAAGCGCCTCTTCTATAGGCAGGTCTCTCAGTGTTAAATACAAGTTGTCATAGAGCGACCATCCCGTTTTGGACTCTCGTCATCTTCTCTTCGAAGCCCAACAAGCTCATTTCTACGGATTACCCTTTAACCTTGCTCTTGGTTCTGTTACGACCACTCCCGCAACTGTACTGGGGTACGACCACAGAATAGGCTTCATCAAGAAGGGTTATGATGCAGGTCAGTTTTCGCATTACTCTTCAAAGGTGTTAGCAGTATAGGATTAATCAAATGAAATGCATAGATGTTGTCATCTGGGACAGCCACCCATTAGCCCTCGGAGCGACACCCAAGCAAGTTTTCATCGACGGAATCGTTCAGCTCCAGAACCCGCATGTCAAGACGAAACCCGAAGAATTCCAACAAGTCCCAAAGACACCCGATTTCACCAAGCAAGCTGAAGATGCCGTCAAATACGACGGCCTACCCCCTCTGGAACTGAAGGAATCTGTTTCAGATTCCTTCATTTTCACCAACTTGAGCAGCCTGTTCTTGAAACAAGGGAATAAGATTCGAGAGGTTTTCTCAGTTTCTGAAGCTGGGTCGCCTGGTGTCGTGGTCGTGGAGAAGGGGCAGGTGTCATGCTTTGGCACGTCCTTGGAGTGCCAGCTTGGGCGCTACGGCTCTGATGTACAGAAAGTCGACCTGGATGGTGGTTCCATCACGTAGGTGTTGGCATATTATCTCATCGAGCGGCATTTGACGCCGATTATTTTCATCAGCCCCGCTCTCATCAGCTATGGAAGCCCGCTTGGCCTGAATCACATAGATCAGGAAGCGTCAACAAATGATGGTTCGGTGTACAATCCTCTGTCAGGTGGAGCACCGTCGATACTTGGACAGGGTCCTGTAATCCGCGCTGTAGATGGTCTACAGTTTTCCACCCGCGATGCGCTGTGAGTACAGTCCACCGAATACTTTCTTCGTGACTAACAACAAGCCCTATAGACTTGCATATCGTGCGGGCGTTACAGTGGGAGTGTCGTCTCCTAGTACATCTGGATTCCTCTCCGGACTTGGAACAGCGTTCGGGACTGGCATCCGCCACCGTTTGGCTGACGGTGCTGTCTTACAAGAGACGACGGCCCTTCACATCGAACTCGGCTCCTCCAGCCCCAGTGTCAGCACGCATATATCGGCAGTGCGTCGCCTTCTCCTTGGCGAATTGGAGGGCGACCTAGGTGCTCAGGCGCAGAGGGTTATTCAGGTATGTTTTGAATACATTTCACTGGTATTCAATGAATGCTCACATGAAAGTTAGGGCGAGATACCTCTTGTGATCCAAGTACAGAGCGCCGACATCATTGCAACTCTAATCAAGCTCAAGCAAGAAGTCGAGGCGTTCCACGGGACCACCATCCAATTGACGCTTGCCGGCGCCAATGAAGCTCATTTGTTGGCCAAAGAAATCGGCCAGGCAGGGATTGGGGTTATTCTGGCTCCATCTCGATCTTTCCCCGGGACTTGGAGATCCCAGCGGATGTAAGCGACTTCGAGAAAAGGAGAAAGTGGATCTTTACTGATGGTTTAATGGCAGCTTGGCGGGCCCTCCTCTTACGGAAGACAACTCTGTCGCCGTTCTCTCCGCACACAACGTCACTGTAGGTATTGGCATAGAGGAGCAATGGGCTTCCGTAAATTTGCGCTTCGACGCCGCCTGGGTAAGTCGCTTTTTTTTTCAAAAGATGGCCTTCAACAAGCCCTGATTAGGTTCACAGGCGGCACTCGAGGCAAAGGAGACTCTTTCCAAGGCTGAGGCGATTGCCCTTGCATCTGTGAACCTCGAACGGCTCTTGGGCGTTCAAACTCCTATTGCAGACCTCATTGCTCTTAAGGGAGGCTCGTTCTTCGACTTCGAGAGCAAGGTCGTCGGCGTCATTTCTCCTCAGCGAAAGGTGGTGGAATTATTGCCCGAGGTTGCATGAAAACCAATGTAGTATGTAGTATGAGGCCCAATGTATATCTAGGTATCGCGTCGTTGGTATCATGAACGAATCTACGAGGATTTAGATGGACGATTCGTGACTGGTGCCGTGGCCAACTTCTCGTCTACGAAATCCTTGATCGCAGGCATCGCGCGGCTGATGAGTAGGATCTGGCGGCTCTCATCTGTGACAACATTTCAGAACTATGGACTGAGGGGATTTTTGCTGCAATGCACCTATTTGAATAACGGCCCCATGCCGCCGGACTTCCTTCGACTGGACATTTGGACCAAAGAGTGGGTGCGTCGTTGGAACAATCACCAATGAGTTCTGCAAAAGTCGGTCAAACACACAAGCATCAATCCAACAGTTGTTGCCTTGCCTTGTGGTACCATGGGCGTGCATCTCGAAGGTCTTTAGGATGTGTGGGCATTCTCTGGGAGCCGAGCACTTGAATGAAAGCTTTGACCGATTTCGTGACGGTCGGCTCTAGCATGGTGATTAATACAGAAGCATTTGGAATCAGAAATAAGCGGGAAGACCTCTATTGTTGACTAGTTCGATCAGGGGGCGACATCCAGGCCCATGACCGATGACAATTATTCGTTGAGCGTCGGAGAGTCTAAACGGGCTATGGGCCAATAGTTTATGTAACACGAAGACCAGAGTAACTCACTGGACGTAGTTGTCCCAAAGGTATATCACGACATCCCGGCCAATGTCTTCTGTGGCTTTCAAACGCTGAAGCGCTGGAGTTTATAAGAAGAATGCCTGATTTGACAAGCACACTTACCGAAGCGGCTGAAGTTTTATTTGTAGGCTTTGGGTATAGGTTTGCATCTAGTAAAGAGTATCCCTCTTTTTTGACCCATGTAATAAGCTCTTTAGAAAAATCGATCTGTGTACTCTGTCAGGACGCGTATAAGGCGAACGTAGAGCGCTCAATCGACGTACAAGATAAGAATTTTCAAGCCTCACGTCACATGTTGCTGAAGATTGCAATTCCATGCGAAGATTACCACTGGAGGCGACCTATTCACGACAGGCATTTGTGTGGCCAAAATGAACGACTTACAACTCATGAACAAAGAATACCAATGTTTTGTTCTGGAATATGTCCGGACTATCGTGGGTTAGTGTCTAATGGAAAAAAGAAGGCATGCTAGTACATACGTGCACATTACTTGAGACTGGAATCGTTCTTCCATATATGTAGACATCATCGGCACTTGCATCATGTCGTGATTTTTGTACATGTAGTGCTGCCGGTGCTCTTTGAGAATTTCTGTGCGAACAAGTAATACTGAGAAAAAAAACCCTTTTTACGCAGGGCGTAAGTGACTTGCCTGGTATCGTATAGCTTATTGATTCTAGGCCTGGTACCAGTCAATCTATTGGAAATAGGGTGGGGGCAGATTGACCATTGACATACCTTGCTGAGGTTCGCAAGCTTTCGGGTCCACGCTCTTCCAATATTTGCTTTGCTCCCGAGCAACCAACCAAACTGTCTCTGTTGCAGCTTCATTGGCGGTGAGAGGAGGTAGCATATCAGGCGCCTGGCCAAGCAGGACCTTTGTGACGGCTAGTGATGAAACGGATATTGAATCTAGATTGTAGCCACCCTGTAGCATTCTCGGTGAAATGTTATTGAGCAGATGAAATCAAGACTCATCACCTCGAGAGCAACGACTAGGCGACCGCCAGCCAAACCAGCAAGCATATGTGTCATGTGTGCATACCCAACAGGAGAGACGTGACATTCTCCGAGCTCGTCACCGTCCGCTGCGTCGAAACCCGCAGAAACTAGACGACTGCTATGAGAAACGAGTATGCACCCTTGCTGTTTGAAGACTCACTGATGACCAGCTCAGGGGCGAACTCCATTGCTATAGGCATAACGACCTTTTGAAAGGCATAGATGTATTCGGCATCACCCATTCCTTTCTCTGGCCATGGGATATTCACAGAGCTGAGCTGGGTGTAAGACTGCATAGCCGTATCCTGGAAGAACACGCACTATCCCAGACCCGGGCCCTCGCCACAGGATTGCATGGAGCCAAAGGGACCGCAAGGATAAAATATCCCTTGTTCGTATCGATGCAATGACACATAGAGAACGGATGGGTCCTCATTGAAGGCTCTCTGAGTTCCGTTACCTAAACCAAATCAGTTTTCGCGTATGGGCTGAGGGATCATGTTTACCATGATGGACATCCCTTTGGGTTCATTTATTAATGCGAACATATAAAAAGACGAAAGAAGACACGACCCACCAGTCAAGAATGAGAACCCTCTTAATGGGTGTCATCTGTTGGACAACTCTTGCAGCGACCGCCACATTGTTGAAGAAGCAGAAGCCCATGTGTTCATCTGGCTCAGCATGGTGACCAGGAGGACGAACGATGGCAAAAGCCTTTTTCAATTCACCACGCGCAACAGCAAGACATGCTTCTACAACACCCCCACAACTCAAGAGAGCGGAGCGAGTGGTAGCAGACATAACATACAGAGACATTTGGTCGTAATAATCTTCAGAATCAATTCTTTGCTGTACAGTCATGTCTGACAGTGGCCAAAGCAGTTATACTTTAGTACGATATTTACACCAGTATATGCGAGATAAATTTATTGGTATATACTCACGTTGGAGGGCTACAACCTTTTCCCAATGGTCTTCGCTGTGAACGAGGAGAGCTTCTTCTCTTCGAACCTCCCGAATAGGAAGCCATTTCATCAACTTATCGAGTTGATTGTGAACTAGTATGGTGAAAATACTCTTTATTCGGAGGGGCTGTTCGGGATGGCCATGAGGTGAGCAATGGAGCATCATCTCAGAACAGTATATGAAGCCGACGGTATGGCTAGGGGGTTTGAGGGGAAGAGACGACGCGCGAGGTTTACGTGGAAGAGCCGCGTTTATGGTCGCCATCTCTTCCGGCGGTTGTGCAGGATCCTTGTCCACGTCCATAGAATCCGCGCTAGAGACAAGAGAGGGGTCCATGTTCGCTAAGGAGCACAAACGAGTGCAAGGCGCGTGCGGTCTAATTGGTGCGCAAAAGGTCAACGGCCTTCCTTAGTAACACATACAAATAGGTAGAGGTACTTATTAGGAAGTCAGTAATTACAGATGCTGAAGTCTATGATACAGATAGTGACAGAAAAGTGTACCCCGCGTAAAGGGCGACGCAGGTCCATCCAGGTGGTGCAAACCAGGTTAAAGCCTCATCACGGGTCAGAATTTGAGTGTCTAGAATCGCTGGTAAAACATAAAGAACCAATGTCAAATCTTGTTAAACTTAAAATTGGGTTCGGGAAAACTAACCCGTGGTCTCGGGAATTGAATACGTCTTCGTAGGCTATTCGATCCGTAAAAATTGTGGTAAATTGTATGGTTGTTGAGGTATATGGTGCATCATGAGATAATGGTATCCGTTGCATATTGAGAATTAAGCGGCAGGTCTAATCATGCATGAACTTGTAGACTCCTCGTATACCTGGTCGCATCCTGCTCACCGTACAAGAAACTGCAGACAGCAACCAGCTAAACGGCGGGGAATTCAATGACGACCTGAGATAAATTAGAGAAAAGACTTACGCATAGGTTGTCACGGCGAAAGCGATGTTACAAAGCGTATAAACCACGGCAAAGAGCACAAAAACTTAGTTTTGTGAGAGGGTTAGCGGAAGGCACGGAGAATACGGTTCAATTCGCCTACTTGTTAGCATGACGAATGCAAGTGTTCCATCTCGCATCATGAGTTTCACCAACGGTACCGCCTTCAAGTCACTTTGCAAATATTTATAAATAGTGAGTATGAGAATAATGCACTGGAAAGCGACGGAGGATATCCTAAGACACGACCTCATCAGTTAAGCTATTCCAATAACAACGGATTGTCGCACCCGAAATACGCGAATGAGACGGGAAGGTGTTCAATGATCGTGGTCGGAGTAAAATCCTTCCCGGGTATGTATACCACTGCAGTCACAACGGCGATGATGAATTCCGCGAAGAAGAAAGAAATGAGCATAAATCCAAGCCAGCGTTTTTGTCTGTAGAGAGCATACACTAACAACAAGTGGTTAACCTTTGGGTAAAGTTACGCAGATAGAAGGTAAAGTGACAACTTACCTCTGGCCATTAACACGATCTCCAATGATGAGACCGACAGTGCCGCAACAATGACCTGACAGCTATAAAGTGCTTTCAGCTTGTTTGCGTTTAGGCTGTAGTCATATTTTATGGCGGCTTCAAGGCATCGGTTCCATCTGGGATACAATTAACAAGGCCTTCGGAAGTTCACAGATACAATAAAAGCGAGCAACTGACATTTGGACCATAATGATGAAATAACGGGCAAAGAGGAAGAGCCATTTTAGCCAAGACCGCTTATCCTTCCTGTTGAATTGGGTGTTACGTTTGCGTTTAATTGGAAGTCATTTGGCGTAAGAACTGACGACCAAATTAATTCCACTTCTTCATCAAAGGTAATCGCCCATTCCCTGAAGACATGAATTGGAGTGAGTTGAACGCGACGAAAACAGGGAGTTTACCAGAAAAGAACGACGAATGCCCCGCCTACAAGACGTCAGTACTTATGAGCGAATCGAGCGACAATTGCGCGTGAAGGTTGTACCAGATGATCGACCAAGGTCAGCTTGGAGTTGCGCGCCGGGGTCCTTCAGAGTCATAGACGCCACTCAACCCTCAGTTCCTGTGGGTGTGTGCGCTGAAAACGAAGCCCGTTCAGCGGCAGGAGAGTGAGAGCATGGGGTGGGAGGAATCAAGGTACTTATGCCGTCGCTAGTTGAGGCGGGGATCACATATATTCTAGTGGCTTTCAAGATAAGTACGCTTGGTGCGAATTTGATACCCATCATCGTGCACGCTGCCGACAGGCCATGCTCTTTTCAGCGCGCAATATGGCCATCTTCGGACGACCTGCGATGATTTTCTCTTCTCTCCAACTTCTCTCAGCTATGTACAACACCACCCGCGCCTCTTGCTCTTGCCACTGATCACCCTCACCACCCGGTTCGTTGACAATCTGTGCCCAATATAGCTTTCGCCTGCGGCATGCTGCGGGCCATGTGTGCATCACACAGCATCAGTGGATCAACCTCTATGTAAATAATGTAAGTAATCCTCTGCCAAACTTTCACCATGGCACCCTAGATTCTCACCTTTCCTCAGTTCCACATGCCGTTCAGCTACAGGCGTCTCTTTTTCGGTGGCCAGACCTTCTGCTGCTGTCTCCCAGTCAGGCTTGGGGTCATAAGCATGTCCATCCTGGGCTGCCTGGTCGCAGGCCTGTTGACAGTGCTCCTTTGGTTCGAGGTCTCATGTAAGCCGTTCTCAAGTTCTCGAGTTGTCCCGTAATTGACATGGAATCCAGCCACGACCGGTATGACAAGCTCAGAACGGACGGCTTTCATTCTTGCAGGGTTGACGGAGACGTTTCTGTTCGTAGCCTCTATCATAGGGTATGATTCATGACCTGATTTTCTCTTACTTTCTAACCCACAGTGTGTCTACCTTAGGTTGGTAGGCGCTATCGTTCGAAAACTATCATTCACGCTAGTCTACGCCTACATCCTTTGCATTCACTTTGTCATCAACCTCGGAGTGGCTGCGTACCTGCTTTATGAAATCATGCGCACCTCCCGCAACGCTCAACGGTTGGCTTGTCAAACAGCAATCAAGGACCCTCAAGCGCAAGGACAGTGTTCTGGCCTACTGGCCTTCGCAAAGTGGGTTTACATTGCTGTAGCAGGGACCGTCTTGTTTGTGGAAATGTGTAAGTTGTCAACCAATTGCAGGCCTCGTCGTATTAATGTTTCGCACAGACGGGGCCATCATCGTGACCCGTTACCTCAACCAACTGAAGCGGGAAAAGAGCGACGTCAGTGCTATGCAGAGGGACACAGAAAACGCTTTCGAGCTCAAGAGGTCGCTGAACGGTCACAACTACGCGAGGTTACACAACCCGGCATCCCCGAACATGGTTCCTCCTCCTGAACCATATCACCTGGGTCCCTCGGAGACAGAATACAACCCGTATGAAGAGGTTGCGACAGTCGAAAGGAACGACACCTTCCGAGACGGGGAACGGCCGCCACCTCCCATCGAGGTAGGCTATGGCGGTGGCTCCTGGACGCTCAGCGGAATCGTAGATGAAGAAAAGGAGAGGCTCAAACGAAACGAACTGGCCATGGACGCTCAAGAAGCATCGAGTTCGAGAAGCGGCAACCCAAAAAGGGATTATGATCCACAGTTGGATGGAAAATCCCCTGCCCATGAAGACACACCGCTTCCACTATACACTCAAACCTACCATCCCTCATAGGACTCTTCAGACTTCTAGAAGGCGCCGGTCTGGACTCACTGGACACTCGAACTTCATCAACCACATCTGCATAGCATCAATCATGTATTTTAGGCACACGAGTCATTCATTCAAGTATCTGAATCATATGTTGCTCGAGCGGAGGGAAGGCCTCAAATTTAACAACACAAGCATTCGAGTTACCCGTTCTCTTAAGGCGGTGGGAAGATCTCAACCAGTGAGAACTTCGAATCCCGTTACTCCTCGCCACGTAGTCCTCGATTTATAGATTTCTCCCAGTCATCGCGACATACTGACGGTGCGGCGTCTATAACACTGCAGCACGACCTCGGGATGATTAACTTTCACTCCGGCATCCTACCTTGTCCGATGGCTGCTTCAGGTTACAAGGCTGTTGGCAACCCATCCTTCAAACTCAAGACACCTCCAAATCAAGTCCATCATGATCACTCCAGCTCAATATAAGTACTTGGATGAAATCGCCTTCTGCCTACGGGCATGATCAAAGACGTGTTTCGTTTCCAGCAGTCTCGATCGTCCTGAAGTACGAGAGCATGCTATCTGCTAGTTTGATCAGTCAGCCTTTCGCCGCCAGGATGCTGACGATGTTGGTTGTTCTTTTCCTTGAGCTTCTCTGGTTGGCACCGACGGAGATATTTACCCCAACGGCTTCTTTCCATGGCCCTTCGCTTTTCAACCTTCCGACAACTGTTATGCAGTAAGTGTCTTCTTCACAAATCTTTCATCTGATGTCTGAACTTGACCGTAGTACTTCTTGCGTTGACAGCCAGTATTTCTGTCTTGATGGACGCGTTCCTTACTCGGGCGTTCTTTCGCCGAGGTTTCGGTTGGCTCTTGGTCATCATCGATTCGTTCAGTGCCATGCGGGCATGCTGGTCGTGCGTGTCATTTGACTATTCCGTGTGCTATGACTTACAGGCCGTAAGAATAATACGAAAACCTATTTTAAATACACCGCAGCCAGTTGCCTCTGAGGTCATCGGGCTATTTGTTTTATTTCCGTTCCATCTGAGTAGGCCGTTCTTATTTTCTTTGTCGTCGGCAAGCCAAACTCTATTGTGCAGTCATTATCCTGGTCATCGCGTCACCTTCGACTAACCAAGACGTTAATGATCGCTTCGAGATTCTCAAGATATTCACCATTACGACTGCAGTGCTTCGTAAGTCTTTTACCAGTTTATTTTCGGACGAGTGCTCACTTAGGTGCCGGAAGACATAATGTACGCTGGAGGACTCATGACCGTTGCTGCTTTAACAGTGACGACTTACGACGGGGACGTCTGGCTACGCGACATCGATTCGACACCTTCTCCTTTCCCAATGCCAATCATCTTCGCGTCTCTCTGTCCCTGCCTAGCGCGTCGCTTCGCTTCCACAAGGTCTTTGATTCCTCAGCATGTTCCACTGGAACCAACTCCCCCTCCTCCTTGTATTCCGGGATGTAACTGTCAAGAAAACGGCTGCTCGCGTCCCAAGGCGGCCGAAGTTCAATCATCACCATTGGCTCAGTGTTCTGGAGGAGATGCCCGACCCAGACCCCCAGTCCTCCCGCACATGTTGGTCCGAATACCAAATGCAGCCGAACGAAGGGCTAGTATTGTTTTGGAACTTCCGATTCAAGGGCAATTTGTGTGATTTATCAGATTTATACGCTTATACGGTTTATTTTATCTCTTTATTGTGTCTTTTACGCCCTTTTTTGTGAGGCTGTGTGACGTGAACACGCGAATGATAACGGCGTGACCGACGCGTTCGCGTCTTGCTTTGTCAGCGATGATGCTGGATTGTTTGGGACGGTGAGCACCAAGCGGCGAGTCCCTGAATCCCACCGTCAACAACCTTCTTTTCAACCACGCGGTCACGGTCGCCGGCGACGACGACGACGCTCGCCGCTGCCCCTCCTCTCCGCGATACCCTCTCTCCTTGCGATGGCTGAAAAGAAAACGTCCCTTCGCGTTCTCTACACAATCAACAGCTCCGTCCAGTACATTCTTGCACGGTCTTACGCCCCGGTGTCTGTGGCAGTCATCCCACCGGTTGAAGATGACAACTCAGTGTTATCTTCGACTGTCTCCAAGTTGGAACCTCTTTACGCTAGTGTATCCCTCAAGACTTGTCTTGACACCATCTGCCGGTCAAGTCCAGAGTTGACTATAGTAGGCAACACAAGGGACTTTTCGGTCTACGTCTTGGATCCGTTGGAGTCGAACTCAGCTCCACCACCGGTATGCATCACGAATCCAAATGGAGACACTATACCCTCTGCGTCTCCTCCAGACCACCCGAGAGGAGTGGCTGTGGGACTAGGTTTGATGTCGTGGGCCCTGATGGAGGATGAGAAGGAGCAGGCGACCGTGGTGGGCACCTTGGTAAAGCAAGGCACACGACAGGAGGCTTTGGAGGTTATTTTCTCTTTGCGCGAGGTGTGTATGAAGAAACATTCTGTAGAACTGCCAGTCAACTCAACATATTCTGTGTCAAGACGGCAGGAATGAAGAAGCCGCATTGGGGTACCTCTTTGACATCCTCACAACCGCCTAGCTCTCAAGAAAGCGTCTCGAGCTTTAGTTCAAGCCAGGGAGAAGTGAGCACTTCGAACCTTGTACGCACTGCACAGTTACATCGGGTTGAATAAGCTCATGTTTATTTGTTTTTTTTGCAACAGGAGGGGTCCTCATCCTCTCGGCAAAGTGTGGCACCGTCAATACCATCCCACCCTAACCCCTCTTGTCATGACGAGGCTACGCGTGAGACATTGGCATCTATTCAACAGCGCAGTCGACCCAAGACCAAACCGCTCAAGACAGTCAGGCCGTCCACTGTCCCTGTGACTGGGTCGGACAAACTGATGGATGCTGATACGTATATTGGGCCCACGAAGAAGAAGGGCAGACCGAAAACCACGAATGCAGAACCCAAACCTTCACCTTTTCGACACAATGCCATTGCCTCAGGTTCAGGCTCGATTAAACCGGAGGTCATTGTCATTGACTCGGATGGCGAAGGTGAGGGCAGGGCTCCGGTTCTGACACCCGGCGTCCAACCATCATCCAGTGAAGTGACGGCGATATCCACCAAGAGCAAGCGTAGCAGGCAGCATCCAGTCACCCCACCTTTTACGACTGACCCTCTTGTGCGGTGCTCTCTTCAACCTTCGGAAATTTTCGTCCAAGTCAAAATCGAGCCGGAAGAATCTGTTCTCGATTTACGTCCGCTTCTCTTGTCGAATCACGGCGTGACGCCTGAAAACTTCGAATATCTTTCAATATTAAGCTCAATGGATTCGGCAGACCCTCATTTCTTTGACAAGAGGTGCCAAGATCCTGGCGTTGCATACTTATTGAAGCAGTTCGTTGCAAATTTCCGCGCCACACATGCTGCATCTATGACTGTCGCATCTGTATCGACACTATCAGCTCCACCGCCATCGTCCCGCAGCCCCCAGGAGCGCCGCGGTTCTTCCTCGAGCTCCCAAAGCGACATCATTATCTTGGATAAGGAGAATGTTGACCCTGTAGCTTTCAAGAAGCCTGCTGGGAAGGACTCCTACGATGGTGTGTTTTCGGATCCAGCTATTCCAACGGTTCCTCTATCAAGGCAGAACTCTCGTTCTGATCGTTCCAAGGGTTTGGGTGGCACATCCCGGTCGAACGGACTACAGTCTGCGATGGTTTCCACAAACCAGCCTACCCAAACTTCTCGATTTGGCCGCAAGCGCACTTTAAGCGACACGATGGATGAGAAAGAGCGGCGAAATAAAGGCAAGCAAAGGGATCGAGGGGTAAGACGTGACGATCATAGGTATTCAAGTTCACAACTTCCACAACCGTCTGCTTGCACCGACGCGTTGAGACACTATCCACGGTTTCGCGATTCGGACCAACCACGGGTCGAACAACCTTCCAATTATTACCGAACGCCGTTGGAGTCTTGGACTTCTCCCCCTCGACTATCACCTGAAGGAGACCATGAAGCGGAAAATGCATCACGAGAACTGTCGCGCTGTACATCTCCTATCAGACCACCTGCTCCCCAACTACCAAGAGTATCAGCGTCCTCGCCCGTCCGTGCACCAAGACAAAACATTCGCAAAGGGTACAGTGTCCCAGCGTGGGCTGTAACGGATACAGCAACTCAACCAAGACTGTCGGAAGATGCGCAGCGTTCACTAGCAGAACTCGCAGAGAAGAAGAAACAAGAAAAGCGAGAGAGATCGAAGCTGAAAAGGAATCGTTCAAGCAGCGTGGTGCAGGCTAGCATGAGACCCCCAGACCCTCCTGTTCCGCGAGTCCCCAAACCAGCTGAGCCACTTCGTGGTCCAATTGCAGCGAGCAATGCTGGCCCATTAATCGCGTCAACCACCATTGTCTTCCCCATAATTGCGTCTTCGCGCCCTTCATCACCTCCACCCAATCCTATCACCATCCCCAAAACTCCGAAGACGCCCATGAGAACTCGGAGTGTTCGGGCTACACCTGGAGGAGAAAACGACTCTTTGTTTACGCCAGGGCCAGCCAGTGGCAGTCTTTTCGGCAGCGCATATTGTCGACACTCTCCTCAGGGTTCTCCTCCGTCGTATCTAACTTCGCCTCTTGGAAATCGCAAGAAACAAAGGTTGTCATCATCGAGTGATCGGTCTCCGAAACCTTTAACATACCTAGCTGATTTCGAAGACCAACAAAAAATGAAACCAACACCAGAGCGAGAAGCAGAAGATGCCCTGGATGATCTGGCTTGTCCACCAGACTCATTGCCCATTGCCAGTAGTGATATCGATATTGATGTTCCGCAGCAAACTTCAGTGGATGAGCAGACGTCCGTGGATGACGACCTAGATCCAACAACACCTGTAAAACAGCACTGGCCTGGCCTCCCACCTTCGTCTCCACCACCTCCGTCTAGTCCTATGCTTCAACCCGAGTCGGATGATGAAATGGCAGAAGTTCCAATAGCGACCTCCGATAGCGAGGCAGACGCCGACATGAGCAACTTCGAGTGGGATGCGACATCTCCAACAGGCAACAGCCCTCCCTACTCTAACGACCAGTTAACGATCCCCATGGACAACGAAATATTCTCTTTCTTCTCGACGGATGGCCCGTATCAGTCTCTTGACCAACACATCGCTTTCCCAAGCATGGACCTCTTTGAACAATATACACACCTAAATGCACAATCCGACGACTTGCAGGCTTTCGCTGTGCCTGCCGATTCGAACTTGGGAGAGGCTCTTGGAAATGGCCTGGGTAGCTTGGATTTTAGTGAAGTTTTCAACATCATCGGGCCTCTAGTCGAGAATAACATCCATCAGCCTCCTCAATCGACCAATGATGATTTGTCTCCTCTGGCTGAAGGCAACAATAATTGTCTTCCTCCTTTTGGAGAAGTCGACATCGACCATGCCAAATTCTCCGCAGACATGCACGCACTCTTGGGAGGTTGCGTGTTGTAACTGCAACCACCAAGCTTCACTTTCTTCGTGTTACATTTTTGAAACCTCTTGCTGAGCATAGTCTCGATTCGTGTCCATGATCGAAAACCCATTTTTATGTAGAAGTACCGTTTGAACTTTGCGAGACACTTGGAATAACCAGAGACCCTGCATTGCAATTGCTCAAGTATACCACAACCAATTTGTACCTATATCACCACATTTTTGAAGCGTTGTGGTGCACCACAACTTATGAGCGGATGCTTAAAATCGACAACGCCAATTGTGGCCCTCTGGTGCTCATGCAAAAGAGGGTGGTCCACAACTCTCATTGCTGCTTGCCACCAATACTGGTCGTAATGTACCTAGACGCGTCCGTGTCCGTAAAATATCCCTCTAGTCCGATTATTACGTCCACAATTCAAGGTCACTTAAGGTCATTCAATGAGAATGGGCTTTGAAGTCCCAGGTCTTCCCCTTAAAAATTCCTGGACGGTAGCTCTCGCGATGGAAGTTCTTCGCAGCCTGAACAGCCTTGAAAGGAACGTTAGGGATGTTCTTTCCTAGTGGTCCGAAGGAAACGTGAAGATCGTTAACCTCGCCAGTCGCTTCGTCGAATACGAAACCGTGTACAAAGACATCGAGAGATGTTGGCTTGTCGGTCATCATGTTCTTCGCGTACGTCTTGAGAGAATATCGTTAGCTAGGGTAGAGACAATACGAAGCATTGAATGACAAGGAAAGGCTGTTACTGACCTCTGTCAAAAGGCTGTGTCCACGGAGCTCATTTACACTATGTTTGACATTTTCTTCAACGAGAGCGCGGAAGCCAGGGTCATTAGCTGGAGGGGCTTCCTTTACGCCGTCAGGCTTTCCTCGTTGGGGCTTTCTCGAGTCGCGCAGTTTGACAATTTCAGTCCTGGGAACAGTGCGCAGATCAGAGCCACTGCATACTTCGAAGGGCATGGACGCACACCTCCTTGCCCGTCTGTACAGGTCCGAGATGGGTTGGAGCCAGTCTTTGATGATATCGCTGACGGTAGGTGGCCTGGTAATTGCCATCTCAACACCTTTGCATCCGTAATGACCTATGACGATGATATGTTGTACGTGGAGGCTCTCAATGGCATACGCAATAGCAGCGTCGCTACAGGTATGGGATGTTAACAGAAGACGGCAAGTATTAGAAAGCACATACGCGCTCGGATCGCTGTCAGAATATTGGTTGGCAATGTTATTGTGGGAGATGGTGGATCCTTTCGGCGAGTTGAAGATAGCGCTCGGGCTTATTCTACAGAAACGGAAAATTGAACACTTCGGTTACACTTCACTTTTGAGAGTACAAAGCGATTGACTCGGACCTGTTGTCTGTACAACCGAAAAACATGAACGAAGGAGCTAAACATAGACCATCAGTGTGCCAGCTAAATTGATATCTTGGGGTAACATACAATCGTCAGCAAGAACTTCAGCCTCCACTCGAGCACTCTCCCGATACCGCTTGTTTCCATCGTACAGCTGGCCCAATGTGCGGAATGGACGAGCACCAGGATCTGATGAGCCTGTGAGAGGTGTTTGAGCACCTAACGCCTGAGCAGTTCTGTTTGTTGTCGAAGCGCCGCCTGGAATGGGTGCTTTGGGAATGGTGAGGGGTGATCCGTGGACTGGTAGAGAAGTGAACGTGAGCATGAAAAGCGGGAATAGCTGGACGACAAGCATGGTGGATGGACGTTAGTAAATCTTGATATCCGTGACACTGTAGAGCAGGATTGGCACCAGGCCAATGTATGAGATCGGCGAACCAGCGCCTTAGGGTGACAGGGTGTGCAGTCCAAGCTGTTCACCGTTGTCCACAGCCGGAGCCAGTTTCCATCGTCTTAGGGGAATCACGGGACCCACTGATGTCTCCGGCAGTGTCGGGGCGGTGCTGGTGAAGACTCCCAAGAGTCCGAGTCAACTTGCAACCAACAAGACCAGTGACATTCCGCCGAGGATCGAAAACTACTCGAGGGCACGGAGAATAGATTTCAGCGTTGTCGTTCCTATTCTGTACTTGAACATTGGCAATTTGCATCATCCGAGCCTACAATCAAGAGGCATATCATATCCGTGTATCGAGAGTCGAAGATATTGTGTACTTATGTCTGCCAGTTGATCGTATGGAAATATTATACGAGAGTCGAGATCACCCCACTCTAAACTGTCCTCGGAAGCCCCTCAATGCATTCCTTCACCACCCGAATCGTCTCTGTCTTATCATATAGCAGGCGTTTGCAAGTCTCGGTGCGACATGCAGCTCTCCAACACGCAATCGCTTCAGGCCACGTCGAAAGCCCCGAGTCGAGGACTGTGTCTCCCAGGGGTCGCTCATCCATCTCAGCAACAATCCTGTGTTTCAGTTCCCTCCAGGTCTCGTTGGTAATCAGTGCGTGGCATTGGATGCAAGTCGATGGATCTCCGGTGACAAATGGCGCTTCGTTCAGACATTTTCGCAGCCTAAAAAACAAACGCATTCAGAGAATCGAAAATGCGGATATTCTACGGTGAACATACCCATCTCGTCTGGAGCGATGCAGGACAACAAGATCAAGGAGAGCGTCAGTCGACAGTGTTCGCAGAGAAGGGTGATGCTTCTCGTCGAATAAATTGAGAGTTAGGGTATCGGAAGAAAGAACCTTCGACTCATGGTCCCACTCGTATCGACGGGCAAGAGCATACAGACGAATTGGATCCAGGCCTAGTGACTGCGTCAAGAGATACATCCGCATGAGCGACATCGGGCCCGGCATATCGTACTTTTCCGCCGCAAAAAGTAGCGACTGCAGCATGTCCAGCGAGGGTATTTCAGGAAACGAAAGCCCGCAGAGCATGCGAAGGAGGCTCGCTAGAACGTCAGCGTCCTCATCCAAATACACGATATCTGACGGTTGATTGTCCTGCCTGGAGAGCGGCCGATGTGTCAGATAATGCAAAAATTAGAGTACTGGATCCACGAACTGCGGTAAGGCGAACATCGTCCTGAAGAAACCGGAAGCTGTCTTGAGGGTGAAGGCGTGAACTCTGAAGTACAGTTTGGCGTCCTTGGCGGCGAGTACGACGTTGCCGTCATTTGAGGCGAAGTCAAGGTGATAGTTTAAGGTTGAAAGTGAATCTGTTCGCCCCAGATCTTCGTCAGTCTCGAGTTGCATGGTGGAGAATGCTGAAGAAAGAGCGCTGGTGGCACAGGATGCCATTGGGTGGTGGTGGCATATTCCAAACCGGGCCGGATAACTCTGGTTGAACATCCCACCCAACTTTCTTTTTGTCATCAACTTGCATAATCTCAGTCTGTGTGCTCTATCCCATTTCCAACTGTCATAAGGTCGTTCTTTCTGCATCCGATCCCCATTCGCGAAGACACATCCCTGGAGCCAGACTAATAACTTACCGAATTTTTCTTGACTCGAGTATCATCTAGTCGCCCAATATTTGCAAGAACTCCAAGGATGGAACATCCGAAATTTGCGCACTTGAAGGAGAAGGAGCCGAGAAACTGGTGGTTTTCACGACAACGCCTTCTCCGCCGTTGAATCATTCCGTAACTTGATCTTCAGGATTGGCAGCGGCTAAATCTCTATTCTGCGGAGACATCTCTCTCTCAATTTGAGCGGGCTCGAGGACTCTCCATTCAGGCTCTTTATGTTCTGGTTCGATTCTTCACTCTTCCTTGTAGAGTGCACTTCCAATCCGTCCACTGACATTAGAAACTAGCGTCTGTATTCTCAGATCTCCGTAGTTCTGACTGGTAACCGGATACGTCACCTCGCCCACTAGCATACGCCACCCTTCCCGCTGGAAACCTTCAGGGCTCTCATTTCACGTATTTATCGACACAATACTCTGACCCTGACACTACTGTTAGGGCCACTGTCTCCATTCTCCGTTCATTTTCTCAGTATATCTCTCGTGAATGCCTCTATGAAAACCACCCCACCTCCCAGCCTGAGTGCCACACGACATCCTTGACCTGCTCCGACCTCAATGAACAATGACTAGAACCGCCTTGCACCATGACCCTGACGACCATTGGGCCATGGAGGTGGTCCGATACTTTTGTTGTGCGTTCGAACTGGATATCCCGGCTGATTAGGAGTTGAAATCTCGCCTTCGAGTTTTTAGATTCGTCCTTGACGTTCCTCGTGTGGGAGTGGTTGATTACATTGTCTTTCGAAATGGAAGTCATCTGGAGGTGAGTAATCTTTAGCAACCACGGCCGCAAAGAAATTGAATGTTTTCACTATTTAAAGTGCCACGACCATGAGTCGCACAAAGTTCCTATACGGATGCCCCCGATATCTCGGGATGGTGGCCTTGATGTAAGTGTTTCACAAAACCCCTAGATGATTCTAACACCTCAGCAGATGCAACGCTGCTGCCATCTCCCGTGTACACGAAATCTACACCGTAGATCGAAAGTCCTGTCAATGGTGGTACGGCTTCCAACTTGTCACATCCGACGTCCTGTTGTTGGTGCTGGAGATCCTTCTCATGGTTCGAGGTATGGATGCATTCCTGATCCTTCTAAATGCAAATTTGCTCATGGTCGACCTTTAGTCTCTGCACTCTTCAAGCACAAGAGAACTATGGCTTTCTTCTTGGGCTGCTCATTAGTTCTCAAAATTGTCGGCCTCTCTGTTCTTGGGACTTTCAACATACGTAACATGGGCTTCGGAGACGCATGTCTAAATCAATATTTACCCATTACTGTCGTTTATGCCAGGTGAATACGAGCACTGCGGAACGTCGCGTATAACGCTAACTGGGTACTTTACGCCGCAGCTTACTGAGGATGGTAGTGCAAGCAGTTATCTGGGGTCTGACCTTGTATAGGCATCTGCAAACACGCATTGAATACAGAGGCGAGAGCATCCCTCTCCTCTCTCTTGTTACGCGTGATGGATCCTGGGCGTTCGCTCTCCTATCAAGTGAGTCATTCACAGCGTAATTACTTACGTAGATGTAACGCTCTGCCTTAAGTCATTATCGTGGCCGCTCTCAAAGATGCTGTGACTGGGCTTCGATTCACGACCAATATAGATGCGCGGTTGTGTCGTGACTTCATATACCCGTGAGTTGCTACATTCGTGCTTTCGTTTTCAAGACGTACTCAGTCTTGATTTATTGAGACTCTCGGTCGCCATTGTCTCCTTTACAGTGAGCGATCAAGCCATAGAAATCTTTGTCATGACTAACGAGAAGCAGTCTTGCAGATTAATTATGAACATGCAACAATTTGATCCTGAAGCCAGACAGACAACGGAGTCGAGTGTTCAGTTGACCACTCTGCCGTCGACTCAACGCACTGATTGACTGGGGATTAGATTTTTATTATTTATTTTGTTTATGTATTATTAGAGAGTTTGTGCAGGCCACGTGAAAGCCACGGGCCGCTTTTTACCCACGCCGTCGCTGATTTTCGTTGTGCAATCAATTTAGCCACACCGTGGCCTCTTTTATTCCCTGATCTCGAGCTATACAAAGGGAACTAAAACTATGTTATCTCATTGTGGTGTTTCTATGTACTCTTAATATATAAAAGAATTCTTGACTCCCCAGGTTCAGGCTGAGAAATGAAGTGGGGAAAAGTGTTGCCTCGTGGCTTGAAAAATTCCGAGGCTTCTCGTCACCTCCAAAAAGCAGTATTTTACATAGATGATTATTGGATTGAACGCACTTGCATAAGACCTACATCCGTCTCCTGTACCGCCGAGAACCACTAGCGTTCGCTCGTTCAGTGGGATGACCACGTGCACAACGGTCAAAAGCCACGTGTGGCCTCGCCGTGGCCTGCACAAACTCTCTATTAAGCTTGAAGATGCTCTCGTATACCAGTGCCTTTTTTTTTGAGACCTCCCCTAAGCAATACGAACCCTTCGATCCTCAAGGCCTCAGCATGGATCTTTTTGGGTGAGATACTAATAGTAATAGGGGCGTTTGTAACATACACGTGATGATTGGTTCAGCGGACCGGTCTGGACTCCGAGCTTTCCTACCACCTCCGTCACTCTCCTTCTCTTCACACCCAACAACATAGGCGTTGGGAAGTGTCTGCATTTGCGATAGAACGATGTCTCAAGGTATTAGGGTCTCGAAATCGCTTCGATTCAACCAGCTTTGCCACTCCCGAATTACTTTCCCATGTACAAGACGACAGCTCCATCTGCCAGCTTCAACAAATGCGCACCCCGTAGCACGGCGGTCATTTTCTACGTCAATACCCACCCGAGCGGCCCTTGCGACATCACTACCCACTCAGCCTACGGTCGTCTTGTTCTCTCCGTCGAAGGAATACATAGAACAAGAAGAATTGGACGTCGAGCTGCTACCACCAGAACAAGTAAAGCTGGAGATTACCGATCGTGCTGCTGAGGTATGTGCTTTTGTCGATTTCACAACCTTTGTTTTGGCTGATTTTATTGCAGCAATTGATGAAGATTGCTGAGAGGCAACAAAACTCGGAGGCAGCACTCAGAATTGCCGTCGAGTCTGGAGGATGTCACGGATACCAATATAAGATGGCACTCGCGACGAGTCGTTCACCGGATGATTAGTGTGTATTATCTCCCATCTTCTCTGTGCATCTACTTGACCCTGATCCTCTGTAGTCACTTCAGTCATCCCAGCATAAAGCCTTCCAATATCCTAGTCGACGCCGTCTCTCTATCCCTCCTCAATGGCTCTACAATTGACTTCTCGACGGAACTTATTGGGAGCAGTTTCCGAGTCGCACATAACCCACAAGCGAAAGGAAGTGGATGCGGCTGTGGTGTGAGTTGGGAGTTGAAGGAGTGAAGGGCGTCGTTAATTGGGCAGAATTTCAAAGGTCTGATGTATATTATTCTATCTGTATCGATACTACTATCACAACTAGCTCATAGACTAGGCGGGGAAATCATAAAGAACGTTAAGGAACGTGTGTACGCAAGGCAGTTGAACTCTATTGGGCATCGCATCGACCCGCTTACGCCAGTGCGCCAGAGACTCAGAGAGTCGGCTTCTTGCCTTGCTTCGTGATGGGGTCGAAGGGCGCCAACTTCCAGATGCTACCAATCCTTGGTCAGAATCAAGACATCTTGATCAGCAAACCCACTCACGTTGGATGAGTATTGACGAGTCCTGGCATAGCCTTGATTGCCTCCTCAGAAACAGGCGGCCAGTGCTTCGAGGTCTTCGGGTCATGGTGGGACATGCAGAAGCTGTCACCAAGTTATCAAAACTCGACGTTCATCTTCAACAAAACAACACTTACGGAAGCAGGATGGTAACGTCGCTGTTGCTCGCCAACCAGATCATATTATCTCGACGAACGTTAGGGAGAAATCCAGGGACTTAAAATGTGGCAAGCTTACCTTTGATCATGCTAGCTAACTGGTCGTCGGAAACAGTTTGGGGCAGCGCCTCGCTTCTGAATTTCGCGACCTGCTTGTGCAATACTTCGCGCAGGACACCTTCCATGCTGGTTATTATAGCCAAGAGGCGGGCGCTAGCGAACATCTTCGGGTCCTGGTTGCATGCATTCGCTTGGTTAGAGGATCGGTCTAATACTAGTGGTTACTCACCTTCTTCCAGCCGCTAACAGATCGACGCAAGGCGTTCAACGAGTCAACCACAGTTACTGTAGCCTTGTTGGCCGACCAGCGGAAGGACTTGCACTGCTGAGCAAGGGTCTTGAAGAACTCTTCGTCGCCTAAAATTCCACACGTTCAATTGCATCAGTCTACCCGCCCCTCAACAATAACTCGTTGAATTGACCTTTGATGTGCAAGATCAGCATGTCGCAGACGGTGTCGACGTATTCCATAAAAGGTTGGAACCCAGAGTGCGAACCAGTCGTCACTTTGGGTGCCACATCGTACAGGACGTTTAAGCTGCGTATTAACGCGTTCTGGTAGAGGAAACGATAGTAAGAAAGTCCTCCCGCGCGTCAGACGCGTCCAATGTACCTTCATGAACGTATTGTGGTAAAGAAGGGCGTTGCGAGCTCTGCACAAGTTGATGAGTTTCCTTGTCGCGCCAAGAAGTGCTCGATTCAACCGACTTTAATTTGTCGAGATTATCAGGGATCGTGGGCAGTAACGCGAGAGGGAAGGGCATCGCAGGACTAAATGGGTTTTGCAAGAAGGAAAAAGGAAGTCGTGGAAGGAGGGTGGTTGTGGAATAAGGAGAGGAAATTTTACTGGCGAAGTGCTTTCATGTTAGAGTGCTTATATACGCCTGTCACTCCTGCTCTGCCCTTTGTCCCTATCACAACACGCTACAACTCGGGCCACCGCTTGACAGGAAAAGACATTAGGTGTCAAGCACGCGTCCTAGCGGCATTTTCGCGTGGCTTCAGCCTTTACATTCCAAATCAAGTAAAAAGAATCCCAAAAGGCATCAGATTGCTTCCGCTGCCACTGTGGCCTCTCAGAACACATCATGGCCATCCTCTTAGATACTGAACTCGACACTCCCATTTGCGCAATGCGCATTGCGCCTTGTGCTAGTCAGTGGAAACCAGTGAAGTTTAGTTCATGATCGAGCCGGTGGTCCAGCCCCACTACTTCATCTTGTCGTAGTTCCTGCATGTGTGTATGACGTTGCCCATAACACGGACCTCCTCCACTCGGTCTACCCACTGCCGCACGAGGGCATAACGTCCGCAGAGCAGATCAGGGACTGCCGGATGCTTTCGATGCAGTGGCTCCAGTGTTTCGCATCGAAATGGTTTGTCTCCGGATAGTAATCCGCGTTAATGGCTTTGCGAAGCATGTTCTACGGGGGTTGCGTTGTGTCAGAGACAAAGGGAATCAAGAGAAAGAGCGTGGTCTAACTAAACAATGGGGTTGGTGGAAGACGTCGAGCTCGATCACGTAGTGGTCTTCATCTCCAGGTAAGCGGTAAGTGTAGTTGACGAGGTGAGAGGCCTCTTCCTTGGTTATGCGCGAAACGCCAACTATGAGAAGAATTGTGAGACGAGACTAGTTTGCGTATTTATTATCCATCTCACAGTTATAGAGATCTTCCCTGGCAGCGTCCAGTTCAGGGGGATGGCGGTCGCTGGTACACACATACTCTGAAGATAGAGGGCGACGCCAACGCCGACAAAGAGACGTTGAGTATAGCTTGGACCACCACCAGACCCATAAGACGCCGTACGGTGCGACGACATCTCGGCTCTTCGTGTACCACGGCCGAAGAGTCAGATTTCATGATGCACGCAACAGAGACGGCTGGTGGGGTCTGATTTTAATCAACTACCCAGGGTTGGTCGAGGCAAACAGTGAGGCTGAATGAGGTGCGTAAGCTCGTCTTTCTCCTCTCCCACGTACAGGAGCGTTCCCGAAATGGCTCGTTCAAAGTTTCTATGGTTCAATTTCCATTCGATTGCCTTCATACACGTTTTACGAGCGGGGAAGTATTCAGGAGCTCGATTGACGACCTGTGGCGGGGTCTCATCAGGGTACAGCGAGTGGTTATCGTTGAGATAAACTTTCTGGTGCCATTGGTGGCATCGTTATCAGGTGCTGGATGTGGATGGCTGCCGTCGTAGTCTTCAGGAAGAGGAGGTAATGTAGAAAGGGCTTAACCCTGTAAAGCACGTTGGTAAGAAGACGATGCAGCTGATAGACTGAGGGTGCAAAGGTTGCGGCTCCGGATCGCATGCTTCAGCAGGCTAGAATGTCAACCACGCATGACTTGCATTTTGAAGGCCAACCTCTGCAAGTGGCCAGAGGCGCACGACCTGATTGACCCACGTTCGAAACGCGGGGGGATGGTGGCTTGAGATGTGTCTCCGCCAACGGCAGAAGAAAAGCAAAGTATATCTTCCAATTGCGAAGCGCAGCAGGAAGCAAGGAGGGTGGATAGGGGACCTCGTCGAGTCATGGGGTGGCGAGAACGCTAGTCATGGTCGAGAGGACGACGAGTACGCCGCGGAGGCATCTCATTCTCAGAGTGTCGTCTAGGCTGTAGTGATATAAAAGGGCGACGTTGAAAGTGAGGAGAGGCATTGCATCTGCAATATCAACATCAACTATGCTGCTCTTTATGTCGTTCTCGCTCTTGCCATCGGTACCATCGCCATGCCAGTTGCCGACAACGCCTCTGCAAAGGGAAATCAGCACAAGTACACTTGCACTGAAAGGAATGGAATGCTTACAAAGATCTCATTGTCAGTCGATGGAGGCGATAACACCCATGCTTGGGCCGGGTCCACCGAGCGACGCGCTGATCCCATAGTAGGACACAATTTCAGTCCCAATTCACCTTCAGCTAACGGCACTTGAGCACAGGTCGAGGAGGGTCGAAAGCACCATGGAGGGATCAAAGAGAAAAGTGACAGCGCCAAGGTAGGACATCTTCCTCGCCGTCTCAACTGATTTTACTTAGCGGTGTTGGAGGTCGACAAGGGCTCAAAGAGAAGCCCGATGTCGCCACAACTTCTTCACAAGTCGCGTCCTTCCTAAACTAACACTAACGATGCCTGGGTTCAGATCGACGAGGGCAAGAAGGGCCGCCACGGCGGCCTGGGCGAGAAAAGCGACTCCGCTGATGAACTACTTATGCTGCGAAGACTGCTGTCACGCAGGAGCCTAAAGGAGAAACAGGGAAGAACGAGCGAGCGGCAAGTCAACACACGTTCGACTCATGCTCGCCTAGCGGATCCTCCAACTGGACTTTGTGCTTGATGGACATGGGTCTCTCGTAAAACGAATATTGAAGGTTTTGCGGTAGATATTGGCCAACGAGAAGGGATTTTTGAAGAGTTGAAGGCAGAGATGAACGTTTGAGAAGAGAGCTCACATTCAGGGAAGAAACGGATTTGGGCAGTTGTGCCTGCAGGCTCACAGGGAACTCAGATGACATCATCGAGGTGACACGGTCATTCTGGCTGTCAGAGCACGAAGGACTGAAAGGGGCACGAACACAGCAAGTGCTCCTGAAGGAAAAAAAGTGGGCAGACTCAGCTGCGTGCTCGAGTAAAAATGCAGATAGCAAGAGAGCAGATACAACAAGATGCGTTAGACTGGGAACGATGTGCTATTTCTATGCGTGCTCAGGGCGAGACAGAACTATGGCTATGGATGGATGGAAGAAATCAAGATATAACAGTAGGGCAGTAAATCGAAAAAAAAGTCCAGCGACATACATATATAACGGCGGGCGCTGTGCCCTGAAGATCCGACAATTAGCAGATATGCAGATATATGGTGGGGCGTAGCAGTAGAAGGCATTTGCGCAAGCTGGAGTGAGCATGGTCTCAGCAGACGACGCAGCATCCCCAGCTCCTGCCTTCCTCCCCCTGCAGCGTCCCTCGACCACTGCTTCTTCTCCGATGATGCCGTGTGCCCTCCGAGGTCGCGATGCCGTGGCTCGGCACACCGTCTCGCATGAGCATGCTAGCCCTGGTCGCGGTCTCGAACACGTCGTCAACACCTTCGATCTTGAGTGCAGAGCACTCCTTGTATGCTCTGGCACCGATGGAGTTGGCAATCCGTTCGCCTTCTTCGCGCGTTACCCAGGTGCGAGGTGCATCTGGATTGAATTCGGTGGGTCGGAGGTCAGCTTTGCAGCCAACGAGGATGACAGGGATGGTAGGCCCGCAGATACTTCGAACTTCCTCGATCCACTGTGTGTCCACGGTGTTGGCGGAAATGAGGCAGTGCAGGGTCGAAGGGGACCTACCTTTGTGGAAACGTTTTCTAGGGAGTCCGGAGTGTCGATGGCGAATGCAATGAGGATAACATGGGATTTAGAATAGGACATTGGCCGAAGGCGCTGTGCCGGGGGTTAAGCATCAAGCCGACGAGCATCGACTCGTAATGAAACATACCTCATACTCCTCCTGGCCGCTGCCGACCCGGAATGAGGTTCCTGTCGGTCAGAAATCTGCGCGGGAGTCAGGAAAGACATACGCTGTATCCCACAACGCCAGCTGGACAGGCTTTTCGTCGAGTCTGATCTCAGCGACATAGTTGTCAAATACAGCTGGAGACGGAAGCGTGCGGATTGAGATATAGTTGCAATGAGGTGTACTGCGGATAAGACGTACTGGGTTGCTAAAAAGGAACAGGCTAGCGGTCAGAAACACGCCATGAGTGAATTGGGGAAGAGCGCACGTATTCCTTTGGAAACTCGCCGAGGGCGAATGAGCATAGCAGAGAGGTTTTTCCACAAGCACCTGTTGGGCAGTGAAAGTCTCAGCAAGCTAATGCATTCCGGAAACGCGTCTACATGCCGTCTCCAACGATAACGAGTTTCCTTCGGATCTGTAGGGCGCGAAGTGGGTGAGTCCGACGGGAATGGAGGAACAAAGGGCAGCAGCACGCACGGGCGTCTGGGAGGACATGGGGAGTGTCGGGGTAGGTGGAATAGAAAGGAATAAGATATGGGCTGTAGCGGCGCCGAGCCTGGATGGACGGACGGAGAGAGTTGTCCGAGTGAGAGAGAGTGAGTGAGTGAGCGTCGGACGCAATTGATGCCCGTGTTGGGGCTTGTTATGAACAGAGCGCGTAGCCAAGCCAGATGACATCATTTTAATTCTATTGCTCTACCCGGGCCTTGAGTGCCGCCGCCTGCGCATCAAACCCCGCCTGCAGCCCCTCCGCAAACAGCGCGTCCACCACATGTCCCACTGGCCCATCGAACACCTCCCGCGACTCGTAGTACGTTCGTTTGCCTGGAAGCGCACTCAGCGCCTGCCACCGCTCCGCATCCAGCACAGGTTTGGGCAGAAAAATCTGCCTCCATGCGGCCCGGTGCTGTACCCTGTCCAGCGTCGTTATGTTCTCGAATGACGTCTGCATGTGCAGCGGGTTCGCGTGCGTGTTCGCGTCAACCGGCATGGGGAGAGGGGGGATTTGCGCCTGAATGATCAGTCGCTGGTTCTCATGGGGCGTCTGATCTTCGAGTGGCACCCATATCGCGCTCGTCACCACCTGCGACCTGTGATGGCGAGGTTATCGTTGGAGCTTGTCGCGACCACTCGGACTCACCTGACGAACGGGTTCCACTGCGCATAAGATGGAAAGTCAAGCAACGTATTCCAGACTTTTTCAATCGGCGCGTTAATGATGACACTGGCTTGTACAGTGAATATTCCTGTGGTTGCTGGTGGCAGATTCGACGGTGGAGTTTGTGCACCGGCGCAGTAAGCTCCGAGAAACGCGATTAAACTCGTAGACCACAACATCGCGAGTTTGTTGGACAAAAGGCGTCGATAGAGCCCTCTTTTATGGGTAAATCATGGCCACTAGTTAGGCACAGTGCCGTCGTTAACATTGAACGATATTCCTCGAGGCTGTCAGTTTGACAGCGCAGATCTTTGGAGCGAGGCCACCGATGAGAATTTCAGGGACCAATGAATGAGTCTTTCAGTGTCGAGGTAATAGCGCTTAGAGAGCCGGAGAAAAAAGAAGACCAATTACAGCACTCGACAGCATGTAACCAAGTGTTTTGAAGCCAGAAACTCCGAGGAAGCACGATAAGACAAGCGAGCCTTCATCCGTTGGCCAATAGACGAGCATTGAATGGTTGTATGTCGACCATAAGCAGAGCTTTATGACAGTCAACTGGTTGCCGACAAGGCTACGATTAATAGAGCAACATAATACATGGTCCGCTTGTGAAAATTCAGCAGGCATAAGCAGTCTTTCCAACCACTTCTTCCGTTTTATTAACGCTTGCGCTTTAGAGGATTGATAGCCTGTGCACAAAGAGGGCCCTTCTCCAACGCGGCGTGTTCAGGCGAGTCCCTTTCGATTCCGAGATCGTCTTCCAGATTTTTTGCGTCCTGAGGAGGCAGAGGGTCCGTCGCCAGTTGCCAGAGTCTAGGTAAAAAAGTAGCACCAGCATGAGTCTCGACAAATCCAGAATTTCGAAGTAGCCAATCAATCAGAGAGACGTCCGGAACATACGTCGTGAACACTTTTCTTCTCTTGATCCATTCCGGCCGCCACTTCTCCCAGTCAGCATATACTCGAGCACGCTCTTCTGCAGATACGGGAGGGGCTCCTGAGCGCAAAGGTTGCAAGGACGCCATCATCTGTGCCATCTTTGCAGAGAAGAGGGTTTAGACAGGATCGAGTTTGCATGGAACGCGCTACCACACCGCTTTCTGAACATCAGCAATCTGTCGGTCTATTTCCTCGTCCGTAGGTGTTGCCTTGATCTTTGCAAGCTCTGTGCTAAGATATATGCGCGTCATTTTGAGACGAATCGCAGTTGGATCGAACCTGATGAATGGGACTTGACCTCCGCAGCGAGAGCCTTGTTCTCACCCTCGATTTTCGCAAGCTCACTCTTGAGATCTGCAATTTTGTCGGGAGGCAAAGAATCGATCTTCTCTTGATTGTAAACGAAGAAGGTGGTCTTGCCTGACAGAGAAAAAGCGTATAAGACGACGCTGACGCGTTGAACTTCACTCGATGAACTCACCATACACCTTCTGCGTCAGCTCTCCTTTTTCCGCCAGTGCGACAAGGATTTTCTGCGTAGCGGTCTTGGGAACAGCTCCTTTCAGATTGGCCGCGACGTCGACAGCGCCATATGGTCGATTCATCTGCTCGGAGTGATGGGTGGAGAGCACGACGCGTCTCTGATAACGGAGAGTACCTTTTTGACATACTCCAACACCTTGTCCTCCGCTGCACCACGGTCAGAAACGCACAGAATTAGCAGGGTGTAGTAAACCTTCTTGTCCTTTGAGGACAGCGACCTTGGCCTCTTGTTTCGGTTTGGTGGACATGTGGAGCAAGAGGAAAGAGCAGTTGGATCCGGACGGACGCGACGCGTGAGCCAATGCGGGGATAGGCTCGGCAAGGGATATGCCGCCGATGCCGATCCAATGAGCAACCTCTCGGAACTTGGTGAATTTGTCAACTCGTCGACAGGCTCTACTTATCGTTTGAACGGTACTCTCCTCCACTCCCCCACTCCCACTCCGCCTCTGGCCCTGGGTCTCCCAATTTTTGCACTCGCCCAGCGCACACCTTTATGACCCCCCAACGCCGCGAATGAGTCCCAATGCCGCTCCGACGAAGCAACATGACAAGCAATCGCTGCACTATATCGTTCGCTCTGGCCTCGCCGGTGGAGTCGCGGGTTGCGTCGTATGTCCTCTCCGCGTCTCTTGGTTTCTTGAAACTAATTATTTGGACGGATAGGCGAAAACGGTAGTTGCACCTCTTGACAGAGTAAAGATCCTCTTTCAAGCCTCTAATCCCGAGTTCAAGCAGTATGCTGGTATGTCTCCCTTCCGTCGAGCGTTATACATTCCTTATCGTAATTTAGGATCATGGAGCGGGGCGTTTCGCGCAGGCACCGAGATATATCGACATGGAGGTGTCCGTGGACTCTTCCAAGGCCATTCGGCGACATTACTTCGTATCTTCCCCTACGCTGCCATAAAATTCATGGCATACGACCAAATTCACTACGTGAGTTCCGGTTGCTCATGGTAGAATGACGACGTCGTCTGACATCATTGCAGCTTCTCATGCCCACGCGACAAGAGGAAACCAATTTCCGACGATTTGTAGCAGGCGCGCTTTCTGGTGAGTTTGGTGAAACCATTACCTATCTACTCGTCTCTGACGCGTGTGGCGTGTATAGGTACTGTGTCTGTGTTTTGCACTTACCCTCTCGACGTTATTCGCGTCCGTATGGCGTTCCACACCCATCAAGCTGACAAGTCCGTCCCACCCACGCGTCCATCCTTCCTTGGGGAGGCGAAATACATCTATCACGAAGGAGCAATCTCTGCTTCTGCCTCCGCGTCCGAAGGAACCGTCCCGCAGAATATTCTCACCCGTTTCCCCGTTCTCAAGTTCTATCGTGGCTTCACCGTCACAGTAGCCGGAATGATCCCCTACGCCGGCGTTTCCTTCCTCAGCTGGGGTTATCTGCGTTCAGTTTTCCTCCCTCCCTCGAAGGCCGGCCACAAGCCCGCAACACCCATCGCGGATCTCGCCATTGGCGCCGTCTCAGGCGTTGTGGCCCAAACTGCATCGTACCCATTCGAAGTGATCCGTCGAAGGATGCAGGTGGGTGGTCTGACGCGACCAGATAGATGGCTTCGATGGGGCGAGACGATTCGTACGATATGGCAGACGGGTGGGTGGCGCGGGTTCTACGTAGGTTTGAGCATAGGCTATCTAAAAGTAGTTCCGATGACCGCCGTCAGCTTCACGGTGTGGCAAGGAGGAAAGCGGTTACTAAATGTATGAGTAGGAAGAGCAGTTGCATTACACTATAGTATGGCTTGGGTAATCGAATCAGAGACGGATTGTCAATCACCTCAGTCATCAGCTGCTGCGTTTCAGGCTCGCTCATCACTGGCAAGCTTCTTCCTTTCGAGTCGCGAGATAGCCCCTTCTCCTCTCTCTTATAGGATGCTGCTGCCAATTTACGCGAAGCTCCATCATCGTCAAGAGTATCCCGCTCGGCACTAACACCGTCGTCATTACTTTGACTTTTCATTCGTAGGCATTATCACCTGGGGCCCGTCTCCCGTTTTGCCAATCTGCCATGGACGTAGACCATCCAGAAACCCCGTCAGAAGCTGGAAAAAAGGAGAAGAAAACGCGCAGGCGTATGCGGCTCAGCTGTGTGGAGTGTACCAAGCGGCGTCAGGTGAGAATTGGTTCAAAGATAGCCCTTTCTGACCACCCATAGGCTTCCTCGACAACTGACATGTTCTATTTTTCTCCCTGCTCTCTATCAGAAATGCGACCGCAATCACCCCTGTTCGCTCTGTGTCTCCCGAGGAGTCGCCCACCTTTGTCGGTGGGAGAATGTCCCTGTTGCCCGTCCTATACCAGGTCGTCCGCCCACCAGTGCCTTTCAGCTTCAACCTCATCTTCAACCTGACTCTCCCAGCTCGTCTGGGCAGGATGCAACAGTTACAGACCTCACACGTCGTATTGCAACTCTTGAAAAAGAGCTGGAAGCTGCCCGAAAGGGGACCCCTAGCCAATACAGTAGCGGCACCAGCAGTTCTGGGTCCCCTGCTGTAGCGTTTTCGTCTGGAGCTGGGACGATGTCGACGCCGTCCACAACAGACGCCGGTCCATCCGGCAGCACAAGCTCGCTCGCGTCACCCAACACGAGCCTCTTCGAGGTTCCGCAACAGCATTCGTCTGCTGAATCCCTGAGCAGTCTGAATGACTACGGAGTAGACAGTATGCGCGTCGACTACCCGCTTCAGCCACCTTCATTAGACACGATGCTCTCGTTCCAAATCCAAGATGCGACATACACAACGACATCGACTCTCGCACAACTCTCCCTAGCGCACCACGGTGAATTCATTGGACGTGGCGGGCTTATTTGTGCACTCCACACAGTGAGCCTTTTCTGCGAATTGCCTTCCAATTATGAACAGGCTAACCTTAATCCGCTGAAAGATCTCGTCAAAATCGCGACCGCGCTTCTTGTATGCCAAATCTACAGATGCCACGACAGGATGTACAGCACCCGTTCAGAAGTTCTCCAACATACCATTTGTCAGTTCCGTCGAGGAACTCATGTCAAATCTCCCTCCGCGTCCGATTGTGGAGACGCTCGTAGATGGCTTCTTCGCCGAAGTCAACTGGCGGTACGGGATCCCGGAGGAGTGGTTTAGCGGGGCCCTGGCGCAGATGTACACCGCGCTGGGGGAGAGTATGCACGACTCGCAGATCAACGCGAACTGGCTGACGCTGCTCTTCGCCATGATCGCATCTGCCCCGGAGAGCTCGTACAATGACGCCCGCCGCGCGTACCTCACTGGTGATCCGTGGCCGAGCGACGACTACTTCATGTGCAGTATGATGGGCCGCCGAATCGCGGAGGACGAGTACTTGAACCTACCGAACATGTCGTTCATGGTGTCGGCTGCCGACGGCACCGTCCTGGGCTGCCTTGCGACGCCGCTGCTGTGCAGCTATCTTGCTGAGCGCGGCAGGATTAGTGAAGCGTGGAAGTTGGTCGGGTACGCGATACGCAATGCTGAGGCGGTGGGGATGCATTTTGACCCCGAGTGGAAGTTGTGGCAGATGATGTCGGGGGACGAGAGGCTGTTGAGGAGGAGGGCGTTGTGGGGGCTTTTCATAGCAGACAAGTAAGTCGTTCGGCCTTTCATTTACTGCGTATTTGGCACTTAATGATTTGTTGAGAACATACGCCTACATCCTCGGCCGTACTAATGTCCTTCGCCGAGCGACATGTGCTGTTGCCCTTTTCCCCACTGAGAATTCGGATGGTTCTCGGAATTGGTTCAACGCCGGCCAAAATGCTATCGTAAGCTTAATGGAATTGGTGGCTGAAGGTGCACAGAAGGTACTACTAGTAGGTGCCTTGTTTTTGTTCTGTTGCCCTGACATTGACGGTCCATGTAGTGTGTCGGTGCAACCTATCCTGGTTGTCAAAATGCTCTTGACATGGACCGCAAGTTTGAGGAGTGGAAAAGGCACCTTGAAGCTGAGTATCAGCCCGGCTATGATTTACGTTCGATTGGAGATCTTAGCCCGAGCGAAGTACGGTTGATAGCGTGCCAAAGATACCTCCTCCATACGTGGTATCTCAATGGACGACTAAAGCTTTTCATTTCGTCTACCACTGGTCAAGAACGCCTGTTGCAACCACCACATCTTCTTCGGGAGAATATGGAAAAATGTCTTTGCCTGGCCTTCCAAGTCATACGATTCCAGATTGCAACATTCCACACCATCGACCATCCTCATGTTGACACGATAGGGCCGATTTACCCAGGAGGGTGTTGGCTCTTTGAGGGCTGTTTCTCCCTTTTCGAAGCATCAGTGGCACTCTTCACGGGCTTGGCCCAATATCCGATCCAGGAGAAGATGCTCGAGGCTAAATCCGCTATCGAGTCCGCCGTGGACGTCTTTAACGCCGTAGTGAGACGCGAGGAGGGAAAGAGGAGGGAGACGGCTGCAAGGGCAATCGAGCTGCTGACAACGATCCTACATCAACATTGGTCAGAAGCAGGCCAATCATTCCAAGCAACCAAAATAAAGGACGACCCCGACGACGCCGAAGCGATGGAATCTACCAGAGCCCGACCAGCAGCAACTCATTTCGTCGACTCCATTCACTCTCAGTTGCATGAGAGATAGCGATAACGCTCGCAACGCCGAGTTTCCACTAGGCGGGTTTAACAGATGAAAAGTCCGACCCACGGCGACAGCTAACTTGGAAACGGTGCGGGAATTGGGCGGGGGAATCAAGACATAGTGACAATCTTGGTGTTGGGCGTCCGGCGCTGTGGCTACAACTTGAGGCGCACTATGTGCCTGTGGTGGTAGAGGACATTTTTTCAAGGTCGGCAGTCCACAGGGTCATACACAACAGAAGATTGTCAAGGCAATTGTGGAACATATCAAGGGGTGTTCTAGTCGGACGACCTCGAGATGTGATGGAGCATATGGGCTTGCGACGGCTTGCGAGAAGCTGTCAAGTCAAGAATAACATGGGGCCCATAGGATGGATTCGATCTGCAGCGCTTGGTTAGATTGATCACGGGCGAAAGTAGTGCAGAGCCCGTGTGATAGATTAGGGCAAATTTGGTGTGTACGAATGGGAGTGTGCCATGTTCCCATCTCCCGCTACGAGCGCTTGAGGTGTCCTGAGTAGAATTGGTGCAAAAGCAATGGTATGCGGTGTGCGGTGAATCTTTGGACGAAGCTCGCTGTCGTCGTGGGGATCGATGGTGAGCGCTGGGCCCACGGTGAGCGACGAGAGAAGGATGCGAATGGGACGGAGATGAGATAAATCCGAGAGCTGGTTATGGGCTGTCCCGATATGGCAGGTGATCCCAGCCTGCACCCCGCGAGTGCCACAGCTTGTCCCCAATCCACGACCGCCACATACCCCCCGCCCCCGACTCCTCGTTCATGACGGTCCCCCGCCCGCAGCGCCCCCAGCTATAACCCACACAGCTCGGTCTCCCATACACCGTTTCAGCTGGGACCGGCTAGTTCATACAATTAGCCGATATCCAGTGATTAACAGCTCGGGCCTTCCCCCACACTCATATAACGATCGCCGTCATCACCTTGCCTCGCCTTCCCAGCCATGCCTGTCCCTCTGCGGACCCCATTTCATAAGGCGGCGGATGCAAAGTACAACGTCACCACAGAGTGTTCGTTCGCTTTCTCCCTAATGCTGTGAAACAATTAGCTCACCCGTTTTCTTAGTTCCCAGCCTGGGGCTGCATGCAGCGGCCGCAACTGGAAATGTGGGGCTTGTCGAATACGCCTTGGACCATGGCCAGCCTGTCAACTCAGTTCTGGATGGCGTTCTCCCTCTCCATGCTGCTTGTGCGGGCGGCAATGTACAAATCGTAAAGGTGTTGATAGATCATGGCGCGGACGTCAATGCACCTCGGTTCGTATTGTCTCTCTTCTCTCCTTTCCTGCCTGCTTACTACCTCTACTCGGTATCCATTCTCACACAAAAACAATTATAGGCTGCCAAGAAAGTACTCCGACAAGAACCGCGATGCATCTGCTCCCATCGTTGGCACCTCGGGTTCCACTCCCCTCCACTTCGCCGCCGCAAATGGCAATACCGAAGTTGTGCGGCTTCTCCTCCTGCATGGTGCCCACGCCAACCGCGCGGATAAGCATGGCATCACCCCAGAGACTCTTGCTCAGGAACAAGGCTGGCTGGAGTGTGCTAAGTTGTTGAGGGACTGGATTCAGAACAAGGATCGCGACCTCAAAGAGCGAGAAGGCTACGATACGAGAACCCGAGCAGGCTCTACCGGTCAAGACCCATCCGACACCTCTTCTGTGCCGCGAAGACGAATACACGTAAAGCACTCGATTGATACCGCACTGAATATGCTTAAACCCACAGACTCATACTTCAAGGGCACCCAATCAACGCATACATCAACGCCGCCTGCATCTCCCTACAAACCATTGGGCGAATATACTTTCTACCCCGTCGATTCCTCTCTTCCTATCGATCCCGGTTCCAGACGGCCTTCCCTTCCCCAAATACTCCAATCCCCACCTCCCAACGAACCAAGTAGAAATCGGAAACCTTCTTCGACAGTCTCCTCATACGACCGCCCAAGGCAACGGCGACCACAGTCAGCAGGTACCGGCGCTGACCGAAATGACAGTAAACCTCCACAGGATTTTGTTTATCCTTATGGCAGAGGTGGCTCCGGTCGCAAGCTGGGCAGCAAATACTCCCTGATCAACATCTTTAAGAAAGCGCAGACTGCTGATGGGGGTCTTGAAAGCACCACATCCGAGCCTGGGTCCACACGGGACAGTCCAGCTGCGTCAAGCGCGGCTGTTGCGTCCAATGGTACTCCTCCCCCTCTCCCTACCAATCTCGGCTCCGCTGCACATGCTTCAACTCCTGACTTGTCGGAAAGCGTACGCGGGGGTGTTCATCCTATCCGTGCCGCCTTTATGCACCGTGGTAGTGATGCATCCACCAAAGGCGGTCGGGTCACCCCAAATCTACCACCAATGCCCAGAAAGGCATCCGGAAACCTTCGCACACCACCACGAGCCAATGCGCCTCTCGCGGTTGAGATGCACCTCGCTCTTGCGCAACAGCAGCGTACAAAGCCGGGCAATGGCGATTTTGATCCAACGTCGGGCGAAAACGAGAGCTTCAAACCCTCAAGCCCATTGGCGAGATTCAATCAAACACGCTCGCCACCATCCACAAACGCTACGCCACCAGATACAAGTCTAACACAGCCCGACACCATTGACACCCCTCTCACGAACGGCGAATTCGAGACAGGCAAACCCATCCCTAGCCCTAGCATGCGGCCTGGAATTTTGAGAGGGCATAACCGCACGTCTTCAACAGGACAAGGATCCCCACTCAATTCGCGCACATTACGGTTTGATTCCACGTCGAGCGTCCCGGGCAACGAGCGGAAAGCTAAGGACAGTCCGCGATCCATCCCACCAGCTCTGCATTCGCACAGCAGCATCAGCTCTCTCAATAAATTCAATGCCCCGACAAGCCCTGAAATTATCGAATTGCCGACCAATGACGACTTTTGCAAATCTCCTGCAAGCAAGCAAGACCTGGACGATCCTGATCAAGACGAGAGCTATGGCGAGCTTATCGTCAACGCCAACGACTTCCCTGGCGCACCCAACGTTCCATCCGTGCTTTTGCAACGCCAGCGTGGGCTCTCCTTCGCCTCTTCTTCTCAATCGTCCCTGTCGCCAATCCTCTCTAGTGACTATCCCAACGATCCCTCCATGACGAGCATCTCCTCCGAGTTCCCGTTCAGCATCAACCGTAACCCGCCGCCTCTACCGGCCGATGATGGCGACGACGCCACACAACCTACTACTGACCGCCTTGCCCCCAAGTCTCCAGATACCCGGGGGCGCGGTGATTCTTTGAGTAGTGATAGCACCTCGGACAGTCGCAGCAACCCGCCGTTAAGCTCCAGTATTACCAGCGGAAGTGGCACAAGCGTGACGGTGTCGACACCTGGACTATCGACGATCTTGAGCCTTCCAACTGAGCAGGACAAGACGGTAGAGAAGGTCAAGAGGCTGGATGCATCTTCCGACGACGATGAAGGTGTCAAAGCTGGACAGAGATCGGCCAGTTTAGGCACCAGTATCAATGAAAGACGGGCGCATACACCCTTGGACATCGATATTTCGTTGATTTCGTCGCATGCCCAAGCCGAGGCTTTAGTCGAACGAGCACGACAGGACGCCCTGGAGTCGCTTGACATGGCCGGTGACCAGGAAGTTTCGCCACCCACCTCTGGCGCTGGTCGTACACCGCTCAGTGCCCGCTTGGCTGCGTACGGGGAGAGTTTGGCCCTGGCGAAGAGGTTGAAAGAACAGAAGGAAAGGGAAGAGAAAGAGAATGCACAACTGCCTGATTCATTGACACCTGTCCAGTCGGCAAAGAGCCCTGATAAGTCATCTTTGGCAGTGCCGATGAACACTTCAAGCATTCCAAGGCAGAGGAGCCGGGACGGTGTCGAGAGACAACTGAGCTTGGAACACAAATCCGCAACGCGGGTCAAGAGAATTCGCAACGATCCTCGTCGACCTTCCACTGCTGACGGACGTACGTATATTTTCGTGTTGGTAGAATCATTTTCTGACACTGGTTGTTCCACAGTCACCTCCAGGAAACCTGATACGTTCTTCAACGAACGATCGCTGACACACCATCCCTCGCGTTCTGCTTCCAATCAACCCTCAGCTTTCCTCCTTTCCATTACTTCGCCCAACCCTCAAGCCACACCGTCTCCGCAGAACTTCCGAGCCTCACCTGAGCCCTTGCGCGAGGCAACTCTCAACCCAGAATATTCTGGACCTTCACGCCAGCCACCGTCCCCCGGAGAGTCTCTCACCCGTATCAGCTCGGTTGATTTCAATAGCGAGGCGGACACATGTGAGCCTGTGTCGACTGGCCCTTCCTCCGCACGAGCAAAGCACAGTAAGAAATTGACCAAGATGGGGTACTCGGCCAATGAGCAAGCAGAAGCGGCTGCTGCTACTAGGACGGCTACGACATCGTCGACACCGCCAAGTAAGCGGTTCGGTGCCTTCAAGAGTTTCTTCAAAGGCAAAGCATGAAGCGATACCCTGTGCTTGCGTCTGCGCCTCTATTCTATTTTTTCCTCCATTCACCCTATGATCCACATCGAAGATGCAAGGACCTGTCCATTTGTTTTCCTCGCCTCTTGCGCCTCCCAAAGCCACTCCATAACTTTGCAGTGGCCCAATATTGTCGTACGCACATTTCTGCTATTTTTTCTGTTGTTGTTGGCATTGTTATCGCTTCATTATTTCATCCCTATTCAATCCCCCTCAGGTTCCCTAGGTTCCTCCAAATGTTGTATTCCAAGTTGTACAGTATGTTTTCGGCCTTTTTGTCTCCGTCGTCCCTTTTGTCGGTGGGACATCATGCATTTACATATATTTTCATTCGCACTTGTACAAGCATTACAGTAGCACTACATCTTGCAAATTTGTACATTTTTGGGAATGGAAAGAAGTAGGTCAGGTGAGCTTCGTGAGGGCATGGCGAGACGACCATCTTCAGGGGCAGGCAAGTTTACTTAAATCCGAGCTTGAGCTTGAACGTTCAAGCCAACACACAAATTTCTTTCTCCCATTACCTGCAAGAAACCCGCAATGGCTGACGCGTCAGATTCGACGGAGAACGAGAGCCCCTTTCCTCCCGGTGTGCTAACGGAGGAACACGAGAAGCAAATGCTGGCTATCCATGCCTGCTTGGAGGAATGGGTCGATACACACAACGACAGTCGAAAAAATGCGGAAGGAGCGAAAGAACGGCTCAAAGTGGCGACAGAGAAATTAGCCAGTGAGTTTCTAAAACTTTTTCTTAGGCGTATGCGTCGCTTAGTCGATGTTGTGTTGAAGATCTCAAAATCGACGCGCCGTACGCGTACGCTCCCGCACCGCCGTACACTTATCGCTCGGTCCTTCTTTCCTGCACCAAGACATACTGGGTCGCGCTCCTTGCAGCTCTCGATGATGACAAAAAGGCAGAAATAGCTCAGAGACTGGAGATGGTGCCGCCGTATGGCAAACGGGTGCCGAAGTTCAAGGGCAAGAGATGCGTGCAAAAGGCTGCTGAGCTGAACGAGAGGGAGTACGAGGGACTGATGAGGACCGCGATGTTCGTTGCGATGGGACTGGTGCCAGACTTTGTGGTCGAGTGGTGGAGGGAGCTTGGGGAGGTCGGTGTGATGAATTGGGAGGATGAACCTGGGAGATAAGATTAGACCGGTAAAATGTTGCCGGCCCGCGCTGCATCTGAATCAAATATGCATGCCGCTTCGTTCTCTTTCACAAACTATCACTATCAGAGCTGAAGCTCAGGTTTCAGAGTGCTATTATCCTCTTTTTAATGCCCCAAGAGTGCGCACGTATATCGACTGGAGGTCGCTGTGTTTCCCCCGCTTTTCTATCCAACGAATTGCTGCCCAAGTATGGTTTTTTTTTCTAACAATTGGGACATTTGGTCCCACAACGCACTGGCTAATGCCTGGCATCAGAAACCGGAGAGACTTCATCTTTCGGAAAAGGGATCCGCTGACTAGTCTATCAGGAGATTCGTTTGTTCATGCCTGGCTTGAATGTATCATTGGTAAGTGCCTCCTATTTTCCGGATGCTCTGGAGCAATGGCTCAGCGTGCATGATTCTTTTAGCGCATACTGTTCTCTGGAAAGGCAACCTGGAACACGACTACCCAAATCTATACAATCTTCTGTATGACACCACAGAGAAGCTGTTGTTAATCATGGATTTCGATCTCTCGCCCCTTCGTTCTGCACATGGTGATCTGCTCAACCGTTCACTCGGCTGCATCCCCTTCATAGCTCCTTGATTCCTGTCCGACAAATATTTGAAAGGTCTAGTAACTTGTGACTATCACCATGAACTCGAAGTCTTCTTCTGGATATTGGTGTTCGTTTTTCTTTCATACGAAAGTGGAAAGCACACTTCCAGTCGCTTCGTAGACGATTGGATAACCCCCGTTCTCAGTGAATCCACTAAAGCAAAACACGTTTTCTGCACATTCCATAGATTTAAATCCACGGAAGAGGATGTGAAGGCCAACTTCAAACACTGTTGGCAACTGATGCTTTATCTATGCATCACCATCCAGTACTGTGCTGCTTGGGCCGCTCAAGCTTCTTTTGAGCTATCTCATGGTAAAATATCAAATCCACATACCCACCCATCTTGCGAAATGTGGCATATGCTTATTGGGGGTTTGAAGAGCAACACGGAGCTTGGTTCCGCAACTTTCCAGACGTTGACCCAGCAGTTGGAGGAACACCCACCATGTCTTGAATGGCTGAACTCTGTTTACACAATCAAATGGGGATGAAAAAGAGTCGCACTATACAGCTTTCATGTATTTTCTTTTCCTTGTCTCTTCATGGTGTTCCTATGGAGCATAGACGTTGTTGCATTTGTTGTGACTCCATAGAGACACCTGAACATGCTCTTCTCCAGTGTGTGGGCTCACTGGCTGTGGTGTCCATGCATCATGATTTCTTCCTGACTGCCAGGTGGCTAATATTCATCAACCAGTTACCTTCTCCTACACTGCAGCGATTTTTTGGCTCAAAAAGTTAATCTTTAACTGGAAGTTAGTCCCCCATACAGCTTGCTTTGTTCACTCAATTTATTTATTCTGGTCTGGCAAGTGCAGGCCAGATGTTACTGACACCACTAGTACTGACCACTACTTATCATAAGTTACTGGTAATTACCAGCACTGCTTGTGTATATTACCAGAATTAATGAGGAGTTCGCTCTCTCATTATTTTCATAACTTCTCATTCTCTTTCCTGCCTTACAAGTCTTTTCATTCTTTGGTGTGCTTTTCATAGCTACTTCTCTTCTCATAACTTGAGAGTTATCATATCACACAATGCACCTCTCATTTCTTGACACATTTTTCATTCCCACACTTCTCATTGTGGCTCATATTTCATTCTTGCAGAGTTCTCATATCAGGGCGCATTTTTTCATTCTCATCCACACTTCTCATTGCCCTGCACACCTCTCATCCTCCATTACCCTTCTGATATCATGGCATTCTTCTCATTTCATGGTGCTCCTTCTCGTTTTGATGCGTATTCCCCATTAGGAAAGCGCATCACATAAGGGTTTGGCTGGCAGCATTGCTGGTGTATTTCGGTCAATTCTGGGCCGATTTTCTTGAATTAAAAAATACGATAAATTGTAGAATAATCGTAGCTTTCCGTAGATACCTCACACATGACAGTGTCACCATTTTTGGCAGTTGCACAGCCAAATTAATGCCCTGCACCTCAAAAATGCGAAAATGCGGCCTCACTGGGCCCCCTCCCATGCACCCCCTGATGGAAACAGGTGGGCGTTTATGAATAGGTATATAATTAGGTCCTATCTACTGCAGAATATCTGCAATACCTGCAGAAATGCTCGCATAATTGCCTGAACAATGCAATTTGCTAAAAATAGCCAGAATGCGCACCCAAATCTCTACCCATTGCAGGGACCGGACCACCAGGACACTTTGGCGGTTCGATAGAGAATATGTAAGGCTTCCTGGGGATATATTTTGTATGGCCCCACGTGCATTATTCATGGCTGTACACTTCAATTACTGATTTTCATTCAAAAACACAAAAATGTGCCCTCAATCCCTCCCTGAAATCCCCATTTCGCACTATAATATTCACACATATACCTTTCTATAGCCTACACCTACCACTTCAGGGCTCACCCTCAGTTATATTCCATTTACAGCTTGTGTTATTCCCCTCTCCTCCCCCTCCCCCTCAAAAAGCGAAAATGCGCACTGAAAGTTCTGCTCTCCTGCACTTCATGGCACTCTAATACATATGCAATATTGTTTAGTAGATATTCAGGTATTCACATGTGTAATGATGCCCTGAAATATTGAAATCTGCAATCACTGGACACATATTCCTGTTTCCCTTGGTTCCATCTTGATGTTTCCTCTGTCCTGGCCTCAATTCTGGTCCGATTCTCAAGAAAGAATGTTCCCCATACTCAGGAGGAAAGGCCTTTCAAATATAGATACCCCTGAGGACGCATTTCAGACCACTTAGATAACAGCAAAATGACACTGATTGGCCATTTCAGAAAGATCAGAGACATAATTATTTAATCAGACACTGCAGAAAGCCTCTACATATATGCCTTAAGATTCCTCAAAAAGTTTGAGGATGACAGAGTCAATGTGGAAAGCAGGACACTCAAAAATGCACCGGGGAGAGACCATTGATCAACATTCTGGATGAAGCTAATATTAGAGGCTTTGCGCAAAGCCAGCTGGAGCCAGTGGTGGCTCAAATGCGTTGCGCTGAGACCTTTAGCCAGCAGAACCTGAATACCAGACCAATGAATGCCATATATTAATATTACTTACATCTCTCTATAGACTCATATTTGCTGGAGAGCCCCATGCGATATCAGTCTGTGGGGGCGGTTGATCAACGGTTGATCTCGGTTGATATTTTCTGCTGGCTCAGTTTCCATATATAGGTTAGTTTCTGGAGACTGCCGTACCTGTACGGATGAATTCGATGAAATACTTGCACTGTCATTGAACTCCCCTGGCATCCAGACATACATGGTGCTACATAAGACTAAGTTAAAAGCATAGTCGCCAATTGGCCACTGCTGGCTACATGACACAGCGCAACGTTTTTGAGCCAGCACTGGCTCCAGCTGGCTTTGCGCAAAGCCTCTAATGTCTCTTAACCATGTCTTTGGATACCCCATCTGATAGATCTTCCATACCTATGGGGGACTATGGTATTTCAAAAGTATCATATATTCCCTGTCCAAGACACATTTTATCATGATTTTAGAAGGAGTAAATGGACCTGAATTCAAGGGGGAGTGTCTGTGTTCCCAAAATTGGCTGGCACAAGGACAATTCTGTTCATAGAATATTCATTTCTGAGTGTAAATTGTTTGGACCTTTTTGAGCAGACTAAATAGCTTTCCAGGAACACATTCCAGGTACTAACATGAGGACAGGTAAGGTACAGACCATGCCAGTGCGATGCCATTGTCCCCATCAATAAATCCAGAAATTTCCAAAATAAGGAAAGTGGACCTGTTCCAGAGGAATTGGTGCCCTCCTTGCTTGAATGGAAGGCTGAGAAGTGGGATGGGTGATTGAATAGACCAGTAGGATAATGGTCAGAATACTGCTCTGATAGATGTCAGGAGGGAAGGACTGATTAATTTTGTCTCCCATGTGGCAAATGAGCAGATTACACTGGATAATAAGAGGTAATAGTACTAGATACAACTATTATGTTGTTACAGAAACAGGTGATTGAAATTGAATCATCCGGGGAGGGATTCTGGGGCGCATTTTTGTGTTTTTGAATGAAAATCAGTAATTGAAGTGTACAGCCATGAATAATGCACGTGGGGCCATACAAAATATATCCCCAGGAAGCCTTACATATCCTCTATCGAACCGCCAAAGTGTCCTGGTGGTCTGGTCCCTGCAATGGGTAGAGATTTGGGTGCGCATTCTGGCTATTTTTAGCAAATTGCATTGTTCAGGCAATTATGTGAGCATTTCTGCAGGTATTGCAGATATTCTGCAGTAGATAGGACCTAATATGCCTCATAAACCCTCTGCCAGGGGATGCATGGGAGGGGGCCCAGTGAGGCCGCATTTTCGCATTTTTGAGGTGCAGGGCATTAATTTGGCTGTGCAACTGCCAAAAATGGTGACACTGTCATGTGTGAGGTATCTACGGAAAGCTACGATTATTCTACAATTTATCGTATTTTTTAATTCAAGAAAATCGGCCCAGAATTGACCGAAATACACCAGCAATGCTGCCAGCCAAACCCTTATGTGATGCGCTTTCCTAATGGGGAATACGCATCAAAACGAGAAGGAGCACCATGAAATGAGAAGAATGCCATGATATCAGAAGGGTAATGGAGGATGAGAGGTGTGCAGGGCAATGAGAAGTGTGGATGAGAATGAAAAAATGCGCCCTGATATGAGAACTCTGCAAGAATGAAATATGAGCCACAATGAGAAGTGTGGGAATGAAAAATGTGTCAAGAAATGAGAGGTGCATTGTGTGATATGATAACTCTCAAGTTATGAGAAGAGAAGTAGCTATGAAAAGCACACCAAAGAATGAAAAGACTTGTAAGGCAGGAACATCAGGAAAGACCTTTTTGTCTTAGGTTGTCCTTAAGATCAGCAGC